TGGAGACATAGGTGGAGTGGTAAAAGGATCCATAATGGTGGAGTTGTTGATAGTTTAGTCCTAATGTGAAGAGTTTTAATTTCGAGGTTCTACAGCCTGAACGCACGGACTTTTGTCCCCATGTTCGTTAGGTCTGTGCGCTTCAAGGCCATTTGCTCCCTAAAGAGCCCTATAAAGAAATTTCAAAATTTTGAATTCTCCTTAAATTACTATTCAACAAGACACTTTAACTTCTTTTTAATCATATTGCCCAAGCACAAATAATAACACTCTGAGATTGTCTGGATTTATTTAAGTAAAGTAGGTGAGTTTGGTTTTTGGATGCCTGAAAGGGAGCCTGAAGCGCACAAACCTAGGCTCGTGAGCATCAGTACCACGTGACCAGCCCTGGTGGTCCCTGAAACTGCCAAACTGCCAGCCAAGCTGCCCCGCCAAAAAGACGCGTGCACGATTCAGAGAGGTATTTTGGGCACAATCAACTTGACACAGGGCCAGACTGCGAATCAAACAGATCAAACAAATCTTTTCGCAGATGGCTGTATAACATCAACCATACAAAACTGCAAAAGTCTGTATCTCTAAAGTCAGTATGGAATTCGATACTAAGACCCGTAAGTGCATCTTCTACTGGAGGGGCAGTAAAAGTTAATAAGATATGCATAGCTCCTTCCTCAACGTCCGACAAAAACTCTTTCGCATACGAATCTGCCAGATCTCGCTGGCCCGTTATTATTGTAAGCTGCGCTCTACCACGATCGAATTGAGCTAAATAGTCAAGACTGGAGTAATCGACGATGTTCACAAGGCAGTCTCTGAAGTAGAAGATGCAGACAAGCGGGTAGAGGGAAAGAAAATCATTGAGGACATCGCAAAGCTCAAATACGAATTGCAGCATGATAGGAAGCTCACGTACGCATCCCTGATCTCCGGAGGGGAAATCTGGCTGACAGCACAGTCCGTTGTTAGATGATGGCGGCGCAGACATTGCGGGGTACAACAAGGAGCTTGAACAGTTAGGATATCCAACATGGTTCAACATTCCATGGCTATACGCCGAATGTTACCTCTACAGGCAAGCTTCACACAAACCATAGAGAAGCTTCAGCTAAGAAGATCAGACGCATTGCGACATCCTTCGCCCTCTCGAAGCATTGGAAATCCTACGATGTCTTTGCCCGTCAGAAGATAGGCACATTTCGATCCTCTCGTCCAGCCGTCATCGAACTTGCGAACAGATATCACGAACTTATCACACAAATGCAACACAAGGATGAGAAATCACAAGAAGAGATCAACGCTGCAGAGAAGATACTGTTCATGGAGATGTGCGAGATCTGCCTGTGGGGAAACGCTACGGATCTTTCTCTTCTTACATCCCTCACATACGAAGACATTCAAAAATTGCAAGGCTCGGAAGCACGAAAGGCATCGGAAAAGAATATTATCGTCAATGATCTGGAAGCTGCATACAATGTTCTGAAGAAAGCCAAGGCAGACGGCAAAAACGAAAGAAGAGTGGACATTGTTCTCGACAATGCGGGCTTCGAACTCTATGTCGACCTGATCCTCGCTGGATTCCTCCTTTCTTCTGGTCTGGCTACGAACGTCATTCTACACCCAAAGAACATCCCCTGGTTCGTATCAGATGTACTTCCAGGGGATTTCGGCGCGCTTCTCAGCGCTCTAGTAACAGCACAATCTTTCTACTCAACCCCATCAGAAGATGAACTAAATTCAGGCAAGAGGCCCAGCCCACTCACGGACAAAGAAACCAAGGAACTTGCCTTCTTATTCGCAGAATGGAGTCATTTCCACTCTGAAGGTCAACTCACAATTCGTACCAACGGATTCTGGACCGAAGGAGGAAGCTTCTGGCGGTTGCCTGGTACTGCTCCAAAGCTGCTCCATGATTTGAAGGACAGCGAATTGGTGATTTTCAAGGGGGACTTGAACTATCGGAAGTTGACTGGAGATGTATATTCAAAGCCCATACCATGATTAAGACTGTATGCTAATTGATTTTGAAGGCAATGTGGGACCCAACAACTCCCTTCACAACAGCAATCGGACCTCTAGGACCAGGTTCAGGGGTCAACATCCTGTCTCTCCGAACCTGCAAAGCCGACGTCGTCGTAGGTCTAAAGCCAGGTCTAGACGAGGAACTCAGAGCCATGGAAGGCGGTGGTGGAGATAGCGGACAGCGAAAATGGGCCTGGAACGGCAAATGGGCAGTCTGTTCCTTCTCAGGCGGCAAGTAAAAAAAAAGAAACTTTTTGGCTTATGATTTGGCATAGCGAAAGTTGTTAGACTTGGATAAACATCGGATATAGAGAGATACCAATTGGAAGTTATTAGACTTGCATTTATGTCCATACATCTTTTGGTTAACTATCCGGCTTCTACGCAATATACGAATTCCGACACTGTCACTTTCCATCATATCTACAGCATCCATTATCCAGCGTTAAGCTCAATCTCTCAATACCCACTACCACCCGTCTTGAATTGATGCTACTAATGGCCGTTCTGCGCTCTAGTCGAATCTGCAGATGATGCCGCACTTCTCCCATGCGTTGGTTCAGCTGGTGTAGTGTCCTCATTTGCTTGTCTTGACGCTTCCGTCCTCGGTGGCGCAGCCTGCGTGGCTGGATCAGTCTGTGAATGAGGCATTGGTGCAGGTGTAGGATCATCCCCTCGCGGCGCTGGAGCCGGTGCTTGATTCTGCGTTGCTGGGTTTAGATTCTGCGCTGGAGCTGGAGCTGGAGCTGCGGGAATCGCCACAGGGAGTATCTGATACCCAACAGGAGCCGGCAACGGCACCATCTGCACAGGAGCCGCTACCCAGTTCCAAACCCCAGCATTCTGACCCCATCCAGGAGGCGCTTGCCCGTAATCATACCCATGCACGGTATTATACCCAGTTCTTGGATATGCTGCTGCTGCTGCTGGAGGAGAGTAGTATCGAACTTGTGGAGAAGCCTGGTTGAGATGGTAATGAGGAACCACTGTCCACCGACCGCCGATGTATTGGAGATGGTGGTCTGTGGGTGTGTTTGCTGGGACGGGGAGAGGGGTGCCGTAGGAGCCGGGGCCGGGAGTGAGTTGTGGGATGATGGGGCGGGGGTAGGTGTATTGGATGGGGACGGGGCGTGGGAGGGGGATTGCTTGGGCTGCTGGGTAGTAGTAGTAGTAGGGTGTGTACATTTTGGTGGCTGGTGGTGTGTATGGAGTGAGGATGTTGGTTGGTTTTGGTGTATAGAGGATGTATTTTTAGAGGTGATATATGCGAAAGCGGATCTTGTGAATGTTTGGGAGGGATGGGTTGATGAGTCGGTATAAGTGCTGAGGGAGGGTTCTTTTTGGACTGATGATTCAGACATGTTTTGATACTAACTCAGAGCAACTCATAGAGGAGGAAGTGAATACTGGTATTGATAGGCGCTGGTATTGAAGAACGAGGCCAATTTCTTCAGGACACGGGAACAATAGATAGGTATATTTAGTAGCGGCAATTCTGAACCCCTTTTGCTATTCGCAACCGACATGTAACCCCAATCTATACATAATTCTCAAAACGCGGATCTTAAAGACAGGCAACAGGAAAAGAGGGTTTGTTGATCGCGCAGCTTGAAACAGTAAGTAATACTTACCTAGAAGGCTCGAAAGTCAAGCTTTAAAGACAGACAAGCAGGACAGAGATTTGGATGTACATCGCACCTTATGATGGACGTCCTGGCCTTAGACATCCCAAAAATCCTGCCTTGGCGACGGACAATCAAAAGAGCTTTTGCTGCACATGGCAGTTGACATCAAAACTCAACTTTCATTTACGTAAATAGTCAAAGTTCAGAGACATACATTCACGGAAAACTTTTGTTGCACATCGCAGCTTGTCATTGAAATTCAATTTACACGAAGATCTCAAAAGTCAAACTTTGAAGACAGACAATAGAGCTATGGGACTTGTTGCATACCGCACTTGACATAAAAACCTCAAGCTCTTTGAAGATCTCAAAAGTTAGGTTCCTAAGCCAGACAATGGACTGCTGTTCATGTGCCTTCTCATTTGCCTCCACGTGCAGTTCATGTTGAGAGGTAGCAGGCATATTGTAATGGCTATGGAAATTGTTTTGATTGATAGCAAAGGAGGAAGATCTTGAGATAAGTACTTGTTCCGATTACAGCGCAAACAGCGCGGACCGCGCGAACTGCACAATCATCCACTCGGGCCTCAGTCTCGTGATACAGAAGTGTAAACTTAGATCTCAACGAAAGTCTGTCGAATGAATAAAGACAAAAATCGTGCAAAGCCTGAGGTGAAATGGCGCTTGCCAATCAACTGCACGTATGAAGATTTGAGAAGGCAGTCCTGGAAAAGTGATCCATTATCTATCCTGAATTCAGTCTGTTGCTGAATATCCAAGCCAACGCAAACTATAACAGTCATCGAGTCATGTCCAACTGGACTGGTATCTTCTCCAATTTCGCCATTCCGCCATGCCCAAACTAAATGCATCTACCCTCCCTCCCGTTCGCAAGCAATCAAGCCTGCCTCCCATACCAAACCGCATTCCACACTCTCGCCAGAATATTCGCAAGCAAAGCACAGGTTGCCAATACGATGAAGATGTTGCCTACTTCCCACCACTTGGCCAGCTTGACTTCTGTTTCGATGAATTCCTGGTTCTCGGTCGATTTAACGCCGTTGATGGCAGCTGTCGTTGACGGGAAGCTACCTGTTGTGAGGTATTGCTCCATGTAGGAATCTTTCTCGTACCAACGTTCTCTCAACCACAACTCGAATTTGTCATGATCGTCTAGTGGCATGTCGGCTACTGCAAATCGTCGCCAATACATGCTGACAGATGGTGGAGGTCGTCCCTGGAGATACATCGACCTTAATGTGAATAGATCTTGGCCATATTCTCCTCGACTGAAATAATCAGCATAATTCTAATTTCCAGAATAAGAGAACTCACGGTACACCCTCGTATGCCAAGGTACAATCGTAGACATAGTCAACTGTCCCCTTGAGCTCATTCAAACAGAAGAACATTCCAGTACTCCGGGGAAGAAGCACATGCTCCATATCCTTAACTCCGATTTTCTCAGCCCACGAAGCACTCTTGGCTCTTCCATTGTTGCTAGCATTCGTTCCTTCTGGGAAAAGCAAAAGCCACATAGGATCAAGTCCAGAGCTTCCTGACAGCGGCCCAGCATGCCTCGTCTTCAACTGCTTCAATCGATGTGCCAGTCGAGGTTGATCTGTCGACATCTTCCTCGACATGAACACGAATCCGTAGAATCTCATACCCCATCCAATAATAGGAATATGCTTCAATGACTCCTTCAGAATGATGTAGATATGCCCATGCATCTGGGGTCTGTTTGTGTATGCGATCCACCAGAGATATATCCAATCACTGTATAACTGTACTTCCATCAGTAAAGCTCTTTCGATCAATGAATCCCGCGTACCTGATGATTTGCAATCATAACCATCCTCTCCGGGAACTTGCATTCGACTCCGCCATCCTCTGTTCTCCGCAACTCTCCCATCACAGACGAGTCCCCGCTTACTTTGATGATCGTCGGAGCCCACAAATGCGTCAAAGTGGTTACGAAGATGCCAAAAGATTGTTTCGTGAGGGCCATATAGGCATAGTAGAGGTCTCGATCAATCCAGTAGAGAGGCGCGCCGATAAACTGCGTGATGCAAATACTACTCTTGTCAGCAGAATTACAAAAAGCTTCATATTCACACCTACGTGGTACAACTTGAGAGGAAGAATACTACAACCAGCAACAGTCGCAGAATCTGCACGGCTCCTCCATGCTTAATCTCTCCACCAGGATGTCCTGCTTCTGCCACAGTCTCTGTCTTCTCAGGCTGTGTGGTATGCCTCTGTCTCAGCTCGTTCGCCATCTTCAATGGTCTTGGGTGGGCGACTCGAATGTATGAATATCGAATGTGTTGTTGCTTGCAGATGTCTCAGATGCTAGAAACTATTGTCTTTTCGAGGCAGTTTATCGTGTGCCTACCCGGGAATCCCGCGTTTTTGTAGCGCTCTCGTGATCGAGGATTAGAAGTCTATGACACTAGTACTGTGAAGCCGACTATATATGAACATTGTGGTCAACTTTCGGCACCCATTTCGTCAGAAGCGGTGAAATATATGTGAGGAGCGGCAGTTTTGGTCTTTGGTTTTGTGGCATGAAAGCAGCCCTGGAGAATACCTACGTCAAGGCATTCTTATCCCGTAAGCACGGACGGAGCCTGATCTCTTATCGCCGCAACCCCAGAGCTTGAACTATGACCTTGTCGCGTTGACCAACAATGAGCTTGATTCAACATCATGACATCGGACGAAACCAGATTGATAATAATACCATGTAACGACGCGAAATATCTATGATGACGCGCCGAGAGTCTTGTCCTTCAGCTTCCTATACCGGCTAAATACGCCGCGGAGAAATTCCTACTTTTGTATCAACAACACCATCAATTGTTACCATGATTGTGAGGGCGCTGCCAAGAGCGAGCAATGTTTGGAAGAGGAGTTTTAGCAGTACATCTGCGAGAAGGGAAATCCTAGATGCAGAGAGTCTGCCACATAGAATTATACCTAGATACCAAGGTATAATTCTCCACTCCTTGTCAAGCCTCCACTGACCATGGATAGAAAGTCAAACCAGCGACCTCCTGTCTCTACAATGGCCCTCACCTCCGCGAAATATCCTCATAATCAAGAAAGATAGAGCCCCACAGGTCACCGAGTCTCTGGTTGAATTTGCTAAGTACGTTTCTTTATCCAAAGTCAGTACTTAACTGACCATCCAGGCACATCCACTCCAATTACGACAATGTTTCCCTTATATTCGAACCCAAAGTCGCAGCGCAAATGCATAGACATTTCCAATTTCCAATATATACCACGAGCTCCCATGATACCCTTCCTGCGAAGGTCGACATGACTACAACGCTTGGTGGAGATGGCACAATCCTTCATGCATCGTCCCTTTTCAGCACAACCCTGCACGTTCCTCCAATACTGTCGTTCAGCATGGGCACACTCGGTTTTCTTGGAGAGTGGAAGTTTGGTGAATATAAAAGGGCATTTCGAGAAGTTTACATGTCGGGAGCGGAAGCTGGGTCACCATTTCTTCATGATCAGAAGCATCCACATATTCAGACCGAGACCGCCGAAACAGGTGATATTGTAACGGGCTGGTCAAGTGTGAGGGGCAAATCAATGGGTCCTACTCGAAGTTCGAAGGTCCTACTACGGAATCGACTAAAGGTTGGGGTTTTTGATGCCAACGGCAACCGAGTCATTGGTGACAATACGGCAGAAAGCGCTGATGGAGATGTGCATGCTATGAACGAGGTCATCATCCACAGGGGCAACGAGGCGCACCTTGCAATCATAGATGTGTTCATTGGAGGACGATTCTTGACAGAGGCAGTGGCGGATGGAATGATAATTTCAACACCAACTGGTAGCACAGCTTACAGTCTCAGCTCTGGTGGAAGTATTATCCATCCTTTAGTCAGCAGTTTGCTCATGACTCCTATTTGTCCGAGGAGCTTATCCTTCAGACCACTAGTCCTACCTTCGAATACACCAATCACTCTGCGATTAAGTGAGAAGAACCGAGGCAGAGAATTAGAGGTCAGTATAGATGGCCGCAGAAGAAGTCGAGGAGTTGGTGTTGGTATGGAGGTAAGAGTCAACGGCGAGCATATTGCCAAAGGTCAGGAATGGATTGGTGGTGTCCCATGCGTGATGCGACATGCCAAGACCGGGAATGAGGATGATGATGGTTGGGTTGGTGGTTTGAACGGATTGTTGAAGTTCAACTTTCCATTTGGTGATCACGAATAAACATCATCTCGTTCGGGACGTGGACATGATGACAATTTGGCATTCGGACAGAGCTGTATATACTGGTAGGAAGCAACATATGTATGATACCCTCCTCAAATCAAGCATTAAGAATGCTCGACCATTCATGTTTCTCCACATACTCCCTCCAAGATGTCAATTTTGGTGGTGATTCAAGCTATTGCAAGTCAGCAGGATCGTCTTGGTTGACGAATCTACTCACCTGTCCGGGAAGCACAACCTCTGGATCTCCACCCACGTAACCGAACACCTCCATAAACTCCATCATCTCACCCAACTCTCTACCCAGACCAGGAATAGGAAAGAACTTATCAAACACCTCAATAGGCAGACTGTCGAAACCACCAAATGGCACCTTGTTCATCTCACACCAAATCCTCATTTGGTCACTCCACGACACCATGTCCCCAGCAGCAAGAACTTTCTTCCCCGGCCGACCCTCAAGAATAGCAGCCACAATCGCCCCCAAATCAGCCTCAACATCAAGATGTGGTAACGGCCTCGCCCCCGTTCCCACCAACCCAAGTCTCCACGACCCATCTTCTTCCTACGTTTCATCAGCATCATCAAATCCTCGACCGAGAACAAAACTTACCTTCCGCAACTTAATCTTCCCCAACCAATTACTCATATAATTGGGCACAAACGCCTGATCCACCTTCCCCCACAATTCAGGATATTTTGCTCTTCCATACGCCACACCCCTCGCTTTCCCATCACAATGAAACACATTCTCATACCGGCCCCCACTAAGCGTCTGCACATCCACCAGCGTGGAGATTACTAATCGTTGCAAACCCTCTGTTTTTGCCGCGGCGTCGAATATGTTCTTTACTTGCTGGAGCTCGATTTCATAGCAATATTCGCCTAGAGATTGGTTGGGTCCGAGAGCGGATTGGGTAGAAGGGTTGTAGAACGGTCCCCAGAAATCGGTGGTTGCGAAGATGGTGTGTGCGCCGGCGAAGGCGGAAGGGAGGGTTGAGGGATCGTTTAGATCGCAGGCGTGGAGGGAGATGCCGCGTGAGAGGAGGGATTGTGCGGCGGGGGAGGTGAGTTTGCGGGTTAGGCCGCGGAGGGTGTAGGAGGGGAGGGTGAGGAAGTGGGATGCGATTGAGGAGCCCTGGGTGGTGTTAGTTGAGGTAGACTTAGGAGAGGGGGGAAGGACTTGTTCGCCTGTTATGCCGAGGATGACGATTAGTTTTATCATTGTAGCTTAGTGAGGACTGTCTGAGGCTGATTGAGAGATGAAGAGAATTGGAATTTCACACAATTGGGCTCTACAGAGACTTATATACTTGTCCATTGTAGCTGGGATGTCCTTTTCTTGCCGTGCGAGTAATCCAGATTCTATCACAAATCTCGGTGCTTCGGTGGGCGATTGAGCCCCGATGCTGTGATGATCGTGTATGACGTCTGATTTTGGGTTCGATTTGCTTTCTATGAACTTCTTAAGGACTGTTTCGGTTATTACTCAAGTACCTGATGACTTGTTCGAGTGTGTTTTCGAATTTTATCTTTGCAGGAGTGACAAGTGATAGCCGAGATAAGTGAAAAGGGGGTATAACCGAGGGGCTGATGGGGCTTTATTTCCACCACCAGGTCCTGCAACTGGAGACGCATTATCTGCTTTCTTCGCCTTTAATCTTTAACCACAATCGTATGCAGAAGCTAGCACTGAAAATGATAGAAAGTAGCTTGAAATTTTGAAACTGTATACAAAGTGCTTTGGCACGTGCACACTTAGCTTTCGAAGGAAGGAATATTTTTCAGTCTGCAATGATGAATTATTAACATTAGAGACAGTGAATCTTCATCATCATCTACAATCAACCGACAGAGTCTCATGTACCATCTTATACGACAAATGAAAATCAAGTCTCCAACAGTGCGGCTCCTGAACTCCCTTGCATGAGCGAACTATTTCTCCACGTATATCGGCCGAGACACAACGCATCAGCGAGTGAATCTGAAGTCCAATCTGTTACTCCCCTCGTCCTTTGTTGTTTGGAGGTAATTCTCCCTCCCTTCCGGAGTCCAAGCATTCCAGATCTTGTCTCTTCTCTTGTTTACCCAATCGTAGTAGAAGTTTACCACAAGACACAAGACGATGTTTCGGCTGACAATCCCAATCAAGTCCTTATTTCCTCGACGATACCGTGGTGCATCGTCTTATTTGGCTTAGCTTTATCCTTATTTTGGAATCGGATGACAACTTACCTGCGCGGTATATGTTGGAATACACGATTGAACCTGCTTGTGCGCACATGTTATACATGGCAGTTGATACTGTTCTGGTACGGACCGTATTTGCGTTGCGTGAAGCCCAGCCTAAAAATGAGCAGTGATGGTTAGAAATCTATTCTGAATTACACCAGTAAAGGGTAAACTGATGGTAGCTTACCAACTTGAACAGAATGATTGGACGGATAGCCGAGTAGCAAATATGTGAAGGGCGATGAGAAATGGCAATGCCCACACTTGACCAGGCTTCGGCTCCGATATTTACGATATAATATCGTTGAATATTGAATAAATATCGAGCAAGGTCTTATTCGACTCGAATATTATTCAAGTGATTTGGCATCATTCGAATCAATATTCGGAAATATCGTACACGTGACCGTAAAATAGTTGTTCCAGCGCCGTAGCCAATAGAACCCTTGCTATGGATAGTCGGATTCAATCGGGCAAATGGTCGGATCTGGCCGGCTGACATGCTAGCCTCAGGCTTTAAGACTTGAGCCGCAATGTGGCTCAAAGTTGACTAATATTACTTGAGCTGAATGGAACGCCACTTATTTGACCGAGTATGCCTCAAAATTTAGGAATCCAAGAAATATATCCTCAAAAACAAGGCTTTCAGTACTAATTTTAATATATCGAGCTTTTAATTTCCTATTCCCGATATATGCGATATATTCGATTATTCATTCAACATCGTACTTCCTAATTTGGACGATACGATATTTTTTATTCATTCAACGGATTCGATATCGGCACGATATTATCGAATAATTTAATATCGGCGCCGAAGCCTGCACTTGACCAATGATTCCGTTGAAAGCAAGCCCATTCGTGAGACCGGCGAGCTGGGTGAAGGCTAGTAGATTGATAATCGAGAGGACCTGACTTGGTATATCCAAAAGATTGGTTTGGAAAGTATCGAATCCAAGGCCTTTGAGACTGTGTCCCAGAAATCAGGCCATCCCTCTTTATAGTGTCAGTGAGTTGTACACACCTCAGAGTCAGGTATTGGTTAGGAGGACCCATAGGCATTTGGAAGACAAGTCCAATCAAGTATCTTTTTGGTGAAAGAAGTATTAGTAAAACTGGAAAATGTAGTATCGGGCCCAAGCAAAGGTTACATTGGCCACAGGTGGTAATCTTTGAGCGACTTTAATAGTAGGTAGGGTGTGATAGGTTGCCTGTTATGCATTGTTTCTTTGGAAGGATTGTTACGGAGAGCTCTATTGACGATTATCGTCTCGTCTCTGTGGAAGTCATAATGTTAGCATCATTAAGAGCTGAGACAGTATCTGCTAGAGACCATACCGTGCAGTAAACCACCCTTTCTTGCCCCTCAGTCTGCCCGCGGTCTGAGTAGGACTTGCAGGCATGAAGAAGAAGGCTGAAAGACTCGCAACAGCAGTGAAGATCCCTTCAATCAAGAAAAGCCATCGCCAACCTTCTACGCCGTGTTTGCCGTCCAAATGGAGAATACCAAAGGCCATGAAAGCGCCAATGATTATTGCACTTGTCATCGTGGACCACCAACAGGACAGGCGACCTGGTAACTCTGCACTACTGTAGAAGCAAGATAGATATAGGTTCATCTTTTCGCGTTAGCAAGTGTGTGTACTTCCTGTTGGTTTCTGAAGACCTACATCAGGAATAAATCCGCCCTGAAGGATTCCCAATAAGGAACGAGTAGCTAGAAATGATGCGCGGCCGTTCAATTTGAACTGTGATGCAGCTACTATGCTCCACAAAATCATCTGCATTGGGATCCATCGATCAGGCCCCATCCTATCTTTGATTAAAATATTCCACTTGTTCGTGTTCGAGTGCACATACCATTTTGAGACCAGCTGGGAAGGCAACTCTGCACACATGAAAGAAGCTGTGAAGACAGTGTTTCCAAGATTGTAATCTGTATCAAATGATGTCAGAAAGTAGTTGAATTAGGGAAGCTGGTCACAGCTAACCATTGGTCGTCAGCTTCAGATCCTTCAAGAAGTTGTCTGACACAGCTTGAGTGAGATTGGCGCGGTCAATCTCCAGAGACATAAAGGCTACACAAGCAAAGAGGAAGATTCTGAGATCTATCTTCCTTACTAAAGCCTTAAGAAGGGTTAGCAAAGTCTTACTCGGAGACAATGAGCAACACATAAGGTGTAAGTGATACCTTTTCTTCGCGCCATGTCCAGCGAGCTGAAGGGTCAAACCGATGAAGATTCTCACAATCTGGTCTGGGTATGTACAACTTAGCGACCTCTGGATCGTCGTAGACAGATATCTGAGTTGCAATAGCATCAGGGTCAACAGGTCGCGATCTTGGCCACCAGTATTTCTTGGTATCCTTAAGTGGCTCTCCCAGAGGAAGTGGTTCTACAACAACTCGAACGTTTTCGTTCTTCTCGTTCTTCTCGTTCTTACTGCCATCGGCACCTTGGATAGAACTTGCTTCAGTCTCAGGAGGAGAGTCAGAGTGATCGAGGGTCCACACTACTGTAGCCATGATGGTAGAGTATCCAAGAACTACTTAGAGATGTGATCGATGATAATCTGTCTGAAATACACCCAGGGAAATTCATTGATCTATATCCTCCCGCAGTATATATGAGCTTCCCTTACGTATCGTGATCCTGTAGCATATGGCGACATAACTGCAGCGATCATTGAAAAAGCCACCCACGGACGTTGGCACTCGACCTCATCTACTGATTCGTGCAACTTTCAAGTCCAGACCCATAGGGCCCTTTTGTGGCAATATCTTGTGCCGATATTCATGGCTGGTTCCGTGAAGGTGGGATATCATGCCCTATTCCTTCACAAACAAAGGTAGAAACTGGCCTCGCTCTCCCGCCTTCTTACAGAAGCGAGCCTAGCATAATCGTGATGATGCAAGACTCCATAGAAATCACTTATCGAGTTGCTTCCACTTCTTGTGAGTTATTATGCGTTGATATCACACTGCATAAAGGATTACTGTTCCGGAGATGGAAAAGCCTTTTGCTTTGAAGGGAAAGAGCATGTGTGCTGTTAAGTAATATGTTCTCCACATAAATTCGAGGAATATCCTACGCGTGACAAAGTAATACTATGACTTTGATCGTGGAAATCGAAGCTTTGTATTCATGCCCGGGTGGAGTAATGCGACTGTCAAACATTTCAAGGAAATCTGATTTTCAAGTCCTGCGCAACCTTTTGATACCAAATGCCTAGCCATCACGTGAAGGTTCTTCTGCTTTTCAAGGCCGGCGAGGAGAATTTATGTCGAGGTGACACCAGAATCGTACGATTAATATGGATCTTGCATACATCTTTTAGAAACCCAGCTGTCAGTTCCGTCTCACTGCTTTGGCGCGATTTCCCATAGTCCAAGTATTCCAGAACCCATGGGCTTGGGTTTGACTTACCAGAGGCCGGCGCCAACATGGGTTCCGAAAACCACAATGTAAGATCAGAATTTATCCCGTAGTTGTGGGAATCCCCAGATAGGTTTGTGCTTCATGTCGACGTTAGCCCTACCGAGTTACACTGTCCTTGACTTTATTTGTACTGGCTACTCGTTTTCCCCCATTTCCTGTTCTAACAAAGAGCTCTGAAAGGATCAAGTTATAGGCGCACCCTTCGAGCATGTGCACGATATGAAAAGCTCAACTTTTGATTAATGCCTGTAATCAAGCTGCGTGGAAACTTCAAAATGTTACCTACCCGAGACAGAATTCGAACGTCAAAAGTCTATTCACGAGACTAATGGGTTGAACTTCAATTAAGATGGTCGAATATTAGTTGCTCTTGCTGAATCGATTCCAAAGGCGTTGATCGCGGCTGCTCGCTTAGCATGTCCACCCTTTAGATCTGCGGAAAGACACCAAAGTATTAGTAATCAATTTGTCGGTCCAGAGAGCGCTTGTTCTTACTGAAAGCTCTGTAGGGACCTCGTGCTGACTACCAATTCGGATCCGTTTTTGTACAGAGATAGTGACTAATCTGCTTGCATGCCCAGGCACAGGTATTTGGTTGGAGCGCTTTCGAATGCATGCATGCTGTCAAGTGACCCATGTCCGCACCTTGATAACTCGGAATGCCTGAAGATTGACAAGAAAATATCCTGTCCACAAAAAGCTTTGTGCATACAAGGCAAGTCTACTAAAGAGTGCCGGGATCCTGAGATCAAGACTCCTTGCCGTTCGGGGACTAAAGTGGTAAGTCTACACTATCTAGCCATCTCTGTATTACTCCTTTTCTGAATCCTATTTTCAAACCTCGCCCAATTTTTCGTTCCTCAATATTTACATTGTCCTGTTCGAAGTTTGCGACGAGGTTAAGCTTGCGGTGAAGAATAAGTACCTATAAGGAAACAGATTGTTTGAGCAAAGGAACGAAAGATGAATAATCGACCGTGCATTTCGAGACCCATTCAAAAGCCCAAATCGTCAAATCAGAACCGACTTCAGCACAACACCTGTCAAGGTCCACGTAAAAGGACCCGTGGGCATTGCTTACACCTCCTTTTTTCCCGTGTAGATGATACGATTCTTGCATGACATAAGTCGGGCAAGATTATCAAATTTCAGGGGTGCATTTGCACCCGATAAATCTAGTCCATGTTAAGAAGTCACATCTTACGAATCTTAGTCCCATGCTGTGCATAGAATAACTCAATCGTGTTCGAGAAGCTCCATTAAATTGCCTGATTGAGCCTTTGGCTGACCATAACAAAAATTCACCTGTTACGGGTGACACTTTCCTCGGCATTCTCGTTTATACGGGAGTCCAGACACAATTCAAATCATTAAGACTGCATCTCCACGTTGGCAATGACGTCGCACCGCATTGTACTTTTCTCGGTACTCTGTTCAATGGGCCCAGACATCGTGCGTTGGTAATGTCCGTACTCGCCCCGACCACCCCGTGCCGCATCTTCACCCAATTTCAAAAAACCAACTGCATATTTAAGCCACCCTACGTGATTTGCAAATTAGGCTCGGGAAATCTGTTATTGCACAATAATCTCCCTGAAGCGTCACGAGGAGAGGCTCCACAATGATATTAATATCCTCCGTCTTACCTGCTCGCCACGATCTTTTAGTTTCGATCTTGAAAGTTAATCTCATCGATACCGTGATCCTCATCAAAATAACCGCACTAGGACTTGTGTCAACATAATGGATCGTTATTCTCAACAAAAAAACACAGGACCAGCAACAAATCAATATGTAACACTGCCCTCATCTCCATTTCTTCTCATCCTAATGAGCAACAGTCAACATTTGATCAACAATTCGGGTACGACCAAGATAGCCAAAATAATGGAAGTCTCGCGAGCGATGAATACTGGTGCCAGGCTTGTGCTCTGCCATTCACCGAATGCCTGTGTTATATCGATAGCAGCCCTCTAAGCTCGCAACAGAATTACTCAAATTACAATGCACCGCAAATTAAAAGCTTGGGCTATTCACAACTCGCTTTCCCGTCAACGTATGCAACATCAAGTTCGTCTACAACCTCGTCTTACTACACTACTGCAACTGGTTTGTCACAACCCGCTTATTCGACAATTGCTCCCGCAACAAGCAGTGGAGAAGGGGCCCGTAACTTGACGCCACCCGAGTCAGCAACGAAACGTAAGAAAAGAAAGGGATCCATGCCTCCTGAAGAGGCTCGTGAGGTCAGTCGCACTTAATCATGTACTGCAGCCAATCCTGACGATAAGTAGAAACGATTGGAGCAGAATAGAAGGTCACAACGCCATTTTAGAGACCGGCAAGCTCGACTTGTCGTAGATCTAAAGCAAAAAGTTGAGATTCTGACAGAGGAGAATGAGAAACTGGTCAACGAACTGTCTAAAGTGAGTTTGAGAGACTCGTCACGTGATAGCAAGAGTCCTGGAACAGACTATTCTAGTTATTGAGGGGCTTGGGGTTCATGTCTTACCACATGCTTCTGTTCAGTTGTCAAGGTTAGGTACATCGTGTGTTTCTGGCGCTTGGTTTAGGAAGTGAAGAACGGGTGTTTGTTTCCGACAATACCTCCTGCTGTTGGAGGAAATGGCACAATTCGCGATAAACATTATGTCTCTCCTGCCTGATAGAGCTACCGGTGGCCTTGTCCTTGTTGCACATGCATCATCACCCAGAGGTGACACACCGCGCCAGATTTGCCGCCCAACCTACCGAAGAGGACATATTTTGTCACCAACATTCGCTTTCGTTCTCGCCGTCCACAACTTTCTCACGATATCCCTTACCTCGGCTCTGTAGCCTAGTTCTTAGCTTCGCTTAGGAAAGGGGGCCAAAAGGGGGCCAAAAGGGGGCCAAAAGGGCCGCTCTAGGCGAACCAACGGTCCGAAGTGTCGGAGTACGGCGGCTCACGGTCTGCTGACTGTTCAAGAAGTGATTATTCGAAGATTACGGCACCGAATGAGCACCATTCATATGCGACGCCCGGCGCCGCATTCTCCACACTCATCTCAAGATCAAGACAAATAAATATGTGGACTGCAGGATTGCTTGCCTATGCAACAAGCGTTCCACCCACAGGGTGAAAGTATGTAACCTTGAAAATCCTATAGGATTGCGATTGGCGTCACAATATGCAGCAGAGAGTTGGTTGATCGTCTTTTGTTCGGACACTAGGAGATGGATGTGGTGGAGAGCCCGGCAGAAGAAAGCAATTCATTGCACCGGGGAAGATGGAGCATTGTCAAGGGGTCAGATGAGTATATGGTAACACGCCCTTTGCTCGAGCGTGGATGTATGGAGAGCGAGAGTCGGAGTTGGGTCACTGTCAGAGCTGTCGATGGACCCACCAGGAACCACACAGCCGTTCGATACACTCTTCCTACTCAAGTGAATCTGCTATCCATAGCTAGGCTTTTATGCCTTGAATCAAAGGTCAACGCAGTAGATGTAACAGTCGTTTTGAATAGCTTGTTTTGATCTTTGTACCAGTTACGACTTCAATGGCGTTGTTAGAACATCGATCTTGAAGACTAGGTGATTCAGGAAGCCCACTCTGGCTAGGTCAACACTTGTCATGTCGTTTACATCGAGGGCCGAGGATATCTCGAGAGCTTCTTGTTTTGTGTTTGGCAGCGGTGGAGAGGTTCTGACCCATGGCTTACATTTAATCTCGAGAGGAGATGCAATGTGAAGAGGTGAGAGGTGTATAAAATCAACATATTCTTGGTACCAAAAGCACCAGTATGCTTCGAATGGATCGAGGTAGGTATGACAGTAGCTGAAACAGCGAATGTGACGATCAAGCAATCGAGAATTCGTGATGGTGAATGAAATTGTAAAAACCAAAGGTTGTTTTTATGGAAGCAATGTATTGAAGTAGCACAGTTGTGACAAAAGAAAATGTGAAGACGAGAAGACTGAAGCATTACTGATCGAACGGATTGAGGTTATAGAATTGAAGAAGTGGTCAGAAATATAGCTATCGACATCTAAATGTCAGCCATTGTATGACGAAAGTAATCATGTTGCCTATCTTGTCAATTAGCAACTAAAGTTAGACCTGCCAATGCACTTAGTGGTTATCAGACTATCTGGAACAAGGCATGTTTCCCTTAAACTTATAAAGGGAAACTATTCAGACGAGCCCACCATCCCAAGTTTATTGACTTTGGTGTGACAGAGATCCGACGAAATTGTGGAAGGTAATCTTGGTACTCAAGATTCTACCCCGCCCCCTTTAACCCTTGCCCCACTTTCGCTTGAATAATCAATTGTTGGTGCTGGTGAATGCAATTCGCAGCCGCAGACTTAAGAATGATATAGAAACGACGTGATAGTGCGATCAATTTTGAACAATTTTTCCAAGCTTATCACTTTGTATAGTCCGAGGTCCTCAATGGCACAGTCACAACGATGAAAATTTGGTCACTTGAGATCTGAAAGTCACTTTTAAACACATATAAAGAAGGTATTTGCAGAGTTGGTCTCGATATTTTTAGCTCGATATTCTAGAGTTTGACCTGCCTCATCCGACTCGCTCAATGCTGTCGAGACTCGCAACCACGTAAATGTAGCAATCCGATACGTCCAGAACCTCTACTATAACCCACAGAAGGACGACATAGCTCTGAGTTATGATAAAATCGGCTCAATGCTAGTGAAATCCGACTTCTCAGTCTACATCCGAAGAGACTTATCACCATGATCAACTGGGACCACCATCTAAGAGTTCTGGCATTCCAATGAACCGCCCCACCAAACCAACCTCACTGCAGACCAAACGATTTGAGCTCAGCAAAGGGCTTGCTTTTCGATGCATCCACTTTGCGAAATGTAATGCTGAGTAGTGTAGAGCATAGCATGTAATACTGATGAGGTATAGTCGTCAGCGTTCATCCTTGTCGAGCACCAAGTTCTCCAAACTTACAGTGTGGTGTCTTTCGTATTGCGAATGGTCCGAGACTCTCCAGTACCTCCCACGCTATCCTTGTCATTGTACTTTACGCGTTGAAACTTATGTACAAAAACTCTTCCGGACATCGTAAAACCATTTTTTGTGTGTTTTGTGACTATCTTGACTCGGGAGGAAGGTAGTACTGGGGAAGTTGTCTGAGAAGGTTCCCCAGTCGTACATCAACCTCTGATGTCAGGGTAGAGTTAGATGTTTCAGTTACGTCAAGCTGTCAATGGTTGCGGGGAGAATCTAGTATATGATGGATTTGGGAGTTCGACGGAATGACGACTGTCTTGAATGAGATCGCTAGAGTATCCAATGTAGTGACGGTTATGGAGCACATGATAACTTGACAAGTCTGCTGACAGAAGCCATTCTGACGTGTGGTCGCTCGAAGCACGAGTCTTGTAACTTGTCAGTAATAGGAGTCGTCACAAAAGAAGCGGGACTTACGCTAGCAGTGATCAGCTCATTCAACGCCATAAACCACGGTGAAATAGAGCTTAATGTCGGATTCACATGCCAAGACATGCTTCGAATAGCAAATCGAGGCATTTTGGCCGAATCCATTTATGCTGTTCTGGACCCTAGGAACCAGAGTGAACAGCGTTGGTGTGGGCCTTACTTCGTTACAATGTCGAAAACAGGACAAAGTCATATCGTGGGGAGGAAACGGGCAACAGGGCGGAGATAGGAGTTGTTGATCGACCTGGCCATTGAAAGTAAGGGGGGTTAAGGAGACCGATGCTGAGTTGATATAAACGAAGACATGAAAGAAGAGGTTCCTGCAAATGGCTGGAATGCAATTAAACGCTTGAAAGAAACTCCAACAGAGTCAAATACTACCAGTGGCTGTCGAAGTGTCTATGCTTTTCTTGAAAGGATGCAGCACCGATCCACAGATTCCAAAGAGTTGAAAGAGAACTTTCACTGTCCATGCAAGCTTTTGTTTTTCATATCTCTCCTAGCTGTATATGCAAGTAGTATGTTCATGTACATGACGTGGAGAGCAACATGAGAAATATGGAAGAGGTGGTTCAAAGGAGATGGACTCCTTTTGCTTGGTCGTAGGCTCGCTCAAAGGCTGCTGTCATGATGGTAAGAGAATACAGACATGTCTTCAGCGATGAGACTAGAGAGATACACTAAACAACGAAATGAAGGAGCTGGTGGAACTTGGTGCACGATCAAATAATGTAGCCCAAAATATCAGAACGGCTATTGGCATTTTGCAACAAACCTAAGGCTTATATTCTAAGCTAAATGGATCCTATCCTACTATTGCAATGTGTTCAAAGCTCTTTACAGGAGGATTCTGATTGTTTTCAAACAACTTCAGTGTTTCAGCTGCGGCTTTCGAAGCGTCCAGCCCCGCTGCAACTCTCCTCTGGAGATCTCCTGGCAAAGGACGGTCGTCTGGCTCGAACATTAAGCATTCCATAATTAGTTCCCTCAACGTATTCGAATACAAAGCAGCCCATTGTTGTCTGAACAAATCCTGGCCGTGGGTGTACTTGGCCTGGCCTCTTTGAAGATTATTTCCACGGAACGGACCTTGCCAAGGCGAACTTTTAGTCAATGCGGGGTATTTCTTCTCGAGCATTAGAAGAGCATGCATGATACATCCAATTTGAAATATATTAGAGCACGCTCCTCTTCTTGGGTTCCTCATATTTTTCGCTTCTTTCCCGTACTCCTATGTAACTTCAGCTTCAATCTCAGACATTTTGAATATTTAGCGAAACTTCTTACGGGAGCTCTCCATCCTGCGGCACCACCGATGTCTGGTATAATCTTCGAAAATTCGGACTTGGTTTGGTTCTTGGCTTCGCTTCGAGCAGAACCAAAGTCCCCAACCTAGACATCCATCAAATTTGAACCAGTCAGATACAAGTCTCCTACTCACCTTTAAGATCGGATATCGGACATGGTCTTCGTCACGATTGCCTAAGAAAACTTCTGCGAGTAAGTTTGCGAAACTCAGCGTAGGATATTGCTCTTACTGTTGTCAGGCTTGATACTGTTTCAACATTAGTTACAATCCAAGATGCTTTCTAATAACTTACTCAAGGTGTACTAATTCGGTTGAGAAAAGACCTTGCAACACGGGAGCGGCATTGAAATCTTCAGTGCCTCTAGCAATGAAAGCAACAGCCGACGCCAGACAAAAGAACATTGCCCATAAATCTACCTCAAGAAGAAGATCCTTCTTAAGCTTGGAACTCGGTATGAGGCTTTGAAGTGGATCTAAAAACACAGTCAGATCTCCGCCTGGACAATATTCCAAATAAATCCCGACAAATGATTTTCCTCGAGCAAACTGGGCTTCGTATGCATCCCTATACTGCCTGACGATATGCTTAGATTTCCCTATGCTAAGCTGTTTCATGACACGATTCTCGAAGAATGGATCGGGAGGTGGTTTGCCATAGGTTTGTTTCACTACTATTTGGGTTATGGCAGGAGTCTTTGCTTCATCTCCGACGTACTCCCATAAGCTCACAATTCCGAAGTCTCCTTTTCCAAGAATCTTTTTCCCTTTCCATCCTGGACCAAGTTCACTGCCGAAGGCGAAGGTTTGGTCGAGGACTCTGGCCATTGTTGTCTCGAGACCGGCTCTTCGGAGATTAGCTCTCTAGTTCTCTGGTTACATATGTTGATGTGAAAACCGCTCCACCCATGCTAGAAAAAATTTGCGCTGATGTGTAACAAAATGTGCTTTATTCTTTGTTGTGTTTGAAGGGCGGGTATTTCGCGAGATGAAAATGTACGGCCGAGTGCGAGAACAATGAAAACCAAGTATCAGCATTCCTTGTTTGCAAGCGTAAGTCTTTGTTCAAAACTCGATTATGTTGCATGATGATCAATAGTGACGGCAGCGTGGCATCAGATGATTTGGGTCAAGAAGAAGCCTATTTCTTGCGATACTCTAGGCTGATAAAAAAGACCATTTATACTAAGGATTAATGATTAAGCTAGAAGTTGTGGCAGAAGTGTATATTCCGTCCAATTCCAAATCTCACTCGAATCATGCGCCTGCCACGTTGCACCTGTCCAAAACGTGTTACGAGCTCCCTGCAGTGCATTCAATTTATCATAGAAACCGTCTGCAATATCCTCCACAGACACAGTAAGCTCGAATGGTGCATGATTGTTGAAACCAACAAATTCCGTCGTCCCATTTGGTGCCGGATAACCCAAAAGCTCGACTAGCTTCGCAGTTGTCGCTAAAATCTGGCATTTGACTTCCTCGTCGGAGAAGTAAGAAGGACTGGTGTAGTACGCAGTCTGTAGATCCGTGACTCCTGAGTAATCTATGTTGTAGAGTGCTGGCATGGCGGGAATAGTGTATGGAGCAGCCAAATCGACATTCACCAAAGAAATATTGTCTGGGATACCTGTGTTTCGAAGGACAGCATCCCAATAATAGCTGTTGTTGAATTTTCCGAAGAGCGCTGCTTCTTCATAGTCCAAATCTAGGAATCCGAGATTCTCGATTTTGGGCTGAATTGCAATAAGCAGTTTCGAAGATTGGATGAGCTTTGGACCAGAGGGAGTTGAGACGAGAACTTCGACATTGTCAGAGAGACGAGTGACTTGAGTGACATTGCTACTGAGGAAGGCGCTGGGACCAAGCTTTGCAAGAGCGTTGTTGTAGAGTTGTTGGTTATCATGGTGTGATGTCGAGAGGAAGCCAAGACCTAGGATATTCTCGACAGTGCGTTTTGTCAAGTACTTGAAGATATAAAGTGTCGGTTGAGCAAGGATGTTTCCCACTCCTTGTAGGAAAGTGTACACAGTGTACGCCATATCACCAAGCTCGTACTTCTGCAAAAAGTCACCCCACGTGATCAGAAAATCTTCAGGTACTGGAGTTGGCAAGTTGTAGCCATTTGAGATGTTTGGATATTTGTCCAGTTGAGCGAGATATCCGAGGAGTGCGGCTGTTACATTCCCTTGCGGAAGTGCCGTAGCTGGAACTACGGTGTCGTTTGCGAAGTCGACGAATACTGATGAGCCGGCTTCGAAGTTCAGAGGCGCTAGAGGGACATCGAGGTATTCGAAATAGTCCGTGACAACTGAGATATTGTCAAAAGAGATTACACCATAATCGAATGTGCTTCCTGTGACAGGATCGAAATATGTGTTGACATGACCGCCGAGTCGCGAATTCTTTTCTATCAGAGTAACGGTTTTGCCCAGTTGCTGCAATCGAATTGCGGCATAAGTTCCACTAGAGCCACCACCAATAATACAGTAGTCACTTGTGATGGTGCTGGAGGGGAGGGAGAGGATATCGGCTCGAGTGAAACCAATAATCGGCAGAGCGTAAAGCCAGAGCATTGTCTTAAAGAAAGCCATCACTCGAAGGCCGGTTTTTTTTTTCTTTCAAGAAAAATGTTCGATGGAGCAAATGAAAGTCTTGGGGCTTGAGTTTTGACCTCTACTTACGGCGGAAAGTAAATGGTAAGGGAGTGGAGAGGGCAAGGATCAATTGCTTTACCCCGCTAGACTGCATGGATTGCATGGGATCGCACTCATTACCGGTTGCAATGGACCTGCAGCGCGCCGAGCCAACAGCCGACAGGCCAATCAGCACTTCGTTTGAATGCATACGAAGAACGGAATTCGGACGATCAACAAATGCGATGTGAATCCTACTTTCGGAAATAAGCTTCCCTGAAATCAGCTCGTTACCGAAAATCGTTACCTAGCAAACCGCTGACAAACTTGACAATAAGCAGGAAGGGACCTTGCCACGAAGGTTACAACTCGGCGATTTGTGACACTTTTCTGGACCACATGAGACTTTCGTGGATGACAAGCTCAGCCATTGCCTAGCCATCATATCTGGGGTGAGACATACAAAGTTCCAAGCAATCCCGGTGCCGGTCTGGAAATTAATCGACTGATATCCTAAGGAGACCGGACCACCGAATAGGTAGATGATCTACAAGGCTATCGAGTGTGTTTACACCCTGATCACATGTTAGCTTGCTAGAAATAAGGAGGCACGTTACTTCAACTCGAAGAAATTTGAAAAAACATGAAAACAGAATATACACAGAAATTGAAGTCCGTCAGCAATTCAGTACTTTCAAGCCGCATGAGTTTCCTTTTCTTGAGATCAAAGTAAGATAATCGAGTGGCAAGAAACCAACATATGACTAACGGGCATCTTACCAATTCATCGAATCCAGGTTTCGCCATTTCGGTCTTAGTTTCTAGACCTAAGCAGCAGCAGGCTCTGATGAGGATGAGTATACCTAACTCGATGAGGGGAATGTACTGTACTCGATTAGATGAGCTCCCTAAGCACGTGAGATCTAGGTGACAGCACTTCCGATGCATAGGCTCGCCGGAACAGCCCAGGAGCTTGCTCGATCTGCTGACCTGATCGTAAATACCAAATATCTAGCACTTTCTCTTTGCTTGGTTGTCGACTTTGGTAAGTCTTAATGACAGGAGAAAGGTCACAAACCAGCGGAGATAAATGGGAATTACTTGGCGCAACTCTGTCGTATCTTGTGGTCAGGAAAATCCTAGACACAAACAATTCTAGAGCTTCTTCTGAGAATCATGAGGTTGATCCAGTGTGATCAAAAAGTCCTCCTCTCGCAATGTACGCAACAGTAATATGCAAAAAAAACTTATATTCATCATCATACCCTTCACGTCACTTTAATCTGGATATAATTACAAGAATTTTAAAGTAAGCAAAGAAACACCAATGGTACAAATGTTTCTGTGTAAATTGGGCTCAGATATTTGTTTCCCAAAGCAACAAGATTATTACTTAGAATAATTTTCTCCTTCCAAGACCAGATATCTTTTCGAGCCGCTTTAGGTCAATGGACCACTTCATTTACGCGAGCAAGCCACTTGCAGTCGTTAATAGAGAGATATTGGAGGCGTACGCACGTACTTAAGTTCCTCTTAGAAATTTTAATCAGCCTTCCTTACTTTCTCCAGAAACACCAAACTGCAAGGCTCCACCTTGAACTTGAACTTCTCTTTTGACAAACAATCAAGCTCAGGCTCAAGCCTTATTCATTCCGGTACCGAACAATCGCACCCTTGGTCTTTTTGCTTGTGCGCTCTGAACATTTGCGACGCTCAATATGGATTCCGCAAATCCAGATGGTAGTCCGCAGCTGCAGAGTCAGACCTCCGCGGCCATCGATACAATTTTCGAGACGCATACCGAGCAAAGTTTGTAGTCGGAAATCCTATACTTGACTTCTTCCATCGCATTGGTCGTGTCAACACCTCACACCTCACTCAAGTTGCTATAGAGGGCTGTATGAAAACTGCCGTGACCACTTTGGGAGGCGAAATAGTGATCGGCCCACGAGGATGGGTTTTGCTCGAATGCTCCCTATCCTTACCACGACTCTTAAGAAATGCTGTCCACAGCTCCGAGTCTTGACACTTGACTTGGAAGATGAGAAGCTTAACACCAATCGGAGATTCTGGGATGCTCGCCCGTACAAACATTCCGGCATAACGGATGATAAGCGCATTGATGAGATTATTGAGAGAGTCGTTTTGGATTTGGAGTCATTGGAGGTTTTGAACTTGGGTGGACGCAACTCTTTCAAAAAGCCAGATGATCAGACGGACTAGAAGTATGAGGCCAAGTGGGGATCATCCGCCAGATGGATGAAGATTGTGCGAAAGAGAACCGAAGATAGAACTGCGGAGGAGGCTGCGGAGCAGGCTCGTCTTTATATGATGACTATCGGAGAGAATAGCACTAAGGGCCTTCACTGGATCGTCTTTGAGGAGAATGATGGGATGGTTGTTGAGCAAATCAGTACAGACTTTCAATTTTCCATATGAAGTTCTTGAAAAGCACGATCGCCATCCAGATGAAGATCATGGCTAGGTCTGCCTCTTTCAAGTACGAATCAAATGGATTCTATACATGAACAGAAAGTGGTTTGTTTCATTCTCGAACTCGAAGTCAGATCAGTACATGTGGGGTAAGTGCGGGGTAAAATACTGCTGTACTCGAAATTAAATAGGGGTTAAATGTTGAAGCCTTGCTATACCAATAAGTATTAATTATTCTCCTCTCAAAAGCACCAAAAGATGAAACATTTAATTAGTGTTAAACTAGTGTGTACTTACGGCTGCCGTGACTCGATTCTCCCAGTGCTTGAAAGAACGAGTTGGATCAGCCATCGTCACGATGTCAAAATCTGAACAGTATTTTTCTCCAGCAGCTGCATTTGAACTGGATTACTATCTCCGACTAGGCCTTTTGCCTAAGTCTCTTCTGCTGCTGCTCAATTTCAATTGCCCGTTCCCAGATCCAGACCCATTTCGTCCTTCTCCATTCGGGAATACTCTCCCACTTTTGCCCAAACTTTTCAACACTCTGGATTTGCAACAGTGTTTCCATTTCCATATTTTGTACACCTTTTTTGGTATCGAAAGTCATATCCCAATCTCGCTTTGCTTGAAATAGCGCCTGACGCTTCCGCTCATAGACGTCTAGCATCTAAATAAACAATGGAGTACCCAGGACCAGATATATGACTTCGTCCTTTGTTATAGGCTTGCAAAAAGTGCAGTGGTAAGTCTTGTTCGGTGTCGATCCGGCTGCCTTTGGTTTGATGTCATATACTCTAGGCTTGTTCCAGAAGGTCGAGATTCGGTCTCTAAAGACATGTCGTGAAGACATCGATGCTGGCGATTTAGGGGCCGGAAATCTCGCTTTGAGGAACATGTTAACAGTTCAAAGAATACCACTATTGTGCATTTCCCGTTATTCGAGGGTGTAGGAATTTTGTCTGACAAGAATATGGTTGAACGTAATATTGAATATTATGTTTTTGACTGATTCGTGGAAGGACGCTAACAGGTGGGAACGATGAGACGAGCTTCTAGCTATACTTTAGGTTACCAACTAAATTGCAATTTGGATCCGCTAGGCCAGAATTCAAGAGAAATCGCTCCTGGAAATCGATGCGAAAGTTATTGGATTGCGCAGCATCATATTTAATAGGGGTAACTCGCTTAAATTTCAATACAATTTCAGTAGAATGTCTTCACGACTTCCTTTCTCCGCTTCTTAGCTTTCAGGTTGATGAAGTGCACTTGCTTCTCTATTCTTTGATGCATTCAAACTACTCAAACGGATAATTTTGTAGACCACTCTCTCCCAATCGGCTAGCCTTTACCCAGATCCGGGTATTTCAATATAATTTCCCCGCATAATCCGAAATCCCTGAAATGAACAATACCGATTCCAGCCTGTCATGCTCGGCCACAGCCGTAACATTATGCCTAAATCTACGATCATTAAATTGCGGATGTTTGCACCGCAGGTGATCATCTATCTGACCGCTGTCAAGGAATAAATATAAATGTAGAGAATGCCCTAACTTTATGTTTCCTGACCGCAGCTTCAGATTTTTCGAGTCGACTTACACGCCATGTCCTTCAAACTCTCGCTCATTGGCCTGGTAGCCTCGCTACTGGCCAGCATACCGATTGTGCACGCTGCTGAGGAATATCCTTTACTTCCGACATGGAAATGCACGTCTTCGGGAGGCTGCGTACAGCAGAACACGACCGTCGTCCTCGATAAAGACTCCAAACAGGCTGCCGGTGCTGCAGGATCTAGAACAGCGGCCGACTACGCTGCTATGGGAGTTTCGACCTCAGGAAATGCTCTGACTATGTATCACTACGTCAAGACTGACGGGACGCTGAATGCTGCATCTCCTCGCGTATACCTGTTGGGCGATGACGGGAAGTACGTGCTCATGAGTCTCCTCAACCAGGAGCTCTCTGTCGATGTTGACCTCTCCGCCCTTCCCTGCGGAGAGAATGGCGCCTTTTATCTATCAGAGATGGCAGCAGACGGTGGGACTGGCGGAGCGGGAGGAGGAAATGGATATTGTGATGCTCAATGCCAGGGCTACTGCTGCAACGAGATGGACATCCTCGAAGCCAACTCGATGGCGACAGCCATGACGCCACATCCATGCAAAGGCAATACCTGCGATAAAAACGGCTGCGGATATAATCCGTATGCGAGTGGGCAGCATAATTATTGGGGGCCTGGCAAGACGGTGGATACGAGCAAGGTGTTCACTGTTGTTACGCAGTTCGCGGCTAGCGGGGGCAAGCTGTCGCAATTGACCCGGAAGTATATCCAGAATGGAAAGCAGATCGGTGGGGGTGGGACGATTTCTAGTTGTGGTTCGGAAGGTTCGACTGGTGGTCTGACTGGAATGGGTCAGGCGTTGGGTCGCGGAAGTGAGTACTTGCTAAGTCTCTGGAGCTTAGATATGGTTGAAATGCTGACTCGAGAATTCATAGTGGTTCTCGCAATGAGTATTTGGAACGATCCTACGCAACAAATGGCTTGGCTCGATGCTGGTACCGATGGACCTTGTGCCAGTGGACAAGGCAGCCCGTCGAACATTCAGTCTCAGCATCCTGACACTCACGTTGTCTTCTCCAACATTCGATGGGGCGACATTGGATCTACTACTAAGAATTAGTATTGAAGAAACCAAACAACATCTCTTCTTCCGATATGTATATATGACTCTTTTGAATGGAAAAAGTTGGATTGGAGTGCAAAAATGGAGCCACATTTGCGATGAAGATCTTCTGAGGATCTCGAATCTGTGAATCTGCAGGGTACAAAGACGAGATTAATAAGACAGATCTACAATACGATAAACTGCAACGAAAGATTCTAAACGGCATACAGATACAAGATCTCGCTCCACATTACAATCTGCGCATCCTCATTCGCCCATTTAAACTCCTCATCCCGTCCCTTATACTCTTCAAGTCGCTTCTCTTGTGCAGCCCATCGCTTATGGTAATATTGAAAGGTCCCTGTTCTAATGAACAGAAGTTGTCGTCTCCGGGGAGTGTTCCATTCTGGAAGTAAGCATTGATTTTCGAGTTTCCACATTTGTTCAAGGGCCCTAATGTGGTGTGCTATTGGCGAATAAGTCAAAACCTTAAATAGATGACAGGAAATAGGGAGGAGAAACATACCCCTGCACCGTCAATAAGGACAATCTCCGCTCCAGGGAAGATCTTGGTCCCTTTGATACCACTACATCTCCTGTTAGTGGACGAGTACCTTAGATGAAAGATGGGGCTTACTTCGGGAATGGTGTTGCAGGATCAATCGTGTTGCTTACGAAAAGCATTGGAGTTTTCGTTGTTCCACCAAATGCACCTATCAAAGATCAATCAAGGACTGTCTCACAGCACAGCAAGGTGAGAACATACCAGTATACCTCCCATTCCCAACAATGCTCCACCCCGAACATTCAACTCTCAAATTCGCCCAGAATTCCCCACCAACATAACTTTGTGCTTCCATTATCCCTTTGATATACGACAATTCATCCAATGTGTAATTGTACACCGTATTCCCATTATCCGTACAAGCCACAGCTCTCAGCCATTCAAGTCCTCCAATCCCAATCGTGATGTTTTGCCCAAGCAGAGTCTCGAGTTGCTGAATACTATCCATTGAGATGTTCTGCGAAGCGGTGTCCATGAAGAGCAAAATAGGAGCCAGATCAGGGAAGCCGAGAATCGGCTCATAAGCAATGTTATGAGCGAACTGTTTGATTTCCTCCAATGCTAATGACATTGCAGTTGCATTTGCCCAACCCTCTTTTTCTGCTGTCACAACATCGAGTCGCTCCACTGTTTGCTCGAATCTCTCGAAGATATCAAACGCGCTGGATCCAGCAGCGTAAGGACACACGGTCGGACCTGCTAGATGGCAGTAAACAAAATATGACGAGAATGCTTCATCGGTAAATTGCAAGTTGGTCAGCAGGTTTCCGGATCGGTAGTCATCCGGGTCAACAACACCATCGATGACGAATCGTCCCACTCGATCAGGATACATCGAAGCAAAAGTCTGCGCGACGAAGGTGCCGTAACTGAAACCCCAGAAATTAACCAGAGATGGGTCTTCGACTCCTTCGGACAGAGGACTGGAGGCAAATGCATCGACGATACTGATCATATCGTGCACCAGGTATGGGGTCGACATATATGGACCGGCATCGGTGTATCCACCTGTCAAATCTTCGCAGACTTGTCCTACTTCAATAGCACCCTCGTAATCATCGTTCCAGAATGTACTGCCGAGGTAAGGGCCATGGAGCTGTGTGGATTGACTCGAACGTCGACTCAGAGATCGTTGTTGAATGCCTGGTATGGGAGTGATGTTGAAGGTACAATTCGTAGCAGGAGTGCTGTATCCGATACCGCGTGGCTCGAAAGCTACAAAGTCATAGTTCGAGCCTACGGTTGAGGCTTCGTATGCTCCGTTTTGGATCAAATCGTCGATGGCAGAGTCGCCTGGTCCTCCTGGGTTGGTTAAAACCATGCCTTTGTAAGGTGTCGTGGTCGCAGGTATCTTGAGGAGAGGGACGTAAGCTCGTGGACCGGTAAGATTGGCGTAGTCGAGTGGAACCTAAAGATGTTGATCAGCTAGACTCCGGATCTGTGTCAGCGGTTATACATACATCGAACAGAGCGCACTCGAAGGTGCCAAGACAAGGAGTCCAAGTGAGATTTGTGGAGGGCGTTAGTTGGGAGAAAGCCACTGCTGGACTAGAAGTAGTATTCTGTGCTCTTGTGCGCTCAACTGTCAAAGAGAGTATCGAAACCAACAAAAGTAATGACATGATGGGCAATGACGCAAGAAATTCGCTGACTGAGACTGAAATGGAAATAAAGATAAAAAGACATAATGCCACGGGGATAACAAAGTATTTGTAGCTCAATACTGTTGAAGAAGACAGGGCTTAAACATTTCAGCTCTCGCGAGTTTGTCACATTTAGGCATGATTACCATTGCATGTACGAAGCCTCCCCCAGACTTGTGAGATTTGAAGGGTCAGAGCATGACAAAGAACCGAAACACTGCCACTGTTTATGTTGCGTCAGTGGAGCAGCTCAAATGAGCCGAGAAAGGCGTCGTAGTCAGAGAACGTCAGAAAAGAGTATTTTGGTAGATTCACGTGCCGTTGTGAAAAAGACGCGAGCGAGGCATGGACAGGAAGTTAAACGAGAATCCCTGCACCAAAAAACTCCGAGGACTCAGCCACGAAGCTGCAATTGGATTCTGATCGTCAGAGAATGACTAACAACCGAGATTCAAAAGAATAATTAGACAGGAAAGAATCTCTGCGGATTTACGGTAAGAGTTCTAGTGACTTCTGCTCTTGTGGCTGAGAAGCTATCATGGATCCCAACACTTGAGGACAGTGGCCTCGATCTGAATATGGCTGAGCCATCTTTGCATTTACTGGTGAGCTCCCACCTTTCCATTTCCCATATAGAAGATCTGCGCCCCTCCGAGTTGCTTCATGCTTCCTCCAGACTTCTCAGAATGGAACGAGTGGCCACTGCCTATATGGACGCCTTCAAAGTTCTCACCTAGACTGCTCCTAGACACCACATCACCACAACTTGCCTGAATACTCCTGGAGATGTGAATTTCCCGCCGCGGCCTTGGAGGAACCTCAGTTCCAGTTTTGTTCTGTTGTGTGCCCCAAACGTAGGACATACTGAAACCGTTGCTTGGAAGTTGTTTGGACCACTGTCCATTCTTGAAAAGATGAAGTTACAGTGTGTGAAAGAAAGTACTTAGGTGCAAGGCTAGCACTTGCTATTCTCACTACAGGACGGATTCTAACATTAGCTTACGGAAGAATATAGCGGCCAGGGAGGTTTTGACAGCAAACTAATAGCAGAACAAGAGGAAAGGGAAATACTCCAATTTTTGAAGTGGCGACTAGCTTGATGTAGTTGTTCAGCTATGTGGTAACTAACAGTTCTCTGTCCGATCATTCTCGACCCGACGATCCCCATTTCGTCTCAAAGATATCCCAGGAAACTATATCTTCGACCTCCTCGCAAACTTAATATTCCTCTCCCTATAAATCTCATCAAACAACCTCAACGGATGAATATCAATCTCAACCTTCTCCGATCCAGGCGGGACCGGCGTCCCACGATACGTAAGCTCCTCCAACGAAGCCTCCACACACTGTCCATTCCACGCCTTCTCCTCATCCAAAAACTCATCATAGGCCCTCATAATCGTGCTCATCGGCGTAATCCCACTCTTCGGCCACGCTTCCATCAACCCCGGTGGCGCCAGGTTCGTAGGCACAAACGCTGGACAGATACTATTCACTCTGATTCCCGAGACTTTCAACGCAACAGGAGCCAGCGAACGCACCAGCCCTACAACGCCGTATTTCGTAGCGGTATATTGCGGTACGCCGGCGTGAGGATATAAACCAGCCATACTGGATGTCATGACGATACATCCCAGTTTCCTGGACTTTGATGGATTTCGCAGGTAATAATGCGTGAACAGCTTGGCTCCATAGTACGCACCGAGTAGATTGACGTCGAAAGTGGACATGTCAGGTTTTCTCGGAGCGTGGTTGCCGAACTCAGCCTGGTCCAGTGCTGCGGTTCGAAAAATGTCGTCGCGGTCATCGATTCCGGCGTTTAGGGCGGCGAAATCGAGGCGTCCTTTCCATTCGAAGGCTTGCTTAAAGGCTGCTGCTTGTGAATCCCAGCTTCCGACATCACAGTGGATGTATAATGATTTATCTTTTGGCAATGCAGCTTCGGCGGGAGGGTTTTGCACGTCGAGTAATACGACTGACCAGTTCTGAGATAGTAAGTGTTTGGTGAGAGCGAGACCAATACCGGAGGAGGCTCCTGTTACGATTGCAACTGGGGAAGACATCTTGGAAATTACTTTGGGAATTTGGCAATTTACTTACTTTATGAAGACTTCACGATAGAGGCGGGGGCGGGGTTGAATAGGCTAGATGTGGGGTCCAAGTGGGGTACAGCCGAACTGCAGGGGGTTTTCCGCGACGGATCATATCAGCGGGAAAGAACTACAGTGTACCACCTTGATCATATGTTACTTCTTTGCCATTAGCGCTCCCAATAAGTGGTTTGATTCGTTTCTAGCCCTTAAACTATAATTATTCGTATGAAAAATAACAAGAACCCTACTTAAAGTACCACGCATATTTTCGACTAAAAATATCGCGAAATAGTCCATCGAAATCAATCCTCTAAGCAACCAGCTCTGTTTCAAAGCTTCCTACTCTTGCTGCAAATTTCAATGTACATGTCTAGCAGCTACCAACACTGAACCTCCGCCCGGAGTGGATTTTGCACATAGGGCCGAGCATCAATCGCTCAACGATAGAGTACGCCCTTGTTCTGCAGCGAGAAATTTCAACTAGATAAGGTGCAATTCTTGCAGTTCACTCCAGGACCAGTCGTCCCGATGAAAACGACTTGAACGGCTGCATATCTGCAAGACTGTCAGTGAGAATAGGGACTGTTCATCTCTAGATTGCTCACGCTGCTGTCGCTGCAAAAATATCTGCCATTTCAGCATTGGTCAAGGTGACCAAGCTAATAGAGAAAATTGCTGTAAAAACAGTGACTATCCCCAGTCTTTTACTCATGTTTTGAACCAAGTATAAGATCACCGTGGATAGTATTGGTAGCATGCAAGCTAGTATTGTGGCAATGCTCTTCGTCAGGCGGCGAACGGAAGAATCGCCATATATCACTGTTCCCGAAAGTTGTTCTTCAGATCGCGATTTCTTTCGGCTTAGCTTTCAATTTGAATGCCTGTTTTCTAAGCAGCATACCTTAAAACGATGGCCAAGTAGCCTATGGAAGCGCTTTATGATTTTCTCAGAGATCCATCGATAGAACAAATCATCATTCGTTCGAGACTTTAAGGTCACCAAGTCAGGGCGCAATGCTGAGTCTGTCCATATGGTACTATCATTTCCAAGTAGATAGACGTTGCCCATATCGGTTCGCGACATCCATTCATTCAAAAAGCTCAAGTCTTGATTGGAGCCGAAAGTTTATTGATTTCTGTGTGGCGCAGAAGAGCACTTTCTGAATGTAGTTAAGCGACGCACTGCGCATATGGTATTGTTACACCTTACGGTACTCCTCAAGCTTGTTTCGAATTGCTAGCATAGTCTCCCATTGGCGCCCTTCATTACCACTCTCAGCATGCTCAGCAATGGACTCTTTGAGAGCTAGCCAGTCTAGCGAATAGACGCTCCTGTCTTGATGGAGCGAATCGTCATCTTCAGCAGCATATTTTCTGAGATCTGCTTCGAGGCTTGTGAGTTCAGCCTGGAGGTAAAGCAGATTTTGAGCACCCAGTATGGAGAAGCGGCGCATGATTGAGGCATCGGGGAATGTGCCCATGAGCCAGCCAAGTTTTGCGTATCCCTTCATCGTGCGTTGCATATAACTTGAATTATATCAAGTATTTCATGATCAGTCCGTTCAGTGCGGCCTCCGGACTTCTGCTTGATCAAGCAGGGCCTCGCCCAGAGTCAGCCTTACGCTGAGGATTTGAAAACGCCCTCGTGACGTGGTTGTCTCGAACCAATCATGTCCTTATCTCTCATGCACAGCCATCTTTGAGAACGAATGAATCTTACAGCTCCATACCTATGCAACATATTTTAAGCGGGCGAATAGATCCATGGATGGGTTGATGCAAGCCACTGGGCAATCCTGCCAAAAAGGCTCGTCTGTCCGGCCTTCATCTTCCCTTTCTTTCAAACTTCAGTAAGCTTGTACCTGGCAAAATCGTCTACAGTATGTCCTCAGATAAGCTCTAATTACAGGAGCTCGTCACTTACTGGCCCTTCTCGATTCTCTCGGCATACCGACTCGATCAAGCTGTCACCGAAAGAGCACGAGGCTACGACATGTGACTATCAGTCTATCGGCCCTACAGGTTTCTGCATCCCTAGAAGTACGCGTTATCCGACGATATGGCGTTGCAGTGGGTGGAGGAATATAAAACTGGAAGGTATTATCTCGATTACACTTGCCCTGGTAAGATCCCAAACTTGGTGGTTGTCAAGTAGTGCTGCTGACGAGATATCTAAGATGGCCAGATTGTTCGGAGATACGAGGATGAGTTTACCATGGAGCCGGCGAAGAATAACAGCGCAGTCTCCGGAAGTGATGAACGGATGGAGGAGCCCGGGGTCAACAGGCTGTCTATGAATGATACCCAGCCGAGTAATAGGTCCCAATCACAGTTTTTCGAGAAGCACTACTGATGAAATGTCAAGACGAGTCAGGTGAGCTCGAATTCGGAGATTGGTTGAAGGAGCTAGAGACATGGAAATGGTACATAAATTAGACTAATCCCAGTCAAGACCCCCTACTCCCTCCAGAAGAAAAATTGCGTTACTAACATTGAGATCGCGAAGGCGGGTTGACGATTCGAAGGTATGCAGATGAGCTGCAGCCATATGCATATGAATCCAAGAAGTTGCATTCAAGCGGAAGCAATTGGTAAGCAGACTTGAATCCCGATATTAATTTGTCTGACCTTTCTATCATCAGGGGTTTCACTTCACAACCATCCCCAAGGAAGTCAAATGGCTATCAAAACGCGTCTGGATATGCAACTTTCATACCATCACTGGAATCCGGCGTCGAGGACCACAAAATCCTAGACTCAGAATCTCAAGAGTTGCTTTTCCAGTATGAGCTCGAGACCAAGTCGGCACAAAAGCCTCGTATCACTCAGACGGCAAGTGATCGAAGCCTCTTGATGCTTATTCGAGATGCTTGGGGAGCCGAACAAGATGCTGTAGCCCTTCTAGACTCGGGGTCCGATGATGACTGGATTTCGACCAGACTGGTAAAGAAGCTTGGTTTTCGCGTCGAGCCATCGACGAGTCCCTTGGAAGCTACGTGTGCCAACAATGGGACAATCACTTCTGAAGGCACTTTTCTTCTTAAGTGGAGATTGAAACATCGAGCCTTCCAACTCAAATTTAATGTCTCCGACTTTGAGCACATTGCCGTTATACTTGGACACAAATTCTTGACGAGAGAAGGCGTACTGCATTGGGATCATTCTGGATTATACCCTCTTATATCTGCATCTAAAGCATCTGAACGTACGTTTGAATCTTAAGGTTTGTATCAGTGAGTGTAACACTATTGACAAATCCTACAGAAGAAAAAGTCAAACAGGAAGCGGAGAAGCAAAAACAAGCAGAGGGAAGGCGGAGATATGAGGAGCGAAAGCAGCGCTCAGACCGACATCAATCACAGGGGTATGGCTCAAGTTCTGGCAACCAGACTTCTCGGGCTTCTGGAAGTTCGACCGCGACAACATGAACAGTATCTAGGAGCCAAGTCTAGAGATCGATCATATTCGCTTCTTCTTGTAGTAAATATGTGAACCATTTCGCAGGCGGGGAACTGCGAGGGGTGCTATTTTCTCCAAACTGCCATTGATTGCATAACCCTCTTCCTTGGGTACATGTCGACTGTCTGGACCACGATCAGTCTCGAATATTCGAGATGCCCGCAAAGCTGTCACAAGGCCTTCGTGTGGCCCTGCATTGATAGGAGCCTCAGCCGTCATGTCCTGCTGTAGTTCTTCTCGGAATGAGGGTAGTCGCTTGCGGCTGGTAGAGCGTACTGTGGAGTCAAAGTAGGGCTTGGCAGAGGGCGCATGATATTAATTCTGATGATCATGATGAAGTAGAGTTTCATACATTGAATGGAAATTTACAATCTTCATAGCGACTATGGCAAAAAAATGCAGAATCTTGCTCCTTCTTGACACATCTGTTGCAATCCCATCTTATCTTCTAGCTCGAAGCTTCCAAAGTCGCGGTCCCAAAAAGAGCCATATGATATGTAGACAACATTGCCAGACTGTCTGGTCGACAGAACAGCTGTCCTCCACACCCTGAAGCCGATCCCAGAGAGTGGTGGACTGTGCCAATCCTGCTCTCACAATCCATCCATTCCAAGTCTGATTAATATCAGGTGGCTGGAAAGTTCTAGGTCAGACAATCAGTAAGTTGTTGCTTCAAAGAAGCATGTCACATCATACCTGGATAGACACGTCCTCAACTTCACTCTCTTGTGCTTCAGAGGTGCTTCCTAACGATTCTCTATAGGTAGGAAAGTGTGCTTGATGCAGCTCCTTTCTGCGGCTCCAGCGCCGCCAGCCCTCGTCCTTTGACTTTGGCAGCCTAGAGGCGAAGAATGAAGTGTCAATGGGAACATCGGAATCATCCAAGGGCTTTGTAGGCTGAAGCGCAAGCAATCGTTTAACCTCCATCGCCGTCTTTTGAGGAGGGAGCGGAGCTTCTGCAATTCCTCGAAGCTGAGCAAGAAGTCTGACTTGGTCCTCGTCACATTGGAAGGTTTCTTGATTGCGAACCGCAAGCAAAAGTAGCGCTCGTATGATACAATTCGCGTCGTTCCCCGCCACGCCAAAGTCTCCGCAGACGTGCAAGTCTGGATCTTCTCGAAAGGGAAGATCGAGCTCTGTCGAAAGTTCTGTCAACGGGATTCGACAATTGTCTCGACGGTGGAGGACTTTTGCTGCAATCCTGGAGATGTACAGCTCTTCTGATACTGCTTGGAGACCATTTTCCTTCGTCACGCGCAGCGCATGCATTGAGTGACCATTGAACGCATGTTGAATGGTGACCAATATGCGTGGCTTGCTTTCGGCGACATCATCTTGTATCATCAAGGCATGTCGAACCTTTGCAGGAAGCTCGTAGATTGATACTCTTTCAGGCGTGCCGAAGCGGTATTTCCGCGTTACTTTGCGCCAATGTTTATGAGTTCCAGTGATGAATGTTCGAGTCGATATGAATGACGAAGGATCTTTCCGGATTTGAGTGGTTCGAAGGAGGTCGCGAGTATCCAGTGTCGCGATACCGAATTCCGAATTGGTCGACGTCTTGTACCCTTCCTCGATGTTGGCGGCTCCCTGAAAATCTATAGCCGCGAAGATGACATCGGCCATCTTCTCTCCTTTGAAGCCTAGAAGAGAGGACAAGACTTCGAGTTCAGTTTTGGATTCAGTGCGTAAAAGCGCCATGTTGTCCAAAGTTGTTGAAGTTGTGGTTGTGAATATGGGGATGAGTGCGGGCGTGGATGAAAGGGAGCGAACGTGAGAGTGAGAATTTGAGATCAGAGTGTGATGCGAGACCAAGACTTGAATGTAAAGCTTGAACATAAACCTCAAATGTGAATTTCAAGAATGAAGATTGGTGTAAGATGAATTGTTTGAGATGCGGGAGGTTTCCCCCGATATATTAGGTCGGGTGTTCAGTCCAGATTACAAGAAACCACTCACGGAAACTAAATAAGCGTAGGCTGCTCCGCTACTGTAACCTTAAGGTTACCCGAGATCCACTTTCCGCTGTCAAGACCAACTTTTTCAATCCCCATTCTGACTTTTCCTTGATCTCACAAGTTTCGCCGCCAGATGAAAGAATAGCATCATCACGAAGAATGCAATGAGAGGGGATGACACTCGAGATAGAGAAATGGGTCACGATAAGTTTATATCACTCTCGAAGTGGAGTCTCAACTCGAGGTGGGAGGATTGGCCTCGTTAAATAACATCCTGGAGACCTCTGTGGATGGCGGAAGATCTCAATATGTATTCTTCTAGGATACATTTCAATTTTCCCTTGTGGCATGAACGCTACCTAGGTACCAAGATGATTTTTTTATATTCGAGGCCATGTAGATGCCCAAAAGGGAAGGCATTCTCCGCCTAATGTCAACGAGAGGTTTCCCACGATCACCACGAAGTCCCACAAACTTAATGCCTTCGACGACATTTCAAAAATGCAAAAAGAGAGGTGGTAAGTGGGATTCAAACCCACGACAACGAGGCTCATCTATAGCATAATGTTGGCTTGATGGCACAGGGAATCGAACCCTGGATCCCGAAGGAACGAAGATTTCACTCTCGCGCTTTAACCACTCAGCCATACCACCTCTGGGTCCGGAAGCCACCGGCGCTTAGAGGCAATTCGGCTTACTTGAACTTATAAAGCAGAGAAACAACGTGGAGTTCCTTCCAGGTGAGTGGAAAGTGCAGCCTGCACGTGCCAACAGTTGCCGAACTGGTGCTAGCCGTTTACTGAAACGGCAAGAGCGTGGTATGGGAATGGGCGAGCGAGGAGAGCAAGGACCTTCTGCACGTCGACTTCGACTTCGTGTGAAGGTAGATGGTTTCGCAAAGACGTGGCACAGGAACGAAGGTGGTGCTGTTGAGTATGGGGATGCCGTCCCTTAAGTAGGGTTTTGGGCTGTGCTAATCCACTCTAACAAGGGACTATTAACGCCTAAATCCACCGCAAGCCCGCTGGAAGCGGAGAAATTGGCGGCCGACTTCGCGCTCGGCGACACATCAGTGAAATTGGTTGCAAAGAGGACACTGGGATCCAAGCTCTACTAAAGAAGCAGAGCAGATTTGGTAGTTATCAAGTACGTCGTAGATCCCTGCACGAAAACTGGCTCTCAAACACTCCCACAAGCATGGAGTCACATGTTCGATTGGAAGCGTCATGGAGGAACATGCAGATTGGAACACTAGTAATCGGCTCATAAAGACTGGAGGCTGATCTCGCTCATGTTGTAAAGAGAAGGAGTGTATCAAGGCGAGTTCTAGACGCTGCCAAAATCTCATTCAACGTCCAACGTCGTTGAGTTCGGAGGCGAAACTCTAAGCCTGTTCCGTTAAGCCGGTCCGGATCCGACAAAAAGTTCGCATCGGACATAGCCCGCCGGAAGTTGCTGTTATCTCCCTCGATCTTAGCAACCTGGTTGAAACAACTATGGTTCGACTGAAATGCAATCATTCCTTCTTTCAGCTCTCATCCGAAGCTAAGGATGTAGCGCTTCCACAGTATGCACGTCGACACCGAGGAGAAGACACTCCTAAGACACGGCAAGCACCACTCTCCGGCTCCATAAAACAAATGTTTGAATGATGACTTGGCGGTGCCTTAAAACTGAAGGTGGAGATGATAATGCTGGATGGTTTTCTTTAAAAGGCAGTCAATCAGCAATTTGGACATTTTGCGTGGCTCGCATCGAAGAAGGAAGAGAAGCTTAAATATAATTCAACTATCGCCACTCGACGACAATCGAACACGTGCTGCATGGAAGAGCGCTGAAATTACCATAAGGTTACCGCTCTTCTTCAGTCTACTAGACAACCGCTCGACCCTTTTATTCTCAAGACAGCGTGGCCATCCATGGGTCACTTGACCCACTTCCACAACTGCAAGACATATTTCTTGCGATGAAGGAAAAACCTGCATACAGTCAACTCCTGCGACACAACACCCAACTCTGCGCATTATCAGGCATCAATTGCATGCCGGTACCCGAGAGAGGCAAAATCATTCTGATTGAAAATGGAAGCTTGGGATATGCGTCCGTTCTCGCGCCGAGCGCTTATCCCAACGTCAAGGAACGAAAATTGACAGAAAGCTAGGCAAGCCGCATCGTATTCCATGAGCAACAGCAGCTGATATATTTGAAATATGGGCAGGGAATGGAGAGCCTCACGAATCATAAGTGGCTAGAATAAGCTTTTGTCCTGGAACCACTGGCGCATTGGATCCTGATGCTGGCTATTGCGCAGAGATATTGATGTTGAACAGAAGAGCCGGGTAAACCGGCACTCGAATTGCACAACTGGTAGCGACAAAGGCTAGTCACTTCTTGCATCCAACAACGTTGCAGATGCAACGCAGTGACACGTACCGGAGTGTGGAGGGCCCAATGGGGATTCAGCGGCCAATGCAAGACGGGATGGTTTGCATGGACTTCGGATCCGAAGCGCTTCAACTCAACGGAAACCACCAAACCTTATGTCAAAACTCGCGAGGAAATGAGCCGCTAATATCCACTACCCGCTGAGAGCTACACGCTCTAGAGCATCATAGACTGTAGCTGCAGCAGTATGACCAGAGCAGGCACTCCCGCATACTTTAGCGCAAGGCTCTGTAGTCTTGCATTTTCGATGACATCCTCTATCTTCGAATCATCTGAATGGGCGGTGAACGGATCTGCTCGCTGATAAGGATTTTGATTCGGATCCGGCGAGCAAGTTATTCCTGCTCCTCACGCCTCTTATCGAATAGTTCCGTGGTCCAGATGTTCTTTTCCGGAAAATCGGCTCACCATGCAGCCGCACAGTTGACCAGCGTGTAGCGAATCAAGCTCGTTACCAAAATAGTTTGAGGCAACTTGAACATGGGAGAGAACCACTTGATCTAATGTTTCTGAGTATATGGATTCATCACAAGCCTCCAAGATAACCTCAGGATAATCAGAAAAGCACAACTTTCCTTCAACTTAACCAGAGGACTTCAGAGTTTTGTTTCGATAAACTACGCTGCAATGGTTCGCTGCAGTGGTGACGACACGATAGGACCTGTCTTGGGACCTTCCGGCTCTGGTTGTTACAATTTCGATTTCACTGTCGTCTTCGAGGACTCAATCTTTACTCTCATCCCCTGTGCCTTGGTGCTTATGCTCACAGCATGGCGTGTATATAGCCTGTTCAACAGACAGGTTGTCGTAAGATGGCCTCTACTTCATGCTCTCAAACTAGTGAGTCTAGCCGAGCTTCTAACTCCTATATCTATATTCTGATCTGTGCAATAGGCTACATTTGCTACACAGAGTATTGTTCAGCTATCATTAATCCTGCTCCTGGAGACTGGACACGGAGTTCTTGCTCGTACTACCCTCGCTGCATCTATCTTGACCTTATTCTCAACTCTGGGTCTACTCATTCTTTCCCATTTCGAGCACGCTCGGACGACCCGACCTTCGGCCATTATTCAGCTTTTCTTCCTCATTACGATCCTCTTAGAATTACCTCGTCTCAGGACAGGATGGCTTCTGAATGGCCAAGACCAGTATGTTGTGGCTTGTCTGTTGACTGTTACCTTTGTTCTCAGAATTGTCTTACTTCAACTGGAATCTGTCCAGAAATGGAAACACGTCACTGTCTCACCAGAATTGATCCCACCAGAGGAACGCCAAGGTATATTTGGGCGCATCTTTTTCTGGTGGCTCATGCCCATGTTTCTCCAAGGCTACAAGAGAACACTGTCTATGAATGACCTCTACGCTATTGATGACGATCTGAAGGGCACCAGGCTCTATGAAAGATTACTCAGATCTTGGCACGCTGGTAAGCATCGGAGTTCCTATTAAGTCTTTGGGTAAGGCTAATTAGTCAAGTCAATCGCAAGAAGAACCACGCTCTCACAACAGCCGTCCTACGGACATTTTCTCCCGAACTCAGTTTCGCCATTGTGCCCCGCCTGGCTTATGTGGGGTTCAGTCTTGCCCAGCCATATCTGATCAAGACCACGATTTCGTATATAACCTATCACAAACGATTGCCTGAAAACTACGGATATGGACTCATCGGCGCCTATGCGCTCTGTTACATAGGACTTGCTGTATGTCTTCTCAATGATTGAGTCTCAAATCCTGTCGCTCACACACTGTAGCTTTCCCAACGCCTGTGGATGCAGATCGCTTTCCGTACAATGACCAAAATCCGAGGAGCTTTGGTGACTTCCATCTACAAGAAAATGCTCACTGTCAGAGCCGAGACGACGAATTCTTCATCTGCGGTGTCGTTGATGAGCACTGACGTGGACAGAATCGTCATGACTACGTTCATGATGGTCAATCTCGGTCCCGATGTCGTTCAAATCGTCATCGCTCTCTGCATCATGGGAACACAAATCGGTGCCACTGCAGTTGCTCCGGTGATTCTCTGTGGGGTTTGTATTGGTATTGCTGCTAAACTTGGCCAACTTGTTCCCCCACGGCAACGTCGCTGGATGTCGGCAATCCAAAAGCGTGTTGGTATTACAGCTGATATTATCTCCGCTATGAAAGGTGTCAAAGTAGCTGGACTCAGCGTGAAAGTGGACAAACAAATTCAGGGCTTGCGCAATTTTGAATTGGAGCGTTCGGTTCAGTTCCGGAAGCTGCAGATTTCAACGCAACTTCTAGGTAAGTCACTCACTCTACTCAATCTTCCACTACTAATTCTGACCTTTGCAGGGACATCACCAACTCTCTTAATGCCTGCTGTTACGTTTACCGTGTACGCCATTGTACAGACAATCTCCGGAAGTGCTCAATTCAATGTGATACAAGCTTTCACTACGCTGAGTTTGTTGAATCTCCTCGTTCAGCCGGTCATGGATCTCAGCATAGCATGGACTACCTTATCCTCGGGACTTGCTTGTCTCGACAGAATTCAGAGATTTTTACTCAAAGAGAATCGCGAAGACTACAGAATACTGATGTCACATTCCGATCAAGGTTCCTTCTCTACCAGAACGTCGACAGAGAAACAAGACTACTCTTTGAAACCTGTCATTAAGATTCGACGCGGATGCTTTGGGTGGAAGAAGGATTCAGACTCTGCGATCATCAAAGATATCGACCTCGACATCATGCCAGGAGAACTAACTCTCATCGTTGGCCCAGTCGCTTCGGGAAAGACAACACTACTGGAGGCGATTGTCGGCGAGGCTAGAATATTTTCAGGCTCGGTGGAACTCACTGTCCCGGAAGAGATCGCGTACTGTGGTCAGGATGCCTGGTTGTTGAATCAGTCCGTGAAAGAAAATATTCTTGCTTTTGAAAGATACTCGAAAGTGTTCTATGATGAAGTGATCGAAGCTTGCCAATTGGTGGAGGACCTTCGGCATTTTCCCAAAGGTGATGATAGTATCATCGGTAGCCGTGGCATTTCTCTCAGTGGAGGACAGAAACAGAGAGTGGTAAGTGAAACTCCGAGACGAACATTTAAGAAGGCACACTAATTTCTGAGCAGGCATTGGCAAGAGCAGTATATAACAAGAAGTCTATTGTTATTCTAGATGATGTATTGAAAGGTTTGGACGCAGATACTTACACTAAGTGTTTCGAGGCAATTCTTGGTCCTGGGGGACTGTTGCGACGAAATCGCACCGCTGTCATTCTTGCAACTCACAATGGTCAGCTAGAACTTCCAGAACTTGCAGAATTTTAAAATTGACAGATTGGTAGTTCAACTCCTTCCACATGCGGAGCATATCGTCGTTCTCGACGAAGACGGCCGCATCACCGAAAAGGGTAGTTTCGACGACCTGAACTCCTCAGATGGATTCGTCAGCGGCCTAGGACTCAAGAAGGCAGCCATCCAAGAAATTGAGGCTGTGGTAGCCGAGGAGGAAGAAATCGAAAGGACGGAAAAACAAATCGTGCTTGAGAAGATCGCAATGATCCAAGAATTGCCGAAAACCGATGAAAAAAGAAAGTCGAGAGGCAAACGCAATTCAAGCTCCCTGTTCTCTTACATCAAGTCGATGGGTAGAGTTTACTTCCCAATTTTCGCGGCTTTCACTGTCTGCAATATTGGCTTCCGAAGCGCACAGCGTAAGCCTTGCTACCTATTATTTCAGCATGAACTTCAACTGACTTAACCAATTCAAGCTTTATGGCTCAATGTCTGGACGGCTCATAATGTCAAAAACCCGAATACTAGCATGGGTTACTACATTGGCATTTACATCTTGTTTGGTGGTCTCAATGTTGTGTTCCTTGGCCTTCAGTTCTGGTAAATACTCCCCACTTTTAGTCATACTAGAGACTGATTAACTTAGGACTTTCATGATCATCATCGTTCCACATTCGGCAAAGCTGCTACACAGGAGGGTCCTCACAGCCGTTATGCAGTAAGTTATTGACCAACTTCCTTTCCTCTTTGAAGAATGATGTTGACGATATTGCAGCGCCCCGTTGTCGTTCTTCGTGGCAACTGACACTGGAGAGATTATCAATCGGTAAGCGAATTTCTCACAACTGAACCTCGGAGGCTAATTGTCCAATAGGTTCAGTCAAGACATGACGTTGGTAGATTTACAGCTACCTCAGTCTTTCATGCAGAGCTACTCACGTAAGTCCCCAAGACCGTTTTTTCCAGCGAAAGTTTCAGCGCAAATTAACACGACTCACAGAGGTCATCAACGCCATAGCTCAAATCGTTCTCACATGTGTGGGATCAGGCTACCTAGGCATCGCCATACCCGTCATGCTCCTCACCCTTTTCGTGCTTCAGAAATTCTACCTCCGCACGTCAAGACAAATGCGTCTGCTAGACCTCGAGGCAAAATCACCACTCTACTCACATTTCATATCTTCTTTCTCGGGCTTAACCGCCCTTCGTGCGTACGGTTGGACTAAGTTGGCCGAAGCAGAAAACTTGCACTACCTTGATGATTCGCAGCGTCCGTTCTACTTGTTGCGTTGTGTGCAGAGATGGCTGACTATGGTTCTCAATTTGATTGTTGCTGGCCTGGCTGTTTTGCTGGTTGGAATCGCCATTGCGCTGAAGGATTCGATTAATCCTGGGCTGCTGGGTGTTGCTTTGACCAGTGTCATGGGGATCGGGCAGACTTGTAAGTAAACTTCCTTGCTGAGACAGAAGTCTACTAGAATCCTTTCCCCAACTTATCAACACACCACTTGCTCATTGCTGACTTTATCCTGTAGTAAGTCAGCTTATTCAATCTTGGACACAACTCGAGACAAGTCTCGGCGCAGTAACTCGCATCAACGAGTTCGCAGTCAACACCACCCGAGAAAAAGATGGACCTGACATGCCACCCGAGAACTGGCCTTCCAAAGGCGCGATTAGCATTTCCGGGTTATCCTTCAAGTATGGCGATAACACTGTCTTGAACAACATCAATCTTGACATCGAACCTGGGCAAAAGATCGCCGTATGCGGACGCTCGGGAAGCGGCAAATCAACCCTAATCACTCTCCTTCTCAGACTCTACGAGCCCACCAGCGGAAGAATTGTCATTGATGGAATCGACACCAGTACACTAAATCTCAACGAACTCCGCGAATCACTTGTTGCTCTACCTCAAGACCCTATGTTCCTCGCTGGCACCATTCGGTACAATCTGGATCCGTTGTCTAGGGAAACTGATGAAACTGTCTGGGATGCTCTGGAAAGAACGGGTATCAGAGATGTCATTGAAGAAAAAGGAGGCTTGGAAGCAGATTTGAACACTGATTGGTTGAGTGCTGGTCAGAGACAACTGTTTTGTCTTGCGAGGACGATGCTTAGGGATAGTAAGATTATTTTGTTGGATGAGGCGACGAGCAGGTTAGTCTTGCAACGATTGAACTGAACTCAACTGACTCGTGTAGTCTTGATCGCGAGACCGAAGCGCGGGTAGACGAATTAGTGCGGACAGCTTTCACTGATGTGAGTAGAACCTTCTCTTCGCTCCGTCTCACTGATATTAATACTTGTGTAGTGGACAGCCATTGTCGTCGCACATCGTCTGAAGACAATTGCGGACTTCGATAAAGTTCTAGTTCTGCAGGACGGTTGTGTGATAGAGTACGACTCTCCAAGCAATTTGCTGGCTCGTGATAGCAAGTTCAAGATGATGTGGGATCTGCAAGAGGCTTAGTGAAATTGAGAACTTGTCAAACGAAATTAACAAGGTAGTCACTCCCAGGTATTGCTATCAGCGCTCTTGATGGGTGGTCCGTTTTAGCGTGCCCGACAGAACCCACCCGTTTAGACTTGTACGGGTTACAGATTTTCAATTGTTAGCTTATTAGTCCGTAACGGTTCCGGCTTCCCTGAAACTGTTAGGAATCGTCTAGCCTGTCTACTATTAGGGAATTTGAGGATATTGGAGATTAGGGGAGATTAAGGGAGATTTGAGTACCCTAAAGTCTAAAAACCTTAATTACTTGAAGCTTAAGGCTAAAAATATACTATTAATAGCTTTTATTTATCTTAGCAATTCAACCCGGCTAGAACCGTCAGCTTGTTGGTCCGTAACGGGCCTAAGTTTTCCTAACCCGTACTAGTACGAGTCGGTAACGGTTCGGGGCCAAAAACGGCCCAACCCACCCATCAAGAGCGCTGATGGCTATCGCGTGAAAATAGTTGGGGTTTGGGGTTTTGAGGTGTCAAGTACCGGAATACTCGATAATGACTTGAAGACGAACTCCATGTTTAATATGGCTTCAATTCATTAATAAAACTTCCTCTGCAATTGGGGCTATAATATTTTGAAACTTTTATTGCAAGCCTTGTGGTGCAAGCATCTAGTCATGTGCCTCCAGCATAGCCACTTTCGTGAGTGAGCTCATTGGTCGCCCTTTCTTCCCGAGCGGTCCCCAGCGGCTGCAACCTTACTTCGTTGATAAAGCCTTGCCCTGCTTTTGATATCGTACGACGACCTACTCTCCCACATTTGTGTTCATTGTTAGCCTTCACTGTCAAAATTCTCGCCTGTTAACCAGAGTTCTGCGTTGCCATTATCAAGGCTCGTCCATCCACACGACGTCGCACGCTGAGCTGCAACGTAGCCAGTCCCCGCAACAATGAGGCTCATAAACACCGAAACGATGAAGATGGAGGAATTCTTCAACGAAAACGTGCCTCCGTATGCCATTCTATCTCACCGCTGGGGCGCAGAAGAAGTGTCGCTTCAGGAATGGAATCGAATACAAGCCATAGAGACGAAAATGGAGTCCGTCAGGAACCACGCTGCCTTCCAGGCTCCGCGACATCACAATGATTACTACCATGAGAGCCTACAAGATCAATATAAGGAATTCGAGATTGAGAAAAGCACACTTTTGCAGAAAGCTGGTTTTGCCAAGATCATATCCTTCATCGAAGCCACCAAAGTCGAAGGCGAGAGCCAGTCCCCGAGAAGTGAGGACGAAAGAGCTCAGCAAGTCCGTTATGTGTGGGCGGATACATGCTGTATTGATAAAACCAACAACGCTGAACTATCTGAAGCTATAAACTCCATGTTTAGATGGTACCAGGAAGCCGAAATTTGCTATGTATACTTAGCGGATGTTCCAACCGGCCTCACAGAAAGCGAGCTGGAAGAGCATATCTGTGCGAGCAAGTGGTTCGAACGTGGTTGGACGTTTCAAGAGCTTCTGGCTCCCCACGTCGTGATGTTTTACGACCAAAGATGGGACTTCTTGTTCGAGAAACGTGATCGATGTTCTCTTCTTTCCCGGATCACTCGCATTCATGATACATTTCTTTCTGAATCCCGGAGAATCGGTGAAGCTTGTACGGCGATGAAGATGTCTTGGGCTGCTACTCGGACAACGACACGAGACGAAGACTTAGCGTACTGTTTGCTAGGTATATTCGACGTGAGTATGCCACCACTTTACGGGGAGGGCAAGAAGGCGTTTGTGCGTCTACAGGAAGAGATTCTACGACATTCTGGGGACCTCAGTATCTTCGCTTGGGGTTTCAACGCTCTAATAGATTGGCAAGGGCAAGGTTTATTCGTTAACTCGCCGACCGACTTTATTGGATGTTCCAATCTCGTATCGACGCTGAATTATGGCAGGGTTGCTTACACTATTATATTATTAACAAATATAACTCTGAGTGTCTTAATGTGGTGTAAACGACTAAGATCTAGAGATCCGAGCTTCATCTATGTCTGCCTTAATTATTATAACGACAAAGATGACAAGAGATCCCAGCTTCTTTTTCCTTTAGTTTTTTCTAGACAATATGATGGAAGAGGATATCCTAGTGCTCTTAAAAAGCTTCGCAGCAGGAGTGACATCGATGCTTTACATTTCGACCGGTTGACGGGGACACGACCTATCCTAGACCGCCAGGGATTGTTTAGCAAAAATAAAGGTGACAAAAGCAGTTTTATTGATGGAGACTACACAATTAGTATACTGAAGCGGGAGAGCGTTCTGTGGATACCGGACTCGATTTTTGAAGTTTCCTTTAAAGGTCTTGACGTGTCTTCTTCCCAGATTGTTTTGAAAGAGGTGTACCCTCCGCACTCATTGGGCCGATCTAGGAAGGGATGTCCGCCTAGCTTGCAATTCGGACACGACAACAGGACGTGGTATCCCGGTTGTGAGCCGATTGAAACCTTACACACATTCGACAATAGATATCATAAGGTCGCTTATGTTAAACTTTCTCATCGAGTCCATCAGAAAAGTAAAGTCGTCATAACTATTAGCTGCAACGACTTTCAAAACATGACCGATATCAACGATTATATAGAAGTGCGTTTATCTGCATGGCCGGCTAAGCCTAAATATAAATCCTTGGCGGCATTTGAAATACGAAGAGACTATGTGGTTGGATATTAACCCGGTATCGAGAGGTTGTCACCGCTTGCGAAGACACGGTCACTGAGCGGTTTCTTAGTGAATGTCAAGCGGGTTGATTTACTTAAACCAGCTTGCTACATATGTGTCTCATTTTTTGACGACGATACCAACAAACTATTACAAAGCGAAAATAGTAGGATTTCTTCATTCTAATTGGATAACGCAGAAAAAGATTAGAATTTTTATCTTTAAATAGAAGCCAAGAAATCTGTTTCCTATGAGGATTAAATCGAGTTTTCATTTGTACACTACGCAAGAATCGTTTAGAGCACTCTTTTACTGTATGGAGTACGGCAGAACGTTGAGCACGATGGGCCGACTCGGCATCTATATTAAAGAGCAGCGAGTGGAATGCTCGGGTAATTCATTATTAGGTATTGCTTTACCTTTGTCTTCTTCATTATTTTCTTGCTTTTCTACAAACTGGTCACCTAGTTTTCCATCGACAACCACACACATTGAAGTTATCTAGTATTGCTCGAGTACTTGTTTATACGTTGGCTGTTTCGTTATCCCCTGCCTCACTACCTGCAACGATACCAACATACTTGTCAGCAATTCCATTCCATGTCCACTATATGTGACCCTTTTTACTAATAATCCTCTTTCATTCTTTACGTGGAATTTTGCCATCCACCACTTCTCCCTCCTCTTCTAGTATCGCCTCAAGGCTCTGCCGATCGTGTTCCTCCACGGTCTCCCTTAATTCTGACTTTCTTGATTAAAACTCGTCTTCATCGAAGTCCTCCGCCGGCGGGTTAAGGTAGTCCCAAACAAAATCATCCGACGAGTGACTAGACACTAACTCGTAGTAGTCCTCTACCCGTTCCGAAGGCTTTTCTTCTTCTCCTTCTTCTTTAGAAAATTCGTCGTATTCTTTAATACTATCACTTGCCTCAGTGCCCTCCGCAGCTCGTTTTGCTTCCCGACCTCCTTAACTTGACTTTATTGTGTGCTTTGGTTCCTCGAGGTAAGATTGCCGCTACAATAACTCCATAAATAAAGCTAAAGCCTTAAATTACTACTCAAAGCATACTCATGCTCTTTTTATAGATTCTATTTTATTATAAGTCTTCATTTCCAAGACTATTGCTGTGAGAGAGTAACAAGTGGGATACCGACCAAGTTATTCACTATCAAACACAAATGAATTGTTTTCGAGTCACAATTTTGTTTTATTCTTTTTTTATTCTTTTTTTATAGAGCTTTTTCTTCTCCCAGTAAGATATTCAATAATTACACAAATATTTAGTATTAACAATCGCTATATGTAGTTGATGCCTACACGTTAGTTGCCTCGTTTGGCCTAGCTTCATTACCTGCAACAATACTAACGCTCTTTGGGGGGAATCTAGCCTAAGTCCACTAGTGTTGTCCCTTTGTGGTTGCAATGATACAGTTTAAGGTCAGATTTGGAATCTTACCGTCCACCTCCTTTTCTTTCTTCTTTTCTACTATTGCATCGGTATTCTCGCGATTCTGTTTCACCACGGGCTCTCCAGTTTCCTTGTCTTTGGTGTCTTCCTTTTTTATCACCAGATCGGCATTCCCTCGGTCGTTTTCTACCACGATTTCTCCTGTTTTAGATTTTCCTTACTGTGACTTGTCATCATCGGAATCTTCCTCCTCCTCTTCTGCCTCCCGACGGTCGCGGGAAAAAAAGCTCTAAATAGAGTCTTTTGATTTATGACTAGACGCGTAACCTTTATAGTAACTGCCCTCTAACTCATTATCTGGCTCTTCCACCTTTTCTTCAAAGTCTTCGTTATCGTCATCGTTAGTGCCATCGCCTGCCTCGACACCACCAGTAATTCGGTTTGCCAGTCTCTCCAATCTCGATTTTTGCCGACGTTGCCGCTTTTCTTCACGATCAAGCTTGTCCTAACGCAAACCTTCCAAGTATTCTTCGATGCGTTCCTTGGCCGATGCTGCTTTTCGCACAGCCTTTCGCCGGAACTTGCGCTCAGCAATGAAGCCTTTCCAGTCTTTAAAAAAGAAGGCCTCGCTGAATTCCCACTTCCAACCAAGATTTTGGGACCAGTCTATGGTATAATTATCTGTAGCGGTCCATGAAAATACCGCAACTTCGGCAAATACGAGTCTAGGGACTAACGCTTCTCCTCGTCGAAAGTGCAGTTCCTGCAAGCGAGTATGCCGCGAATTAGGATCCGTATCTAACTCGCTCCACGAGAGAATATCGTTAGCTTTATCTAGTAAACCCCAACTATAAGCAAAGCCAATATCAAAACTATCGGCCTTCTTCGAATATCGCACGAATTAGACTCCGACCTTGGTCTGAATAGTTTTAAATAAATCAACCATCAGTCTTCTTTGCATAACACCATTCAGAATACTCGGATAAGCAATCTCAACAACGACTCTCTGAAGTGACTTGAATCCCCTGAGCCAGAAAAGAAATTCAGTGCAAAAGCGCAAAATGTCTACAAGGAAAGCAACGTCACTAAAGGCCCAAGAAGAACCATCGCCCTCGTAACCCCAACTGAAGTTCGTAGATAAAGTCTTGCTCCCGAGAAAGGTAAATAGAGTGAAAATAACTTCGCGGATATTGGTTGCGTCTGACAAGTATTTAGAGAAACTCTTTGCTAGGCCGCGTTAGCGTGTGAGCTCGTTGTCTACCACAACTTTGGGACTGCGAATTGCAAGTAATGTGATAACCTTCATCTCTTCCTAATTCATGTCCTTGAGACGGTAATCGTCCAGATGAACTGTAAAGGTGTGTTGATTATGATTCTTGAACCAAACCAACACATAGCTATAAAAAATCGGTAGCGATCTAAGAGCTACGACAAGTAGTAGCATGCCGCGGTTGAATTTAAATCCTTCCATATATGCGCCAGCAAATCTCAACTCGGCGTAGTCTTTATTGACTTCAATAACTATTAACGAATTAATCGCTATACATATTTGGCAGCGATCTGAGATCTACTCCTCGGCCTCAAAGAGTTTCCCGCACAGCTTGTCCCTAATGTGAACGAAGGAGGAAGTTAAATTTGACTTACAAATCAATTCCCGGACTTCGTTCGGAAGCTTCTACCAGGGGAAGCATCGCTTTAGGTCCGCCGCCAAGTCAACACCAGACTTTACTTCATTTTCTTGCTCAACATCAACACCGAATTGGACGGTCACCGGGGTAGTTGTAAAAAGAACATTTAAAGGAAGAATGAGCGTACTGTCGGAGGGAGCTTTTGTGCGTTCGTCTCGAGAGTCCATGCTGAATAATATTATAGAAGCAACTTGATGTTTAAGAGTTGCGTTGATTGTTGGGGGACAGATTGTCGTAAAGGAAGCAAAGAGGATAGGAGGGTTCGTGATTCGAAGGCTCGTCGCAGCATCGTTCGCTTTTGTTCTAAGAGCTCAAAAAAACATCAAAGCTTGAAAATGTAAAGATGCGATCGTAGTCGCCAGGAATTCTCAGTGCTAAGTCGCAAAGTTGAGGTGTCGGGTTAGTGGAGTCGATGTCTGTCAAACGCAAAACGCCGCGCAAAGGACCAAGAATCCTTCTTTCTGCGAATCTTAATCAGCACGATATTAGATGGTATCTTGTTCAACAATCGTTGGGAGAGTGGATATCTCTAATGGAAAATGTCGAGAAATTGATGTAATGTTGGGGCGAGGTAGTTGGTCGCTGATAACTCAAAAGACATGATTATATGGACTGCAGAAAAAGTAAATACAGCGATTCCTCGCTTCAGACTAGTGTCCAAGTATTTGTCCTGTTTAAGCTTGGCTCCATAGTAATGGGTAAGCTAACTTGATTCAGTGGGAAAGCGACTACGTTAACTGGGACGAGCGAAGAGGGAAGTGCTACAAATATATTCGCATAAGACGAGATTGTTTGCCAATCATCACACAACGAGACCCCTGGAACAAGCTGGACGAGGTAGGTTGTTACTGATTGATTGCAGGAAATCTTCCACCTCCATTGCTATCCGTTACCTACTCTCTCTACTTTTGCGGTCAAAACTTGCGGCACTGGCTATGAATGACAAGCACGCTTCCCGAAGCCCTCCCAACCTTTGGTTCTACATTGCGATAGCCTAGGAAACTACCTGCGAGAGACGACACCAGGGAGACTGGGTAAGTGAGCATATGTCTAACAGAGAACATGTCAGACAGGGAAGCAGGCGACAATGGGCTGAAGCTACGACCGCTGGTATTGGTGAAGAAATTATGGATCGATGTTGATGTTGGACCGAGGACTATAGCGACTGGGCACAAAGTCAATCAATTGCAGACACGGCAAGGTTACTGTCCGTCCCAATGTAAGCAGTGTCGCCCGAGCACCTCTACTTCTACTAGTAACATATTTATAAACTCATGCAACATCTGCCTCTTCAATTGCCGGCTCCATGCGAAACTTGTCATTCAAATCCATTTGGCAGCAATTCTTTCCATCCACATCTCCTCTCCTCCCCGAAGCGAATCTCGAACCTCGAACCCAGAAGTCAAGTTGGCAAAGCATTTCTCGTCGCTGGTGCAAATTCAGGAAACGGAAAACAGCTCGCCGGATTATTCTATCCCTCAGGGGCAACAATATATCTTGCGGGGAAGGTCAAAGGAAACGATCGGCGAGGCCATTGCTGAAATCAAGTCCACAGCACCGACTACAGGTTTGGCTGCAATTTTGAAATCTCTTCACAGGCTTGATTCCAGTGATCTTCGGACCGTCCCAACCTTCGAGACCTTGGCAAAACAGGAGAAGGTGCTACACATCATAAAGAATAATGCAGCTAAGGGATTGCGATCCGGGTGCGCCGACCCCATAAAGTCTCGACGGGCATATGGGAGCGAATGCAATAGGACCGTCCCTTCTGACGAACCTGTTGGTATCTTCTCTTCGAGTTGTGGCAAAGCGATCAGGACAGCCAGCGCGCATCGTCTGGACTGGATCGGTGCAGATTGAAGTGAGTTCACGTCCAGGAAGCATGGATTTTGAACGGCTCAATGGTGGCAAGCTGTCACGCAATATGTCGATTACGCTGCGTCGAAACGTGGTAATATTTTCCTAGCATACGAAGGGGCAAAAATATGGGGAGTCTTCATCCTTTACGGCGACAAACGTGGAGCGCACACGATGACTTTTGCAGGATTTTCGGACAAAACCACCAAGGCCCAAAATAGTTGCGACGTGTAGCCGTTCAACGTCATAAAATCTAATTCGCATGAGGATGTTTACAGAGCAATTGGCGGGAGAAATGCGAAGCAGTTCTGGGACTGGTGCGAAAAGAAATTAAAGCCCTTTATGTAATTCTTGCTCCCGTGTGATGCTGAATTACTGACTCGAACGGAATCACTTTCCATTGTGGCGTTGGAATGCTCGCTAAAAAAGGGGGTGGAGGTGAAGCGAGGGAGGAAGGTCAGCTACTTTACACTTGATAACACAAACTCAAAGCGAGACCTAGGAGGGTTGGATTTTCCCTCCTTTCTGCGTTATCATGCGAATTATGAGTCGGCTTTTTGCCATGAGATTAATACTGCATTCACATAAGAAGAATATGCAGATCAAAGAGGCGATTGTATTTCTCAGCCTCTGTCTAGTCTTCGCATTAAGTAGGTAATCTATGACCCAAAATTCATGCCCAAGATGCTATTGTTACCTTGCGACAATTTCCTCAGTCGTTCACCATATATGATCAGAAGAGCAGGGAATGGTATCAACATGACCGCAATGAGCGCTAGTAGACTATTACCCCAGCCGAGCCCCAGAGAAGAATACATTCTTGGACCTGCGAGTGGCAAGAACGCACCGGCAATGGAACGAAGAACAGTATTTGCAGCCACGGCAGAAGCCGAGTACAGCGGAAAGGCATCCACAAGATACGCCTGGGTGGGTATCTATGGTGTACTTAGTGAATTTCCAATCACCAATAGCGTTGAATTATAGGACCAGTTGAACTTACAAAAGTAGCCATCATACCCGCACCCACAAAAGCCGTACCAATAATTGGTGCGATCCACATGACGTGTTTCTCGGCTGTCCAGCCATAGATAACAAGACCAATTGGGATGATAACAATACCATACATCATAACAGGGAGACGGTATTCAGGCTTCAATCCATTCTCTTTCTCCTTGGCCTTCAGCGTGCGATCTGACACAGCGCCAAATATCCCAGCACCCAGGAGCATACCAACCCCTAGACCGAGAAATGCGAGTCCTGAGGTACGATATGCAAAGTGGTATTGTTCCTCGAAGACGAAGGTGATCGTCGTGTAGAGGAGGTAAAGCTGCCCATAAACAACAGCGATGAAAATTGAGAGCAGGGTAACGACGGGGCAGAAGAGCAACATCTGGGTTGGCCGGACAATAGCTCTGTAGAGTGTAGCACTTCGCGAGAGGGGAGATGCGAGTTTGGAACGAAGATATGGATTTCCTCTCTCGCGCAAAAGCGAGGCCTTCTTCTCCAGCAAAGCAGGGGAGTAGCTTTCAGGTACAAAGAAGTAGTAAGCTATCGTCACTACACCGGACTGAGATTTCATCAGTATTCGAATTTGAGGAGCTTGTCTGATGCAATTGAAGACATACTGCAATGGTGAGAATCCAAAAAATCCATCGCCAACCCAACGCGCTAGATATAAAGCCCCCTAGTCATAATCAGCATGGTGCAAAGAAATTTGGCAGCAATTGCGGAAACACAAACCTGCAACGGGTCCTACAACTGGACCTAGCAAAGGACCCAAAGACCACACGGCCATAGCCGTTCCCCGCTGCTCGGGAATGAAGAGGTCTGTGATTGTACCTCCGCCTAGAGACAAAACCGCGGCTCCCATCGCACCTGCGAAAAATCGAAATACAATCAGCATGCTTAGATTCGCACTGAGGGCACATGCCGCCGTGCAAATTACATAAAGGGCATTTGTGGCATGGTATACAGGCGCCCGTCCAAATAGCTCTGAAAGCGGGGCAAGTATGAGAGGTCCTGTTGCATTTCCTAGCACGTATACCGATACCACGAAGGTGGAAAGAGTCGTACTCGTTGATCGAAATTCCATCATGACTGATGGAACACTAGGAGCGAACATGGTAGAGGCTAAGGTTCTGCGCGGGACATGTCTAAATTAGGAAAATTGGTAGGAGTATCAAAAGGAGATACACTTACGATATGAAAGTCATAAGAGCAAGTACTGTTATCATGGTCCATTTCTTCCCTGGCCTCCAATTTTGAGCTTTTGCTGGATCATCTAGCCCATCAAAATCGACGACATCGCCGAAGGACGACTCACTTCCCGACTCCAATGCATGTATCCTACCATGAAATGAAAATGGCTCATTTTTGCCCAGCTTCCAATTTTGAGCATTTGATAGATCATCAAGTCCATCACAGCTAATATTGTCGTCAAACCACGATTCATTTACAGACCACGGTGTCCGTGTCTTGCTGTCAAACGCAAATGGTCGGGTTTCCACATCCATTCTCAATATTGCGAGAGGAGGTGCTAGAGTTGGGAGAAGGACATCGTGCTTCTCGTCACTCACAACTTGCAACTTCCCGTGACTACGCGGAATTGGGTGGCACAGCAAGGTATTGCGTAACGTGTAATCGAAGGGTACTACCCATGCAGGATTTAATAGCGCGTCTATCATCTACAGATTGGGGGCCTACGGGACACGAGGGTACTGCGCCTTGTCAGTGCGTGCGGCTGCAATGTATTGACTTCTGACGATATGAGATCACAGCACAGAGATGCTCGCAAGCTCATCAAGTCGGAGCCTTTGCTTCAAGATGAAACAATGTAGACAGTCAGGTGGTGATTTCCGAGGTTGTATTTGGTCGAAAGTGCTGCAAGAACTACTAACATGAACGCCGAGGCCCCAGTAGATCAAAACGACCCGAATGCGGCGAGATTTATGGCTTGCATTTGAATCAATTTCAGAAGAGTTTGGTTGGTACAGTAGGGTTGGATTAACCGATGTGATATAGCATGCAGCACAGCTGACAGCGCCCCAGTCCTGCTTGCATATGTAGGGAATCCTCCCGCCCATGCGTCTGCCCCCACGCTAATGGCTCAACTTCATACAATTCAATAAACAAGGAAGTACGGAGCAGACCTAAGAATAGGCTACAGGTGGACGGCACGTGTATCTCGCATGTGTGCATGCAGGTATACTTGGTTTGGGACTGCATGGCCCTCTTGGAAAACCGGTGCTACCCTCGACCCTTGCCTTGTTTCCGGGAAGCGTTCCTCCCCATATGCGCGCTTCTCGCGTCTATGTGTAACCTTCAACATCCAAGTGGCCATCATACTTTTGCTGGTCGTGATAGAAGGGATGAAAATGGAGATTCAGTCAAAAGCTTCTGCTGGCATCTCTGAATGTGAAGTAGATTTTGTACTGTACGCTAGCATATCTTACAAAGGCCGTATGAATATGTATCTAGTGCATCAAAAAACCGAGACCCTCTTGAGAAGGTTAATATTGTATGAATATGCAGACTCATAAGCCTCCATGTTTCTCTCTCACTTCGTGAGAATCTTCATCACTTAGACAGGTGATGAAGAGTGCAAAAGTTCCGCATCTAATGAATGCTTATGTGGTAGATCATGTCCCACCGTCTCCAGCTCCCAAGTGCTGATGCGATCGGATGAAATGGGGGCAGCCTTCAATTGGGCAATTTCCCGCCCCTCCAATACGGAATATGGCCGGGCGTTGGTCATACTGCGATTGGGTGTAACTTGGGAGCTGCTATACTCCTTGGGTTGAGTCTGGTCATTTCGGGACCTACTTGTCCCATAACGTGTGCGAAGCTTCGACCAATAGGATGTGAGGCCAGAGATGTTTTTAGAATACTTTCTGGTTATACAACCAACGGAAGGCATGCACGAGCAGGAAACTCCGACGGCAAGCTCGACAACACTATGGGAAAGTCAATACTCTCGGATAAAACGCGTAGCGAAATAATACTTACATGAGAAAGGCAGGGGGAAGCAGCTGGTAAGTACCATCGGAGCCCTCTCTTGACTTGATTCGGTAGACTAAGCCAACGACACTAACGACACAAGCTCTAGAGGAGAACATTCAGTAACCAGGGCGTCTTGAGATGAAAATAGCAGAGAACTCACAACAGGCCGGTTGCAAAGACGGCAATGACTCCCATCTTTCGCTCTTTCGGAATCTGCAATTTCCAGATGCCCGCCACTGCCAAAAAGAACAAATAGAAATCACTGATGATGCCAAAGCATGACGATACTATCCCAATAATCGAGGACTGACTGTTTGGATTCAAGTCAATTTTGTCAAACCAAGTCTGTCCAGGACCGGGGATGGTGAAGTAGAACTGAGCTATTGAGGTGGCGATATAGAACCCGGTGGTGACTATTGCACCAGCCCAAATCCAACGCGAGAGGTGGGTTCGGATTCTGAATATCTGAACGTAGAATATAAAGAATGTGAGCTTTGCAAACATCATGCATGGCAATGTTACAACGACAAAGGCACCGCCGTCCTGATCGTTGTCAGTAGATTTCAATCACAGACGACCCTGTCAAGAGTACTGACAACCAGAAACTCGTTACTGATCATTTGACCTATTTTCAAATCCCACTCATGAGTTCCGACTCCAGCTTTGCAGACTGCAACGAACGGTAAGCAGATATCCATGATAGTCAACTCAGCAAAGGTCACTCACGTATGCAAAGTGTAATCAATTGTTCGATAACACACAGCTGGAGGGTCATGTTAGACTTTGTACATGCATATCCATACGAGAAGCTTTGGGGTATGTACTGCGGCTATCAAGCAAGTCCCTTCCAGGCAAATTAGTGTTCTGGCCGAGCAAAGAAGAGAAGTTGAAAAACTCACAATCATCCCAAGTGTAAGCTTTCGCCAGGAACGTTTTGTTGTAAAATCGTGCCATAACAAAACAAATCATGATAAACACGAAAACAGAACCTCCCCAGTAGCTAAGAGGGGCTAGAGTGTATGGATTTATGAAGTTGGGTACGACTCCCGGCGGTGGCATGGCAGCCGGCAGGCCCACCAGCTCCGGCAGCAGTTTTGGGTCAATGTTCAATGAAGGCATTGTCTCTGGAATTGGGACTCGAGAGTTGAGAAAGAATCTGTCAGAAAGACAGTACTGAGGGGATGTTGACCTTCAAGTGAGTGGACGGTAAGATATCATTGTTGAGTCTCCAGTGGACTCCGATCACAACAACCTGCTGTGCCACGAATTATACATCGTACATGGTGGCGTGTATCGCGGGCGGCGAGGTACATGTCTGCTGCAGTTTTGATCACCCGCAGGTCTACCCTTGCTCGTGAAGCCTCCCGAAGTCTGGGTGGCACTCAATCACACCCCATCTAGAGGAGGCGGCCCGCCGGCGTTCCAAATGATATACAGGCTCGGCGGGTTTTCATCTGGGAAACATTCGATGCTTGTAGACTAGTCATATTGTGAAACAGAGATGGGCATCGTGAAGTTCATTGTCGCGTCGGTGGCTTGTGGCACAGTTGGTCAGGCAGAATCGCCCCCGAAATTCAGCTTTTTCAGTATCCCGCATGTTGAGATAGATGGCTTTGAGGTGGGAGTAGCAGCTTGATTTCATGACTGCCAAATAAAGTGGAGGCTCTAGCTATTTATATAGAAAATGTGGTATTTACACGTGTGTGGATGACAGAGATCACCTGGTTTCAATATTGCAAAAGTCTTCAACATAGTTGTATTATGAAGTTACAAGGAACTATGAACCAGATCACAAATTCCACCTATGAAAGCCAGAAAAATTTCAAAACCACGATAGTTTACATAGCAATCCCATTCTCAGCTAACCAGCGCTTTACAGACCTTTCTGACGAGGACGAATAAGAAGAACAGAATCTTGGCGGGGTAAACTAAATGTACGCCACCTCCAAGTCGTAGGTTTATCAACATCGGCCAACTTGAAGTCATACCTGCTGACCAAGAGCGCAATCACGCTTTTCATCTCGAAAGAAGCAAAGAAGCGGCCGGGACTGTAAAAGCTTGTCAGAAATGATCATCTTGGTGTAGCCTATTCAAGTTCAAACTTACCATGCCTCTTTCCCATAGCCCCAGAATGGGAAAGTGAGATCCACATCCGTGACCTTGCTCTTTTTTGCCTCCTTTTCTTCCCCGTTGGTGTTCTTCAGTTCTTCGAAGCATGACTGGGGGGCAAAGCGGAAGCCGTCAAAGACCTTTGGGTTTGGGTAGATGCTTGCATCGTTCATGATGCCATAAGATGGAATACAGACCAGGTTTCCGGCAGGGACGTGCGGTCCATCTTGGAAAGTGTGTGTCTTGAGAGCTTTGCGGCGAGTTGAAGCTATCAAATCAGCATGACGTAATAGAAAGACTCTCTGCGCATGCTTACCACTGTCCAATGGGTTTGTTCTGATAACTTCTTTCATGAAGCTATTCAGTAATGGCAAGCTCTCGAGAACGCTGAAGTTCATCTCTTGTTGCTGATTGATTTCATCCCGAATCGGCTCGATATACTCGGGGTATTGACACAAAGCGTTCACCACATGTGAAAGTGTCTGATTTGACCTCGCAGGTTAGCCTTCGAATCACATTCATTCGCAGTGGAAATTCATACCATTGGAACTGAATGACCAGCAGCTCGCCAAAGACTCTCCATTAGAAGGATGATTCTCTCCGCAGTCCAGTACGGTTTGCCACGCGTTAGAAGGACAGTGTATTGAATGAAGTTGATGAACTAAAAATTAGCAAGAGTTAAAACTCCATGAATAGTCTTACTGGAAGATTCTCTTCACTCTTAGGCACATCTCGTGCCTCAGCCATCTGCGCACGGACAATAGGAAGCAAGTGCTTAATCAGAATGTTGCGATATTTGTTTCCCCTCGTGATAGCCAGTTTGACAAGACTGTTCTCATCGTATCAGAATATGCTTAAAAGGGATCATGGCAGTCCAATGACTCACGGCACTGCGAATGTCGGGACATGCTGCACAATTTCTCCAAACATGAAATATTGTGCTGGAAATCTGCGTGCAGCATCTTGAAATTCTTTGTCGTTCCCTTAAAGAAGCTCGATTAGCTCTTGCCGCGTCGTAAGCGAAAAGTTGCTTACATAGCGATTCACCCCAAAAGATGGGGCCAATCACAGAAATCGTGATGTATTCCATGAAGGGGTAGTGATGAATCTGTTTCCACCCTGGCAATTGAGATCAGCCTTGTATCTTGGGTTGCTTGAGACTTGTTGAGCTTACCGTCTACATCTTTCTTTCGACTAAGATGGTTCTCCACGCCGTTAAGTAAGGTATCGTGCATATATGGATATAGATCTGCCAACTTCGTTGTCAATCCTTCCCGTAAGACTCGGAAATAGTAGATTTGAGTCATTTGTATGGATTCCCCCTGGTCGTGCCATAGTTTATTGTACCTGTATGAGAACAGCTGCCAAGCAGTTAGCACAAGAACACAATTCCAGGAGTCACACATGACTTACATCGTCATATGCTTGGTGTAGAGAGAAGTTTGGAGACGAAGCAAATTCTTTGATGTTCTTCTCGGCTGAGATAAAAACGCAGTAATTCTTTGCTGTTGGAAGCATGTAGGTCTTTCCCGGAATCTGGATAAGGATTCGTACATCAGTAGAGTCTCTATACACAAATATATTAAGGACATACATGTGCCTCAATTAGCATAGCTCGACCTTTGAGCAGCCATTCCTTGCTCTGAATCCAACGTTTCGTGCGAGAGAGCTTTGTTTCAGTGTCCAAGTTGCTCTAGTAGATAATCAACCGTCAGTTTTGCTATGGCTTTTTCAAAATGAAATGACGCTGACGTACAACATACAGGAGCTTCAGGAAATTTGGGAAGAATGCTGTTAAGCCAGATAGCCAAGAGTACCAAGCCGACAGCAACACTGGGGACAATGTAGCCATAGCTGAAAAGTACATGCTCAACGGTGCTCAGTTCAACGTAAGTCATTGTTGCTTTCCTCGATGTGTGAATGAGATTTTGAATTCTTTACCCAAACAAGTCTTGGAGGTATAGAGCGAAGAAATGGGAGGGGTGATAGATACAAGAACATCTTATCATTTCGCCCCTCAGTTCACAGGCCACGGTCTGGAGGGGCTCTAGGACAGCTCCAGGGTCAGAAACATACATGGGTATGAATAGGCGAGCAAGGCCCCTGAAAAGATCCCGCGCCGCCCCAGGCTGGGGTCGATCCTTCGCATGGGCTAGTATTGCTTATGAATGCGCTCAGAATGTTTCAATGTATCCCGTCTCCCGTATCAATATTGAAAGGCACGTCGACTTGCATGGTCTAAATCATAATCGAGTGATGAGAAGCATGCAGTCCGAGCCCCTGATCGTCCGTTATTTTCGTAACAGAGATCTATGCAGGCACACTTACCACCATACAAATGGATATCGCCTGACTCTCATGCACGTCATTGCCGCAGAATTGTATATGGCGCAGCAAACCCCCTACCTTGTGTACCCAGCAATCTCATGCAGTCATCATGTGACCCACATATGCTGCATAATAGGCACTTCGGCTAGTTTTTGATTGACGGACAAAGTCCAACATCCTCGTTATAACACGGAGACGGAGACTTCGAGCTTTCCCTTCTTCCCTCATCCCGTTTCTAGCGCAAATCAGCCCTCGCGCAATACAATATGGCAACCAATACACCAAACGCCCTACCTCATGTCCTCGTAATGGGGGGGTGCGGCTTCCTTGGCTCTCATATCGTCCACGCTTTACTCGCCCTTCCTTCTCCTCCATCAGTGTCTGTGGCAAGCCGCTCTCCCAGCCAGAATCTTGTCAAGGGCGCCGAATACCATACTAGCGATATCTCCAAGCAGGCTGACTTCGAAGCTCTGCTTTCAACTCTCCGCCCAACCATCATAATCAACGCAGCCTCCCCGCGCGCTAAAGCGGGTGCACAGGCTTCCGCGGCTACCACCATTGCAGGAACACGCCTCTCGCTGGCTTGTGCGGCGCGGTGCCCCTCTGTCAGGGGTTACATCTACATCTCGAGCGCCTCAATCGTCTCTGGGGTGCCATTCACTCTCCTCACGGAATCTGCCGCAACCCTGGTCAATCCAACTTCCCACTTCGACCCTTACTCTGCAGCCAAAGCTTCAGCTGATGCTATGGTCCTCGCCGCAAATGATCCCCCACAATTGCGGACTGCCGTTCTTAGACCAAGTGGGATCATCGGGGAGAGAGATACTCAGGTCATCCCAGCACTGCTGACGGCGCTAAATCAAGGCATGGCACGTATACAGCTCGGAAACGGGAGGAGCAAGTTTGACTTCGTCTACGCTGGTAACGTAGCCGACGCATGTGCATGCTGTGCTGAGGCGTTGGTGAAAGAGGAGACGGCAGATGTTCCACAAGAACAGAAAGTCGCCGGTGAGGCTTTCTTCATTACAAACGGCGAGCCAATCGAATTCTGGGGATTTGCACGTCTTGTATGGCGTCTTGCCGGAGATCGAACTCCGCAAGAGAAGGTGATCGAGGTCCCTATGTGGCTGGCATTTTCCTTGGCATGGTTAGCTGAGTGGGTTATGTGGGTGGTCAGCGCGGGGACGAAGAGGCCGGAGAAGTTCAACCGGATGCAGATGGAGAATTGCAGCTTAGATCGAACTTTTGATATCACCAAGGCAAAAGAGCGTTTGCAGTGGGAACCAAAAGTAACCTTGGACGAAGGAGCTCGAAGAGGTGTTGAATGGGCAGTCGCGAAGAGTGCAGAGGAAAACGGAAAGAAGAATATCTAGAAATCTTCATGGTAGGACTCTGTCGTTCTATACTATTGTTCTAAGCATACACAGCATCCATTTGAATCTTCCCAATATCTTGACGGCTGGAACTAGTTCCAACATGTCGAATGCCATCGAACCCAACTCCTTTGTCCCCCCACCAAAATAACCCTTTTTCATCAACTGACCAATCATCAATGAGGTCTACCAGAGTCTGAAAGTGACCATAAGTTGCTGGCTGCGGACCCAGAGGTCTTCGAAATGCCACGAATGTAATATAAACAGCAATTGCAGTTGCAATGATAGTATAGATAAAAATCCTCGGATAAAGCATGAAGAACTCATAATCAAACGCATAATCCATGGTGCTTTTAAGTGCTCCGTCCACAACATCGCTCCAATATATATCAATTCCACTGATCTTAAGGAGAACCACTTGCCCCATAATCCAATGCAATAGGCATTTGAAAATGAGCAGTAATATATTCTGCCAACTCAAAGTTGCCGAGATAAAGGCGTTTCTCTTTCTGAAGCTACGATTTCTCGCAACTGCTTTCCAAACGCTTTCATCGCGCGGCATGTTGATAATTAGCTCAGCGGCATGAAGGTCCATTGTCTGAAAGCCTTGTACGGCACACAGAAACAAAATGCCAGCAATCAAAGGAAAAGCCCAGGAACCGTCGATCGAATCGACATCAAAAGCAAAGCCGCAAATAACCAGAGAGCATGGACTTGGCTCTGTGCCATATGCGAGAGAGAATTTCAACAGGTTAGACTGACTCAAAACAAATCGGCCAAGAATAACTAGGATGATGAAGAAAATTGTTGAGAGGCATGGCTATATCCGTACGAGGATGAGGATGTAGCGTTGGGAGACAGCCGATTTCCTGGCGCTTGAACATTTGGCTAACGGTTTTGTAGGGTTTGATGGCAATGCAGCGTTGTCGAGTGACATCGTGCATCTTCTTGTATTTTGGGTGAGACCGTGATGTATGAAAGCTAGTGCATTGTTAAGAGAGTCTAGACTCCATGTCGGGAAATCTTTTAAAGCGAACACCATGATCCACATCGATATTGTCGTTTTGCCCCGTAATCCTATAGCTAGAGGCAAATTGCAACCCCATTAAAGGCAACGCTAGCTACCTTGTAAATACCCGTAGAAGGATCGTGCGTAGCCGACAGAAAGATCTGAGATGATGCTGCATAGCATAAGATAAGTGATATAATGCAAATGATATTTGCTGGCCACCGATTAAGGGCATGATTCTTTGCGCTAGTAAAGAATTGGGAAAAAGAATGCAATCAACTTTCTCTAAATAATTTCCATCTGAGAGACGTCCCATAGATATAGCCCAAGGAATCAGTGATGATGGCAACGAAACGCTGGGCGCTGGCTGTAAATGAGAGGCCAGCGCCGCCAGTGATAAAGCTTGCTGATATAGACATAGTTTGTAGGCGGCTTGACGAAGCATAGTGTTCCGAGATCTGTGCAAGTGCAGATAACTAGCCATGAGAGTGCATGTCCGAGTAGGCAAGGAGCCTTGTAGTAATCCCACCATCTTCTGGGATAATCGGTTGGGTTTCGTTAAAGTATCTAGCTTTACATCTTTCTGCTCAGTAGAAAAACTTAGGTCTGGCAGAAATGGCTTGGCTTGATTCACATTCTAATCTTCCAGTGTATTAACCTTGCTTGCTAAACGATTGAGATCTCCGTCATCCGACTTGGCTTCATTGAATTCCAAGTGTTCTCTTAAATCAGTCTTCGTAGTTGAATTGCTTAGAAATGTGAGAAAGGTTTCGAAATCCCGGTCATTCGATCTTCTGACATCTCTTTTCCCCGATCGAGAAGTCTCTGATCTCTCGATTACGTGCAGCTTTCCAGACGATCCTGTATCTCATCTTGATCATGATTTGAGTCCTCCGCACACATGATATCCCTGAGACTTTTCGTTTCGACATCCATGTGACCTAGAGAATTAGGAGAACTTTACCTACACGTAGATACGGTATAGGACAATCGTGCAAAAGAAGCAACAGTGGAGAAATCGGGACTCTGTTCAGGCTCCATTGCGGAGAGCAAGCAAATGCATCGAATATGATTGGCCAGCTGGGTTCAAAGCACTTCCCGACGCACAATCTCAATGAATTATTTCAGCATCTTCTTGCCTTGTTCTCGGTTCTTCTACGCCTTACAAAAATAAAGCAGATTAATATAAACAGATGAAATATACGAGAAAAACAAATGAAATAGCAGCGAGTGCGGTTTTAGGCTAAACTCAAGCGAGCAACCAAGTCCTTGACCAGTAAATACTGAGCGTGTAGCTCCAACATATAAAAAAGAACAATAAGGCGATTTGATTTACAACAGAGATTGATAACAATCGATCTGACTAGGTATTCCATGGGTTTCGTGACCCTCGGCATCATGCGCTTAGTGATGACTTGCTGTCTGAGAAGTCTTCGAGTACCGGTTGTCAGGTTCATTCTTACCGCAATCTGATCGAGAGAAGCCTTGAATAGAGTAGCGCCTAGAAAAATCATCATCTAGGAATCCATAGGAAGCCAAACATGGATCTAAAGGTTGGCACGGAAGCTGTCGCTTCTGGCCCCTTTACTAATTTCGGACTAGTCTCTTTTAGTCTTTCTTGTCCCCCACTTTGGAATAAATCTTACAACAATTCATGAAGTCTCAAATACTCACTTTTGTATCTGGATTCGTTATTATATTGCATTTCCCAGGAGGATAGATCGCCAAGCCAGATACGAATTCGTGTCATTTTGAGGAACAGGTGGGTAGGAATCTACCCTTTTCAAACGAATCTTCAAACCCATCTTCAACATTATCGCCAGAAATTCTGTGAGCACCCATACTATGATACCGGCTACACTTATATGGAGCTCATTTGACGCACTGCTCCGATAGATACATGCCAGCTTGGTCTCTAGCTGCTCCACAGTGGACTTATCCATCGACCTCAAGCACTGTGTCCTTCGCTTAAAGATTTCGTTACGGACTCCCCACGACAAAATGGAATTACTACCTATCCAAAACCTTTTAAAGTCTCAAATTGCACTCCGACAAAATGATATAATCTCAGCTACACAACTTCTGGTAGCAGCAGGCTCTCCCAACCCTCCAGGAGACACAACTCGTGTCGCAGAAGCTGCCACGCATCTTCTCACGAAGATTCCCGAGATTGAGATCATACAACACGAGACAGCACCAGGCATCGTTAACCTTGTAGCTCGAATATCAAGTGGTCGTCCCGGTCAACGACTTGTCTTCAATGGACACTTGGATACTTACCCAATTTGTGAACATCTGAATTGGACTGTTCCGCCTCTAGATGGAATCCTCAAAGACGAGAAGATTTATGGAAGAGGAGCATCAGATATGAAAGGAGGCATCGCAGCATCAATTGTCACCGCTACTGTGCTAGCTGAGCATAAACACTTGTGGTCCGGTGAGATTGTGATCACTCTCGCTGGAGATGAGGAGAGTATGGGTCCGTTGGGCACAGGATGGCTCCTCGAAAACGTCGACATTGCCAAGGGTGATTTTATGATATGTGGAGATGTTGGTTCGCCCAACATTATTCGATTCGGTGAGAAGGGCTTCTGCTGGTTCGAAATTACAGCTACTGGGATTTCCGCGCATGGTGCACATGTCCACAAAGGCATCAATGCTATCGATCGACTACGGAAAGCTTTGAATTCTGTAGACCTACTTGAGAACTTGGTGGTGCAAGCGCCGCCGGAGATCGAGGAAGCTATCGAGGAAGCGACGAAGGTGTCAGAAACTACATGCGGACACGGAGAGTCGCATACATTACAGCATGTTACTGTCAACATTGGCACAATCACAGGTGGAACCCTGCTCAACTTGATGCCCAGCCAGGCATCAGCCCAAGGAGATATACGACTGCCTATTGGAATATCAGTTTCTCAGGTCTTAGAGCATCTCCACCAGCACCTTGATACTATGGCTGGAGTGACTTGGCGCATTATTCGGAGCCATGAGCCAACGTACACCGCTCCTGCTCATCCTCTCGTTCAATCTGCACTTTTGGCATCTCGACAGATCTTGGGGAAGGATTCAAGCTCTATGGTGAATATGCGAGTTGGAGCATCAGATTCGAGGCTATACCGAGCCACCGGTGTCCCAAGTGTTGTTTTGGGTTGTACTGGATATGGTCTGGGGGCGGCAGATGAATATGCCACGATTGGTGAACTTGTCAACATGGCTCAAATACATGCTTTAATCGCCTATGATCTTCTCAAGCCGCAGTAGATCGATTCTCATTACAGCAGGCTAGAAAATCGGCACTTGAGCATGGATATCAAGGGTGTCTTCATAGGGAGGAAAGAGGTATTCTTCATGCTACCCGTTATAAGAGACTCAACATGTACGATTTCGAGTCTCTCCCAAGAATAAAGCCAATTGATCTGCTTTTTTCTGCACCAGCTTGATTGGCAGAGTCCCACGTCGGGATACTACTTCTAGCCGCGGGACCGCCTGCACTGGGTTGCGGACTGGCAGGATGAAGAGCCGGCGGTGAGGCTGCACGATTGTATTGGTGGCGTGCTGACATGCCTACATCATCTGCAGCTCGGATTCGCTTTACCCCTCAGCATTGGTAACCACCCTTTCTACCAATCGATAAGCCAGGTACAAAAAGAACCAAACCACAGCTCTGGTATCAGTACCAGCTGAATGGGACGAACCAGGGCAACCCACAGTACTGAACTACATCATTTCTTGATTTCAAAGATTGAAACGTCCATCTTTACTGTATTTTGACATTAGATTTGGAAATATATGCTTATCAAGTCGTCAAAGCTACAAAAGATGTGGATTCGTTCAGTAGTTGTATCGGTTCTTTGCTATGTTCAAGTGTTCGCAAATTCCCCTTCCAAGCAGCGCATATTCTCTAGTGCCTTCGCGATCCCGGGAAACGCTTCGTATGATTATGTTGGTATGAAATATACAAAGTCATGTTGCTCCCTGCTGAGGAAAACGTTTAGTAATTGGCGGAGGCACGGGTGGTCTAGCCGTTGCAGCACGGCTTGCAGAAACATCATCAGTTGCCGTTGTCGAGGGAGGAGGTTTCTATGAGGTAGAGAATGGCAATCAGAGCGTTGTACCTTGGTATGCTTTGGCAATGCCAGTGCTCTCGGTCTCCACGTCCTACCCCAGGCAGCCTCTGGTAGACTGGGACTTAATCACTGAACCTCAAACATCAGCTAATAATCGACGAATTCATTTCGCCCGAGGAAAGACTCTAGGTGGATGCTCAGCTATCAATACTTTGGGTTATCACCGTGGTTCGATTGGCTCCTACCAATATTGGGCTGATCTTGTTGGGGACCAAAGCTACACATGGCCAAATATCCTTCCTTACTTCAAGAAGTCTACTACCCTCACGCCCCCTGATCTCGCTAAGCGTAACGTCCAGAATGCTACTGTCCTGTATGAGCCCAAAGCTTTTGATAACTCACTCAATGGACCCGTACAAGTATCTTGGGGTAATTGGGTTGATATTACAGGGACTTGGCTCGCTCTGGGCATGCAATCAATTGGACTTCCGCTCAGCCCAACCGGCTTCAGTAGTGGTATCCTCTCCGGATACGGAGGATGGGTCACATCTGAGATAAAAGCAAAAGATGCGACACGTTCTTCCTCGGAGGCAAGCTATCTACGACAGGCCATTGAAGACACAGACATCATGGTTTATACACATACTCAGGCGCAGCGTATCCTCTTTGATCAAGGAACCCCACAGAAAGCGAACTCTGTCTTGGTCTCCACCAATGGGTACGAATACATCATTTCAGCTAACAAGGAAGTCATATTGTCTGCTGGCGTGTTTCATTCTCCTCAGTTGCTCATGGTGTCCGGTAATGCAATCAAACAACCTGGTTCCTATGCCACGCGCTCTAACATACAACCAGGAATCGGTCCCAAAGCAACACTTGAAGCTAACGATATCCCGGTTGTCGTCGATCTCCCTGGCGTAGGACAAAACCTACAAGATCAGATATTCTTCGATGTGCTTAGCGGAGTCAACACACCCAATACCGCTGCTCTCGTAGCAGACCCCACACAAACGGCCAATTTACTTTCCAACTACTTCAACAATGCAACCGGGCCTTACAGCTCCGCTGGTGGTTTCATCGCATTTGAAAAGATTCCTCCATCAATGAGAAACTTCACAAAGCGGACGAGTGATCTCCTGAATACGATTCCAGCGGATTGGCCTGAACTCGAATACATTGTCCTTGCATATCCGAATACGCCTGGTGCGAATGCAACTACTGTTGGAGCCATGAGCGGCACGATCCAAGCCCCGTTTTCTCGGGGCAATGTCACAATATCTAGCTCCAGCATGTTAGATCCACCACTGATCAACATGGGATGGCTCACCGACCCCGCAGACGGTGAACTCCTAGTGGCAGCAGTCAAACGCTGTCGTCAAGCCTGGGCCAGCGATGTCCTCAAACCCATCAAAGTCGGACCCGAAATCTTACCTGGCCCAGATGTACAGTCAGATGCTGATATCTTGGTGTGGCTACGTGGTGTAGTGGCTCCTGTTTGGCATCCAAGCTCTACCTGTTCGATGGGGAAGAAGGGGTTGTAGATTCGAAGGCTAAGGTTTTTGGGGTCGAGGGATTGAGAGTTGTGGATCTCTCGGCGGTGCCGTTTAGTATTCCTGGCCATCCGTCTGGCTCGGTGTATATGTTTGCTGAGAAGATTGCGGATGTTATTAAGAATGGGGACTGACTTTGGCCAAAAGAAAGGAACATAGTAGTCTGGTCAGAAGCTAAACCAAACGACTTTTATCTGTTAATTGAGACACTTGATATCAAAAACAATACAAATTAAGGTTAAGGAGAACACCACTGTTACTTTTCTAACCATCAACTTGATAAATTTTAGAATAGGCAACTAGTTAATTGCTTTCACCAAATCAAAAGCAGTCATCTACCGGGGACATTCATTCATTTCGAGGTGGAAAGGTGCATGTAAAGTCGTGGAGAAAAAGGCCAAAGAGCGACCTTAAGCAAGGGGCTCGCTTAGCAGCAGAATATCAAAATACCCCGCACCTCGGAATCATCGAACATTCTTTCCCATCAACATGTCTCTAATTACAAACTTGAGAGCATACTTGCAGCGGTCATTGACCAGCTTTACAGCAGTTGGAACCCCAGCCAGATCTCAAAGTCCGTCCGGAGGCGAACCTCCTCCTAAGTGCCGATATCGTCTGGACAACGATAGTTCCGACACTCTCACCCTGCCCGATGGACGAAATCTCGGGTGTGCATAGTATGGCTCGCTGACTGGACGACCTATTTTATACATGCATGGCCTTCCAGGCTCTCGTCTAGAGGCTGCTGGTTATGATGACTTGGGCCTGAAGTTAGGTGCTCGGATTATTGCTGCAGATAGACCAGGCTATGGCTGGAGCTCATCACATCCTGATCGAACACTACTTGATTATCCAAAGGACATAGAATATCTTGCCAACCATCTCAAGTTGGATGAATACAGCGTTTTGGTACGAATGCTCGCCGTTGAGAATATTTAAGTGTGCTTGCTGATGGTGCGAATTGGGTAGGGAGTATCAGGAGGTGGACCTTATGCTCTCGTGTGTGCAATGTCATTATCTCCCGATAAGCTCAAGTCTGTTTCTATCGTCTGTGGTCTTGGTCCGCCTGACATCGGGATGCGTGGTGCGGACTTTATACACTGGATTGGCTTTCCTTATGGATGGCGATATAGCCCCGCCATTTTGTTGCGATGGTTTCTCCAACGAGACCCAGCAGCACGCTTGGACTGGAGTGACGAAAAGCGTTTTGAGGTTCTCCAGCAGCAGATTGCAAGCTCTAAAGCAACGACCCATAAGAAAGACCTTGAAGTCACGACAGATGAAGACTTTCTGAGATTGTTCCTGCGATCCTCGCGGGAAAGTTACGCTCAAGGCTTTGATGGGACGTTGCAGGATGGCAAGGTGATGTGTACAGACTTTGCTTTTCGGATAGAGGATATTCGCCACGACTTACCTATACAACTGTGGTATGGAAAGCATGATACTCACGTTCCACTTAACCATGGCGAGCAAATAGCGGCACGGCTGGGCGGTAGAGCGACTTTCAGGGTTGAGGATGAGACCCACGCGAGTATTTCACAACACTGGAAGAGTGAGCAATTGGAAGCTTTGATAAAGAGCATGTAAATCCTGGGATGAGACTTGTATGCAATCAGATTAAGCCAAGCGCAGCAGTCAAGCAGGTTCATAAAGATCGCCGCCCAAGCCTTACCAGCCCCTCCAACATTCTGTGGCTAACACAATGTAGGGGTGGCTTAATGCTCTCGAAACAGTTCTTGAATCTCTGCACAATGCCATTTCGTATTGCATGTCATAGATGCATCAATTTCTATCGATAAATGTCAATTTCCTGGTTATTCCTCGTTCTCGTTTGATTCAACCTCTCACAGTCAGGATGGGTAAAAGCAAGCAATTGCGCCAGGTCGAGCGAGACGGCGTACCGTACGAGACAAAACTTAACAACTCATGAAACCTTTCGGTCTTAGTCTTTGCAAACTACATGGGAACTTGGGAAATAGATCGTGTTTCTCTCGAAGCGCAGGATGACTCTGTGAATTCTTTTACCAAAAATACGCGATACGATGTTCAAAAAAGGATGCGCAATCTATTTCCCATGAAAACCCCTGAATCGGTGCCTGGTTGGAAACTTTATCGCTGCTGGCAGCGAATTATAGGCTGCGGCTGAGACAAGCATCTAGGCCACAAGTATCGAATGTTGGAGGCGGGTTGTTCAGCTGGGCGCTTTGAGCCTTCACAGTCCAGGGATCAGCATCCATGAGTTTGGTTTAAAAGAGCCTAATGTTCCTGCCGCTTTTTTTTCACGTCCTGCTTTTGAGCGAAGAGCTTCCCCTTTCTTCACATCAACAGTCACTCACCTTGAGAAACACTCGATATATACTTCCTCCACGAGCACGAAACATCCCAATCAAATTTACGCTCAACTCTCTGAAACCTCCAACCGATGGCAGCCCCTCAATACTCCAATGGGGCTCCCCAGACCATCGCATCCACAGTCCACACGGGCAAACCACCAATGTCAATATGGGTGCCTATGGGAGTCCTCATTGCCTGGATTTGCTGCTTCATCATCGGCGGCGGTCTCATAGGCGCTTTCGAATCTGGTTCCATTTGTATCGAGAACGACGAATTTACCACAACCTGCTACGGCAACACGGGCGAGTGGTACGCAGGAATTGCATTTATTGTCATTGCTGTGCTCCTGAAGTTTACTTTCTGGGTTCTGTTGATTGTGAGGTGTTTTCAGAGGAGGGGATACGTTGCAGTTACCACGGTGGTACAAAACAACAATACGATCCACAATGAGACGGGGATGCCACTTCGGCAGTATGAGCCTCAGCAGGAGCAGCAGCTTCCACCTGGATACGCGACAAGGCCGTATCAGGATGTTCCGTTACAGAGTCAGTATGACACTTCGAAGGTTGGACAGATGAAGTATTGTGGGCAGTGTGGGACGGGAAATACTACACCGTATTGCTCCAAGTGCGGAGGTCATGTTACAATGTGAGGTGCGGAGGCGCATTGCCGATAGACTATACATTAGTACACGAGGATCATGGGATTAGAGTTGGATCAATATCTGGGGATCAGCCTTCAGATAGATGAACAATCAGTACGATATAATGCAAAAGATTAGTTCAGAATTCAAGGCTTCAATTGTATGGCTGCTTTTGAGAGAGCCGACGATTTAGCTCTGCGACAGCCGGAATGACTCCTACACAAATGACTAATCGTCTCGAGGGTGCCGAACGCTTATGCACATGAATCCCACTATCACCTTGACGCTCGGTCAGAAGCTATAAATACCAGTTGTGTCGAGGCGTAATATGCAATTGGCTTGGTTTGGGATGAAATTGTCTTGTATTTTCTTTTGTGTGCACTCCTTGATGTGGTGGCAAAGTAAAGACGCTGGCTTGAACCTTACCCGATGATAAAGGCAAGCGCCGCGGCGAGCCGCACCCCTCAGCCTCTTGTATTTGAGTATCTAGTTAGGTACATGTTGCTGGTCGTTGAAAAGATTCTAACATTCTTACGATATTTGTCACTTTTTGCACAATTATGCGTTCTCGCTCCGCTCTTTATGACAGCTTATGACTTTTCTAAGTCTAATCCGCAGATCATAATTGATCATGGTAAGTTCTAGTTCTATTCGAGTTATCAGATTCTCGTTTCCTGTCAAAGCTGACTCTTCAAGTCGAGCCTCACGGAACGAATGACCGTTCTATTCAGTCACCAATCTCAAAAAATTACTTATGGCGAATGGATGGATCTCATAACGCTCTGCCTCGCTCCTCTACTTGTTCATATAATAGCCGGCGTACCCACTCCTACCATTCTCACATCAAAGAAGCTTAGCTGGCACGACAAATTTGGTTTTTACAATCCAACTTCAATCATGTGGCGCTATTTCGCAATCCTAGATCGGCGCGTCCGGGCTAAATCGTGGAGTGCAATGGAAATGGCAGCTTCAAATGCCGTATTCTGGACGGACGGAGGCTGGAATGGAAGTGAATACATGATCTGGTCGAGTCGTTTGCATTGTCGAATACCCCCGTCGCAAACCCACATCGACATCATATCCGGTTCTGCGGCGGCAACCCTGGTAGTAGCGTTGCAGGGAATCTCAGCCATATATGCGCTCTTGATGGGAGTAATCTTCCCGAAGTCCTACTCATATGGAGACACGGTCTCGATCAGCAAGGTCTTTATCCCGTTGACTATATTCGGGCTATTTCGGCTACCAATCGCGTTTTGGTTGAGCGACGACTACAAGTTCTCCTTTTCCAAATCAGCGACAGCAAAGTGACCGAGATGGACACTTTGGGCTCGAAGGGTCATGCATACCCTAAACACAGCGCCAGTATCTCCATCGAGCGCCTCTCTGAGGCAGAAATGTTAACTTCGGACGGCGAACAAGAAGAAGGAGCCTTTCATCGGACTTCCTCTTGGCGTGGCTATCTGCATCGAACGATTTTCATGGGCATATTGGTCGCTCTTTGGGGAATCACGATGTACTACATCTCCCCCTGAACGGCGGAAAATTCACCTCAACAAATTTATTCATCAATTCCTTCTACCTGCTTTGGTTGAGCACGACTATAGCCATAATGGGGACGTACTTTTAGATCGGGGATTCGTCGTCTACTATCATCCCTTGTGTCAGTACGACATGGTATAAACTGTACACGAGCTTTTTGTTCGCGTTGATCATTGGAATCATGGTAGTCGCGGGCTTAGAGACGAGAAAAGCAGCATGTGGTCTTTAGACGACGTATCCATCATGGCGCGACGGAAAACTTTGCCCTTAGCTTTGTATTTGAGACGTCTCTGGGCCGAAATTGGAAAGTCTAATGTACAAGGGGTTGGATTTGGAGTTGGAGTTAGAGCTGGAGTGGAGGGATAGATGGGAATATACTTCTTAAATATCAACCTGAGTCTAATTATACCGCATATCCATCTCAACACTGCCAAGTGATAGTACCTTAATAAGAACTAGCTTGAAATCTGCCCTTGTCTGCCTCAGATATCTAGTACATTGCATTGGAACCATGGGCTTAATCAGTAGTATAAATTATCTTAGAGACTGAATTGAGCAGGAAGAGACTTCGGATATACAGACGAAAATACATGCCCACCTAGGCAGTAAACTCTACACGGCACGTGACTTGACCCTTCCTCGACCTCCCGTCATCAAGTACAGGTAAACATGGCGCAAAGAATAAACAGTGTACTACAGTTTGCGAAAAACTTCAGTTGTTCTCTGCTTTAAACATCCAAGCTTATTTGGGAGGAATCTCAGTGTCCTACACATGCTGCAGACTTCTGAAGCTTCGTGGGGTAAGAGCATTATTCCGGAAGTTCTTTCCTCCATATGTCATGCAGCATTGTTCCTGCCAGAATTGATAGATACGACAAGAAACGTCTTCCCTCCTTTCTCGTGCGCTTCTTCTTCCTCTCTTCATCGACAACGAATCATCAACTTTCGAGACTGTAATCCATGCGAACCCAAGACAACCAACCACTTGTCTTTGCTTCTCTAAGTCTGTCTTACTACCTTCACTTTCTATTTTCGAGAACTTCTCTCGACATTTGTTCGGTCACGGTCGCCAAGCAGTCTTTCTTAGCAATCATCCTCACTGCCAACTCATCGCAATGCTTGGGAGCTGTAAGTCTAACCTTTCGTACACTCCTATACCCCTTCCTAGTGTTACTGTGGCCTTGTCGTCTCCAACCACATCTTCTCGTGGCCTGTAGCTAACCATGAGACTCGCAGATCGACACCTTGCACAGCAATCGTTGCCTCTGTCCTCCATTCTTAACATAGGTAGGTGTGGCTTTCGTTTGTTCAGGTGTGGAGGCTCTGGGGATACTCATTGAGGACGCTCATGGGAGTTTGGTTCGATTCCAAACCAAGCAGATGGACAATCACTGTCTGGGTTTTTGCTTTGGCTTTTTCCTCGCCTACTCAGTAACGTGCTGACGAATAAAATGGACTACTTAGGAATTCTCTCGAAAAATCACTCATCCCTCATAGTCCTCGCTGTAGCCAAGTGCAATCAGGATGTTGGGATGTCCAGGAGCAAAAGCGCGTGTTGGAATTTGCATCTTTGGATGAACAAGGCGAGAGCGAGGCTAGTTTAACGTAGATAGACATACCAATAAAAAATCTTGATCCACTCCCATGGCAATTTATTCCACGGTGACTCCTGTTTTGAAGATCGCGACTGTTGCTCGCTTCTTCTTTTTCGGATTGGATTTGTGGTCGACAACAAAGTCGTTGATATGAGGAAGAGGTTTGAATCTTGCACCGTTCCTCGCTGCAGAGTGGGCAAGAACGTGGCCCTTGATAGGCAGTTTATGGTCCTGATTGAAATGGCCAGGGATCCAACGTAACTCAATTTCTATCCCAAGTCGTCTGAGATTATATGCTGCCTTGAGACCAGGCTTAGCTAAAGGCCTTGAAAACCAAACGGATTGCATGCCACCTTTCTGATAATTCCACAGAGCTCTATGCGAGTCTGAATAAATGACAACGACTGATGGTCGCGCTTTCGTTTTGGTGACCTCTTCATCAGCAATCTGAAGCGCTTTCGCGATAGCTCCCATTTCGGCTGCCCATATATTGACCTCTTTCCTGACGTGGTACGACAGTGAGATCCAGCGACTTGGGCCTCTTTTGTACACTACTCCCATTCCAGAGCGTCCGACGAAACCACCGTTCGTTGATGCATCGGTCCAGAATACCATGCGTCCTCCTTGAGAGGTCATTTCTTTGCTGTTGTATTCTGAGCGTGCAGCGGCCAAGGCTGATGTCGTATCAGGATCGATGATCACCGCTCCTGGCAAATCGTAGCTGAATTTCTCCTGCCATAGAGCTTCAGGCTTGTCGGCAGCGGCTCGCTCGTCTAGGGCATCAAAGCTTGATGACGGAACATTGCCCGCTTCTGAGGTTGGAGAAGCCATAATGGTTTCGGCAACTGTTGAATTTTGTTCCATTATATGTAAACGGATTTGGAGATCTTGAACGATCGATATTATGATATGAGTTTGTTGTATTTGTCGAGAGATGAGAATGGCTGACGCGTTGCGAGAAGAATACCTAGGAATCATTCTCGAAGTCTATGAAGAAGGCGTTGTAGAGATGTCAAGTATTCAATACTGTTTCATTTTTTATAGTGCTGAGAATCGAAAACATAAGCAAACATGGAAACATTTTATGAAAGGGTTTCGATTTGGACTGGTGGAAAGCGCTACCACGTGACCAGGCGCAAGCTTAAATGTGAAGTTTTAAGCAAAGATATAGCTGAAAGGATTGGTGGAAATGGTGATAACGTCAAGTTTTCTTCTTAGAGTCCTTTCCCACTCAACCACAAGGTCAAGAAACGCTAATCGGCACCTGAATAGGTATAAGGCTCATGTGATATACATCTATCCTCTGCTTCCCATACCCAGCCAACTTGGCTTGTAAGACGATCGACTGACCGAGTATGCCACTATCTTTTAAAGCTAGAGACATGAGATTCACACAAATGTAAAGAATAGACTTGTTGACAAAAGTATACAGGAGTTATGCAGCCAACGTTTCAACCAAGATGCTCCTCGATCACGCTTCCGATGAGGTTATCGTCACTTGACGAGAGCTTCTGTGAAGATAGCAATTACATACTCGAATAATAAACTACTAGATTCTGTTGGCTCCGATGAAAGAGTGAAGTGAGCTTCAGGACGGGATGAGGTTTTCATATGATTTATGAGTTAAACCTTTTTCGGATTAGGGAATATATACGGCTGGCTTTTGTACCAAGCACGCAGTCGCGACAATATTTTCCGTCTCTTCTTCTTTCCTCACCAATCTCTTACAATCTTACAATCATCCATGCTACGTACCATACCATTCAGCAAAGCCTCCCAGTATGCGAAAATGCACATTACTTCATTACAAGGAGACACAACTGATTCGCGATGACATTTCGTTGCGGACGGATGTCATGCCGCAAACGCAGTCGGAGTCGGCATTGCCAGGTTGAACGCCTCTTTCTGCAGCCACAATTCCATCAAGACGACCACAAAATGCTTCGGAGGTATACAATTGTCAACGACAGAATGAATCGGATGAATGAAGTATCGATTCTGCAGTAGCTGGAAATTCTTAAAAGCCCAAAGATCGACGACAAATGTCAGAATGTCCAGATAACAGAACAAGTTCTATCAGTCAATTTTCTTTCCAACCTGAAATCAAATCACAATTGTCTTTTTGACTCTATTGCAAGTGTCGTGTCATTATGTCAACCTTTTCAAGTCTACTCGATGTCAGAGCGACACCCAACCAGTTCGAAAATTGTACATTTGAAACATGCTCCCTATCAAGGTATTTCCACCACCTCGAGAATTCGACAGACAACTAACATTGGAACAGTTCGTTCTGGTACTATCGACCATCTTTAGTCGCCAACTCGATCTTTCTTTCCCTTTTCGCCCTCTCCCTCCTAGCTTTTATCCTTACATATCTCCTCACCCGACGATTTGGCATCTTCACTGTCGCACTCGCCTGCTGCTGCACCCTTGAAATTATCGGCTACCTCGGCCGCATTATATCTTACTCCAATCCATGGCACGAAACTGGTTTCCTGCTTCAAATTGTTTGCTTGACCATTGCACCAAGTTTCATGGCTGGAGGCATCTACCTCTGTCTACGAAACATCGTGGAAGTGTTTGGCTCAGAAAAATCTCGAATAAGACCAGAATCTTACACTAGGATCTTCATTCCGTGTGATGTTATCTCTTTGATTCTGCAAGCTCTTGGTGGGGCCATGGCATCTATGGCTAGTCATCAGGGCCACTCTTCGGCATTGGGTGATCACATCATGGTCGCTGGGTTGGCATTCCAAGTCTCGACTTTGACTTTGTTCATGGTGAGCTCATCACCCTTGAACATATTTTCACTTCTAACTAGTTTTAGGCAGTCTGTATCGACTTCGCTGTGAGGACTTCAAAGCATCCAGACGACAATAGAGATGACACGAAACTTCTCAGCGTCCGGTCTACAAAGCGATTTTCTCAATTCATCTTTTCGTTAGCTATTGCCACTATCTGCATCTTCATTCGCTCTATCTATCGTGTCGCCGAATTGTCTGAAAGCTGGACCGGTCACCTCATTCGACAGCAGTGGCTGTTCGTTGGTTTGGAAGGCGTGATGATTGTTGTTGCTTTTGCTGTCCTGAACATATCTCACCCCGCTTTCTGCTTCGACGCAAGATCGGCGGCTAGTACTGGTGCAGAGATTTCCGACGAGTTCACTTCGGGAGATCAGGCCAAAGAAATGGACTCCGAGAATAGAGTTTGAGTCTTCCTCAAGAAGGCGATCCTGGCCAAAGGTTATGGCGACGGTCAGAGGCGACAGCTGGGGATACCAAATTGTTCATAAAGCATATTTTCTTCCTTACGGTGGTGTTCGCTTCTAGATATTTTTGATTTTCTAAAATTTAGATGCTCTACGTCATGATTCCTGTATGATTTAATTTTAAGGAGTATTTGTTGCAGATAGAATGTCAGCTCCACGGTTCCCAAGCAGCTTGCTTAGCATTTTTGCACCAATAGAAATATATCCCGGGAAGTCTCCCGCCACAATTCGACTCCTACCCTGTTTCCCCTCTAAGACCTAGAGTGAGATTAATGTTATTGGTAGCCATCTAACTGCCATCTAACCCCCACGGGATGTCCTCGCCAAGATATTCAATACCTCCGACACCCTCGAATAGGTCCGTGTCTGGTCTGGATAGCTCATCATCATCAATGGGCTCTGATGTCGCAACCATCTTCCCTTTCGCCACAGCACTCTTATTACTCGTCGAGACGCTATCGCCACGAAATGGTTGCGAGATAGCCTCGGCTGGTGACCCTTCTCCTGTCTGCTCCACGATCCTCACAAGTGGACTCACGAAAGTAATCCATTCCGAATTCTCAGATTCTTCTCGAATAGATATACCGGCCTATCATAATCGTCAATATACCATTGAGAACACTGCACTGGGAGTTGTCATACCACGCTTTGTTCAAGGTTCGAAAACGTTACATTTTCCTGCAGCGCGGGAAGTCCAAACCCTTCCAAGTCCAGTTGTAAGAGATACGACTCCGCCAGTGGATTTGAGTCCTTGATGGCAACTAGGGCGGAAAGAAGGAATCGCATTGATGATTGTGCTTCGTCGTCGTACGGATTTCGTTTCGCGATTTCGGCAAAGATACGTGTAGCTACGTATAGAGAGAAGGGTGTGTAGACATTCAGCTGTCGGAGCTTATCAGCAGAATTTTCTCTAAACAAAATCGAATATCGGCTACAAGTGTTAGCAGAAATACGACTCACCGTTGCCAAATCAACATGAGCTACCCATTTCATGACATGTGATACCTGCATTGCAGCAGCGAAACACCTTGCTTTACTCTCTTCAACCACCAGTTCTGCAGTCCCTGCCATTTGTTTTTCGGCTTTGAAAATCGCAGCTTGATGTAAACAAATAACTGCAGACTGCAAACTCATGTTGAGAAAGATGGTGTTAGGGTTTGATGATCCAGATGGTAAGCGAAGATGTGCTGGGAGGTAAAGAGACATGTTGAGGAGCGTATTGTCTATGCTTCGATGCCTCTTCCAGAACTCGAGATTTTCCTCTTCCTCGCTAACTGTGGTCGTAGGACGATGGAGATGCTGAAATACACGGCCTGTGAGACTGGCTACCACGACACAGCCTGCAAATGGAGAGAGGGAAGATGCGTGAGCTGGACTCATGGCTTCCGCCAGTGATATCCCTGGAGCGTCGTCCATTCCTTGCTCAAAAGCTTCTTCCGAACAAGGCATATTGGTCACGATCTTCAGAACAATCAGCGTTCCCTACTCATTTCTTGGACGTAAGGAAGAACAAACATCCCTCTCATCAACAATCAACGGCCACCCCGTCCCGACTGCCGCATACCGATCCATACTGAATCCCCACCAAAAAGCCCTCCTCCTCTCCTCCCTCTCGCCCCTTTCTCCCACACCTCTCAGCGTCCTCTTAACGTCCAACCCCAGCCCATCCAATCTATGCAGTCCCAGCATCTGACAGATCCTTACAGCGCGTCCAGTCGTCATCCATGCGTTGGGAAACATCATCATCTTGAACTCGTACATGGCGATCAGGAGCCAAGCTTGCACGTGCTGAATGTTGATGTATTTCTGACGATTGGGAGAAGTTTCAGCAATCTGTGCGTATTTGCGGGAGAGGAGGTGGAAGTGGATGTGTAGGTGGTGGTAAGAGGGGGTTATGGAAGCGGAGTGTGAGAGGATAGCGTAGCGGAGGGAGATTGGGGGCCGAGAGTGGGTGGGGAGACTGAGGGAGGCGAGGTAGCGAGATTGGTGTATGATAGGGATTGAGGGGTGGACTTTGGTGAAGTATATCTCGGTTCTGGATTAGGGTTAGTATTGATCGCCGGAGATAGTTAGGGGACGGTACAGTTCGTCGATTGTGTCCTGGGGAGGAAGCGGCTCTTCTACTCCAAGTTCGATCATGGCCCAGAGAGAAGCGTCGTCTAACGGAGCTGATGATAGGTCTGAGAGGTTGATTCCAGAAAACGGTGTCGTTATCAGGGGATCAAACGACCGAGAGAATGTTTCGTTGTCTTCCGCGCTTGTCATCAAGGATTGGTCTAGATCAAGAGGCATCTGGATGTCCAAATCATCAAAGACACTAGGATCTCCGATATCTACGTGAAGGGTATTTGAACTTTCATGCTTTCCACCTTCACTTGTCTCATATTTTTTCAACAAATCTTCAACTTGCGCTATATATCAAGTCAGTTTCCTTTATCGCAGCTTTCTCTCACAACGAAGACATACCAAGTCTCGACTCAAGTCCTTTCACATATCCGCGCCTTGGACCACTCTTCTTTCTGGCATCATTATATATACACTCGTGACCCAATCTTGCGCATCTTCCACACGAAGGACTCACTCCATCACACCTCAATTTCCGTCTTCTACATACCAAACAAGCGTTTTTCTGCAGTTGTTGCGTCTTTGAACTTTCGTCTATATTGGGATGCGTAGGCGCAGCAGAAGACTCAGCGTGCGACGACATTGTTTCTCAATGAGAATCTTCAAGAGAAAGTATAAGAGACAGTGTGACTCTTCCTAGGAAGGTAAATCTGTAACGGGGTCAAGATTGAGATCGTTGTCGACCATCTTTCAGCCGTTGTCGGTGGCCGCGGTGTATGTCTCTATCCTTCGGCGTAGGAGGCTTGCTATCCCGTTCATTTTCCATATTGTGGCGCTCGTGCAACGGAAAGGGTTGGATGAGAATTTGAGCCTGCACATAGAATACCAAAAGTGGCTTTGGAGAATGGAAGCTTGAGATCTGATTTGATAGCCTTCATGAGTTACCAACTTTGGAACATGATGCAAAAGTACGGTACCTTCGCAGTCGCCTGAGTTCGCATGCTCATTACTGACCGAAAGTCTTACAAGCAGTCTGGCTATATTTTCAATGGAAATCAACCTCCAAAATGAGGAGAGCGTGCCAGTTCCGTATGTTGTAGAAGGAAAATGTGTATCACGTGATGAGGGAATTGCCTGTCATCAAGCGATACAGCCATCGTAGTTGCTTGATGGTGCAGTAGAAGACCATCAGCTATCTTATCTCTAATGTATGCTAGGGATGTTCAGAAGCTCTCTGGATTCCATATTCGATGGGTGTTGCACCACGTGATGCTTAGCGTCGCCCGAATTTCAACGTCAAGTTCCTTTCTTTCTCAGAATCAATCACCGCATCTCCATCATCAGCAGCCTTCGTATCATCACCCACTCGGCTTACCATACCTACCGTACAATACCCTCACGAGAGCGAGTGGTTTTGAGGCAATATGTACTGTTGTCAACGCAAAAATGGGGATGTTAAGTTTCTTACAGCAGGCTAAACAAAACAGAATGCCCGGAGGTAAACCCGGCTTACCCAACATCAGGTCATGCAGCAACAAGCTTTTTACTCGTCTTCAAGAACTTGATCGGACGACTCAAACTGGATTTCGTTCTCTCGCATGTCTCAGTTTCGGAGCAGTTCGGATAACCAATCGGGACCGAGTCCCGCATTGTCTGCAGAAGGGTCAAAGCAGCTGATAGGCGCTGTCAGCCTGTCGCTGATTGTAGATCCCAGATCCCAGATTCGCCGCTAAAGATCATCACAACTCTTCTTGTCTGCTTGCAGAGATCGCTTAGCGCCTATCAAACGAAACAACTTGTGTCTAGTCGCCGGGCAGTACGCGCAATCAACAGCATCTACCTCTGTCGACAATTAACTCGACCTTCATCCGAATCTTCAGACGAAAACCGCGTTCATCTGATGTTGAAGTTTGTAACACCTTCCGGATGCTGTTGTCCATACGTTGCGTCCTACGTCAGATCTTCTGAGACCCTTCCTCAAACAGCAGCTCTGTTGACCGGACGGATCAAGTGAGAACGCAGGTGATGAGTCCCGGACTGACTCTGACTTCGTGATGTTACGAATGCCACCATGCGGTGAATTGAATGGTATTGTAACAGGACGTATCAGGAAGGTCTGCGAGTTGTGTGACTCTCACCTAGGCACTCCAGCATACGTATTGGTTGATAACTCTAACGGCAGACGGAGAAAAGCACAGCGGAATGGCGCAAGATGCGAGGGCACATGCAGACGTGCAGATGCCAAGGACGGCGACCACGATATGATGTGGAGCCGGAGTAGACTCCCAAGATGTTCGGATGGTCCACTAAGTCCCAAGCTCCCGCCACGATTCCGGCAGATATTCATCCAAGGAATTATCCAAACAACAACAGATGAAATCGAATATATTTCACGTGCTGGCCAAGATTGGCGATACTTAACGACAAGATCGATATGAAATCCATGTATTCAGGCAGGATATCCGAGTCAAAACTCCAAGAAGAAGCCTTCAACAAAATCTGTGCTTACCGTTCTTATCTTTCCACCCCGGCGATCACATCGGGCCCGTAGCTTCGGCATACAGTATCCCATGTCCATGCTTCTTCGGCTCTGGTTCCTCATTCGCTTAGCGACTCTCCTTATCAGCCACACCGAAGCGAGTGCTCAGGGGGGTTGCGGGGGAGTCAGAGGATCAGGGAGCTTGTTTACCAGAGTCCAATATACCCACCAATAAAGAGTCGATGAGATGCCATGGCCTGCATTATTATGCCCCTCCTTCAATATCTGATGGTGGGGTAAAGCAACAATGGCCGGCTTTCTCATTACTTTTGCGGCTTCAACCCGTTTCATAGACCTTTGAATTTCTGGTAATCAAATCCTTACCCCAGTTTTGATAGGAGAAGTGGTCTGTAGATTTTCCGCATTGCAGTTCAACATAGTGGGTGAGGCTCTTTCGCAAGCCACCTCCGAACCCAGTCCATAAGCTGAGCATTATAGGACCCATACGTCCACGAGCAGCGACCAGTGCTCAACAAACAGGAGATCAGGTGGAGAAGTGATCATCAACCTTATCTGAGGCCTTTCGGATGCTATCTCAGAATTAGGAATGTGACCTTCGCTCAGCAAGTATTCTAGAATCGGCACATCCAATCACCCCTTGGAAAGGCTGCTTCATCTAAGAGGCCAAGGCTCAACGTCTAGCTCCCCGCTTCGTCCTTCCTCTCTGTGGCTGTTAGGCCGAACATTGCAGGATCTAGCAGAGGAGTGGCCTGCAGCAGTACGTGGACAGGTACCCGCCACTCAAAGTTTTTCCATATTGTTCCTGGACGCAAAGCTAAATTGAACGTTCTGGATGCAGGTTTGAGGATTATCACACTTTTTATACTATTCCGGAAGGTCCCTATATGACAATCATGAATTTTGTTAAGCTTCCAGCGTCTATGCTGAGTATAAGTATGCCAAGGAAGCCACCAACACTTAGTCTTCTCTCCTCAGCCCTTTCAGTCAAGCTCAGTTCCAGACATCTCAGCCGTCACTTCTGCCAAGCAAATACTACCTGTTCTCCTTCTTATTCAAGATGAAGTTCTTCACTCTCGCATCCACTATGCTTCTCGCAAGTGGCGCCATAGCCGCTCCAGGAACAGCCCGCCGAGCTGAGCGCCACCGCAAGCGCGTTGCCAACCGCAGCGGCAACCCCATGATCAAGTCCAATGGTGCCGCTGCCGTTGCAGCCGCCAACATTTCAAACGTCGAGTACAGCGAGAACTGGGCTGGTGCCGTCTTGATCGGTACTGGCTACAAGTCCGTGACCGGAACTTTCACCGTCCCAACTCCATCTACGACCGGCTCAGGCTCTGCTTGGGTTGGGATCGATGGTGACACTTGCGATACCGCCATCTTGCAAACTGGTATTGACTGGACCAAGTCTGGCTCCAGTATCACTTACGATGCCTGGTATGAGTGGTATCCCGACTACGCCTATGATTTCTCCGGCATTTCAATCGCGGCTGGCAACACCATCACGGTCACCGTGACCGCCACTTCCGATACTGCTGGTACAGCAGTCATCGAGAACGTTAGTACAGGCACGACCGTTACCCACACTTTCACTGGGGGCGAGGACGGTGATCTCTGCGAGTACAACGCAGAATGGATTGTTGAGGACTACGAGGAGGGCGACTCTTTGGTCACTTTTGCCGATTTCGGCACCGTTGAGTTCACCGACTGCTCTGCTACCGATGGATCAGGAACTGTTGGAACAACTGGTGCTACTATCATCGACATTGAGCAGAACAACAAGGTCCTCACCTCTTGCTCTGTTCCCAGCTCTTCGGAAGTTCTTTGCACTTATGTTTAAAGGCGTGGAGGGCCGAGGGAGGTTATTGCATTGCATGAGTTGGGTGATGAAAAGGGGGCCTACCGGTAGTGTTGTGGCTTGACTGAGATCGAAGAGCATGAGGGTTTAATTTTCTGATTATGCAGTTATGGTTTGAACTTTTCAACAAATGGATGATCGGTTTTGCGCAATACTGTCCGTATTTTGCTTCGCTTGAGTCCTTGGTCGTTCATGAAGTGGCTACACCTTGGCAGTTTTTTCGCTTAATCCGCTTAACTCGTGCCAGTATTTGCCCCTATTTTGGGTTGTCTTCCCTAAGCTCATTCCAAACCATTGCGTGTAGATCTGTGCTCGTTGCAAGTATGTTTCTCCTTGTAAATAGCACGTGATGCGTGAGGCTTGAGAAATCGATCCAACTGCGCTAAGATATCAGCTGCATTATCCTCGTACTCCAGCTACTCGCAATTTGTTAATATTGTTTTTCATTCAGAGGCACAGAGACAAAAAGAACGTTGTTACCAGTCATAATATAATGCTTTGAAGAAAGAGCCGTGAGGTGCGCCTGCATATTGCTCAGCCACCATGCAGCCTCACTGGGGCTGAGAATGCCCTGCACCCGACAATTTTCCAGCCTGATCAAAAGCTCTGTCTACGACTTGAATCTGCGAGTTCGATTTCATAGTCCAACTACTTCTTCGTCACGATCCTTCAGATATGGATCCGCTCACTGCCTTGGGTCTAGCATCAAACATTATTCAACTTATCCAGTTCACAAGCGACCTCGTATCCAAGGGTCGCGAGATCTACAACTCGGCAGATGGGAGCCTCGTGGAGAACTTGGAGCTCGAAACAATAGCTCAAAGTCTTCAAAATCTCAGCATCGACATCTTGCCTTCACACTCGTCTCGGACGGACAAGCAGCTCGTAGACCTGTGTAAGAAATGCAATGAAATTTCGCAAGAGCTTGTCAAAGCAATCACAGCAGTCAAAGCAAACGGTCCAGATAAAAAGTGGGACAGCTTTCGTCAAGCTTTGAGCAGTGTCTGGAATCAAAAGGCAATTGATGCGTTATCGGCGAGAATGGAGAGGTACAGGAGCCAACTTGATACTACCCTACTCGTATCATTGCGAGAGAAGCTTGAAAGCGAGGATCGAACGAGATTGATATTTCCACAAGGCTTAACACGCATTAACGCTGAAGCAAAGAAGCCGTGGCATGCTGAGCTCATAGAAACTTTGAAACAGAACGATTGGCAGGCGAAAAGTCAGCAAGATAGGATTGCATTTTCCTCGAGGTTGTCAGATTATAGTAAAGACGACCGTGAACAATTGTGCAAGGCGCATATCTTGGAGCAACTCGTCTTTGGGGATATGGGAGATCGATATAAGCGTATCGAGGAGGCACATCAACGGACTTTCAATTGGATCTTTCAAGAAGGGCGAGATGGCGAGTCTGAATATCTGGCAGTTATGGCCCAAGCTATCGAGGGCGAGTCGATACTGCAAGGAGCTCAATTATCGGCCCATCTGAAAGATACGAGTGGTGGGCCGGCGGCAAGCGAGACCAGTTCAGACGGGGAAACTCCTGTTGTGAGAAACATTACCGGCAACGCTCAGACGCTTAACTGGAGCAGCTTCGTCAAGTGGCTGAGCAATGACGAAGACTTGTACTGGATCACTGGCAAGCCCGGATCAGGGAAATCGACATTAGTAAATACCTCTACAATGACGGACGAACTCAGCACAACTTGATGCGTTGGAGTGGAAGTAAACCTCTGGTGACTGCTGGCTTCTTTTTCTGGAATTCTGGAACAGTGATGCAAATGTCTAAGATGGGCTTGTTGCAAGCTCTTCTGCATGATTGTATCAACAACTCCCCAGATCTTTTACCAAGGCTTTTTCCTCAGCGATGGAAATCATATGAGTTGTTTGGGGGGGACTTGCGAGCTTGGACTTGGTCCGAACTTGAGTTTGCGTTCAAGTGTTTATTATCCGACGAGTCTCAGAACTTCTTCTTTTTATCGATGGTCTTGATGAATTCGACGGTGACTGTACGAAGCTGGCTTCGTTTGTCCTTGAACATTCGGCGAGACCAAACGTCAAGATATGTGCTGCCAGCCGGCCATGGTTGGTATTCGAAGTCGCCTTCAAGCAACGGCCATCGCTGAAGCTGGAGGACTTGACAGCTTCGGACATCATGCTCTTCGTGGGGGAGAGACTTCGTGGACACAGCATGTTCAACCACTTAGAATCAATACAGCCCCAGGAAGCCAAGAATCTGATTGCTGAGGTTACAGGGAAGGCATCTGGAGTCTTCCTGTGGGTTCGCTTGGTCATATCTTCTTTATTAGAAGGACTTCGAGATGGCGACAACATGAAAGATCTCCAGAAAAGACTATACTCTCTGCCAGGAGATCTTGAAGAGTTATTTTCCAAGATACTCAATCAACTGAGTTCTTCATACTTCGAGCAAGCATCGAAGTTATTCCAACTTGTGCGAGCGGCAGGTGAGACACTGTCCCTCTTAAGTCTCTCCTTTGCAGTAGACGGTCTAGACGAAGCAATAGATGCCGAAGTGGAACCATTGTCTAGTCTTGAGAAAAATACAGGACAGAAAGGATGAGGCGGCAGCTGAACAGCCGGTGCAAGGGCCTTCTCGAAGCAGCGAATCCCGGTAAGATACACACAGGCACAGGACACAGCGACGCGCAATACCTGCATTCAACAAGAGGGCCCAGCAGCGCAACAAAAGTGCAATATCTCCATCGAACAGTCATAGACTTTCTCAACAGACCGACAGTATGTGACTACATACTTTCTGGGACGGATGAGTCCTTTGATGTCAATATATGCTTGTCTGGCGCTTTCCTCATGCGTATCAAACGCTTAACGACGTCGTTGGTGTCACCGGATTTGAAACCACTACTAAAAAGCTTCAACATGTACACCAAAAGAATCGAACACAAGAACCCAGAAGCCAATATCAAGGCTCTCCAAGATTTGAATCGCACGGGTCGTACGATCTTTGCAAAAACTTCCCTCGAATACAAAACATTGATGGGAGCTCCCCCCAGGCTAGCAGGAGAGCCAGGAATTGATATTGAGAATCCTGATCATTGCACCAGCTTAATTCCAAAAGGAACATTACCTGTGTTGCTGAGCCCTCGTTCGTTTCTCGAATATGCGTTTCGATATCCATATTATGCATACGTCGAGCATGAGCTCAAACTTGGGTATAAAGTAGACACTTCAGTGGGCAGCACTTCTTTGCTACACTCTGCAACATGTGCTGGAGACTACAAAATGATGCAGATCCTACTTCGATACGGTGCAGATCCAAATTACCACTCAGAAATAGATCCAACTTGTTCAAACTCTTGGGAACAACACATCGAGCTGAGCCTTTTACGGAATAGTTGGAAAGTAGGAGGCTCCAACGAACTCGACCGCGAAGCAAAAACTATCGCTTTGTTCCTAGAATATAAGGCCGATACTAGAGCTGTTGTTCAGGGCCAATCTGTTAAAAGCATCATATATCGATTCAAAGACTGGGATAAAGGACGAACAGCTGAGCTCCTCGAGAAATTCGACGTCGCAAGAAAGGCTCAAGCGCGGCCGAATAGACTATCCATCATGTTTGCAAATTTGGGACGGACTAATTCCAGAACAAAGTGAGCTATGAAACTCAAACTTGGGTCCCAGGTATACGACATTTAGGATTGTTCTTACCTTGAAGAAGTAAGATGTGGCATTTCATAGTATCTGATTTGGGACTGGAAGCGGTTTAACTCCCTTTCCTGGAGATACTCTTTCGATCTAGTACAGTGATGAATGGCGTTTCCATCTAAGGAGATTCTAGAGGTTGTGTGAAAGTGAACAGTGCAGTATATGATGATTCAAGCGCATGAACCAGGATGAAAGAGCGAGTGTCGTGGAGCAAGGCAGTGTTGCAACTAGTCACGTGTCCAATAATGTATCACTTCTCTTGCATCTCCAAACGGAACTTAGCAAGGTGCATGATATAGCAGTGGAGTAGAAAACTAACAGATTCTGCTCATACTGTACCATCATTTGTCCTATCAAGAATACGTAGAAAGACGAATTTGATTTACGTATGGGAGATATAACCCGTTAACCTGTACTTTGTCTATTGGCTCAGCTAATCGCTGGCTGACTGATGACTCTGGAGACTGCACATCTTGGGAAATCATCTAGTTCCAAAATTTTGATGTAACTACCAAGGATTCTCCTTATCATTAGAGAAGTTATCATCGAGCAATGTAAGATCGTTTAGAAATTAAAGTATATTCAAAAATTATTCAATCTCGTTTAGACAATCATCTTGTATTAGGTGAATCAGATCATAGAGACAAGCTTATGGGTCCCATATTGAGTGTTCTACACAATTTGACAATGGTACTCATGACGCTATAGAAACGCTAGTATTCGAATCACAATGGAGCTGACTTTAGTCTTTCGAATATCAAAATCCATGAGGGAGTCAAATGCTGCCCTGAAAGATTCAATACACAAATTGTACCCATCTACAATCACACACCTTACACTCACTCACCGATAGACAGACACCTCCAAACGAGCATAAAAGAAAGCATTCTCATTCAATTTCCTTCTTCTTATTTCACCATCAACATCTAACTCTCAATAGCGAAGAACACAAGAACACCTCTTCACAAGATTACAACATTACACCATCCCCACCATCAGCACAACGAAGAATAAGAACTACACAAAATCAACATGAGCGGACGCCAGAAGACCAGACGCGAGAAGCACTACGACCCATCAAAAGATATCATGGATCCTGAACGAGACGGACTTAAGCGGGACGAGCGGGCACGGCAGGCTATGGTTGAAGAAAACCGCCAGAGAGAGCTGCGAGAGCAGCAACGACGTGCAGCTGAACGTAAGGCAGCTGAGGATGCATGGCTTGCGAAAGCCGCCGCCGCCAGGGAAAAGGAACGACAAACCAGACGATAGACTAACGACTTTCACTCTGTTTCTGCCAGGTATGTTGTTAGCGTTAACGCTTCATGAATAGCACTGGCTCTGCGAATCATTAGCGAACACAGCATGGTTATTGGGAGGATTTCCGCATGCAGGTCGTGAGGATTTGAGTGGGGTTTTGGAGCATAGTATTTTCCTATGATCAACCAACACGCATGGCCTTTTAGTTTTCTCATCAATCTTGGGTTTCCGGATTTTTCTTGCGGGAGTGGGAATCTGGTTAGGGTTTGGATAAATCGTAGGGCATTCCTATGATTGCGTAACATGCACGGCTTTCTGGTTTGTTCATCAATCTTGGGTTTCCAGATTTTCTTGCGGAAGGCGGAGCCGATTTAGAGATTTGGATAAATCATAGGACTCCCTTGAGACCAACTGACATGCAGGCATGACTTTTTGGTTTGCATAGTCCAATAACAAAATATCAATTCTGGGATTCCCATCAACTTGCTGTAGCTCAAACTTGAAACAAAACAAAATCTAAGTGCAGAACTCCTTGTTGCAATTTTACTCTCGGTAGTTTATTTCCTTCGAACAAACTGCTGGTCTCGATGTCTGAACTCCTTGCTTTTCTTAAGCACCGAAGATTTGGGTCTTGATCGATGATATGAAAATTCGCCCAAGAGGAATGAGATGTGGATTCGAGTTGATGAGATGTCAAGGTAAAGGGTTGAAGATAATGATAGCATTGGTTGAGGATGACGGACTTTGGACTCGAGTGCAGGCTTGTAGGGATAGCGGGCTCGAGAACAACTTTGTAAGATCATCGGACTTGACATCCAAAACAAAGACCGACAAAAGAGAACTATGAAGTGTGAGCTGTTGCCGGACATTAGGATCCAATCACTTCACTGGAGAACCATCACATTCAAAATATCTGGAACAGAATCACGGAAAACCGAGACACTCCCAGGTCAAGTGAACTCAGCCCGAGCAACTGACTCAAAATTAACATAGCACTTGCCACTCACATCACATCAAACCAGGCCATCCATCAATAACGCAATGCAATGCACTATCCTCATAATGTACAGGTACACAATCATCCACCGATCCATCCGTTCATCCGTGCGTGCATCTTTCCTTCCCAACAAACACAAAGAAGTAGTCCGTCCGCCTTAAGACCCATCGAACTCCACCTGCTAGCAAATAGAAAAACAGAACAGGATGTTTGTTTGTTTCGCCAAGTTCAGAACTCCCCATTTTGCGAGCATTGATTATCTTTTTTTTCTTCAATTGCATTCCCTAGCCACCCGGTCGTTGCAGATAAAACTCCTTATTTACCATTGTACTGGAAATTGCCAAATACACCTCCCATGCCGCCTGGTGTGATCGGTGCCAAGCCGCCATTGCTGTTATGTCCCGGTGTGCTCGCTAGTCCCGCGCTCCCTGTGTTTGGTGTGCTGGGTCCTCCGTTCGCGTATCCGTTTTGGCCTGGCGTGACGTTTTCTTGGTTATGGCTGTAGTGATGTTGAGGGGTAGAGTGGAGATTGCTCTGTAGCAGAGCAGTATACTCTGGAGTGCTGAGGCCCCACACTAAACCGTTGTGCTCTTCTCCAATCACGCCACCGAACAACTTATCCCGGATTCTGAAGAACGCCTTGCCGGTAAGTAGCGAGTCTGAGCCAGCTTGATGGGCAAGGCCTTGTCTCTTAACCTTCAGGGATTCGGCGAGATTGTCTAAACTAGCCTTTTGATCGAATTTCTGGAAGATTTCTGTGACTGATGTGTCGGGACTGACTGAATTGTTTTGTAAGTTAACTTGACTTTCTCTAGAAGCCCACTTGACAAGATACTTGATGTCCCATACGCTGGGAAAGAATTTCGACATCGTAGCTTTGAAAGTTGTCTCATCGTCTGGGAGAGGAAGCACGTTTAAGAGTTTGGTCAGGTATCCAAAATCATAACCACCGTGGAAAGAAATCCAATGTATATCCTCGTCACAGACAAGACCCGAGCTGATGAGCGCGGAACCGAACGCAAAGGGGTCGATCCCATCGGTTTCCAGCTTCCGAAAGTCTAGTTGTGCCATTTTCAAGGATTCGATAGAGGCCTCCGCGTACATGTCCTTCTCCAGCGAGAAATCGAAATTAAACTGCCAAGTCGTTGGTAGTGGGATCATCTGGCCAGCAAACTTTCGAAAAAGAGGTTCGTTTGTAGGTATGCCTAATTCCTCCGCTGATATCTCCGGTGGTAGGAGGTTGCCTTCTTCGCTAAATAACGATATGCCTAGCTGAATGGTTTTGAGGAGGTCGACATTGCAACGCAGGCATTGATAATGGTAATCGGCTTTTCCATTGAAAGAACCCATAGGTCGCGCGACCACACCAGGAAACTCGGTGTCCTGACATGATGTCAGTCAAACCTCACAGATCTTTGTTCTCTTTGTGTCCTTACCATAGAAATATATGGAAACTTGTCTGCTAGACACCGTAATAGGATCATCTCCTCTTCCAGATTGCTTGCCCAGACGTCTCGTATTCGATTCCTTGATCCTTGACCACCTCTCGACCCAGCGTCGCTGCTCATGCCATTGTGTCCTTGATGCATATTGGCACTGGCAAAGCCCAGCTGCGCAGCTTGACTTGCCAGGCCCGTCGCTCCCGGCATACCCAGTCCAGCACCGCCAAATCCCCCAGATAGGCTCAGAGCATTGCCATTCACCGAAAAAGGATTGTTCATGGAATTCGCATTCATGAACCCAGGATTCGAGGCGAGGGACGGCGGTGGCAGACCTTGCGAGTGGCTTGGATACTGCTGCTGCTGGTAATGGGCTAGATTATTGGGTGCGCCGGCGAAGCGCTGCATCGGTGGAGGCATTTTGACTCTCCTTGCTATGTGTGCTAGTCCAGAAGGGTCGAGGGAGGTGTACGGTGTTCATGGGCGCTGAGTGACGCGCAAATGGACGAGAGGGTTTATGCTGATACGCAAGGAGTGAATCGCCAACCTGAGATCACGAACAGGAGAGTATGTACATGCGCTGGTGGTAAGATTCGTGGTGGTGAGGTTGTTAGTGGGTTCGATGTTGACGATGGCAGGGCTGCGCTTCGTCTTGCTCCGATAGAACTAAAGTATCGTCCTCGCTTAGAAGCTCGATGCCAAGACTACCTAGCTTCGACCTCGAATCATTGTTAAAGACAGTATCAACAGCCTCTCCATCCACAGCCTCGTGGTGAATACAATCTACAAAATGCGTTCAACAGGGTAAGGAAACTCAATTGATCCTTTCGGTGTCGTATACTCAGCTGCTGACTCCCAATTTACAGTGTACGAAGAGCTCCCCGACCAAACATCACAGGCTTCGACCCCAAAGCATTCGCTGCTGCATCAGGCTCACCAGCAAACGACCCATGGGCGCGAGCGTGAGTTGAATCTCCGGCAGACCACATATACGGAGTGGGGTAGGATTGATGCTGATGGCTTATACAGAGAGGCATGGCGGTATTCAGGACCTTTCACGCGATTCAATCGATTTAAGGGCAGCTTCCCCGGCTTGGGCATTGCGACGGTGGCATTTGCGGCGTACTGCGGGTACGAATACATGTTTCTGAGCGATGATCACGGACATGGAGAAGGACATGGCGAGGGCCACCATTAGAGGGGGAGGCAGACTGGGAAAAACATTGTACATATGGGCCGAATCATAAAGCCTTTGAGCATCACGAAGTCCTCAATCATGTCCCCGAGTCTTGGTTTCCAGAGCTCTACACCGCGATTGAAGGCTACGGATCTGCCAAGATGAATGGCTATTGAAGGACTGTGGGCGGTATACGGTTACACAAGGCCATGCTATTCCAACATGCAGGACGCCTCATCTTGGAACAGCGACTCGAAAGTCTTCAGCTCCTCTTGTCAAGTGGGCTTGAACGCAGCGTCTTGTCGGGTCGTGTTATTATTCATCGAATGGTCCCGGATCTGTCTCCGGTCAAGTTGGTATTACAGCATCAGTGCAGGCCGGATTCCTGTTCCGAATCGACTCTCGTCGGATATGACTCCAACAAGCTCTTTCCTTTGGACGTTTCCCCAGTCTCTTTCCTTTTTCCTATTGATCATACTCAATTCGCAGAGTTGGATTGTTCAGTCGTCGATGTAGTAGCATATCTTCGATCTTCTGACCAGTCTTGCCGTGTGCAACCACGTACTCGGAAGTGATATACATAACCCTATTTGACGAGAGCAAGCCCGGAAGTCGGCCACCGAGTGAAGTGTGTGTCACAACATTCTCTGCCGTCATTTCAAATGCCGTCGGATGCACAGTAGTACGGTCAGGAGCTGAGTGGCTTTTTTATGTCGGGAGACAACGTGGGAACCGACCATGTATTTCAAAGCGTAAACATTTGGCTTGACATTTGGGATTTTTATTGAGGTTTTGAATTGAAGTTGCGAAATATGAGCTTGGGTACTCTTGATATCGCTCTCCAATATACTGACTCTCTATCCTGTTATGCAAGCGGAATGTCCTTGATAGCGGAATCAGCCCGCCCCGCCGCAAGTAGAGCGGCGGAAATCGCGGCAAGAAATGAATGCCAAGACTCTTGAAATACACTCCGGATTTCTGTAATATGTTTCTTTTCCAACTCTGTAGGAACCCTGGACATCTCTATCGCCGTGATCCGTGCGCATCCCTCTAATCTTTTCTTCTTATTGCCACTCGTCGGTCATATAGTTGATACACGGCCTTGAAGAAGTCTGATTGGCGCTCCCAATCTGGGACATCCGGAGCCAAGCCGAATGCAGGCAGAAGTTAGGAAGAAGTTGAAGGGTAAGCGTCTAGATCTTTTATCGCGCTCGAAACGTTGGCGGGAGCATTCATCCCATTTACGCTGCTTCAGATCTTGAATTTAAGGTTTCGTCAACATCCTCGCCAAAAGTGGTGACCAAGATTGAGGGAGAAGTAAAGTGCAAGTTCTTAAATCACATCATGAACGAGTGGCACGTTCGACTTCATCAGACGGCCAAGAACAGTTCAATAAGCTTTCGGGAACTACGAGTTTTCTAACTATTCTTGTCTTCGTCAACAATGGTGTACAAAGCAAAAGCAACGTTTTGAAGGTTAAGAATCCCTACCTTGGTCTGCCGCTGGAGACGGATCTGATATGGCCGCGAGGGACTGGACCCTTTTCTTTTTCATGGAAGCTGCAGGGAACCTTGATTTTGGGACGGACAACTGGACGTGGCTTTCGAGATGTGATATAGCAACACTCGGCTAAACACTCAATGCACCCCTCTGCCAAGCCACTTCCACTGCCAACTCAAGTAAAGCTCGAATCAAAAGACGCTCAAGAACGGATAAGACGCGCCTTGCCGTGTATCTATCACAACTACAAGCCACTATGGCAATGAATCCCTGTCGATGTTAATTCATGGGATTCGCACCCGATCGTTCTAGATTCCTGTCTCTTCAGATTGCTGGAAAACCAGGGTCCTCCATCGCGAGACACGGTTTTGCTCCCATTTCTGGCTGCTTGCTGCATGGGGTGATGCCGTGCAATGTATAACAGCAGAACTAATCCATACATGAGTGCACGATGTCCACGCTTCCGTCGAGCGGTGTTCTCGATGTTCCTCTTCCACCATGCGACAGTGGCACGATTGACACCACTTCTCCCAGCTGTCTCGCCACGGCCTTTGGGACGCTGCAGCAGGCCACGATGAAGAACAACCTCAGTGCGAATGGCGAATCAAACAGGGATATGAAGGAGAGCCAGCGAGCTCTGGAATTGAGGAAGTAAGGGTCTTTCGATTTTTCGACTGGAATAATTCCGTTTTCGGCATCTTTGACGATCTCACTCGTGATCTGGCTGACGGATCATTGTTGTCTTCAGATTCTTTGCCCCGCATCACAATTCAGCAGAGAACGACTTCAATGCGACGTTGAATAATGATGGTGCTCTGAATGCTTACGCTGAGACGGTTGTATGGCGTCTCAAGGCTGTTCATGCTATGGTGAGGTATGCATTTGTTTCTTTTGAAGCCTGGTCAAACAGATCGCTAAAAGTATATCACAGTTTGGTTGACCGAGGTATGTGATCTATTAACAAGCAATTACAAAAAGCCGCTCAGACCGGATAGGCACTCAGTATTTCCTCGCGGGAGCCATTCGAACTAACGTAGCTCATGATCCTGATGATGTGATCACGACTAGTGAATGGTTTGGCTGCTCAACTGTTCCTACTCCCGGCGGTTTATGTGAGGCATGTATTGCAATTATTCGTCCAGTCGAAGTCATCTAACATGAAGAACTAGAATACCCTAGCTATTGATCATTCCGAGGATGAATACCCGTGCTTCGTTGTCAACGATCTGAGTCGGGATGAGAGGTTTGCTTCACTTCCAGTCGTAGACGGGACCATCGTGTCATATAGATTCTACGCTGGAACTCCCATCACTACAGATCATGGCATCAACATCGGCTCGTTCTTTTTCTTCGATGATAAACCTCGAGACGGCTTGACCAGGGAACAAAAGAGGTGTCAGTAGATCCTTTGGTTTCTGCGGATCCTTGCTGACCAGCGAAGTTCTGCACCAGCAAGCTCGGAACGTGATGAGACATTTCGAGACGAAGCGAGAAGCCGCTGAACGACGTCGAGTTGCCTTGATGAGCAAAGGAATCTCGACATTCCTTGAGCGCACCTCGCAACATACGGCAAATGAAGATTCGATTGATCCGCACGAGGACGGCGCGCACGTTGATGAGCAGAGTCAAGATACTCACGGTATCACACCTGAACTAACTGCTGCTGAGCCAAATGATACAAGCGCAATCGCTAAAGAAACCGTTCTTGACAAAATTCGGTATGCGCTTGATCAGGCTGCTGAAATTCTTCGGGATTCTCTGGAATTGAATGTTGGTGGTGTCGTCTTCCTCGATACAGCTGTGGGCTACACGGACACTGGAAACACCGACGCCTACTTGGATAACACGACAAACATCGGATCTCAAGTAGAGATTGAGAAAAGTGAAGACAAACGACGGCAAGCTTCGAATGAAAGCAATTCCGGGCCTGTTCTCAGTGTAGATGATTACCACAGTCGGCAAGTTTCTCAGGAGTCGACTCGAAGCCATGGCGACCAACATAAAGCTGCGAAAGTTTTAGCGATGTCTGCTGCTAAAATCGCACCTTGGGATTCGGATGCAAATGTCCTCGATGCTAAGACGCTTCAGGCGCTTATCAACACCTATCCGAAAGGAAATGTCTGGTACACGGACGAGGAGGGATACTTTACATCTCTCGACCAACTGAACGGTCTGCAAGAAACAACAAGTTCTAGCCCACCAGGAAGACGGAAATCAGTCCATTCAGTTGATCTTGCGCACTCGAGAGCTGAAGCAACTGTCTTGTCGCGAGTCTTTCAAGGAGCTAGACAAATTGTCTTTCTTCCTTTATGGGACGCTGGAGGCGGTAGGTGCTTTGCTGCAGGAGAAATGCATCTCAAGCTGACAAGTTATAGATCGATGGTATGCGGGATGTTTCGTCTGGAGTCGTTCTCCGGTACCAGTTTTCACAGTCGACTCGGAGGTAGCCTATCTCTCAGCATTCACGAACTCTGTAATGGTAGAGATCAGTCGCTTGGATGCAATAACGTCGAACAAGATGAAATCGGACTTCATCAGTAGCATTTCGCGTAAGTTGGAATCTTCGTTTTCTTGGAATTGTGCTGATTTGTCCAGACGAGTTCAGAAGTCCGCTTCACGGCATACTGGCTTCGGCTGAATTGCTTCGAGAATCTAAACTTGACGCATCCCAGAGAGAATTTATCGCTACGATACAGAACTGCAGCGGTACACTATTGGTATGACAATGGAACAGCCTGATGAAGTTGACAAGAACTGAGCCATGCCAGGATACTATCAATCACGTACTTGATTACAGCAAGATCAATTCTTTTGAGAAGAACCAAAAAGGCGCGTAGCTCTGATGAAGCATACTGACCGAGACTAATTTCAAACTTAGGGACTATATCAAACGAGCTTATTCAAACCACCAATCTCGCTCTGCTGTGCGAAGATATCATCAGTGGCATGATATCTGCAAGCGAGTTCCACGGCATAATAGCAGATGATCCTTCTTCGGCAATTTCGCGAGAATTTCGGCCTGGGCTCGCATCGCAAGATCAACCAAGTCGTCGAGCAACTTTGGATATTATACTTGATATTGAGCAGAGAGATTGGTATTACAATATCCAAGCAGGTACGTAGCAGCTTCACTTTCCTGAGTATTCGCTTACCCTGGTGAAGGAGCTTTAAGACGGGTGGTGATGAACATCTTCGGCAATGCTCAGAAGTATACAGAAACAGGTTATATCATGGTTCAGATGCAAATTCAAGAAGAAGCTCGGTCTCATCCCAATGCGTCTACTGGAAACGTGCTTAATTTAAGGATCAGGGATTCTGGACGGGGTATGTCCACAGAGTATATGGAACGGAAACTGTATCACCCGTTCGCCCAAGAAGATAGCTTTGCTCCTGGTGTTGGCCTTGGATTGTCAATCGTGTAAGTATATTAGAAGATCTTTGCAGATGAAGTGCTGATTTCCATAGATGGAGTATTGTCAATCAACTTGGTGGTCAGATTAACATCCGGAGTCAGATTGGGAAAGGAACAGATGTCGAGATCTCTATACCAGTTGAGAAGGTCGCGGAACCAGATTTCCAAAAGATCGAGGCAGACAATACGAAGAATATGCTACTGGAAGCTCAGACTTGTATCACGAAGCTTCAAGCTCGAGCGGCTGCAACATCTGTCTGCTTCTCGCGTACACAAGCCAACAACTCCCGGACCAAGGATATCAACTGGACATGCATAGAACGATACTGCTCGGAATGGTTTGGATTCGCGATTAGCAAGGATCCAGTTGATATGATCATAACCGACCACCATAACGAGAGTGGTTACGAAGCCGGACAACGAGTACTGGTCGTCCACGACGATATGTTATGTCCAGGCAAACATGTTGGAGAATACCAAGGATACGCCGTAGGACATATCTCCCCACCAGTTGGACCTTTTAGACTCGCTCGATGTCTCCTAGCTTTGATGGAGCAGGACATCTCACCACCGCCCAGCGAAGCTAGCTTCAATTTACACCTAGCCGACAGAGCTACACAGACCCCGCTTGGATCACCTGAAGAGCGGACGATTATGGACGGGATCATATTGACAGATTACGGATTCACGCCCCAAACTACATTTTCCAACACCCCTGTATCGATAGACGAAGAGAAAGTGGATGAGAAGAACGAACCTATTATCACCCAGCACCCAGAAACCGATTCATTACCAGCAAGCATCTCACAATTAACCCTCTCCCCTGCCACCACAAAATCAGCAATCCCTTTCTCACCCCACACAAACTCACCCATTATCCCCTCGACCCTATTCGGCATCCTCACCCTCCCCACCCCCAAGAAATCGCCCCCGACTCCAACATCAAAATCCCTCAACATTCTCGCCGTAGACGACAACGCGCTCAACCTCCAACTACTGCACCGCTACCTACTGAAGCGTAAATCAGACACCATAGTCACAGCCCGCGATGGCGTCGAGGCCGTTGCTGCGGTGAAGGATGCCAAGGAGAAGGGGGTCCGGTTTGATGTTGTGTTTATGGATATTTCGATGCCGAATATGAATGGGTTTGAGGCTACGAGGGCGATTAGGGGTTTGGAACGTCGGCGAGGAAATGGTAGCGAGGGAGGAAGTGAGATTGGGGAAGATGAAAGTGGCGAGAATGGTGCTGTGGGAAATGGGGATAGGGCGCTTATTGTGGCGTTGACAGGATTGGCGAGTAAGAGGGATAGAAGCGAGGCGGAGGAGAGTGGGTTTGATGATTTTCTTACGAAACCGATTAGTTTTGGGAGGATTGGGGAGTTGTTGAGGGGGTTGAGTGAGGGGAAGTGAGGTGTTGCATAGATTGCGGTTGGGATAAGAAGGTTGGAAAGGTTGGAATACATAATACTTAGTTACCCAAAAATATACGGAAAATTATCTTATCGTTCTTCTCACTGGTTTGGCAAATATTAGAACACCTACGAATTTTTACCTTTCTCCGAATATCAACTCAAAGCTGCAAAATGATGATATGTTGATGCAGAGCGTGTACGACATTCGTCTTAATATCCTGTACTCGTTACCTAGCGGCAATTGTGGTATGAAGAACAGAAAGCCTGCACTTGAGCACTGTACATATGGTCTAGGATTACACCAGAATGTAAAACCTTTGTCTGCTACTAGTCAGATCACAACTTAGCCTTCTCCGTGCCCTTCGGAATAATAGCAATATCCCGCCACGGAATCCCCAGGAATTCCCACATGAAATGAAACCTGCATCAAGTCAGCCATACCATCATTTCTCACCCCTCTCCCTCATCTCTTCCCTTCTCTCCTCCCCAATCCCCCACAAAAACAACAAAGAAGAAAAAGAAGACCAACCTATCACTCCCAAAAAACGGCTCCTCCCTCCCCTCCCCACTCCTCACCCAAAACCACGGCGCCCCAAACGCCCCCTGCTCCAACACCTTCTCCGTATTCGCCAACAATTTATCCTTCCACTCCTTCTCCCCCGTCGCTTTCATGATGCACTCTACCTCCTCTTCGGAGAATATTCTCGTGCTGGCGAGCACGGAGGATAGGTCGGACGGGATGGTGATGTTGATGTGGTCGATCCAGAGGGCGTTGAAGAGGCGTGACCAGGTGCGTTCGAAGGTTGATGGGGGGAAGGTGGCTTTTATGTAGCAGAGGGCGCGTTGGGGCTAGGGGGTGAGTTAGAGAAGGGACGGGGGAGGGGGGGAAGGAAAGGAGGGAGGAAGGGAGAGGGAGGGAGAAAGGGGGGCGTACGAGGAGAGTCAGTGGTGGGAAGAAGGAGGGGGCGGAGATGTTTTGCATGGAGTGGTATTTCTTTGCGCGGTCGCCGTCGAATTGGCCGTATTTGGCTTTGGCGAGGAGGGTCCATGGTGGTTTGTTACCTGCATAGAGGGTGAGACGAGATGAGAAGAGGGGAGGGAAGGGAGGGGAGTGAGGGAAGACGGACCGCTACCGACATTTATTCCTCCTAGGAAGACGGGATGGAATCTGTGAGTTTAGTGAGTGAGATGAATGTGGGGAGATGAAATGCTGTTGCTCACTCGACGGAGACATCGTGACCTGCGAGGAGATCTCGGTTCTTGAGGAGGTAGTTGAAGGCAATTACACCGTAGAAGGAAGCTTTAGATAGACAATCAGCAAAGAACGTATCTCGGATATAAAGAGGATTTTGAGAGATAATATAACAGATCAAAGACAGGAATTGGCATACCACAATCAAGATAACAATCAATATGTCCACCCATCTTCTAAGCGGGGATTCTCGCTCAGTCAAGGCTCACTGAAGCCACTCTTTCTTTCCTTTCAAGTAAAAAAAATTTAGGATCACAAATCAATCAAGATAGAATAACCCCAGAAAAATCTGATCTCATCTCATCCGACCCTGCCTTTATGCTGTAGGTTGCAATTGACATATGAGGTGAGACGACGGCAATGCAGGGAGGAGCCGCCACGAGCCGAGGCACTGATCACTAAACGTCTGAAGCCGAACAAAGATCACGAAACAACAACCTTCACTGTCAGCAACGAGCATATAGCTCGCAGCAAGCCTCCAACGATGTCCTTTCCTCGGCATTGTATCAATTCAGATCTGTTTGATTATAGCTGAAAGTGTTCACGATGACGGGGAAAGATCAACCGGTAGCGCTGGTGGTTGGAGCTTCGAGGGGCATTGGGAGACAGGTTGCTATTGATTTAGCGAAGAATGGATATACTGGTATGTCTGCCGAAGCCGTGCTTGAGAAGAGATTTTCTGATGATAGTGTAATGGGCAGTGGTGGTAGCAGCCAAATCCACGAGCGATGCGTATGCGAAGCCCTTCCCTCCGGATCCCAACTCGCAGCAATCGACCATCAGCACCGTCGAGCGGGAGATCCGGGAAGCTGGCGGGCGGGCGACTGCTATTGCCGTCGATACGAGAGATTACGAGAGTGTGCAGAGGCTTGTCAATGAGACGGTGAAGATATACGGGCATCTTGATGTCGTGATCTATAATTCGGGCGCTATATGGTGGGCGTCGGTTGAGAATACACCCATGAAGCGATTCCAGCTCATGCAACGGATTAATCCTGAAGGGCTGTACGGTACGATTCAAGCTTCGCTGCCGCATTTCAAGCAGAATGGGTGGAAGGGTCGGGTTATTGTTGTTTGTCCGCCTATATATTCGCGTTTCTTTCGAGGGAAGACGGCGTATGCTATGGGGAAGGTGGGCATGAGTGTCCTTGTCAAGGGATTGGCTATGGATTGGGAGAGGGAGGGGAAGAAAGATATGGCTGTGACTGGGATTTGGCCTGCTTCGGTATGTCACCGCTCTCTCTATGAAAAGACTTGATCATTAACAGAAGCAGTCAATTGAATCCGCTGCTACGGGTCAAATCACAAAGACGGACCCACACTCTGTTCGTGATCTACGCAAACCTACCATTTATTCGGATGCTATTTTAGCTATGCTCCGAGCGCCTGTTTCCGAAGTCAATGGGCTATTGGATCTTGATGAGGACTTTCTGCGCAGAGTTGAAGGGGTGACCGATTTCTCGAAATACTCTGTTGTTGAAGGGGCAGTGCCGAGACGTATCATGCCTGCTGAGTTTCCAGACTTGACAGTTGCGGAGCAGGCGGATGAAGGGAGGAGGACCGATAGTACGAAGTTGAGGGCTTCTAAGCTATGAGATGTTTGACTTGAGTACGTAGCTTTTGGAGTAAAATAAGACCTTAGGAGCGCTGATTTCTGTGTCTAGTGCTGTCTCATGAACGGAAACTCTAATGCAACTTCCGTCTCGAGTCAATCAGGACGCACCTTCCACTCCCGGCCTCTTCGGAGACCAACAGCATCGTTCCACTGTCTTTCCAATTGCGTTGGGCTGATTAGTGAGCCCAACTTGCCTCAAGTTCTAAAGTCTTATCTTATAGGTTCTCACACCGTGTCATGCTGCAGCCTCGCATACATGCCTTTGCACCCAACCTACCAAATGTTATCATTTCAGCCACTCCTGCATGCAAATCTGCCTCGAGCCTCATGTCGCTTCAAATGCCAATTACACACTGGAATCAGCACGGGAGGGCGAACTGAGCTGCTGCGCCACCGAGTGGGACAAAATGCATGGTTTTCCCACATCGCGGCTCATTTTTTCTTCAAGTCAAGATATTGCAAGGCTCAAGACATCCTCAATCAAGACTCGTCGTACTACTCGTTTACTGTCAATTACTCTCTACAGTACCCTAATCCTGATGCCTGGACCTGACGTCCGTCAGCCAAATAATTTGCTGTTGCAAGCTGCTGAGCAGGCAAGGCTAGCCAAGCACAGTCAACAAGTGAGCCTATGATTACTCCTCTGTTCCCTCTTCTTTGAGCCTCATACCTGACTGCTTCGTACAAAGGATGAATTCCGAATTTTCGTCTGATGATACTTCCACACGGAGTAAGAGCCGTACCCATACTCAAGAATCCTCGAGCAGGCGTACGTCGGAGGCAGAGTCTGTTGAGTATACCGACTCTGTCAAATCCGTCAAATCTCTGGAGTCCCTCAAAATTTCAAAACCGAGCTTCAGAAGTATGGCGCCACGTGGGAACAGGACCTCCTCTTCCTCCTTTCTTCCTTCGATGTATAACATTCAGAAACCAATCTTCCGGAGCGATCTTCTGCCGGCTGGTAGAACCCCTCAGGCGCCTCAATCCGATCCAAAGCCCTTCAAGTCCCTGAGGAGAGAATTGAAGAACGCACTTGTAGAAAGGCACACGCGGGAAGGTGCCTTTTATTCAATGCCTAACGATGAACTCATGCGGCTTGTGGACTTTACCTCTGTTTTGACTGAACTCATTGATGACTTGAGTATGAGATACAAAGACCCCAATGTTCATGCACTAGCAGAGAGTATTTCTCAGACGGCACCAAGATTGTTTGCAGCACTGGTCTATTCAGATTTAAGGCACTACGTTTTGGTTTTTCACAACGCGGGGTTAAATGACGAAGATATGCCATTTACAATATCATCCAGAATCGACAGCAGTACTGGAAAAGAACAGTTTCAGCTCAGGAGCAGCAAATCAGAGAGAGCGGTTCTGCTAGATCAGGGCTGGAGACCTGACCTACTGAATGCTTTCCTCCATTTTCAATGGGTATTTAATGCCCCGATTTTCGAGTGCCAAAATGAAAATCAGAAACTGTACGGCGATGTCCCACACTGGACATTTGATCAACACTGTATCCTGCCATTTGTTGATGAAACGGAGATACCAAACAACTTTGGCCGGAAAATGTGGTCAGTCATTATTGATCCAGCCCATCAATTGCTTTACAGGGATAAGCAGGTATGATTAGCTTTTCGATATCTCAGAAATACACCCAAGCTCACCCTCCAAGGATCCGAACCCAGCTATTGTCATTATGAAGTTCATTGGCACCGAAACGGACTTCCAGCACGAACTCTCAGTATTGAAATGCTTTATCAGCAATGACCAGAACCCGAGACTACATCTCCAAAGACTGCTAGCCAGCTATTACTACCGCCAAGCATACTACTTTATGTTCCTGATGGCTGATGGGAGTCTGCGAGATTATTGGAACTGCAATCCGAAACCAGAATTTTCGTCATCCACCATTAGCTGGGTTCTCACACAGTGCTGCGGGATAGCGCAAGCCCTGAGAACTATTCAAGAACCAAAAACGGGTCAACCTGGTTGGTACGGGATTTTACAACCCGAAACCATTTTGTGGATATCCAAAGATAGCAAAGGAAAAGGACAACATGGTTACAGTCCTATTGAGCAACTGGTCATCGCAGACCTCAATTTTTCATACCCTGATGGATGGTCCAGGCGTTCAAAGAGTAGACTCCGCGGCCACATCCCGTCACAATATGCAGCTCCTGAGCTGGCATCGGGACTTGAAATTTCACCATCATACGACATCTGGAGCTTAGGTTGCCTATATCTGGAGATGATCACCTGGCTTCTAGGTGGATGTGACTTTCTTCATTTGTTTGCGGCTAGACGCAACAAACACGATCATGGTTCACAGTCTCAAATTTCAAAAGGCTCGTTCTACACTATTGTCGAAGATGACGGGAAGCTAGAAATTCCACGAAATGTCATTGTTCTCCCAGAAGTTGTTCAATGGGTGATGGATTTGAGGAAAAGTCCATTATGCTCAAAGTTCCTCAATGATTTCCTTAATTTGATATGCGATTACATGCTTGTCACTTATCCCCGAGGTCGAATGCAAGCCGCACATCTTTCACGTCAACTCAGTAGCATACGTTATGAAGCCGCAAATGCTATTAAAGACTCAATAAAGCCTCTGGACTTGGAAAAGCTACCGGAAGTAAGATCGACCAAGAGTCCCAGTTCACCTGCTGGCAGAGATACACCGCCGAGGACTCCTCCGTCAGAGCGTGAACCCAGGCCGTTTGATTTTTACAGAATCGCAGCATCAAATGCAACCCTCATCAATTCTACAACTGTCTTTGGGTCCTCTCCCCAGAATTTGGAAAGCCAAATAAATTATGAAAAGAGCATAATAGATCCCGAGCCGTCGACCAGAGTGGATGAAAGCTCATTAGGTGGGGAGAAGAGTCGAGGTCAAGATGGTCACATCAACAGTGTGGTTTATGATCCCGTACAAGTTTACACTCGAGGCTTAGACTCGGCCCTAGCCAGCGGAAACCTTGAATCCGTTTTGACATTCCTCTCCGATCACTTTGAATTGATGGCCAAGGGAGACTACGTGTGGCTTCTGGAGCTTCGAGACCATGGCTACACGGTGGAAGAAATCTCTCGACTTCTTATTGATGAACGACAAGACTCGCCGTGGATCTTCTTTCAACCTAGCACACTTCCAAAACTTTCAACAAAACTCATCCTGGATGATTATCATCAACCATCCTGCGTTCACATGATTGGACAAGATCTGGGTGGACACAGTGATGTAATTTCATATATGGATGCATCCGACCCATTTTCTCAGCTAATGGAGCTTTCCAGCGATGAGAGCACCACTCTTCTCGAGGAGCTGTGTGGTCTTGCAGGAGTTGTTCCCGACCATCGCAATGGAATGGCTTGGACTGGATCAGTAAGATTCGAGAAGCAAGACAATTTACTGACTGCATCGGTATCATACCGACGCAATGACGACGAGCACAGCCTAGCATCGCTTGCTGAGGTCAACCCTTTCTTTTCCATTGACACAGTGGACAGAATGTATCGAATGATCCATGTTCTGTCGAATCTATGCTCTGGTATTGCTCATGCTCAAAGACGCGGACTTTGTTGTGACTCATTTACATTCTTATTCCTCCAGTCTGGTGGTCTCGGCAGGCCGATCATCGAGCTGTGCCATTTAAAAGTAATGTGTGCTTCCATGCTTCTTGAAGGACTGCGAACTTTACGTACAGAAAACATCTTGAGGCTTCCATTGACTGCAATGGAGGATGTAAAAGGCTTTACAAGGGAAATATTTCACGCATTCGATCTAGTTAATTTTTCTGCTATAACCGAGGTCCAAATCGTGGACCATGCTTCTTTAGCTATTCAATTCCTTAGCCTAGCATTCGCTTCATATCTCAAGGCTCACACTAGCCCCTTTCAGCCTTTTTTCCTTGACAGCCCTCTGCAGAGCATCGAATTGTTTGGATCTCAAGATCTATCTACCGGTCGACCAAGTATCACAGCCTCATTCTACCAATTCACCTGCTTACATGAGATGTTGCAAGAGCCTGTACTAGTATTCAAAGAAGGCCGGGTGGAACAGCCGACAGGAGAAAGATATGACCTGTCATGTTTCCCAGAAGACCTGGTAGATACCTGGGGTCCAAGTCAATTCATTCCAAGCAACAACGCAATCGAAGCCACCAAGGGCGAGCTAGTTGCAGTTGTGATAGGAGGCGGGGTAATTAAACCTACTGATAGTACCTTGAAAACCAACAAAATATTTCATTGGAGCAAGGACATCGATCCCCGCCACGACTCGTTGGTGCGATTCACTCGAGGCGACAAAATAACCGTCGCAGGAGTGGTCAGGGTCAATGGAAGTTGTCAATCTAATCCAATCCAGAGATGGTCTTCGTTCATAAGCTCCTTCGAGAATCTTGGCACGACGCCGGGCTACTGGCAATTCACTGAATTCCAAGCTGGCATATCTTTGATAGGCCAACAGTTTGCTGGTGCGCAATTGCAGTTTAACAAAACTTGGACCTGGCATCCAGGAAACAGTTGGAAACATCAATATCTTGGTTTGATGGCAGACGACCTTCCTCTTGCAGAGCTGGACCGACCATGGGGCATACTCGTGAGTGCATGCACAGGTGTTGCTAGACGAGTGCCTCTTCGTGTTCTCCTGGCCGATGTCCTTCCTGCCTTTGCTTCAAATCTCACCTCGACACCCAAGGCTTGGGCTAAATTGCAGCCAGGAATTGTCAAGGCACTGCAAGAGAGCAGCTCGCACGTCAAACAGTGGCACGATGACTTGTGTAATCAACCCGACTTTCAAGAAATTCAAAACTTCAGCAGACGGCTCATACGGCATATTTTGCTGGTGCTCAGAGACACTGGCATTGACCGAGAACACAAAACATTTCGGATAGCATGCCCACAAGGCCACAACGCAGCGGCTCCTATTACCATGTGTCTTCCCGTTCCATGCGAGAAAGCATGTCTCTGGGCGCAAATTCTCACGGACACAGAGAACTGTGCTACATTCGCATGCATGACGACTCAATGCCTGGAATCTCAAGAACATAAATGTCAGACTACAACACCTTGGCATTGTCCCTCTCTTGATACAGCAGTCCAACAATTACGAGCTCACAAAGATCCTATCCTTCTACAGCCACAGACTTGGCGCCTCATTATTGATGCTCTGTATTGGATCGGAAGTCCCGAATCTGGACTCCAAGCTAAGGTTTTGAAATCAGCGACCTCCCCGATACCGAGGCTTCATATATCTAAGGGTAGGATACCACAAAAGACCAGAGCGAGACTGGGAGCTATGATGTCGAAAAGAGATCGCTTGAGGGAGAGGCAGATCGATACTTGGCCCGCTGAAGATGTACTAGTGTTGTCCTAGCAGGGGGAGATTATAGGGAGTCTGTGAAGTCCAGATCTCCCGTTAGTTAGATTGATTCGATCATGGGCTTGGAAGTAGTCGAGTGACTGTTTGAATAGCATGGAGAGGTCAAAGTGAATTCATGAGGATCAAGCCATCTGAGATGAATTGATTGTTTGTTGTACCAAAACGTTCTTACGCCATACGTCTGTTTATACCCTCTAAGAGTCATTGGCCGTCCCTACGACGATGTCGTCTGACCTTATGTTGTATGTACTTGAGCTGATATCTGACCCGAAAGATCTTTAGCATCTAATTGAGACTATTGCTTCGATTTCAGTGTGTCTCCATGCAATTTCTATTCTTCGATATTCACCTTACGCTCACTTTTATAATCTTATCTTTAGGCTTGCAAGGTTCTGAACTTCAATCCCTGTCTGAAACAGCTGTAGTCCAGGTGAGCACTTCTTGATTAAGAACAATTTGCTTTGAAATGACCAGTGCGTTTTGAGTTCGAGATACACTAGAGTGTACTTCGAGTGTGTTCGAAACGTTTGGAGAACCCTTCTTTCTTGAAAACAAGAAGACGCTTTGTTTCGACAATTCGAAAGTACTGTTCGCAATGGCAGAAGGATGAAAATGGAGCTGCTTTGGACTTGCTAATTCTTTGTTGATTCATTGAGTCACAGACCGAACATTGCAGGAATTAGAGTAAAAAGAGCCGATCTAGAGCCTACAGGACATTATAAGAGACAAAGGTACGGAGGGGAATTTTCGAAATTCACAACTTCATGCCTCAATTTTTACACGTCGGTCTTAGCTCCCTTATATTGTGCCGCAAGCTCTGGAGCAATTTTATCTTATGTTCCAATTCTTACTATACAAACATGCCTTGATCTTAGACACAACACAGCGAGGCTGAGAGCATTGCTAGTCAATTATCAACTCTGAATACCAAGAGTGAATGTAACATTTCCGCCTTGTTTTTGGACACATCAAAGCGAGGCTGCGAGATTTGCTGGCCAGTTGCCCTTTGAGTCACGTACGAAGAGTGAATTTACAATCTCCGCCTTGATTTTAGACACACCATAGCGAGGCTGTGAGGCGCCAAGGTATAAATAATTCGCGTCGGACTTTGTTTCTTCCTTCATAACAATCACAGCCAGACGCAACCAGGAGCGGCCTGCTGGCCTTGCGTCCAGGCTCAAGCATGGAGCTAGTAGGACTCTTATCAATTTATCCATACCTGTTTTTAACAATCTGGGTTCTCAAAGATGACATGAGACGATAAGTGGTAGTGAATGAAGAGGACTTGACAATGCAAAAATGTATGACAATGGAACGTTTGTACAGTTTTCAAGCCCTAGTACCATGCTAGAAGAGGAAACGTTGGCTACCCGTAGAAAAGTAACTTTTTGCGCTACAACTCCTCTCCTGAACCTTCTCCCTCACGGTGAATTGGAGGGAAGAGCGTGCTGTCACGTGACAGCCTGACAGCCTCCAACCTGGCCATATTATGATAACAATTCTATATAAACTCGAAGGCTTCACTATAACACTCTTTGATTGAGTGTTGGAATCACTTCTTGGATGATGCTGGCAAGCGCTGGATTCATCTTATAAGAATAGCATTCACTGCTGGGCTTCCTTGTCATTCCACTCGCGTGCCACATATCTCTCCTGTCTCGGGATCAATACTTTCGATTACCCAAAGAAAACTGAAGCCTCTGTAGTAGATTCCGTGTTGTATATTGCTTGCATTTCATACATTGTTCTTAGTATTGTCTTTGCATCGAAGCTGTTGCGAAGATTCACTTCCTCGCTTAATTTAGTATTGTGCTTTGGGGACTTGAGCTCCTCCTGACAATACTACAAACCATGTACTTTCACCTATTATGCTCTCATCTACTAGTCCAGAGCGCTCTCGCTTCCTGTCTCCAGAATTTCTATATAATCTCAGACCTCTCCTGCAAATAATCTTTTTTTCTTCTCCAGTATTCAAAAAGCCTCGCGGCTCAATCAAGCACACCAACACCACCACACACAACACATCATGGCCAATTGGCGCCCAACAAACATCACTTACGCCGCCGACGACGACGCCGACGACGCAGCAAGAGAAATCAAAGCCAACCCATTCCTGAAAGTTGGTGTCCGTGGACGAAGAGTCCGAATCAGACCTCTGAATGAGGATCGGTAAGTTTCTTATCCTCCAATATAGTTGACAACGCTAATCCAGTTGACAGCGACGAAGACAGACCTTACGCGAGAGCATCGGCTTGGGAGCACTGGAGGGTGATGAAGGAAGGGGATGGTGTGGGGGCGACGTCGGAGGGGGGGGATGGGTGGGAGCCGAGGATGAGGAAGTGGGAGAAGAAGAAGAGTCCTTTGTGGCAGGTGGAGACGGTTCGGGAGAAGGGGAAGCGGGTGAGGAAGGTGTGGGGACCGAGGAGTTGGACGAGGGAGAGGAGGGTGGGAGGGAGACTTGTCCGTATTTAGGGGGAGGGGAGATGAGATGAATTGATTCTGGTGCGCGCTGGTCGCTGCCCTTGCTGACTACTTTGTTCATTTGCCGTAATAACACCTGTGACTTGCTTTGCCAACATAAGAGTTACTGTCAATATCACCACTGAAACCTTTTCATCCACTCTATGACTTCACACCACTCCGCGTCCCCACATTTTCTCTCAAGTATGTTCGCATTTAACGTTCTTTGCCTTGCCAACACACACATAGTACTTGGTTCCATGATCTAAATTGATGTCATAGAGGTAAAGGAAAGTGAGCCGATCTTCATCTCGCATTGCTGATGTTACATTCTCCACATTTGAGCAGCCTTACACTTTCGTCACTTCGTACTGAGCTATATCTCTTCTTCCTTTTGCTCTCATGATAATGCTCCTCTGGTTTCCAGTCAAATAGCAATGTTGAATAATAATTCATTGCTATTGTTCTCGCTTCGCTTTACCCCTGTCATCTCGCTTAGCATTGTCTCCCTTGTTTTTTACCAGCGGCAATCCTCCTCTAGCATCCGATGATTGGAACCTTCATTATACACGGAACAGAACGAAATCATCAGCGTAAGCTTCGAATGCTGTGACAAACCGCTGCAAAGAAAAGTAAATGTTCGATTCTAACCTAAATTTTGCTTTATTCTGTACAGTAACATTGACAGGTTGCAATACTGGTGTACACGTAGCCGCAAATAGTTCATGTATCTGACTGTTTCATATCGGCATCGAGTACATGTTAAATTTAAAGCAAGCGCTCCACGAATTTATCGTTTGCGTCATCGTTGGTAGCTCCAGCATTTGTTCCTCCTAAATTCTCAGTGTCCTCGGCCAAAGAATTGCCGGAGCTTAAAATGCGGCCTTCCCAAATTTTTGCTAACAGCTCTCTCGAAGATCGTACAACAGCGCTTCATGCTAGTTGAATATTTGCAGGAGATATGGATGCATCACATAGCTTTCAAAGTTGTAATACAAGCTATAGGCCAGTTGCTCAATATTGGATTATGAAGTTCACCATTGTGTCTAGCTAGTGACCCCTAGCAAAGCATGCACCATGCGCACTAACAGTACCAAGATTCCTCCACCCCCATTCCTATATTCCCGTAATCCAGATCCCCTTCAGACGATGTCTTTCACTGAGTGTATGGCGGTGGTGAATCAGGGTCAGGAGCCGACCGAGACGCTATATTCATCACCACCTCGATCTCGTTGTGCAGTTCATCCAGACTCTTGTTACACTCGGCTAGGTACTCGTCTAGCTCCTCTTTCGCCTGAAGACTAAATCCCCTTCTTAAAGCCTGCTTGAAGTTTTGGTCTTGTCGTTTCAGTCCTTGTTCCCACTCTGGGATGAGAGTTCGGTATTGAATCAAGCTATCGTCGCGCTCCACCATCATAATAAGAAGTAAAGTTCTTATCATTACATTAGAGTTTTCCAGCGCGCTTGAAATTAGGTCCAATTCTGTAGGTCCCCTTTGTGACTCCATGATCAGATAAGTTTATGTGCTGAATCGATGTAGTCGATCGCGAGAAGATTTGCTTTTGAAAATGTACTGGAAGATAATTTTTCTCAAAGAAACTGTCCCCACAGGAGATTTATATAGCCACATATCCAAGAAAATTGAATTTACTCCATTCACATTTAGACCAATGGGAATCACTGTGGGTAGTGACTATGCATACCTCATGAATCCCAAAGTGTTTCGTATGTACTGTATGTCTAGTGAATGAACATCCAACTCCGAGTTTGCTACTGGTGCATTGATCATTCACAACTTCACATACATGGTCCGTCGTATATGGTATGTTATGTTGGCATGAAATCAATCACATAATAGGATAGGAGATATGTGTTTCCTTGAATAGCCATGCATAGAGTACTTTGCTTGTCTGCACTTCGGTTTGAGATTCTGTCACTTCATGTCTTCCAGAATACTAGTCCAGAACCAATTGAAAGTCAGGCATTCGTTGCTATCGTGAAGATCTCCCGCCCACTATCTTCACCTCCACCATACTGCAACCTCTCATCTGTCCCCAGCACTAATGCTTAACAGAAACCCCCAAAACATTCTGTTCCGCAATTAGAGACCAACATTACTATACAGTAGATCAACTTACCGCAGCACTCGATACATGTGTCAGCTGTGTCATCACAAACGAGACAGCAGCACATTGCGGCCATGCACGCCTCAAAGAACCCCTTTTCACCTCCACCTCGAATATTCAGTTTATCTTGTTGGTCGATATGCTGAGGTTGAGCAATCTAAAGGACCGTAAGCTCAATCTTCAACTTCAGAGGCCTGTCCAAGAGAGTGTACTACTATTTGAGATGCGACTGGAAGAGGGGAAGCTTGAGCCTTGTAGCCTTCTTGTTTCTTTGTTGGGAACATGGTGTTGGCTTGATATTCGGATTGATGAGTATGGATCGTTGGTGACAAGTTGCTTCGTGTTCAGAAATGTACTTGGAAGCAGAAAGATGTGTGCAGTGGGTGTCAGAGCTGATGGAGCAAGAAGGGAGGTTTGAAGAGCAGAGCAGATTACGAGTATTAAATAGATAAACACGGTGACTAAAGTTTTGAATCATGGTTCAGCTTCTTTGCAACAGATGATTCATCTCAATTATCCACTGCAATAACTTAAGAGACACATTGTTACCTCCGACTAGATCAGTCTTATTCACTCCGATAATCCTTCAATATCACTCACCAAAAAAATTCTGGTGACTAAGGTGACGCTAGTGTGGTTATAAACGTCCTTTTGCGCATATTTCTCTCAGCAACAACTTTCTTTGCAGCACAAGAGTGGGTCTACTCGTGGTTGGCTTTAGGGTTCTATGGTGTCTTGCCTCAAGGTACTTTGATAGAAACTGTAGCTGCAAGGCTAAATTTGCACTCTCGGGATGAGGCGTTGTGGCGCTAGTGATTTGACAGCAAACCGAACAGAGAATCGACAAGATATCACAACTTTCTTGCCATTCAGGCAGATGGTAATCCTGGTCCCACCATTGTACCGTCACTGATAGGAATTGGCGTGTATCGCTTATCAAGCTGAAGTACTGCGGCTTCAGGATTTAGTGGAGTCTACGGGAGCCTCTTAGCGCACAAAGCTAAATTTGTCGAGTCCACTTTCAATGAAAGTCCTTCCATTGGATGATGGGTAGCCTCCACCAATCAGCATCAACTAATGAGAACCATGCTTAGTAGAAAAGCTAAATTCTGAGTGAGATCTTTGTTTTGACTTCCTAAGCTACATTCCATCAAATGTAAAGCCCACATAAGCTTCGTTTGAGATTGTTATCATTGAAGTACTTTTTGTGCCCAGAAGAGCAGAAGATGAAGCCCACGATCCTCCTTATCCACGGCGCTTGTCATGATCCAAGCATTTGGTCACTCATTATCCCAAAACTCGAACCACTTTCATATCATTATGCCACGGTACAGCTTCCAACCAGCAATCCCAAATCACTGAGTCTCACGCCCTACGATGACGTCACGGCAATTCACAAGATTATGATCCCCCTGCTTGAAGAAGGAAAAGAGGTGGTGGTAGTCGCCCATTCTTACGGTGCATGTCCTGGACTTGCCAGTATCGAAGGTAATAGCATCGCAGAAAGGAAAGATAAAGGAATGGAAGGAGGAGTGCGAAGTGTCATGTTCATATCCAGTGTCTTGATCAGTGAAATGGGAAAGTCTTGCGCTGACACTCAGTATGTCAAATCCTGTCTCTGTTTCGTATTCAATATGGAGCAGAGATTTTCCGGGCCCCCCAGGAACCCTTCGATATAGAAGAGGTTGCTCCGATTCTTTGGATGGGATTCTCGACTCCAAAATCTCTGTCAAAAGCGTAGACTGATTTTTCAATAGCTACGATGCTGGTAATGACTGGGCTGATATTGATATGGATGTAAGGCGACTCACTTTACCCCCGAATCTGGAAGCAGTAGTAACATGATTCACAGGCCAGTCTTGTCAAGCCAGGTCCACATTCGAGGACTGTGTTTTATAATGATCTTAGTGATCAAGAAGCTGACAAATGGGTGAAAAAGTTGCGTCCTCACGCGCTTTTGGCTTTCATGACTCCTATCCAGTACTCAGCAAATGACCTTCAGTGTCCTCATTGGTACTTGATGTGCGAAAAGGACGAGGCTGTGAAGTCGGCGAGTCAGGAACGAATGGTTGGAATGGTGAAATCGATGAGGATCGAGAAGTTGCCAACTGGGCATTCGCCTATGCTGAGCAATCCAGATGCGTTTGTGAAGATTTTAGATAAAGTTGCAACATCATAGAGTCAATACAATGTCCTTTCATTGACGGACAAAGTGGGCGCCTTACTAACAAGCCTGGCAGCAACAAATAAGGGAGGGAGCTAATCTGACCCAAAGGTGAATTTTACCCAGGCCATGGAATTAAAGAATTTTCATGGAACTTTTTCAAACGTGAATTTTTGAATAGTTTTTTACTTGCAAATAAAAATTGTAATCATTTTACAGTTACTACGCTATTGCACTACTCCACTATACCGCATCATTGCACACTGCATTATATTGCACTAGCGCGCTGTAGCACAGTTGAAAAGAGGGTAGTGAATGCAGTGACTGCATTAGAGGCACTGAGTACAATTAAGCGATATTAAACTTTGGAATAGGGGGTTACACGCCTAATTTAGCTAGACTGCAGAGAATCTTTCCGCATTTTTACCCCTTTTCAAAATCCATGGAAAATTTTCCACCAAACTTCTTTAACTCCATAAAACTCTAAGAGTTTCATGGAATTAGTCAAATTTCGGTCGAAAAGCGGTATCCGATGAACCGGGTGCAATATCTACTGTTACGGTTGCGGTCGTAGCCATATATAGTATGATAGCAGAATAGGCTTCCAACCTATTCTTGTACCCTTTTGGGCCAGTTTGGCCCGATGGTAAGAGCTATCACTACCGTTGGCGCGCATGCTAAGCGCTACGTCACATCTACAACAGTAGCCCTCATTTCTTCGGCGGGCAATACAAGCCTCAACGCCGCAATAATAGCGACTTGTCATTTCTCCAATGAGCAATACAAGCCTCAAAGGGGAATTTCTCCGATAGCGGTTTCATTTCTCGGATAGGCAATATAAGCATGTTTTGGCCGAAAGGGAGAACGCCTATAACAGCGGCCTATAGTTTGTCTGATAGCAATATAATTTTTGCGGTTCTAGCTTAAAGGGGAATCGTCTACGATAGCGACTTGTCGTTTCTTTAGTGGGCAATACAAGTTTTAAAGCATTAGTCTAGAGGGGGAATTTTTGATAGCGATTCGTCATTTCTCGGGTGAGCAATACAAGCCGCCTTTTTGGCTGAAAGGGGGGACGCTTGCAATAGCGGCCGCAGTTTTCCCGGTGGCAATACAAGCCTCACCGCTCAGCTCAAAGGGGTATCGTCTACAATAATGGCCCGTGATTTCTCCGGTGGGCAAGACAAAACCCTGCAGCTTCAACTTCTTCTTGAACTTTAGCAAACTCAACCACAAAAATAAAGACTGCTCAACGCTTTTGATTCAGTCTTTATTGGGTACTATCCCCCTAATCCAAATACCCATAACCTATTCCTACTCCTCCATCACTTGAGAGCACGAACTTTCCTGTTATTTCACCTTAGATCTATCTGTGCCTCGATCTATCTTTCATTCACCATGGAAGGTAATCCCACGATTGCTGATGAGCTGGGTCAAGCTGTCTCCGAGCTTACTTTCAACTCGGAGTCGGACTTGAAGAAGAATGTCGAATATCCGGATGAGTCTCAAGTCAAGAGCGTCGATCACGAAGCCGTCAATTCGCAAGAGGTGAGCTACAAAACTGAACCTCGTATATCCATGACTAACTTTTCCCTAGCCGCTGACCGAATTCCAAAAGTTTCCGGACCTCCCCATCGAGTTGCGACTTCGAATTTGGGACTACGCCTCTGAACAACCCCGGATTATCGAACTGCAATCTGGAACTCGTACCCTCAACCACGCAGACGAGATCAATCGCCTTCCTCCACAATCCTGGGTAAAGGTCTCTGTTCATGGACGACAAACTCCGGCTATCCTTCATGTCTCCAGAGAAGCTCGCGAGGAGGGCCTCAAGCACTATACCTTGACGAATCTAGAGTCAAGAGATTATCCCGCAGTTGAGCGACCATGCTACTACAATTCGAGACTTGACACCATCTACTTTGGCCCCTTGTGCAATGCTGCTAGTATCCAACAAACACTCAACAAGAAGATTGCTATGCCCCGCATTGCTGTGGACGTCAGAGTCGGAACTTCATATCGGGTCATGGCCGCTTTGCAACTTATGCACTCCCACGTACGAGGTTCTTTGGAGGAGATAGTATTCGTTGTCCCTAGCTTCATTTGGCTCAAGGAGTGCAATTTCCCTCCCAATGTTTGCTTCGCCTCTACCAAGAGCACTGGCTTCGATCCCAGACACCGCAGAGTTTGTCGTTACCTGCGCAAGCGTGTTCAACAAGTCGTTGCGAGAGAGAGTGAACCCTTCTACTTGGCGAAGAACAACTGGTCGGAGGAACTCATGCCCGCTTTCGAGTTCAAGTGTTTGACACCGATTCCCGATCCTGGCAAGGTCTACAACAATTTGATTATTCATGAGGAAGAACTGCTTAACCAGGACGACTGGTGCGTTGTTCGGGAGATTGAGTGGAAGACCGGTTGCATGATTAAGCGAGCACCCCACGACGTTAACGCCTATGAGGAGAGTTGGGGAGATGCGGGCTACGAACTTGGCTTCTACGGGACCTTTGCTGCAGTTGAAGAGGCCATGCGACTGGTCAAGGAAATTGCCGACGAGAGGGAGCGCCTTGAGGCTATTGAGAGAAAGGAGAGAGAAGAGAGAGAGCGGGAAGCATTGAGAGGAGCTAGCGGCACATATTGGTGGTGATAATATCTTTACAATTCTGGGAGTTGGAGAAAGAGTGATTTGTGGAGGCGATTGGATAACATCTTGAGTTATCTCGTTCTTCATGCATATCATGGAAGAGAGTTGGCGGAAGCACCTTGCTGATTGATCTTTGAAGATAGCGATGATATTTCGTCTTTGAGCCTATTTTACAGGCAGAGAGAGAGCGTGCCTCGGAAAATACCTAGGTAGATTGCAGAAAAGTTTTTCCAATAATAAACATATTTACAAATCTTTTTTGCACTTTGACATACCGTAAGAATTGTGATATAGAATGGTATTGTATCAGACTTTGAAGGACAATGTAAGTAGGCTAAGTCCCAATCATGAACTAAATCGAGAAACAACGTAAACTACCTTCACTCTCGAATTTCGAACATTTTACTTTTCCCACTAAGAATGTCCCACAAACCTACAACAATATCATCTCATATCCTGATTATTACGGTAGTGTTTTTCGTGTAGCATCCCTAACAAAGGATTTTAACTTGATTGCAAGCCTAGTCGGGTGGTCAGCAAGTAATCTCTTCCAGATAGTGATTGTCTTACACTGCGAGTAATATGGATTAGAGTAAGTGCAGGTGTACCCAGAAGGGCAAAGTGTTGGTCCTGCATAACTTGATCCTCCACCTGACGTACTGTCAGCTCCAGTATCTTCAAAAGATACCAAACTTACATTGACCATATGCCGAGCTTGTTCCTGTGGCGGTGGAACTGATAGGGTGTCAGTAACGCACTCGATCAGAGGTAGAGGAATTTACGAGGAGCTCGTTGAGGTGGCAGTCATTTTCTGAGAAGTAGACGTCGTGCTTGTGGCCTTCGAGCTTGAACTCCCCGAGCTGGTTTGACTTGTAGTCACCACTTTACTACTTGTGGATGTTAAAAGCGTCGATCCAGAACTTGTCACGAGGGTAGATGAACTGGTTTTCGTCCCTGTCACCGTAACTGGTGGTAGAGCTCCAGAAGGTGCTCCGTAAAAGATACCTCTTCCATTCGTGCCGACGAAAACTCTTCCATATGTAGCCATATCGGCACCTACGACGTTTGCGGACGAAGATGCGAAACCATGAGTAGCATCACTGATCATTGCCCAATTTAGACCTGCGTCTTCTGTTTTGAAAAGTGCTGTTACAGTGTCAACTGTGAAGAAGCCATAGATCACGGGGTAGCCTGTTGAGGTTGAAGCGGCACCAAGAGCTGTTGGGAGTTAGTGGATGCAGGCATTCGGCAAATGAATAATGAACGAACCAAAACTATAACCTGCTGTGACCCCGCTGCCGATCTGGGTAAATGTATGGCCGTAGTTGGTCGAGTGAAAGAGACCAGTATCCGTGCTAGCCCAGACATCTCCAGCAACTGTTGGATGGACACGAATCTGGTTTACCATAGTCGAAGAACCGAGTGCTGCAGTCATTGTAAATGTCACACCTGTGTCAGAGGAGGTATAGAAGCTATAGGAAACTTTAGTATGTAGCTCTCAAGCATCATTGGGCATTCTCACCTCCCAGCAGAGCCACCGTAGAAGACTGTTCCATTCCTCTTATCAGAAGCAATAGCTGCTCCCGATGGAAGTGTTGGAACAGCGCTAAATGTTGCTGAATACTTCGAAATCAAAGGACCATTTGTATCTGACATAAGAAGTATCGAGTCTGAATTTGCTGAATATGCGACTTTGCCAGGCCCGATGCTCAAAGATGCACCATAATAGGGAGACCAAGTGAGACCGTAGTTCCCAGAGGTCGCTATCTGGATGGCCGTCGAGCTTTCACCGGTGCGAACAACATTCGCGGGATTATTTCCAGCATAGTCGAGATCATGGGTCGTGCCGTATGTTGGTGTGTGGAAAGCTTGCGCTGGTGCAGTATCTAGGTCCCAGTGGAGGAAGCCACCGATATCCCCAACAGCGGACAGGAGTGGTGCTCCACCAGGGACGACCAATAGCGCCTCTGCCGCAGTCTCCTCGATGCCGTATGCCAGAGATTTAATCGTGACATTGTGTTCTGTGTCCCAGTTAAGAAGATCATGGCTCCCATAAATGGTAGCACCTGTTCCGTAAAGCCCTATACAGCGACTTTAGCAGATGACTGTACATTTTAGAGCGCATATTTGCTCACAATGATTGGAATCAAAAGGATCGATGGACAACGATTCGACCATCCATCCTACTCTGGAGAGAAATTGTGCTGTCGAAGTGTTGTCCTGCAGCCATGGCGCTTCGGAAATGTCGTAGCTATAGTAACTGCTTGTCGTCAGAACCTAGACGGCGGCATGCAATATGTATGGACTCACAAGTCGAGATTGGGGTAGCCATCCCAAGCCCTGATCATGGTCAGTTACTAACCCCCCACTTACATTTATAGATTTTACCAAATTGGGGACCAAGTGGTTCCGTGATCTGTGCTTCTCCACATAATCTCATCTGGCCACCAGGCATTCAACGCAGCCACCATCAAAGTTCCAGGACGTTGCAGGTCAACCGACAGCCCTCCATATCCATAATAGGTACTCGCCAAGGAGGTGGGGCTGATATCTGTCCATACTCCAGAAGTGATGTTGTATTTATGGACTGTACCATTAGTTCCATCGTAAGGACCAACTCCGTTTGCGTATGAGACGTACAACGTCTTGTCGGCGGGTGCAAGAACTCCTCTGTGAGGGATGAATCCGTACTGAGGTTCACCTGCAACCCATGCCCCTGAAACTGTTAGGAATATTGGGGATAGATGGCCTGGACACTTACAAGTTACCCCGCCATCTTCTGATTTGAAGACGGATTGGCCGTCGTCCACAACACCTATCATGGTCAGCTTGCGGACTCATTGGAGGAACTCAGGTGACTTACCAACGAAGATACGAGGCGTCGCAGAACCAGAAGATCCAGTCGTGGTGTCAAAAGTGATCCAGGCGATTCCGACAGGATCAGATGTATAAGATGAGCTTGCATTCTGAAAGTAGGTTCCTAGCTTCTAATCAGTAATAACCTAGACTTGCCACAAGGAACAATTACCTGTCCATTTGAAAGCCGTGACATTATTCCAAGTCACACCATAGTCAGTGCTCTTCCACAAACCATGACCGCTTCTAGCTCCGAAGTAGACAATGTTGTTGCTGTTCGGGTCGACAGCAAGACGCTGAGAGACGTTAGCCTCATCTCTCAGGAGAGGGAAGCTGATTTACCTCGCCAATGCCACGTCCTGGCATGTTGCCTCCAACCTTGAAGGGCAATTTGGTTTCAGCCCATGTTGCACCCTGGTCCGTAGATCGTAGAATTGATCCGACATTTGGATCCCAGTCATTAGTATACATGCCCACAGCCAGGTACACTCGATCGGTATCGACTGGATCAGTGGCAAGTGCATCGACGCCCCAATTATGCCTACAAAGTCAATTGAAGTATGAGAAGATGATGCGGAGCGTACCAGTTTGAGTTATTGACGGAGTCTAGCAATGGGGTCCATGAATCATCCGAGTTCAGACGATACGCTCCTCCGATGTCTGCTCGAGCATAGGCAAGCCCTTTGCGAGAAGGATTGAAGACAATGCCTGGAATGAAACCTCCACCACCTGTTGCACCCATTAGTGATAATTGGCGGGCAACAGAACTCGAAGTCATACCTCCGATCCTGACATTCTTCCAGGTGAAAGCTTGGGAAGCTGCAGCATCAACAGAACATGAGAGGAAAGCACCAGCCAAAAGAGCTGCTCCCGAAAGAACCTTCATTTTAGAATTTGGAGAGACGATAGTCTAAAATCCGAGCCGCAGAACCAGGAAGCAATATACAATTTATATAACGGCCATGAGTCTGGTAGTAGCACTTGCCGATCTCCGAAAAAGTTTTGTACTATATATCCTAATTTCGGAAACGCTGGAACGCAGGGACGTAGATCCTAAACTGTAAAAGAATTATTTGCATGATTCGAAGCCATTCGATGCATTGGATGGCGCAAGGCTAGAAGGACATGCAAGGTACCCCACAGTATCCTACATCAACGGCGCTATACCTACATCTGAGGTATAAACGGACATACTATTTTCCATCGCATCTGATCAGTGTACCAGATTCAGGAGCGGGAGTTGACGGTCCGGTCCAGGGGAGATCTGAAAACCATTCCTGAATGGTGCTTTCGCGTGATGTTGTTTGGCGGCTCCTTGTTCCGACGTGTTTAGCCGCTGAATTGCGACAACCCAGATCTGATCACACTTCACTTTGATCTGTCTTTTTTTTTAAGGTTTCTTCGAGATATGATTTCATGGACATTTATTTCTCCGTCATGCGGGGTTTCTAAGAGGCATCATTGAATGCTCTTCAGCAGTCAAGTTCAGCGCGACGTCCAAACTACAGTCAATTCCCTGCAAAATGAGCAAAAGTACACAATTCACAAGAGGATTCAAAGGGGAATTGAATTGGCCTCTGGGCCATCTATAATTGTATTCTTTCTTCGCGAGCTCCGAAAGCGTCCGCGTGCAAGCTGAATTCTTGCTGAACGACACCCTCGCTCCCGTCGTTACCTCAATCATCCACCGGCTAGGCTTACAATGTTCGGCGCTCAACTTGTCTGGCATTATCACTCTGGGAAGAAGTGACAACGCTGGTCGTAGGCTACACTGTGCTCCTGATGCGCAGTTGTGGAAGAGCCGCCGTTCGAGAGGTCTACTGCAGTTGACCTATCGGCAAGGGTACTGGAGCGGAGCGAGGAAGTGAGACTCAAGTCCTAGGGTGGAGTGGTTCAACAGACAGTTGTTTCTTCTTTGTGAAGAAAATTCGTGACACTCTGCATCAGAAATCATCATCGCTGTCATCTTCATCTCTGGGTTTCAGGTGCTTGCTCATATATGGCCCTGCGACATGTTAGAAAAGTAGAATTCTTTCAGACATGCTCGACTCACCATCAAGCCAATATCCAAGTCGGCGATAATAGTCTCTTGTGCCAACTCCAGATATGACAGTGATCTTCGTGCTGCCATGTTCATCTCTTGCGATTCTCTCGGCCTCTTCCATCAGCAAGGTTCCGTAACCTTGATGTTGGAACTTTCTTGGATCGCGACCATGTACTGGTACAGCAGAACCATAGACATGTAGCTCACGAATCAAGCTTGTCGGCTGTCCCGTAAGCTCGGGGCGGAAAGTGTATTTTGCTGAGCACTTCCTCAGTCTCAACAGTCCGATGAGGATATCTTGCTTGGGGTCCTCATATGCCAGGAAAGTTTCCCATCCGCCATTTGCCGTGTAGTCTCGACGGACCAATTCCACTTGTGATGGACGAATCTTGTTTTTGACCTCATTAATGCCGACCTCTCGTGTTCGAACATCACGGCAAGTAGTCCCAAAATCCTTCATTCGACTCAAAGCCAGTTCACGCAGATTCCCATTTTCGACACCAGAGGTGACCAGAGGCATGGGGATATCTCTCTGGACACGATAGATCCGAGTCCAAGGAGGGACCAAGGCCAGAATCCGGGCAACGATATCAATCAGAGCATTTGGTGTATAGTTCTTATATCTTCCAGTCCTCCACAACTCATATAGTCCCGTGCCTCGAATGACGAGCGTTGGGTAGATCTTGAGGCCATCGGTTCGGAAGGCTGGATTCTCAAAGTACTCTCTGAATTGATCCAAATCTCTTTCCATGCCAACATTTGGTAAATCTGGCATCATATGGCTGACAACCTTAAATCCTGCATCTTTCGCAAAGCAGAAAGTTTCTGCCACCGATGCTACTGTATGGCCTCGATTTGTATCTCGAGCAACATCCTCGTAAAGAGACTGTACGCCAATCTCCAACCGTGTACATCCATATCGCAGCATGTCGGTCAAGTGGGGAGGAAGGCAATAATCGGGCCGTGTCTCTATTGTGATTCCCACACATTTGATATTACTCATCTCTCCTGCCTCAACAGCTTCGTCGACATTGTTCCCCTGGTATCCGCTAAGTGCATTGTGAAGTTGTGAAATGAAACCTTCTCTGTAACTGGGCGCCAGGGACATGAAAGTGCCACCCATGATAATGTATTCAACCTTGTCCACGCTATGCCCTAGAGATTTGATCTGATCGACTCGTCCTCTTGCCTGCTCGAATGGATCGTATCGTGCTCTAATTGCTCGCATGGAAGTCGGCTCGTAGCCAGTATATGATTGAGTCGAGTATTCGAAGTCGGAGTCAGGACCGCCTGGGCAGTATACACAAATGTTACCAGTGTATGCGATGTGAGGGCATCTGTGAGGTTTGCACATTACAGCCACAACAGCTATTCCAGAAGCACTTCCTAAAAAAGCGGTCAGGTAGAATAACCAGAGGATATTATTGGAGACATACTGATTGGTTTTGCTATTAATTTTGGCAAGATGTATTTCTTGTGTTGTTCAGGAATTGCAGCAATGATAGCAGTTAGAGGGGGAATATTGCTTAACCTGTGCTTCTTGGACATCTTTGAGCGCAAGCTATTGAGGTTCACATCTTTCCTCGGCGCATTTTGGTCCTGCTGAGCTTCATGATCTGCGATAAGAAAGCTTGCTATATCAGAGCAACAGCGGATGTATCTTTCATTTTCTGGTGGTAGGTTTTGGTCTTTGGGCTTTTTCTGCCTCTCAGCCAACGTCATTGTAAGAGTTTCGGTCGCCATTCTGCAGAATAAATTCTAGAGATACGAGCGTGTGATCACGCCAGTTCTAGCAGTGCAATCCAAAGACTATGCGTTGTGCGACAAAATTGTTTTTCGCTGGTGGTGAAATGAATGGTGGTGGGGTTTAGTGACCCTCGAAATAATTTCTGGGATGCCGGAAAGTTCCGTTTGAGTTAACAGCTCTCGCGGAAACTCTAGCGAAAACTCCGGGACCCTTTCCTTGAAGTTATTCTGACCTCAAAAATCGACTCTCAATCCCTTTACCCTCCTTTCCTCGACATCAATTGTCCTCAGGCCGCTTTTCCTTGACACCAATTGTCTTCGGCAAGATGCAGGCTTTTTCAAGATGCGCCAGACCTGCCCTCAAAGCAGTCCTGCGAAGACAGAACTATTCGACCTCAACGGGAGCGTACGCCGCGACTGCTGAGAACCTAAGGATCAACAAAGATACAAAGGTCATCTATCAAGGCTTCACAGGAAAGCAGGGAACGTCAGTTGCTGTGGTTTTCCTGGTGTTGGAGCTCTTTGCTGACGATGAATGATAGATTCCACGCGCAACAAGCTATCGAGTACGGTACGTGTCCGGAAGCTCCCAAACCTCAAGTAATCGCATCTGATGGCATATACAGGCACTCAAGTTGTTGGAGGGACGAATCCTAAGAAGGCTGGACAAACACATCTTGGTCTGCCAGTTTTTGCGAACGTTGCAGATGCAGTGAAGGAGGCGGGAGCTACTGCCTCAGCTATCTTCGTCCCGTACGACAGCTCCTCCCGATGATGGATCTTGAGATTGTGTATACTGATATGCTTGTTAGACCTCCGCTTGCGGCAGCTGGTATCGAGGAAGCTATTGCGGCCGAAATCCCTCTGGTAGTCTGGTACGGATCTTTCATTCACATGTGATAAGGACACTATTGACAATTTTTTTACCAGCATTACTGAGGGTATTCCCCAACATGGTATGTCATTTGATAGCTTTCGAAATTTGTCATTGGTGCTAACAGCTTGGTAGACATGGTCCGAATTACCGATATCTTGAAGACGCAAGGAAAGACACGTCTGGTGGGTCCCAACTGCCCAGGTCTCATTGCTCCCGGACAATGCAAGATTGGTATCATGCCTGGGTTCATTCACAAGCGGGGTCGTATCGGTATTGTCTCTCGTTCAGGAACTCTTACCTACGAAGCTGTCAACCAAACCACCCAGGCTGGTCTTGGTCAATCTCTTGTCGTTGGTATTGGTGGTGATCCATTCTCTGGAACAAACTTCATCGATTGCTTAAAGGTCTTCCTGGAGGATGAAGAGACAGATGGTATCATCATGATCGGTGAGATTGGAGGTTCTGCTGAAGAAGACGCTGCCGATTTCTTGAAGGAATACAACACCGCAAATAAGCCAGTTGTAAGCTTCATTGCCGGTATCTCCGCGCCACCAGGACGACGAATGGGCCACGCAGGTAAGTTTAATATTATATGTTGAACAAGGACCGAACTGACCTCTGGATTAGGTGCCATCGTCAGTGGTGGAAAGGGAGGAGCGGATTCCAAGATTGCGGCTCTTGAGGCTGCTGGTGTTATCGTGGAGCGAAGTCCAGCTCTTCTTGGAAAGACTCTACACGCAGAGTTTGTACGACGTGACTTGATTTAGATGACCTTGTGAAATAGATGACGGGACAGTTGCACATGGAGCGTTAATGCATTTCCTATGGGTCGATGTTCAATACCTTGTTCTTGTACAGTTAGTAGCAAATTCGACATGCATTCAATATAGACTTTGACGGTTGTGTTTGACACTTTGCAAGAAAACCACTTCTGGACTCGAGTTGTTTATATGCTATTCCAAGATCGTACTTGTATTAAAGCTTTGTTCCGGTCTATACAGTCAGCAATCCGTGAAGAACAGACTTGATTTCAAGCTAAATCTGGCGGCAATACGTCAAATGAACGAAAATGTGGAGGGACTTACGATTCCAACTACAGGTTTCTTCATCTTCTTTCCTTCGGCGTTAGCAGCGGCAACATCCGCCGATCGATTTAAGCTTCATCTTGCGTCGGCGAAACCTTTTGCCGCGCATTAGTTGAATCCTCGAAGCTCAAAGCTCCCCCACATCAACATCGCACCAGACCTCCTCAAGTCCAAATACCTTGTCGCATCACGAGCTCCCCCGCATAGGCAATTGACACCATGTTATCTGGCATCTTGATCTTTAACCAGAAGGGTACGTACACCACTGTCATCATGCTTTGTTACGCTCTAATCTTCGAATATTAGGGGAAAATCTGATCTTCCGCGCTTTTCGCAATGACTGCCGTCCTCGCCTTGCCGATGTATTTCGAATCCAAGTAATTAGCAATGCGCAAGTTAGATCCCCGATTCTCACGCTGGGAAGTACGACCTTCAGCCATGTGAAGCACGAGAATATCTACCTAGTAGCGATTACAAAGAGCAATGCCAATGCTGCGCTGGTATTCGAGTTTCTATACAGGTTAACAGCGCTGGGGAAAGGGTATTTTGGGAAATTTGATGAGGAGGCTGTGAAGAACAACTTTGTGCTTGTCTATGAGCTTTTAGATGGTACATATGGCTTCGCTCTGAGTATGCTTGTTGCTGATGACATCCGCAGAGATTCTAGACTTTGGATACCCTCAAAATACCGAGACCGATACCCTAAAGATGTATATCACTACGGAAGGAGTCAAATCCGAACGAACAATGGAGGACTCGGCGAAGATCACAATGCAAGCAACCGGAGCACTGTCATGGAGGAAAGCTGATGTCAAATATCGCAAGAACGAAGCATTCGTGGATGTCATCGAAGATGTCAACCTCCTCATGTCAGCAACGGGCACAGTTCTACGAGCAGATGTCAACGGCCAAATTGTGATGCGCGCATACCTTTCCGGGACACCGGAATGTAAATTCGGGCTGAACGATCGATTGTTGCTGGACGGTGACAGTCTATCTTCTTTGCCATCAGGAAATAGAATGGGCACAAAAGCAACAAAAGCCGCAGCTGGTAGTGTTACACTTGAAGATTGTCAGTTCCATCAATGCGTCAAGCTGGGCAAATTCGACACGGATCGAATCATTTCTTTCATCCCTCCGGATGGAGAATTCGAATTGATGCGATACAGAGCGACGGAGAATGTTAATTTACCCTTTAAAGTCCATGCTATCGTCAACGAGGTCGGAAAGACCAAGGTGGAATACAGCATTGCTATCCGAGCAAATTATGGCAGCAAGCTGTTTGCAACGAATGTTATTGTTCGAGTGCCTACGCCGCTGAACACTGCACGCATCACAGAGCGATGTACTCAAGGCAAAGCCAAGTACGAACCAAGTGAAAACAACATTGTGTGGAAGATCCCGAGATTCACTGGGCAGAACGAATTCGTGCTGAGTGCAGAGGCAACTTTGACAAGCATGACGAATCAGAAAGCTTGGTCAAGACCACCGCTGAGTCTCAACTTCAGCTTGTTGATGTTCACCAGCTCAGGACTGCTGGTGCGATACCTGAAGGTGTTTGAGAAGAGCAATTACTCCTCAGTGAAGTGGGTTAGGTATATGACAAGAGCGGGTTCTTATGAGATACGGTAAGTACGTTGCATGCTTGCTGATGCAGTAAAACTAACCAAACTCAGATTTTGATTGTTTTACACGGCGTTGGGTTTTGTAGCGAAGCATAGCGTATTACGGGTGTAGGCGCACTGGAATACTGGGTACATAATGCGAAATCCTTTGATCTGAGATACTTCTTACGTGTTGAGAGACTCTCCTTCTACTTAATCTCTCGAATAGTGCCTACATTAACGGGATGTTAATCGATGCGGCAGGCCCTGCTATTATCCGAAGCCAAGCAAGATCCGCAAGAGTTCGCTAATGAGTCCCTAGAGCAGTTCCGTATCGCCAATCGATGACATACGGTCTTGCAGCTCCAACGAATGCAGGGAGACAGCTTCCAATACGCGGTTCTTCGTTACAGAAGCTCAAAAGTTGAACATGTGAGCTGGTGTGCTCACTTATGAGCGCATCTCTGTTATCTTATTACGCTTTCCACTTTCACAAATTTTTGCAATGGTCATCATTAACACATGCGATGCTTGAGAGAGATTGTTTTTTATCTTTCGATACCACTTGAATTAGTGCTCTATATGTAATTTGGGTATATCTATCTATGCTTGCTCCTCTTTTCCATACTATCATATGTCCTTCCTTACTGTTTTAGCGTCAAATCTTGATTATCGAGTCTACCAACATTTCCATCTGGCCAAGTGCTCGATGGATTCAAATCACGCCTCACCAGTCGGCGGCGGCATGCCACCCATGGCACTCGCCATGAAATTCACGATCCCTTCTGGCGCATTATCTGCGAAAATCATCTTCAAATTCCCCCATGTGTCAGCCTCCAGTTCCTCCGCACGCGGGAACATCTTCTCCTCATATCCCTTCACAGCATCGTCAATACTCCTCTCACTCCCCTCGCTCAAAGACTCAATAATACCCTCAGCAAGTTGCAAGGCATCAAGCATAGCAGCATTAACCCCCTCTCCAGCAAACGGCGTAATGAGATGGGCCGCATCACCCAATAAAGTGATGTTTGGAACATGCTCCCACTTGAAGCCAATAGGCAGCATCAGAAGCGGATTCGCCGTAATCTCAAACCCGGACGAACACCCGGCTGCGATCAAATCTTTGCTGGCTTTCCCCCAAGACTCAAACAGAGCAGGATCTGTAAGTAATCTCGTCTTCAACTCTTCTGGGCCTAGGCTATCGAGTCCCACGTCTCGTAGCCAGGAAGAGGAGTCGCCACATTGGAGCATGAGGTATATGCGCGCGGAATCGACGCTGCCGCGTTGAGCCATGACGGCTTTATGGTCTCCGGACGCGGAGTAGGTTCCTTTGCCGATGATAGCTTCGAGATCGGGATGCGTGGTGGTGATGTGGGGAATGGTAAGCGTGATGCAGGATACGCTGCTATAATACGGGACGGTGGTCGAGAGAACTGTTCGGGTTTTCGAATACGCGCCATCGGCACCTATCACCAGGTCATATTCCTTGTCAAACTCGGAACCTTGGTGAGAAAAGTGCAGCGTCCATTTGGCGGAGGAGGAGGAAGTGAGAGATAGGACTTTGTGTTCCCATTTTATGTTCTGGGCTGGGATGGACGATAGGAGTAAGTCTGTGAGACTGTTCCGTGGGATTTCAGGTCGTTCGCCGCCGTTGCCGTTGTCTTGCCAGCGGATGTTGCCTGCTTTGTCGGTGATGATGCAGTCTTCGCTGCATTCGCCGGTCAGGGTTAGGAATTTGTCGTATAGACCGCAGCGTTTGAGGGCTAGGAGGCCAGAGTCAGGGTGCAGGTCGAGAGAGCCGGAGGGGACGAGTGGTGAGGTTGGTGAGCTGGATGTAGGTAAGGGCCGGAGGTCGAAGAGGGTGTATGGGATGTTGTGTTTTGTAAGGAGAGAGGCTATTGTGAGGCCTCCTGGACCGGCGCCTAGGATGGCAATTCTTGGGTCTGAGGTTGTCATTATTGTTTTTGAATGATGGTCAGAATTAGTATTCAGTAGGATTCATCCAAAACGGATTGAGAGATACTTATAGCTACAACATTTCATCTTTATTGTAATGCGCGGGATATTTTGCTCCCGACGGGTTCTTGGTTATTGTCCGTTGAATCTTGGTTCCTCGTAAAGCTCGGGTTCTAGCCATGTCCGAAGCTAAGGTGGGGCCGAGGAACTTCACTGGTTCTCAAACTCGATCATCAAGTTTTCAATAGTCCGATAAATGTCACAATCTCATACGATAAACACTCAGATTTAGGGACTCTGATTCTCCTTTGATTTATTTTACGCTCTTGATACCTAGGAATTGCGGAGACCTGGCCGACTACTATTTTCGATCGCGCTCACAGTCAACTGACCCCTCGATGCTTGCTAAGAAAATCGGTGCCAAAGAGCGAAAATAAAAGCAATGAGAGCAACAAGCCCAGAAGATACAAGAGCAAGTGGCTTATTCCAACCTGGAGAATCCAGAGTTACCTGATTTCTCACGCTCCGAGACATCTCCTTCCATTTCTGCTCTTGCCGATCCACATCAATCATTCTTTCTCGAATCTTCTTAGACTGTCTTGAGTCTGGACCCAAGTTTTGATCTGATGTTTTGAGCCATTGAACATAGTGCTTTCTAGCCTCAGCATACTTGAACTGATCTCGTAGAGCCTGACCTTTGTTGATTGCACTCTCATATACTCGAAACGTATTTGGACCTTTAAGTGCCATCAAACCGTCAATCGCACGCTGATGTAGAATCTCAGATCTCCGATTCTCCTCCTTTGCCCCTAACACAGAGGCAAAAATGGACACAGCGTGAATGGTTTCAACCGGTACTCGAGTTATGTCGATTTCCAACGGCTCCGACACTGCTTTAACGAGACTTGGGTTGGTGTTGAGAAGGCTTTCCGCGTAGTCAATTTCGCCTTGCATATTTGCACATGCAGCTAGGCTGTTGGTTACATTCTGGGCAACACTGGAAGAATAGCCAAATGTTTCAATCATGCGAGTGTGCAGAGGCTCAAGAATTTTTCGAGCATTCGCGTACTCTCGCTTGCTGAGATGGACAGATGCCAGGGCATGGCGGCAGGCATCTGTCTCACGATGATTTGGGCCAAAGACTTCGACGTGTTCTGTAAGTAATCTCAGAAAGTCAGGTAGAAATTCGTAGGCCTCCGCGCTACCCGGTGACTTCCGAGACCTGAACTGTGAATATATCCTTTCCCGGTTAAGTTGAATGGTTAAAGAGTGAAGGGGGCCAAGTGATTCTTGTGCAGTTCGAAAAGCCTCTGACGCAATCTCTTCCGCTGCTTTCATCTCGTTCATAGCCATATAGCACTGTGCCAACCGAAGTTTCTTCTCGATGGTAATTCTTGCTCTTGGGCCAGAATAAAACATTTCCATGCGCAACGAGTCTTGCCATGAATCCAGCAACAGGTGACTAAGTCGTTTTATACAGCGATTGCTCAATGATGCATCAACCATGCGTCCTGAGACTCTGAGCATTATTTGCAAGTTCGCAAGTATCGACTGTTCTGTGGAGTTTATCGTTCCCTGCGAATCTCCTCGCTTGAAAGCAAAATGGGGATAGAATGAAGACGTCCAAGTTACACTGGATCGCGATGTCAGGAAGCTGTCAAGAAGAATCAATTGTTGAAGTACAATTTCTTCTGATCTCATGAAATGATCAAACCCTCAAGACAGAGTTAGCGTCGTATTACCCATTTGAAAGAAAAGGAGATTCTCTCAACGGAGCAAATCTCAGCCAGTTCCATTAGAAGGAGGAACGGTGCATGATACATCGGGATATATGAGTGACTTACAGTATTGAGAAGCATACTCTAGCAATGGATACTGCTTGCTGAGACTATCGACATGCACCTGAACATCTGTCCCAAGCGTCCTCTCCGAGACGGTGAAGTTGAGATAGGACAGGCAAAGACAGGCCATTTCTGTTTCAGCAAATTCGCCTTTCGGACGTGGACCCCACGAATAAGACTTTAGAAATTCCTTTGCCGAGACGTGAATGAGCTCTATTGCACCGAGATCGTTGAGCTGGAGGAAGGGACCACATGCCCGAGACAGGATCTCCCACCCACCTAAGAGTTTGTTCCCCGGGTCAACAGAGCCGTTCGAAATATCAACAGCTAGTAGCTCTAGTATCTCTTCAAGTCTGAAGGGGCGACAAGCCACGGAGGCCAGCGGCAATGCTCTGGCTCGTACTGGACTCAATCCCTTTGAAGATTTGTCTAGTTCCTCAATTATCGTTGCGTAGGTGACGTCAAGTCCAGGATTGCCCTTTTCAAGGAACGCTTCTACGGCATTCCAAGTTCTGAGTTGATCAAGCTCACTGATAGCTAGGTCAGCTCAGAGAAAAAGCCTTTGGAACCGCTTAGCAGTCGCTTCAGAATTTCGTGCCGGCGGTCGCCCAAGTGAACCATGCTCGACAGCTTTTGTTGAAGGAACTTAGCAATGTCGTTCATGGAGTCAGAGGTTGCTATTTCCATTGTTTTCCAGCCTTCAAGGGGGATTTCTAGTCTGGTGGTGTTCCGGCTTACAATCAACACTTTACATTGTGCACTTGATTGTGGTAGGTGTCCGATTGTGCGCAAGAATGATTCGACCTCGACCGATCTTGAATCTAGTTCGTCAACACCATCCACAATAAGGAAAGTCTCTGCCAAGGTGTTTCGAATGGTATCTTCTACGACCTTGAGAATCGTATCGAATGGAACATCTGACATGGCAATAATTTGGGCTTTGAGGCTGAGTAATTGTGCTTTGAGACTGACAGCCATATGTTGGCTTTGTAGTGCTTGGAAGAGAAGGTCTCTAAGGAGAGCATGGAGCGGATCATTGAGAGATCGATACGAGTGGCAATGTAAAGTGAGTACAGTACCACTGTTCTCGGATCTTAAAGTGTCAGATATATAATCAGACAGTACTGTCTTTCCGACACCTGGACGTGATATGCTTATTAGTCCATCTTCAAAAGGTTCGAATTTATCGAAGTCTAAAGGATGAGTGTTACCGGGTTTTCCAAGCAGCCAAAGACCCGCTGACTGATCACAATATCTCCATTCCTGGAATTAACTCTTGCTATCAATCCATTTGCACGTTCCCACAGTCCGTTGCTTTGAACAAGCCGATCCCAGCTGGTTTCGGAAGGCATTCAGCCATGTCAAAATATCAACCCACTTGTCCTCGTTCTCAGATATTTCTGATCAAAGATTGATCAGCTAATGCCTTTTCTCCCCTTCATCTTCAGAGTTTTATACATGTCCAGACTGGGAAACCAGAAGGTGGAAATCTAGAATGGTACAAGGCTGGAAGACTTACCGAGGGTTTGGTTCCGAACACTTTGCGAGGACAAAACTAGATCTAGGTTCGATTTAACAACATTATATTGCTTAGAGTTCCTGCTTGAGAACTGAGCAATTTGGCGATGATCTGCATCGACTGGGATCACATTTTCAAGTGGTGGACCTAGGCCTAATTTTGCGGATCCTTTGGGCACAATCTACCCATTCGAAGGTTAGCGAAATCAAATTTTTTTTTTCAGAGCTGTATGCTCTTACCACCGCTTCAGCTATTCCAGCAATTTTCAAAGGCTTCAATTCGTAGAAAGACAGAACCTTGATCTTCTCCTCTTGCAGAAGAGATCCAAATTGAGAGCCCAGCTCGTCCATATCGTCTGAATCAAGCTATAGATGTTGAAGATTGGCCGTATTTGCTTTGAATCCCGCTGCTTTGATGCATGTTACTGCAACATCTGCATAGGATGCCAGTTGAGATCCTCTGTGTGGTGTTCCCATGAACATTACTGCCTTTGTGGCAGTCTTCAGAGAGCCAGCATCGTGTCCTTTGTGCGCTAGAAGTAGGGCCTTTATCTATTGTTACTCTTCTATTTTTCAATATTTCGAGCCGAATTACCTTCTTCACTACAAGACCACCCAAGCTATGACACACAAATATGATAGGGCGATTCTAGCTCGTGTTAGTATTTCTCATCGGAGTTTACTCCTGTAACGGGCAGAACAAAACTTGCCTTCTGATCTCTAGATGCTCTCACGCTGGCTAAATTTTGCAGTAGTTGCTCTGCATAATCGATAATGCATCCTCTGCTTGACGTGAAGACTTGAGCATTATACCCGAAGGTAAGAATCCGTGTATTGGGGAAGTCTTTTGGCAAGTAGTCCTCGAGCCACTTTTCCCCATTTGGATGAGTCCACGTCCGGTGCGGATGGCCCTTGATGCCATGAACAGCGACGAGGCTAGGCACATTAGATTGAGCTTGGAAAATTGAACGGCCTTACTCGAATTCAGCTTCCACCCCCGGATCATTCAGTACAGTTATCCCGAGAATATCGTCCATACCTTAAGTAAGGAATTGCGACACCTGAGCCTGGAGTGGTTCGGAAGTCTTGTCGATTTTTTAGGAGACAAGGACTTTAGGTCTCGTGAGCTTACTGAGCAGGATGGGAAAACTAGACCCTACTGGCGAAGCGGCAAGGCAGTTTTTGCTGTGCGCAGTTTGGTCTGTGCCGAGTAGATTCGGTGGTGTCTGATGCATCTCTTAAATCACGCGTTCAGTAACACTTTATTGGGCAATGAAAATGTATCAAACTTTATTCATTACACAAACAATTACGGATGTTTATCTCTCAAGTTTGCTTCTCCAGAACATACGACCTGTACTGGACAGCTCGCCAAAGGTACAGACTAATTTAAGTACCGATTCGCTTTCTGGCCCGCTGCCAACCTATTACAATCCCATACTTGTATCACCGTCGTCGTCCTCCGTATCCTGGGGAGCAGTCTCTGCGCGGCGTTATTGACAAGTTCATCCACAGAATACTACACCTGTATGCGATATAGTAGCTGAGGTTGGACTTGCCAGAATCGAAAAACAACCAAAGCTCTGTTCCAGTCACTGCGCTATAAAATAGTGAGCGTCATTTGAATACGAGCGCGAGAAAGTTGGAAGAACCTGTCAGACTAATTTCTTCGTGCTATGCTTGAGGTTCTGTAGTACAGTGCAATCTTTACCAGACGTATTGCTTGTTGATTTGCTTGATCGTTGTCACTCTGCTGGATGAGAGCAGCGGCGAATTTGTGTATTTAGCTTCAACAACGATGCACGTAAGGTAGAGTATGCTTGGATATAACAAGGGAGTGATAAAATCTCTCACAGTTTGTCCCGATTGGTTGCCTCAGCAAGGCGAACATACCTTGGTACTGTCCAATGAGCATGAAGAGGAGCAGCAACAATCCGTGAATGCGCATGCATCATGCAGTACACCAACAGCCACGAACTCTCACCGACTCACCTGACGCCCGACAGCGCTATAAGCAAATGTCTGCCTTGCTTCTAAAGCCCGAGGCAATTATGATCTTGGACGACGTAGCGCTACTGTGGTCAGACAGCATACGAGCTATGTCCAGCAGCACCTAGGATGCTTATTCTGGTTTGTCGGCTGGCGTGTTCGGCTTGATAGGCTAACCTCTAGACCAATTTTTCGCCCGAAGGACTCAATCTGACTCAGCTCCCTTCGATCACGTGGGTGCTCCGCTTCCCGGCTCTTCAGAGCTTGGCTATTGAATAAGATGGCGAAGGAATCCCAGAGAATTCTCGATCTTATACCATAGCTAGGGATAGTTCTTTGGAATCCTGAAGAGCTGGGTGGAAGAAACCCTCATGTGATCGAAAGCTGACAGTTGAGCTGAAATGTTCTAACACTTGAGAGTACATTCGTTGCGAAGATGAGATATAGCGCACTCTGCAACTTCCGATTCTCGAGTCACATGGATGGCATCTACCTCCCGCCTCCCGATCTCTTTGGTATCATAGTTCCCGGTTCTAGCATAAGATTGAGAGTAGGTATTCCGAGGAAGGATACTATCCTAGAAAGTGAAGATGACTTTCGGAAGAGCCCTCCATCCTGATGGCATGAGTTGTCCGTCTTCATCTATCCATAGCTTAGATTCGGTGCAGGTCTGGTTCCAGTCGCCATCGGAACCTGTGATGTTCGTTGTCGATCGAGGCATTTGATATCCGTCTCGGTGACGCCTTAGTGTCACGTGATAACGCCAAATAATCGCTGCAGTAGATGCCAATGGCTACCTGGGTGTCAGGTCTTACAGGATTATACACATACTTACCATTCCGACTTCTGAAAATATCTAGGTGTTGGTCGAACGTTGATCCGTGGCGTACCACGGAGTACCTATGTGTCCAAAGAGTGTTTCAAGTACGCTGACTCAGCATTGCCTCTGCTGCCTTTATCTTATCACCAACCTCCTCTCCAACATTTCACAACAAAAGTCCATCTTGGATAAGCCTGTCGAAATGACCCGACTATCCATCCCATTATTATCCCTTGCTATCAGCACATCGGCGTCCTTTTTGTCCCAGCTACCGATAACATCTGGAACTGGTGAACTTCCGTTTGGAGGCTCTGAAGTCAGGGTACTCACCCACGAATCTCATCCAGATCACAGTCTCATAATCACGGCTCATAACGTCAATGATCCTTCCATCAAAGATGATCGGCCAAGCATAACCGATGTGTGCCCAGGAGCAACATCTGGTTATACAGGTAAGCCTACTGTCTTCGCACAGCATTCCATTTTCTCTCATATCTCGACGACCTGCGGTGTGGCAATACTGAAAACTCCGATTTTAATCACTGCAAATCATAAATTACTTATACTGACTATAAAGCTATGGACTACAGGATATCTTACATCAGGCCCCAAGCATTTCTACTTTGCCTACTTTGAGTCGCGCTCGGACCCCACTTCCGATCCCCTCGTTCTGTGGCTCAATGGAGGGCCTGGGTGTTCAAGTATGGTTGGTCTCTTCATGGAACTAGGACCGTGCATTGTCAATGAAGGAGGAGATTCGGCCAGGGAGAATGTCAACAGTTGGATCAACAAAGCAAATGTATTTTTCCTGGACCAGCCAATCGGAGTTGGGTTTTCTTATTCTTCGAACCATTCTGCCCCTGGTGGTCAGGGTGGCACGTTTGCAGCAAGTGAGGATGTCTACGCCTTCATGTAAGAAACTAACCTTCTCCGTACACTTTTCCTGAATCGTTCTTGGCAAATTTGTAGTGCTGCAAGATTTTCAGGCGCATATATATTTCGGCACCACTGGAACATTGATCTGAAAACCCGAGATACACAAGAAAGCATGCTGACGCACAAGTACGTAGGAGACTGTGGTACAAAGCATTTCCTGAGTCAAAGTCACTGCCTTTCTCAATCGCAGGCGAAAGTTACGGAGGGCATTACATCCCAGTCTTTGCGGATCATATCGACAAAATGAACAAAATCTCTACCCTCGATGACCAAATTCCCCTGGAATCCGTGCTTATCGGCAACGGCATCTTCAGCGATGTCAAACAAAGAAGTTCTTCTTACGACATCTCATGTACCAATGCCACAGGAATTGGTCCCCTTCTCGCGGAAGACGTCTGCGGTAAGATGGCCAAGGCGGTGGGGAGATGCGAGTATTTACTATCTGCTTGTCACGACTATCCGGATCCCTTAGTATGTGAAGCTGCGTCCAATTATTGCAGCAAGGAACTCGACAGCCCGTACTTCAGGTCTGGACGAAACTACTACGATGTCAGCAAACCTTGTGAGGGGTATTTATGTTATCCTATCATGAACTCAATCACCAAGTTCTTAAGAACCGAGAAAGTCCGCGGCGCATTGGGAGTTGACAAAGAAGCGCCACCATTTGAGGGATGCAGCAACAAGGTTGGCGATGAGTTCGTAAAAGTCAATGACTACATCATCGACACTCGACCTTACGTTGCTTCCCTGCTCCACTCTGGAATTCGAGCTATGATCTATGTCGGCACTTATGATTGGATCTGCAACTTTGTAGGCAATGAGCGAGTCTTCGGCTCGCTGAAATGGAATGGCATGCCTGATTTCCGTTATCAGCAGGAGAACAACAAGCAAGTCTGGAGCGGCGGTTTGTGGTGGGAGAGTGGCTTATTGAGATATGTGAGGATTAACGGGGCTGGGCATATGGTTCCTTGGGACAAACCGGCGGAGGCGTTACATTTGTTTACGGCTTGGTTGGATAATAAGGGTCTGAAGTAGGATAGCCAAGTTCCGAATACTGATAGGCATTTGGGAGTTGCGGGGAACGCATCAATAGCCCATCCAATGCATCCATATTTGGTACTTCTTCTCCGCGGCCGAGATTTCGGAGGAACCTGTTCTTTCTCATAGGATCAAATCTGCACTTTGAAGGGCTATGATCATTTATCTGCTCCACTTGCTATAAGCTGAATCTAGGTTCTCTGTTCTCGCGCCGGATATTGAGCCCAAACACTAGTCTTCTGGAGGTCGGCGAATTTGACAAGCAGCACCTGATATGGGTTTGCAGATTTCATTCGAACCATTCCGCTTTCCTCGCGATTTGCGCTACCTGCGCCATTAGCGCATTCAGCTTCATCGAACAGAGAACAACAACTTCACCTCGCTAAGCTCTGAACTTAATCAAATCTTTAATAATTCATAGAGGGAGGAGTAAGTACTCCTCACATAATCATCACCTTCTAGCGAAAGACCTCACTCCTCCAATCCAGCTTTCTCCAACATCTCGTCAATCCCAGCCTTCAACTCTCTCAAATCTGCTCCCATCACCGTCCTAGCCCACATGCCACCATTCTTATCCCGGTACATAAGTTTTAACATCGGCAATTGATTTGGAGCAAACTTGAACAGCATGCTAGTTTCCGGTCCATAGTCCATCTGCGCAAATGCGATGTTACGGTAACGAGAAGCAAGGTCTTCGTACTAAGGGGTGAAGATCTTGCAGGCTGGTAACGAGGAGTTTGAGACGTAGATCACAGATGGTGTGCCTTTGGTTTCGGCTGCGGAGGTGAATGTGGCGTGTGAGATGGCGGAGGTGAGGTGGGTTATGGACGGCATTATGTGGTGATGTAATGTCGATTTTCGTGGAGAGAAATTGATCTTTTTTTGCCTTGGGATGCTAATGGCTGCGTTTCCTTTTTGGAAAGGTGCGAGCATATGAAGAAGTCTTTCATATGTATTCAAGTGATCTTTAATCTTAGCGTGGGGTGACAGCCGTTGGTCCGAAACCTTACCTCTTCCTCTTTAGTTGGCGGGTATGTTGGTATAGCCGTGTACACAGACTGATTCACAGAAGATATTTTTCTGCATTCATCTCAGCACAGAGTTATGTGCATTGTTTTGTCCACAAAGTCTCACAATGCCGGCACGCAATGTTTTTATGGAGGTCAGCGTGATACGCTTTGCTCGATGAGGCAATAAGGCGGATTTTCAAGTTGACGAAATTGGACGCTTGACAATCCAGCCTCCGCCAACTTCTCTTATATCGTCCGAATGGTCCTCGTACTTTTTTTCACCATAACTTCGACACAACTGTTCAAGACCCCGGAACATCCTTTCAAAAATTATCAACACACCACACTATCTTCCCAACGTTCCATTCAATTACAGAAAATCCGAGCTTCAACCATGACCCAACCATTCTGCGACTGTAGTGTATGCATCAGAATCTCTCAAGAAAAGCACCGGCACGCTCGTTTTTCAAAGATACGGAAGACCAAAACTTGGGGCAGCTTCTCGGAAAGATTTTCTGCCATTTGTGTCTCATACTTGACTACTTCTGTTGCATCACCGTACTATTCATGTTCTCCGCCATATACTTCGGCAACAAACTCGAGCCCATCCAAAAAGATTGGGTACCTCCCAAAGCAGGATCACCAGGGAGCTGTCGGGTGATTCACGACTGGGAAGACGCACTTTTAGCTTTCTATGGCGCGCGTGCCCCCGGTCTATTGATCGAGGGTGTCTTTTGGTTTTGGCGCCAAGATATGTTGGTGAATTTGGAGCGGAGCTACGATATTTCGATGTCCGACGAAGCGCTCATCGAGTTACTCAAAGAGAAGGAAAATCATCTGCTGGTACTTAAGGAGCGAGCAATTGCGATTGGTAGAGTCGTTGGGCCGGCAGTGTTCCTGCCATTGTATGTTGGGAACGCGGGGTTGTTTGAGAGATACTTCACGTATGATCCTGCAGAATGCCATCGAATAAAGTGACTTCACTCGCGACGCTCACTTTTCCAATATGCTTCAAGTATCTCAACTGGGCTCTCGAGCATGAGTATCCTTCACAAGATATATCTGTCCAATCTCCAAGTCGTGTCTTCTTGCCACAATCATCAGGAATCTTTGGATTGCTCCAGTTCTGCTAGGCCTCTTCAATCAGGAGCATTCTTGGGATATTATATGTCTTGACTTGTCATCAATCTATATCCACAAACTCATCCAAGCTCTGAGTGTTAGAGTCTTATTCTTTTCGCGAATGTTCCTTTGGAAATTGGAAAACAATCTTATGTTTTGGTGAAAATCAGTCTGAGAATACGTGTATTTTTGCAGAACTTATATTTGATGATTTCAGCCGCCCTTCAGGCCCCTGTTGGAACAGAACGGGCTCGTGATCATTGAAACCTCACACTCAACGCAGTACTAGTCACCCCTTTCCACGCCGCCACAAGGAGCTTCAGCGCCTTCCCTTGCTTTTCTTCCAGCCGCCACTTCAAATCCCCTTCTCCATCATCACCTTGACCAGGATACTCATCAATGCCCTCAAAAGCCTTTTTGATTCCCCCAAGTTCCCAATTCTGGGCTGGCTCTTCGAGATCCGTGTTATCCCAAGAATTGTCCTTTGTTATCTCAGTGTCGCTCAACTCGTGATGGCTATATTCGGTGGCAAAATGTGCCATCCATCTTGGATCATCGATGCTTTTGCACATTCCGAAATCTCTCCAGCAAGTAAGGACGACCAATAGTCCCTTATTTTTCTTCTTCGTCTCCGTTTCTTTCCTGGTAACATCCGTCGTGTTTTCTTCCAGCTTTTGTGAAGAGACTTCCCCAAGGCAAACTTCCCATTCCAGTGCACAGAGCTTACACCTCCTCACTCCAGTCCACTGTTTTGGATTCTCAAAACTCCAAAATGTTCCAGAAACATGCGAGCAAAGACTCCTGACTGCCAAAGCGCTATTGCCTGAATTCAAATTGCGCATCTCTTCCTCAATGAGCCGAAGCACTTCAGCGTCGTTTCGATGTTTTTCTAGGAGAAACCAAGAAAATTGAGTGCGGTACATGATCCTTTCTTCCCCTTTGGTAGACCCAAACGAAGGAGAAGATTTAGAGACTGAGAAACTTGCATCAACTCCATAGCCTCCCCAAAAGAATTTTGGCCCTTGGTTCTTATTTTTCCGTCTTCCAAAGGAGATTGTGATCGCTGAGAACTGTGAAAAATCCTGGTTGCGGTAAAGCTTCATGGCCAGCTGGAGTTTAGAGAAGTTCATCGGACGAGGGAATATGTCATATTTTGGTACTCGTGGCCATCGGGTCTGAGAGCAACTGGGCGTGCTGGTCTTCGTGGAGGATCTACTGAGTTGTCTTACTGTCGGACATTGAAGCTCAGTCGTGTGCCCTGTGTGTAGAGCCTGACAATAAGTACATACAACAGCAAAGTCGATGTGTCTGTCGATGCAGAAGAGGAGAGATTTGTATGTTGTGCGTTGTAGTGCGGTTTCCGTCTCATCTTCCGACTTGCTGGGCGGTGAACAGAACGGGATTTCTTCCATGTACACGCCTTCATCGTCATGTGGTTCCTCTTCTGGGAGGATCGTGTGTTCCCGGAGATTAGAAGATAACCTTGCTCGACGGGCCGCATGAGCTATCTCTAGCACAATATCACCTTCCTCTTTGTCCAGCCGGCTCACAACACTTTCCAATGTTGCCTCTGAAAGACATCCTAGATCGCTGATTGATGCGAGTGCTTCTCTAAATTCCTCCTGGGAATTTCCGTCTAGTTCTCCGTATCTGGGGACATTGATGTTTGAAAGTTCGGAATCGGGCTGCCAGACGACGTTGTGTCCTTTATTGTTTGGCACGGACTGTGTTGTCTCTAGTTCGAGAGATCTCCCAGCGATTGGCAGAGTCGAGACCACACATTTGGCTTCCCTTGAAGCTTTCATTGTTGAATCGACATGCGTGTTGATAATCAGGATTATCAGAGAATTCTATATTGTTTTATTGACAAATTATGGTGTTTTAGAATTTCGGGAGACAATATTGATCATATGCTTTGTATCGTGAGGAGGTTCAGAAGACAGAATTTGGACTTCAGATATGTGATGTGCGAAGAACACCTTTTCAATCAAAGTGGCGAGTCCAATTGAAAACGAGGTGTAGTGTCCAGATTATGATTTGGACTGAACGCACCGTACCTAGGTATGCGCTTGAAAGTCAGGTTAGCGTCTTTCCAGAGTTTCCGCCACTACTGCTCCACACAAAAACCGTCCTGCTCGCCTGTTAGCCAATTGAAATGAAATGTAAAAGACATGCAAATATCGAAAACACAGGCTGAAGATCAATTGCAGATTTGCTATCCCGAACTCTTCTGCAGACCTAAGTCAGAGCGCTCGTGAAGATTGATAAAATGTCTCTCTCGCTTAGAGTCGGGACTAACCAGGCGAAAAGGGGCTTAGCCGAGAACGCTTGTGGGAATCTGCATCAGAATGGAGACAGGGACCTCAATTGAAAGTACGGCTACCACGTGGTGAGCTCCGAAACAGCAAAGGCATCAATTCAAATCTCTATCTTGCACCATGCAGAAAAACTCTAATCATTCCTTTGACCACAACCCCATAACATTTCCCTCAGTGTCCGTGAAATAGGACACAAATCCCATACCACCAGGAATCTCTGTCTTCTCCCTAGTATTTATGAGCCACCTATGAATTATGTGGAGTCGACTAAGCAACTCACAAATACAACTTCCCACCCTTGCTCTCAACCTCGGCCATTTTCTTGTCAACACTCTCTACTGTGATAGTGACTCTGACTCCAACTCGTTTCAATTCGGCATTATCTGGATGGAGAGCGGCAGAAAGAAGGTTCTCGGCTTCAACTTTGACAAGGCAGCCATTCGTGGAACCGTGACTGAAGATGGCCATGAATGAATCGATGGGTGAGCTGCCGAAGTTTGGGAATGACCACTTTGATGTTGTCACTTACTTGTACGTTCTTTTGAGGCAGTTGAAACGAATGAAAATGGAGAGAATAAGTAAACGGGTAGACGTACACCAAAGACGGCAGAGTAGAACTCTTTGGCACGATTGAGGTCTGTTGCTGGGATCTCGACCCAGGAGATGCAGTTGCGCTTGGCGTTCGTCAGCAAGTCAAATCATATACTTTGGGAAATAATACCTACCATAGCGGATGATTCTGACATTATGTTTGCATTCAATAGAGTATATTGTGTTGTGCTCAATAATTTGAGATGAGAAGGAAGAGACAAAAGAAGCTGGAATTTATAGACCTTGGAAGCCATTACTTGCTTTTTCGAGTAGGCTTCATCACTAAACTGGGGTGGGGAAAGACTTTGTCCCGTGTGTTTGCTACTCTTCCAATGAGACAAACAAGTGATAACACAAAAGCTCAATCGACCAGTGAGATGGCGCTGCAAAACTTACTAATTAACATCGGCTGATCAATGCAAGCCCCATATATCACGCACCTGATATCGCGACACCTTCGCGTTCTTGTTTTGTGATCAGAACTTGTTTCTGGGTTCTGGTTGGACCATATTCTTATCTGTAACTTCTCATTCGATGTGGCTGTTTTGGCTCTGTCTGTGCGCGGCGCCCACGTTACACAAACCACTCACCGCTAAATTTTCGGTGTACATTCATAGGTGGACCTCTGGTGAGGCTTTGGATAATTGGCTGTAAGATCTTAATGCGTACGAAGTATCGTTCAGGTGTGAATTGGGTCCTGCCGTCCCGCCTTCAAGTATCCGCTCCTCAAACCTTTTCAAACCTGATCGTGATAAAACAAGTCAGCAAATCCATCGTCAATGGCTATGACTCTACGGTACATTCCAAAGTCTGATGAGCCTTTCCACATCAAGCAGCAACTGTGCCACTCTAAATGATATCACTCCTATCAGCTCTCATCAACGATCCACAAATCCTCACTTTGCCATGGAGAGAGACTTGGGCTCTCTTGATAGAGTCAATCACTTGATATAATTTCATGGCAGAGAATTTCAGGGAAAATCGATTCTTTTACTACATGAACTATCGACTTGAATACTGTACAAATATGGCATACTGATCTCTCAATTATGGATGAAATGAGACAATTCCGTCCCGGAAAAGCGCCCTGTCATCCTGTAAGTAGATGCTCATGAGACATTGATGGGAATGAGTTTACCTGTAAGCTCGACGAAAAAGAACACAAAGTCCGATCCGAGTTGGTACATCGAACTTCAATTTGTGCTTGTCTGCTGTTTGTCTGACTTCTTTACCAACTTCTGCCTCCACGATCGCTTCCTCGATAGTTATTCTTGACCAAAATATGTCTTCGTGTCCTTTTCAGTGATTCAAGCACACCAACTCGACTCACCACCCTCTCGAAAGACAGTTGGTGCTGTTCTCAAGTCAGGATATGGATAATCAGCCTTAAGCGGTGCGAGGTCTGAGTTATAGGATGTAGTGTAGCCCATCGATGTCAAGGCATTTGTGAGCGTGGGGCCAAGGGTCATTGCCCCTTCACAAATTTGCTCTGCAACCCATTGAAGATACGTCCCGTCAACATCTTTCAGTTTCGTGCCTTTGAATTTTCCGAACGGGAGGACATGCTCTCTAGGTCGGGAAGGTAGTTCATATTTGTCGAGAGGTCCAGAAGACTGAAGGTTGGACAAGGAAAGAGGGGTTAAGATAGCACGGGCCAATCCTGATTTTGATGGTGTTGGCTGGGAAGAAGCTCGCGCCGCCAGAGCAGCCTTCAAAGTTGGACGGCTTGACGGAATATCGTTCTTCATAAGCCAGTCTATGTATATTTGGCCGCACTCGTCTACAGTCTTCCCTTGTGCTTGCTGAAGTCGAATTGATACGAATCCGAGAGACTTTGGGACGAATCCGGAGTCGCATTGCCAGTGGGAGCAGTATACTCTTCGTCTTGGTGCTCAGGACTGAGCTGAGAGGAGAGTTGATATAATGGTTGGGAGGATATAGCGTATGGCGAGAACCTCGCTGTCTGACGTGGGGTTTTGGCCTTCATGAAGTATTGTGACCATGCGTTGAAAGTTGATGTTCGGTGCAAAAATCAAACGCGAAGAAGGCCACACTCTTTCCAGGCTGGACGCGACATGTTATTAATCACTAATCGATCGTAACTTTCGTCATTTCCAGGTAATTCTGTTATTCTGTCTCTGCGAGTTCCTTCCCAACCCGTGCAAGGCTTCAACATTTCCTTCCTACTAGTATTACTCCCAATATCATGATCCTCAAGCCTGATGACTATTAGAGAACGAAATGACTTGCACTTTTTCCCACACTTAAGGGACCGGGAAGACATTAGGAATATGCAAGCACGGCGAACATAAACTATGAAGAATAATCACCAAATGATATATCCATTTTCATTTGATTTTGTGTGTTGGTTGTTCGGAATGTCTTGCCAGTGCTGCAGCACGGTGCTGAGGAGGAGTGTTCAATTGGCTGACAAGATGTTGCTTCGGGTTTGGAGAGTGATAGGATGCCTGGCTATTATTCAGTATACATTTGTTGACTATTGGGATGCGAACTTGTTCCAACCTCGAGTCTGAGAGTGAAAGCAACATTCCAAATTTAGTTTTTCGGCATCTATAACATTTATTTTTTCCAATTCGATTATCTATTTGGCATTGGTGGAATAAATTTCCAATATCTTTGAGATGCTCACCCAGAGCTGCAGCCTTGATTCACTGATGTTATTACATAAACCATTTTGGAAGCCTCAATTGTTCAGCAGGCGGAGTTACCAACCTCAGGCTCGGAAAGAAAAGGAGACTGGATGAGTCAAGATTCAGGTAGGGTACAATTTGGGATACAGGTGATATTGTACAGGAATAGGCGAAATCAACATAAGTGCATTAATTCTTAGCCATAATATCAAAAATTAAATCATGGAGTGGCCTAAGACCGAGAGGAACTCTGAATCTCGAAATATACACTTAAATTGTCTGGGAAACTCTAGGACAATGTCTTCTTATATACCATTCTTTACAGTATCCAAACTCCCATCAGAATCTCGCTGCAACATTTCTTTTATAGAAACACGCGCTGAGGCGGAACCCACAGGGTAGGTTACGATCCACCGCCCGAACTCTGTGGTCATCAATATTGTGAACATCCGAGAGGGTTACATTCGCAATTAGCAAATTTCCTCGTCCGAAACTCTGCATATGTCAGGGACCTATCGTCTAGCAAGAATGTCATGACCCCAGGGTGACCCCCATGCACCGTGGCGTTGCAGTGTGGCTCCTGTTGGCACCCATAGTCTGATCGCTTCGTAAGGAGATGCACGACGTTATTATTCTTTGGCACTTCCCCTTCTTCTCTGCTGTAGCCTTGCTGTGCCTCTTGAAGAGTACTACTGTTGCTCGTGAACAAATAGTACAGTTTTTTCAGCTCCAACTGATCCAAAGAAACTGCTTCTATTTATCATAGTAAGAATTATCCACCTGTCAGTGTTCAAATTATTTACTTATGCAGGTCCAACTCTCCCACCACAGAAGTTGCCATGGCAGTCCACCTTCCTGCAAGGCTGATCAGCCACACGGATAACAGTCTTCAACACCAACGATCCTGTTCACAAAGTCGATCACTTTGACATAATCACCTACACATGGGGAAAGACGGTGCCACCATACAACTGCGGAATAGATGGAGTGAACTGGAATGTGCCTATTCAAGAAAAGAAGTTAGAAGACATCAAGAGGTTGATGATCAAGGCGAATGTGCAGTACCTATGGGCCGACTGCATTTGCATCAACCAGGATGATGAGAAGGAGAAGGCAGTTGAGATACCGAAGATGTACCAGTACTATAAAAGTGCGCGGAAGTGCTACATACTCATGGATAGTACGTCAAGTCTTTCCTATACCTCCCATATATCTTGAGAGACAAGTTATCCCAGAACTATTTGACGACATGTTTCTTTCTTCTCCGCTAACAAGCCTTCGTCTGTTGAAGATCTGAACAGCCCCATACTGACTTGCCTACAGTGGATGAGGTTTGGGCTCCGCAGGAGATAGTCGACAATCTACATTTCATCGACCACATACTCTCTCACATGGGCGGTGCAGCCCTTGCGACAGAAGCCAAGCTGACTGAGAACATGACAAACCGACTGACCATGTGGGCGAACGAGAACTGGAACTTTCGTATTGACGCCTCAATAGTACGATCTGCTGCTATCGATATGGGCGTGTTGAATTGCTACTCGACGTGCATCAGCCGTGTCAGGTCGCTGTTCGAGAATGACTATTTCACCAGAGTGTGGACATTCCAGGAGATGCTTCTTGGGAAGAATATCACCATGTATGGGGTACACAGCAAGACACTGGCTATTTATCCCTTAGGTGATCTCGAGACTTGGATGGATCTGGCGACAGACTCCAATGATAAAACATGGAAGCTACAGGGCTGTGGGTTGTTCCAAAATCTTATTCTTACTGGTCTCGTGCGAAGCAGCGCCTTTCTGGGTGAGAAAATCGTTTTGGATTATTTGTTGACTCGGTGTCTTCTAGGGATTGAGACTTCCAGAGTGTTGAAAACGGCATCAGTCAATGCAATCTTAAATATAATAGATGAAGACTGTCTCGCTCTGGATATCTTGCAAAGTACATCCAGTTATACCCTTGCTTCTTGTTTCGTCTTTTCTTTTTGTTTTTTTATTCTCTAGCGTAACATCTGAACTGGTCAGCGCTGAAGTGCCTGTTCTGTTGCGGGGGGATGAGATCACAGCTAGTCCCATTACATCTCTGCTCTCAAGACCACAATTGGAAGGATTGCTGATCTGTCCATAGAGCAAGTCAAAGGACTTATCAGCGCCCGAACTGATATCATAGCTGGTGGTCCTAGCTGGTGGTACGAGAATCGCAAAGGAGTCAGCAACATATTCTCAGCCATTTCAATCACCCCACGAAAATGTGGACAAAAGGTTGACATCTTCAGAGGTCTTCTCGGCATTTTCAGCGGCTTGTTCACGCCGGAGGAGGTTGAGAGAGACTTGAGTGGAGACGACATCGAAAAGATCTCCTTCGCTTTTTTCAAGCAGCTATCCATCAAGACTGGGCATGCTTGGACTAAGCTCGCCATAAGCAGCGAAGAGAGAGGAGTGTACGACTGGATACCAGTTGCCGCAAAGAATAGCAAGCTTCTATCCACGGATATCTTCGCAGCGGTAGTTAATTTAGGACGACTGAATCAAAAAGGCCTGGCTAAAGCAGTAGCAACGACAGGCTTGAATGGAGCCCCACGCAAGTACATGAAGATCCAAATCAGCAAGGAGAATAGGGGCTTTCAATTTACCTTCAAAGGCTGCAACTGCGGAAAGACTGTGAAAACTGGTCTTTTCAGCAGTGAGCCAATACCCACCTACGACCAACCCAGAAGCGTATCTGGGGACGAAACAGGCAGGATACTTGTGCAATGTGCGATAATCCTGGGGAGCCTCATTGATCCCGGCCACGACGTCGTTGAGTATAGGGGAAGACTTCTCCGTAAGCTCCAGCCGTATTGGTAAGAGCTGAGGCCACTGCGCGCGGCCCACTTAAGCGAGAACCTCAAGATCTCACCTAGTTTTATATCTATTATTATAACTGCAACTTCTTATGGCATTCTCTAATATTATGATTGTAGATTAATGAATAGTAGTTAAACCTCGCACAACAATTACATCCTCAATCTTGCAAATCAAACGCTCTATGTACGGCCTGAAATCACGTGAATCTACTCGATCCCATAACTTTTGCAGCTCCTTTTTTAAATCTTTTTTACTTTTTGGTATATAAAGCAATTTTTTCAATTCTTTTTTTATTTATCGCCAAACTTTCTCAATAAAATTTAAATCAAATGAAAAAAAAGGCTACTTAAACCCGCAGATTCTATACTAAAATCTTAGTAACTGAGCACTCTTTTTATACACTTTTGCGCTATCTTCTATAAAAATATATTTCGGCCCTAGGGTTTTAAATAGAAAAAAGACTATAAGTTCAAAAACTTACTAAAAGTACGCTTTAGAGTATATGCCCTTGCGTTCTGGAAGCTTTTCCATAAAAACTAATAGTAATTTATAATCCTAGCCTAATACCCCCCAAATTATAACCGTAATCCTTCCTAACCTATAAACTAACCGGATGCAATTAAGGCACCTCCTCTTATTTACCCTCCTAGTCACCCAAATCCTACCATTCTTCCTAATCTTGAATATAACTTCATTATATTAAATAACCCTCCTCTAATCACCCTTTTACTTACTATTATTCCTATATACTACATAATCTAATATACTCCACCATCTATAATCCCGCGCAAAGCGTAACTTTTTTTTAGTTTGTATTTTTGATATATAAAGTTGAAGGCATATAATGCAGCAACGGTAGCCTACGCGGGCTAATTTTCGACGTATAATTCGAATAGAGGAAGCGAGCCGTAATAAAGCCTTAAAGCTCGAAAAGTTCATCCTGCGAAAAGACTAGTCTTTTAATATAGTGCGAATACATTAATGTATTGTTTTAATAAATATTAAGTAAAGTTTCGGGAGTTTCTTTTTGCGTTCTCTACAGCTATGTTCCTACTTAAGAATGCGGCGTACAATCCTTTTAGGCACTTGGGTCTCTTGGACGATCTCCCTTTAAGATTTACCTTGCCTCTGCAAGCTGCGGATAATAGCGCGTGCAAAAGTGGGCTATTCTCCCTCATCCTTTTGGAGGGGTAAGCTGAGTATCACAGGTATTTCCATCTTCATTTTTGAAGCCATTACCGCGGTTGAAGGAGGCTCTCTGGGAAACCGTGAAGCCATGGCCCTAGAAGACGACAGGATTGTAATGAGGGATGGTCTGGGCTTGGTACAAGTCGACGATGTTGGCAGAGCCTTCAATCTGGCTGCATTTGGAGGCGATATCGATGCCTACAAGTCATATGCCAGCGGTTGCAGAAGCACTAAACTTCACAAAGGTGTAGTTCCCAAGTTACCATGACCGAGGGGCAGAGCGTTGGTGCGGGAGGAGCTCACACACAGCATTACGGACTTGATGAGGAATTATGGATACGTCGAGACTGGAGGATCTGGGAATTTGTTGATATGCAGAACAAGTCCTGTCGGTCAGTACAAGATCATAGGAGTCTGTATAGATGTGTCTATTGAGAGTAAGAAGGGGAATCATACAGTTACCATTCGATAGTTCACAGTCTGCAAGATTCAGTACTTAGGGAGGCACTAATACATTGATAATTTCAAGCCAAAAAAAAGGAACTCTCTTAGATTTGGACTGTGAAGGTTTTCTCTTCCTACCCATAAGCGAATTGATCGAAGTGAAGCTTTATACTCGCTGTGAAGTCGTTGAAGACCCCGTGGGGGTTAAATGGGGTGTAAAGGCCCAGATTTCACGTTGCAGAGCAATCCAGCAGACGACAACTATCCAGACAGTATTACGGATCTATAATGGAGGTCTGCTGAGTAGAGACTCCTGCTACTAGCACCTGAGCTCTTGGCAAAGCTATAATGTGGCCTTCCTTGGCATCAAGCGCAATTCATGATGATGTCTGTAGCTCTTGCTCCGCTTTGATTGCTATCATGCCGGATTGTTCTTGATATGGATTTGGTCAAACACTTTGCATCTCATGGTAAGGTCACATATTTGCTATTCATCACAAACTGTTGCCAAGCAATGAAGGTAGGGGAAGCCATCTGTCCAAAAAGGAACGCAAACTGATACCAACGTACTTAAGCACTTCCTCTGAACCCTCTGGCTTGGTTGTTACTGAAACATCATTGAGTAAACGGGAAATAAATTGTTATAAATATTTTATGACTCCATGTCTCTATTTCAGACGAAACGGAGTTTCATGTTAGCAGATTCCCTTATTGACCAGACATCGTAAACTTGGTCTCACAGCCTCTTCAATATTTACTCTTACTATAGCATATCTTGTTTTCAAACTAGGCTGGGAATTAAACTGGACTTTGCTGAGCAGACTTAGCATGCCGCGAACTATACTCGCATCAAGAAATGAAGGGGATTGCACATGGCGGGCCACTAAGATATGTTGAAGTGCGGTTGTTACTGGTCTCAAGAAGGCTAATCCACTTGTAGATTGTGGAAGTGTCACCTCAAGCCCCTCTTAGAGTATCTTGTCACGACCATTTGAACAACAAGACTAGACCCTTCCATAAACGACGACACGCCTGCTCGAGAATAGAATACCCCCCGGGACTACGACACCATTTCTCTGCAACGAGACCACCCCCACACCTGTACGGCAACGAATTCCTACACGAAGTCACTTCTCAGCGACAGAATCACGCTGGATACGCTACCGCACACACTCCTTCTCCTGCGAGACTCCTCACCACTAGGGCACACTTCTCTAAAGGATAATCATAGCCTAGTCGAATACTCTCTCTACAACAACGCTCCTGGCGAAAAGCGCTCCGTTTGTCACCTCTTCAGCCGTTGTTCTACGAATACCTGGTCCTCCACATAGCTAGAAATCAAGGAATTGGGAACCTTCTCACTCTTACTTTTATCAGCTGCCTCTCCTCTCCTCTCCCCTGTTCCTCCCTCTTCGACGACAAATTCACGGCTGTATCGTTGCGAGCGGCCAGAGCTCGCACCTACCCGACGATCTTTAAGGTAATCAAAAAATTCTTCTTGGCTTCTAATCCATTGAGCTGACAACAGGGACACAAGTTTCCAACGACAAACTCACAGCTGCATCTTTTGGAGCGACCGAAGCTTACGTCTCCCACAAGATCCAAGTGTTTGGTAATCCAAACCCTTTCTTTGGCTTCTAATAAATTGAGCTGACAACACGATCCCCTAGAGTACTATGCGATGTTGCGGAATACAGGCTATCGAGACACAGCAGCAACCCATACAACCTCCTCACAGATTCTCTACTCCTCCTCGTCGATTCATATTCCTCTTCGCCAAAAATCTTGTTGTGAGCAACGGCTTTGCAAACAACCTCGCTGCAGATAATCGACTCTTTCGCGTCCTCTTCCTCCTTGTCGAATCATATTCCTCTTTGCCGAAGATCTTGTTGCGGGTAACGGCCACTATCTGCTCCGTCGTGTCCTCTGCCCCCTGTCGAGTCCATATTCCGATTTGTCAATAATCTTGCTCTGAGCAACAGTCTTGCGAACAACCCCCTCACAGACAATTTATTCCTCCACGTCCTCTTCCTCCTTGTCGAACCATATTCCTCTTCGCCGAAAATCCTGTTGCGAGCAACGACGTTGCAAACAACCTCACTGCAGATAACTTACACCTCTTCCTTTTCTATACCAAGAATCTCCTTCTTCTCGCCATCAACCTCTTGCCAGTAGCTATCCTACATATCACGAGTTGAGTTGTGCCTTCACAATGGATCAAAATTATGATGCAGCTTCCGAGCTTCCTGTTTACCAGGCATGTCGCGAAGTCCCCTCAAGAACGCGAGAGAATGATCGAAAAGGTGTGGAACACGCGCGAAATGCGCATGCGTTCACCAAAGATAAGAGAATCAAATCCGATGCCAAAAATCCATCAGCGACTGTCGAGGAATATAGAGAAGATCTGACGGTGCCATACAAACCCTGCACCTTAGCATTAGATCGTATCTACGATGAGAGCCGGTGGACATTGCCAGAGGATCATGAGCCTGGTGCAAAGAAGGAGCCCAAGAGTGGTGTCAGATTCCCCCTGGATGAGGCTCTTGTCCTGGACTCGATAGAAGATCAAACTCACATCAACATGGACGATGCGGACATACGCCAGCTGGTGGCAGATTTACAGGACATTAAAAGCAAATCTGCGAGTGACATCACAGATGTCAATTCTTTGAGTCTCAAATATGAATACGGAGATAAGCGATCGATAGAGAAGTTTATTTTACACGGGCGAACTATTGCGCGCGTCAAATTTGAGGACGCCGAGGTTGGGGAGAAGAATTACAAGCAAGTCATGCGAGGCAAGAAGCTGGAGAAGGATATCGACCGTGGTACAAACGGCAAGCAACAAGCCGACTTGAAAATCGAGAACTACGTTACAGCGCATATATTACTGTGTCTAGGCGGCGAGGTGAGTTAATCAGCTTAATGTTATTTATTGTTGCTTCTGGTTACAGAAGTATAGTCCTGATTGCTAATCTTCTGTGTGTAAATAGGTGGGTGCTAGAGCGCAGGACTCTTGGAGAGCAGCTCGGAATTTCTCACAGCAGCAGCTGGAGCTGAACCCCGGGCTCGAAGAGATTGTCATGAAGAAGCTGGACGAAGAGCACGATCCTGCCTTGAAGGAAATGCTGGAAGTTTTGAACGATGTTCACCAGAGGAAAGAGTCCAGCCCCTACCACCAAGCAATGCGGGACAAGTGGGGAGTAGATCATAACTTGTTTGATCGCATTGCCCACACTGACATTGTTATGGTCCTCGATAAAAACAACGAGGTAATCTTCTTACAATTGTCAGACTCCTTTCAGAAACTCTTGCAGAAACAACTCGAGGACCAAGTCGTCAAAGCCTTTGAGATCTACTCCACACTCCATGCTGTGCCATTTCCTGATTCAACCAGACACGGCATTCACTGGTCAGAATGGCTTCTGAAACGACCGGAGCTAGACTTCCGGAATTCAGCCAACATACTACGCATGGCCAAGTCAGGGCCATTTCATATTGGCTGTGGAAACATGACAGGGGACACTCATGGGGATGTAAAAGGGCCTACCCTAAAAGCAGATTCGAAGCGTAATATCGAAAGGTACCCCCACATCGTCAAGCAGCAAGAGACTTTGAGGTACGGTGCACTTGGCGCATGTACCGAGATTCTCAAATTGCTCCTCAGCACTGTGGCACCCGAACTTTGCACCGAGTACGAGAATGTTGCTAGGGAACTTGCCGAGAGGTATGAAATGGAGACAGGAACCAACCTTTTTGAAACTCGACGCGAAGGAGGAATCTTTACAATGAGAGCTATCCTTATAAATCTTCTCACCACCGACCACAAAGACCAGAACGATTGGTCGAATGGATTCGCTGGCCTTGTGGCTGTGGGGGATCACGAGGGTGGAGATCTTCTTCTGCGAGAGCTGGGCTTGCGGATCGAAGCTCGATCTGGTGCCGCGCAGTTGATGCGAGGTCGCGAACTAGCTCATTCGATCGACTTCTATACCGGGAGACGTTTCTGTGTTGTTTGTGTTACACGAGAAGCCAATAGGAAGTGGGCTGAGAAGCGGATGCAATCCAGGGAGCAACCATCAGCATCGAGTGAACAGTCACTGGGGTCGAACGAACAGCCATCTGAATCACGCGAACAGGCATCTGGGTCGACTGAGCAGGCATTAACAGCGAAGAAAAGGAAGAACTCGGACGTTGGTAGCACAGCAAGCAGAGAGGGGGAAAAGAGATCAAAAAAGCTTTGATAAGATATTGGATATATCCTAAGGATTTGTCTCAAGGTTGGCCTCTGTGTTTGTCTTCGCCGGCCTAGCTTCAGAGATCTTGCTGTTATTACTTACAGCACTGGCGTTGAATAAGTGTTAGATGGTTTTGATAGCAATTAATGAATTGTATTCGGAATCTTCGACCTTTACAAACGTGAATTATTGCCTCCGGAGTGCGCGGATTACGGGAAGCCCCTTTCTCGCATACCTCACTAAGATTAAAGTAAGCGAGATTTAGTGAGGTATTTGGGTAAGCGAGAGCATGAGTCCTCATGGGCTCTCATTCTGTACATCATCTACATGCAAGGGTTGCCCTTATCTCGTCTCAGTCCTCAGAGCTGTAATATGCATATCTAACTCACTGACGAATCTCCGGAAATATTCCAGTTTAAAAGGGTATTAGATTTTCCAGAAAGTACTAAGATTGCTAAAATTCCTCTACTTGATATCACCTGATGGCTCTCACGAAGCGCACATAATAATCATACTCATAGCAGAGGCAGATGAAAATTGGCCCCAATGATTGGGCGCTATACCGCGAAATTTGCATGTATGCATTGCACAGAAGAAAGTTTGGGCTAGGTCTGCAATGAAGGCGATTTCAAGTCTATCTCCTCATCTCATACTCGTAATCTAAGAAGAGACAAGGCGTCGGGCTGTCGGCTAATTTAGATAATATGGTCTCAAATCGTATCATAAGAAGCTTTTCCAATTACCGTCCATTCAAATGACATGCGTTTGCTTGCGTTGAAAGTTTACATAAAAGCTGCGCTTTGCCTTTTAGTTATTTGAGTACTTGATCATCTGTTCTTCGCAGTATCGATATCCCATACATGAATCCACCTACACTAAGGGATTTGGGCCCAGTACCGAGTCCGATGCACTCTGTATCAGACAGACTTGCCCGCAGAGATAATCTCAGTTTCCAAGACATAAGAGACCTAAAAGAGGAGCGAAACAAACTTCCACCACGAGATGTGAAAGATATCGCAGCAGATCTCGCGGCGAGGGTCAAGCGAGCCCCACAATTCCGCCGTTTCATCAAGGTCGAAGAATTGAGTATGTGGAACCTTTACATGTTGCAGCATAAGATACTCTCCATGAAGCCAGATAGTATGAGGGTATTCCAAGGACTAGACATGAAGTCTAGAGCAATGAAGGAAATGCGGGCGTGGCGGAACCACGACAAGAACTCGGGGGCTCCATTAGGATCAACCACCAGCCCAATTACTGCTACGCTGGAGGGGGGTGCAGCTATCAACTCAATTACTCCTGCGGCTCCACTAGACAGTTCAATACACAAGCCACCCCTCATCACATCCACCACCGGACCTCCATCGACCGATGTGCCAGATGGGCTGCAACTTTTACTCAAACAGTACCGTAAGTACTTTTCCCCAGATTGCCATGTCGTTTTAGAAGATTAACCAGCTGTTCAGATGAATCCCTCAAAGCATTTAAAGAGATGCAAACATGGCGTGAGGCATCCAATACTAGCTGTAGAATTGCGAGATCAGATCTCGCTTTCCATTTCTGTGACGAAAACTACCTCGAATCCGAAGAGAAAATGTTTGATCTGAGCCCTACGCTCAAACTCGAAACCGGCGGCTCAGTAGACTGTATTCGACGGATGCTTATGAACTACTTACCACTGCGGTACGTGAATGAAGATGCTTGGAACGAAAAGCGCGGACAATTGGATCCGGGAGCTGTGCCTGAACGTGCCCAAACATTTTCAAGCTGGAGAAGTACGTCCGTCTCAAGCATTTTCTGCCACAATGAATCCTTGCTAATAGAATATGTGGAACAGCTGATTTTGATACGCCACCGTTCGTTGACAATCTTGCCCGCGTGCTTGTCTCTCTTCTTGCCGGACTCTTCCTCCTGGTGCCCATGATTGTTGTATCCTTCATCATTTCTCAGAAAGTGAGACTGAGTGTCACGGTCGCTCTCGTTGTGCGATTTGCTGTGTCTCTAGGATGGTTTGGCAAGTCTACCAATGATGCGTTGATGGGGACCTCGGCAGCATATGCAGCAGTTCTAGTAGTGTTTGTTGGGCAGACGTCTCCAATCACTTGAACATAGTGATTGCTGTCCCCCAATAAGTCGACTTTATGTGGCTACTTACTCTCAGGGACAGTAGTATGACTCTGCCTTCAATGAATATTCAAACTCTCAATTAAGATTCAAAAATACAAATACACCAATACCCCAGATCATAGGCACAAGTACACGTCCTGGCTCCAGGCTTCCAGCTGAGGCCTGGAAAGGGTTCGCTTGTATCGCACAAGTTGTCCGAGCTGTCCCACTTGCACTCACTTGCCAACATGCTGTCGCTGTCCCCATTGCACTCGTATTCCCTCTATATGGACCCCAGGTACTTTGTGTTCCGGCTGTTGTAGGACCAGTGTCGCTGCTAGAGATAAGTATAGGGAATACGCCTCCATTTTCGCTTGTCCCTGTTGAAGTACTGCTCAGTCTGTATGTCTTGACACTAAGTCCTGTCGTTCCGCTACCCATGCTGGTAGGGCTTGTATTGGTGTTACTTGCAATGCTCGCAGTAGCTTTGCTCTGGGTGATCGTTTGGGAGGCTGATGCTTTTGAGTTCGAACTCGAGAGTATAGTTCCTTTACTGGTAGTAGTCATCTGCGAGATGGAACTGGTTGTTTTGGAGCTAACGGAGCTTGTGCTCGATAGCTTTGTACTGATTGATGTTGTAATAATAGTCGCGGTTGCGCATGTTGAGGAAAAAAGATTAAGTGCTTGATTCTGTTGCACCGGAGAGCAGGAGTTCACAATGCACGCTCTGACATCTGAAGAGAATCTGCTGCATTCACATCCACCTACAGCAAGTCAGTGCCATCGCAATTAGATCCAATATTTGAGATCATACACTGAAAGTCCAGCATGATACAGGAACAATCCCAGAAACCTGTTGCTAAACATGCTTGCTAGTTCTTGGTCAGCACGGTCCGCTCTGCAGTCCAGGTAGAATGATAAACGTACAGCTGCTATCCCCAGGTTAGCCACTTCCGAAGTCGTATTAGCGGCACCGGCGAGGCTTTGCCAAAAGCTCAACAATACAACGAGTACCTTGCGTCGTCTTCTTAACTCCATCTTTGTATTTGGCTGTGAGAGCCAAATGAAAAGAAGGAGCTCCAAGAGCTCACCAAATACTCATTTCCGTGATTCCAGAGATTTTGCGACATTACAGTCAAGGTTCCGAGGCTGGGGCTCTGTTCTATATCGGTCTTCCACACAAGCCTTAAAGGGGTCTAGTTTGCAAGACATGTTCGTGCTGCGCCCATGTCCTGCTGGCCGTCACACATTCGATTTGATTGGTTCGGTTCCAAACGCGGGGTGCCATGTCTCACTCCCAACCCCACCATCTCAAGTCACAACTCTTAGCCATGCTGACTTGTAATGCACTTTAATAAACTCTGCCTTTCTATACAGCCATTGCAAACACTATTAGCAAATAACATGAACAATCATGAGAGCCGCTTGAGTTGAAATTGGTTGCTAGTTTCAATCTCATCCGTATGCGGGGACTTTCTTTTTGAAGTGGCGTCCAATATTGCGCCAATATGCACTTCAATCATCTTGGCACCAGCTGCGCCTTCAGCCTCAAAAGTCGTCCCACACACCACCTTAATCAGACAAACCAGTCACTTGAGAGCTTTTCTTTACATGTGGTCTCGGACAAGCTGCAGTGCAGGGTCAGCTAGGGGTATTTCCGTAGGAGGCTGGGCTCCGCCTCGACCAAGCTCTGATGTTCGAGCTTCAAACAATGAAGCTGGTGCGGCATCGACACGAAGAACTTCGGTTATGACATTGACCATCTCTTTCCTGTGAAGTACCCCAACGATCATGTCCTTTGAATGCCCGACACGATGATCCGATCATCTTCCTCTCGCTCTGGATGGATCATCCTCGTTTTCTCACTACTCCTACATGCCGTCTATGGCAGCAACTCAACTTGCGGTGCGCTCATCACTTATAATCAATACACGAAGATCTTCCAAAGCGCCCCATCATGTCTTCAACAAGGCTGCGGCGCAGGAAATCTGACCTCGATGTCATCGTGAGTCTGCTCCGAGCTTGCTAAAGTACTCGCTAATTACCAATAGGACCTGTACATCGAACTCAGTCTGTTATCCAATTTGGAACATTCTTCATGACGAATACCAACAGGATTGGTGCAGCACCTGCCACGAAGAAGATCGAGCTTGTCGGATCCCAGGATGGCCCATCCTGAACTCGACAGCGGCATGCGATATGTCGCCCGATACCTGGCTTTTCAAGAATGAAGGATGCTGTACGAATGGAGGGAACGAGATGGCCAGCTTAGCTGCTTGGATCCAGACACTGTGCAACGGTACTTGGAGAGAACAGTTCACATACTATGATGGCATGGCATTGTTGGACTGGGAGCAGTACATCTTACCAGACAATCATACAGTCGCATCGACAAACTCAACTCAGGCGCATTGCACTTCCAACAAAGCGAGATACTTGGGCATACTTGGCATGGAGAATGTAGTGGTTGTCCTTGTCATCATTGCGTACTTTTTCTTGACGCTCTGGTTCTCGAGAGAAGATGCACGAAATAAACGATGGGTACGAGGAGTAAAAGGCATCCTGAAGCCCTTAAAGTGGGTCACACTACCGTTCATTTCGGCTTTCAAGTTTGTCTTTCGTATCAAGGGATCAAGTGGGAGTACATGGCCTGTTATCAAGACTATTTTGCTCGCAATCCTCTTCGCTGGCATCCAACTCTTCTTCAATTTTGCCAGCGCTTATGTGGTCAAGAATGCTCCAGGATACGAACATGTCAATGTCCATCTTCTGGCTATGCTTTTCTGTACTCGACCTCGACTCGGCTGGATAGTCTGCTTCTTGTCCAGCATTCCTAGCACTTGGGTCGAAAGATACTTCAACACCCAACAATCAGATGTCTTGTCCAAAGGCATGATGAGCATTGCACGAGTCGGTATTTCTGCGGCAATGGGAGAAGTCATCATGCAATTATTGGGAAGTTTTTACATGGGAAAGACCGTCCACGTAGGGGTGATTCGAGGGCTCTACAAGCACAATCATCTATATCCATATTGGAAAGGCCACCAGGCTAGGGATATGTACAATGGAGCCATACTTTGGGCTATTGCACTTCCAGCAGTTGTAGCTGTCTGGGTTGCCGTCATTGTGCTTCTAGGATTGGTTATGATATTCTTCGGAGCCATAGTCGCAGGATGGAAAGAGATCAAAAAGGTTGCGAAGAAGCAGAAAAGTAAAATCAAGAAGGACAGCTCGTCTCCGGAGGCCAAGTTCTTCATACCTCAAACACCCACCGTACATATCTCCGAGCCACCAGCACACGATTCCGGACACCAGACAAGACCTTATGATCCTGATCCCAATCACGCCACGAGCGAACCCTCAAGCGTGTCACTACTAGAAGATGATGACGGAGCCACACATGCGATCGAGAACGCGGAAGACGTTTACATCCCACAATACGCACCAAGAATGGCGACCGTCCCCAGATTCAGCCTGTCCTCACCTCTCCAATCACACCCCATCAACAACAATGAGACCAACGCCCTAGAAGACCCATTTGTCGACCCACACCCGACTCAACCCGTCCAAGATCTTGCTAGGACAGATATTACAGCTCAAAACAACACTCAAACAGACCAAGAACAAGACATAACCGACCCCTTCCCCCCACAACTCCGCCCCGGCCACCGCGACTCCATAACCCACCGTCCCTACAGCGACGAATTCGACACCACCTCCCCCACCACCGGCCTCCCGCACAACCCATTCGCCAACCCTACTCCCCTTCCCAAGAACCCATTCTCAGACCCCCAATCCATCCGCCGCCGCCACACCCCCCACTTCTCATCCAACACCGCATACCAAGGCGTCTCCACCCAAGATCCCGACCCCGAGGCCGAAAACGAGAAACCGAAACCGCCGCCCTGGGTGCACACCCCTCGAAACTTGGAGGAATGGAAACCGTTTATTCTGGTGCTGGGTATTCTGTTGGGGTTTGTGTCGTATATTGCTCAATGGCTGTTTTGGTCGGGCTTTGTGAATGCTTCGGATGATAGGTTTGTAGTTCAATAGAATGAATGGGAATAGAGGGGGCTGACTATGATTATAGGTTTTGTCCGCCGAATACGGGGGTTTTGGGCATGGTTTGGGTTTTGGCTGGGGTTTTGGGTGAGTTTTTTTTTTGGTTGTTGGGGTTGAGGTGGGAGATTTGCTAATGTGTGTCTGATAGGATTTGGGTCTGTGTTTGGCTTTTCGTATCCAGGGGCGGGTGGTTAATGACTTCATGGTGAATGGACGAGATGAAAGGTAGGAGAGTGCAATTTGATTGTAGTTGTACTTATCAAACATCCGACTTCTAAGCTTCCGCAACAGTATACAAGCGAAATAGCAATCTGAGTTTCCTCGCAAGCAATCTCCAGCTGAGCAATCTACATCCACTCACTAAACACATCAGGCTTCCCCTCATTATCGACCAGTCCACCATTGACCACCATCTGGTATCCTCCATATCTCTTCATCCCAGTAACTCTCTTAGCAACCTCATTAGCCTCAAACAAGCTCACCAATCTCCTCTTCCTCTCTCCGCCTTCACTTCTCAATTTCTGATCCATCTCATTGCAGATTTCCCAGGTTCTCTTCTTGCACTCTTCCGGCTGGTCTTTTTTGGGCACAAAGTCACTCAGTGGCTTGTGGATGAGAGATTGATAGTCCTCGTGGCCAGGATAGTAGTAGCGATACCCGAATTGTCGAGTGATCAACGGACCATTTTCGACGCAGGATGCGATGTAGATATCGCGAGACATCTCGAGTGGAGTACGACCAGTTGCGTTCTCGCGGTACAGAAGAGAGTTATTTAACGAAAGCAGGAATTCGGTCTGCGTGCTGCGGGAGCTCTTGATTGCCTAGATAATGTTAGTGATAAATTTTGGTTTCTGTTTGGAAGCTACGAACCACGTGCAGAGGCAAATCTCCTTCTCCATTGATCATCGACAAGTCCTCTCCAGTAGAATACGTTGACAGAATGGACATGACTTTGTGGGCGTTGGTGTTGCCACGATGGTTTGACATGAAGTACGCCAATGGGGTTAAAGCTCCAGGTTGATTTGTACATCGTTCAAGGAACATCTCCTTGAGTGCTTCTTTGTCGAAGAGATCGAGCATCTTCTGTAAGCGCTTTCTATCGTCCTTGTACCATTGGGATACGTTTCGTAGCATGCTATGAACCATGTTCTGGCCCATCTTATCACGATGACGCTGATTGGCACCGATAGAGAGAAGATACTCAATGATGGGCACGCGGTGCTTGATCACTGCGACTTGAAGAGGAGTCCAGCCTTCGGACGACTTCTGCTCGAGTGTGTCGGGTGCAACAGAAAGTAGATGCTTGAGGAGAGCAATCGCTGAAGCGGCGTCTGATTCGTGAGACAGAACAGCACAATGAAGTGCTAGTTCACCTAAGAAAGTGTCAGCATATTTTCATACTGAAAAGCAAGCTTCTTACTTTTCGCACCAAGCCATTTCTCAATGGTCTTGTCAAATCCTTTGCCGGATGCTTCGAGAGTCTTGATTCGCTTGTCATGCTTGTTGGCTTCTGCGAATTCCTTGTATCGCCTCAAGGGTGCATCACTCATGAACCATTCAACAGAGTCGACAGATCCAGATTGAGCGGCGCGCAAGAGAGGTGGGATCTTCTCCTCGATGACATGCACGTTGCCGCCAGGAGCTTGTGCCCAGTCAGCCCGCTTCTTACCTCCTACACTTAGTCCTTGATAGTATCTAGGTTTCGTCTTGACCTCAACTCCACTTTGCTGGATCAGCTCGTTGAGTGGGATACCAACACCAGTTGTCTAGAGAATTCAGCATTTGCATGTTCGTTACTTGTCAGTGAGTTGACATACCTTGATCATTTCTGCTAGCATGGCAATTCGTCCAAGCTTGATAGCCAGGAGGAAGGAAGATCGGCCGACTGTATAAGATTTCTGATCATCTTCTTCCTGAGCCAGTGATGCTTGTTGGTGCGATGCAAGCTCGATGATAAACTTCAACAAGCCCATATCATCCTCATGAATAGCGGTGTCTAAAAGATCTATCTTTGATTCCCGAATCTTGTGCTCTGGATTCAAAATTCTGTATGGCAACATACTCCACTCAATCATGGTTGTTGGCAAGACATTACTCTTGACAACGTTCGAAATCTCGCCCAAATTATCAACAGTGAACTTGTCGCTGACTAACTCTGAAAAGATGGGAAGATCTAAGTAAAGTCAGTAATTGTCTCTAATCCTGTCGATCATCGAAGCTTGATCGGACTTTTCATTACCTTCACCGTCATCAGACTCATCATCACTATCCACACCGGTACGCACATTCCATCGTTGACGGGAGTTGAGACCGTCGTCTTTGTGATACTGAGTTGCACAAATTTCCACAATCTTTCTAGCAAGGTCACGATGTCCGCGAAGTACAGCGATCGAGAAGGGACTGAAGCCGTTGCCATCTTGGATCGCAACCTTGAGAGGCGGCTCCATTGTCTTCGAGTCTCTCCAGTTCCATGGCGCAAGAGTAATGGATTTGATCTTCTCCAGGTCGTTATTCCAAGCAGCTTCAAACATCATCTTATATCCATCTCTCTTGATATCGTTTAGAGTAGGATCTAAGAAGGGGAGCGAGGTGGCGTAAGGAGCAGGAGGTGGTGGATTGTAAGGTTGAGGAGCAATCTGAGTTTGCTGATGGATGTCCGGGTGCATTTGAGCGAACGTCTTGCCACCGGCATTGATCAAGGCTTTCTCGGCACATTCAAGTTCCAAAATAAGCTTCGCAACTGCAGCTTTCTTCCCCTCGAGTCCTTCCTGCTTCTTGGGTTTTGATTGTTCTTCCCATTTCTTCCATTCTGCCTCGTTCTGCGCCTTCTTTGATTTGAAGTCTTGCTCAGCACTCCAGTATTCATATGTGCCTTCGTTCAAGCCATACGTATATGCAGACTGAGCCTTGAGAGTCTTGGGTTCCTTTGGAATGTTCTGCTCCGGTTCTTTCCAGCTAGTGATTTGGTCAGCACAATGAAAATTCATGAAGATAAAAAAAGTACGTACTCTCGCAGAGCTTTGAGCTTCTTTTGAATGATATCAAGAACTGCTTCGGCAACTTGATAGCTGTAGTTTTGAGGATTTTCGACGACGTTGTGAGCAGACTTCTCAAGTGTGCACGGGTCAGCTCCATGGGCGACAAGATCTTCGACAGTCTTCCCCATATCCTTAGCTGCAGCTGAGATGAGAGGCTGCGTCACGGAGTTTCGGTATTGGTTCAATGTATAATCGGCGTTTTGTGACTTAGCCCATTCGTTTTTAGCAAGATACATCTTAACCCATTGATCGAATTCGATTGTTGGTTTTGCTCCAAGCTTAAGGAGTCGTGCAACCATGTCCGTATATTCTTTCTCAATAGCTGTCGCCTGATATCCCAGTTAGCGCTATATTACAATGGAGAAAATGAAAGTGTGTAAAGGTTTGCGTTATTCATATGTTATACAAAAGAGGCGTGCTTACCAAAGGCGTGTTGCTCTCCTGACCATAGTGCTGAGACGTGCTGACATTGTCTAGGACGCTCAAGGCAAGTGGTCGATCGTTCGATAGCAAGACGTCCAGGATATCATGGTGATTCTGGCTGACAACAAAGTGCAAGACCGTGTAATGATTCATATCAGCTTGGGCTGATGTTGCACCGAGTTCAAGCAGAAGCTTCACCATCTCCTTGCATTTCTCTGTAGGCAGAGACATAGCCAGGAGGATGGTCATAATTGCACCTCGAGCGGTATTGGTTCCTGGTTGGACAAGCTTGACTGGTAGAAGCACATCAGCGCCATATTCCGAGACCAACAATTCGACAATGTCCAAGTGTCCATTCAGGATTGCGAGGTGGAGAGGCGAGAGGCCATAATCCCAAGCAATAACGTCGATCTCATAGACGTCGGGATCTTCTTCCGAGTCTTCGGGGACACCTTCGTCTGCAGCTTGCTTCTCCTTGTCGACCTTGACGAAAGATCCCATCGTCATAGCATCACTTTTCTCGTCGTCCTCGCTTTCGAGCGTGATCTCAGAAGCCTCGGACTCCGCGTCGCTCTCATCAGCCTGCATGCTAGTATCTTGACCTTTAGCAGCACGCTCAGCTCTCTTCGCAGCGCGATGAGTCTCCTCTTTTTCGTCTTCTTCCTCCTCGTTGGCCATGCTACGGTCCATGAGCGCCTTGACCATTGTTGCATTACCACGGGCAGCGGCAATGTGCAACGCAGTCCTACCATCGACAAGCCTGTCAATCATTCTTGCTCCGTTATCAATTAAGCATTGGACTATTTCCGGAGTCGAAGCCATCGCAGCAAGATGGAGAGGAGTGCGGCCAGTGTAATCGCGACGATTGACGTCTACACCTTCTTGAGAGCACCAGTCCTGGACGTGCTCAAGATCTCCATTAACAATGGCTTGACAGAGTCTTGCAGTGTCGCCAACATATGCCATGGTTGTCCATTCATTGTCGGTGATGGGGTTGAAGCTTCCAATTTCTTGGCGTCCTGGATCATCCATGAGAAACTTGAGCTTTCCAGAGATGTAAGTCTTGGTCTCTTCTTCAGCAACTTCGTGTTCTTCATCAGTCTTGGGAGCTGGACAGTAGCCACAGCAGTCCTCAAGAACTTCCTCTGCAGTACCGAAGAAGCATGGGTGGCGATGGAGATAAACCTCACGGTCATCTGGCTGATTCCACTCCGCATTGAGTAGAAGATCCTTGGCGTAGAGCAAGCGATTGATCCGAGCAGCGTGGTACTTCGGGCCATAAGGCACAGTCATGGTATGATACGATGCCACTTCTTCCTGTTCGACCCATTCTGCGACCTCATCCTCCTCTTGGTCTTTGATATTCCCACCCATCTTAAATTGATTGCGATATCCACGATGCAATGCGGGTCGACCTCTCTCAGCACGACGTTGATCCATGTATGAGTCGCGATCAACAGACTTCGGGAGTTTTTCGAGGATCAAAAGACGTGCTAGACCCTGAGTCCTACCGAATGAACGCTCAAAGATCGTAGGATCAATGCGATTGCGATCCAGAAGAGGCCAATAGACTTCGAAACCACGGTGGGAATATTTGGAAAGACGATTTTCATAAGAAGGAGAACGACGAGTGAGATCAATTGTATTGCACTGAGTAATGAATGCGCCGATAGCTCGAGGGGCGGCGTATACTTGCTTCCCATCGTAGGCAGCACAAGCGCAATCAACATCGAAGCCTGTGATAATCTGGGAAATAGAGTCGTACAAGCGTAAAACAATCTGGACATGGCGTGTGGGATACTGGCTGGCAATGGTGATCGCGTTTTTTGTGCGAATCGTTGTAGTCTCGTGAAGAATGCTGTCCTTGATATTCTTCTCGATCTGCTTGATCTTCTCCAAAGCTTGTTCTTCGTTGAGACCGTATAAGAACAAGTCAACATCGCTGGCAGGGGCAAGATGTTCGTGGTAATACTCTCTCATGCTTCTCTTGCTTTCAGACCATTTGTCAGGAACGGGAAGTAATGCAGTAGTAACAGCAGAACCGGCAGCCACCACATTGTTCCAATCGAGATCAGTGAGAGCGGACTCGGAAAACAAATTGAAGTTTTGCTGGAAGTCCTTGAATGAACCAACAACAGCCGGAACATTATTGGGCTTGCGATCCTCTGGCTTCAAGGCCATGATGAACCTCGCAAGTATTAGCAATGACGTGTAACAGGTCAGGAGGTTTCGTACTTGGCTTTTTCATCGTCAGTCTCAGCATCCAGATCTCGAGCTCGAATCTTCAGCTCGTGCTCGTGTCCATCGAAGATGGGTACTAAGTTGACAGTGCCATCCTTCACAACCTCGTGGTCTGGTTGCTGGGCATACACTTTGCGGAGCTCAGACTCGAAGGCTTTGTAAGGCTCGAGGAGGGTACCGATCGCAGTATCAGGATGCTTCGCAATGTATGGAATGAAATCCTTAACAGTCTTGGACGGAAGCTCAGGAATCTCGATGCGTTCAGGTGTTTCTGTGACAGTTGCCATCGTGGACACTCTTCTAGTTGAAAAAGCGAGATTGACGATAGTTATTGAGGAACGAAAAAGGATCGAAGAATGAACAAATGAACAGAAAGCTTGATTTCGTGATAGTTCTCTGGGCTGAAATTCACGAAAAGTCGCGACTGATGAATTGAAAGGACGAAAAGAAAGTCGGGGAAAGAGTCTTTTTGACGTCAAGTTCATCAAGGATCAACAGACACCAAAGTACATCGCGTCTCGATGATTCATTTACGCGTTGGATGAACGCCTGTTCTCGTGATCGAAGATGCAGAGAATTCTAGGCAGAGTGCTATTTTTGGGTTGATGCCTTGACGCTAGCCACTTTAGCGAAGTCGCGACACGTGATAGTGGTTCCCCTGAGTTTGACATCAGGCTCTCAACACGAGAAATGGGTCCGATATCTGACTGTAGCCTGATACTGTCGGCCGCTTATGCATTTGGACATGCTGCGTGGCGTTGCGTTGCCTGCCAATTATGAAGGTTGTAATCCTAATAATTGGAACTTCTTCCCCCCCTCAAAGCAAAACAATAATCAACACACTTGAAGACTTGATATCTTTTATCATGAACATGTAAGTAACGAGCAACGTGTTAAGCTTTTTAAAATCATCGTGGAGCTGCTTAGGTCACAGAAATTTCAAGCAGAAACCGACTTTGACAGCTCGAGCCAAGCTCACTCGAGCCCTCACCCCCACAAAAGGTCTTGTAACAGGGAAAGTACTGTAAGGAGGAAGACTCTTTTATGCAGTGGTCCATTTCTTGCTTCAATCATATTCTCAAACCGAAGGGACTGTGGAAATGCGGGGCAATGGTCACGTGGGTAAGGATTCTCTCAACGTCGAACTCTCCCTTAGTTGAATCGCGAAGCTAGGAATGACGATGGCCGATGGCCCAAATATCCCTCCATCCCAAAGTCCAATAATGACAGTTCCATGCAAGAAGTATAGACAAAAAGAAGAATAAAGAGCGGCGACAGAAAGTCCTCCTCTCATGCGACCATAACCGAGTCCACCTCAAAGGGGGTTAGAGGTAACGACCGTCAGGAATCGAATAATGTAACGCCGTCCCAATGCAAGAAATCCCATCATCGTTTCCATCTACAACTGATAAACCTTGACGGAATTAATAAGCCAATAAGCAGGAGCGAAAGCACCCGGGTTGGCTCCAACATAGTCATTGCAAGTGGAAGCCAAGTTCTGGCATCCGCTCGAGCCCCAAACACTTCCAGCCCACTAAGAAGACATCAGTACTGTATCTTTAACGTAAAAGAGGAGGAATACTTACATCGCCACAGAAGGTAGTGTCGAAGACAATGTTCTCGTTGGCAAAGAACGAGTCGATGTTACATGAACTTCCACCATTGAACGCCACAATAGGCGTTCCCCAGTTCCCAGTTACTGGTGCACCAGCCGTGATATCACTCGGGATACTGCCACGTGGGAAGAACCACACGTAGATACCAGAGCTCTCCCATTGCATAGCGTAAACGCCACCGCCGTTGTTGTTGAAGGAATTACCGTAGGCGTTGGAGGTAGTGGTAGTGACCCCGCAGCCGGTGTTTCCGTTATCGGTATTACAGTTAGAGTTCGCAAGAGTAGTTCCAGCTTGAGAACCAGCTGTGTTGATGGTGCATCCTGCAGCAGTGTGTAATGTGATAGTGTCTGTTCCGGCGAGGTTGACGCCCTCGATCACGTCGATTTCTCCACTGTTGGGCCAGTTGGGACCAAAAAGCCAGAAGGCGGGCCAGACACCGCAGATACTTCCTGGCCTGGAGAATCTGGGTCAGTGATAGATTTTAAAGGTACAAGGTCGACTTACATATGAGCAATATCAGCAATAAAAAGTCCATGGGTGTAGGCCTCATTGCTCGACACGCGAACAGATGCTCGGCCAGGTGCAGGCGGGTTGACTGTGGTGGAATCAACGCCCATATAAATTTGGCCGTTATTGGTGTTGTACAGCCCTGCGGCTGCTGCTGCAGACTGTGACTGATAATTCACCCAGCCATTAGTAGGGTCGGTGCCCGTATAGAAGCTGAAATCAGAGAAGAAGTTGCCGCTGTTATATGTATTAACCAGGGCATACGATGCTGCGGAATATTGGTGATAAGTGCCACTGATATTAGTCGCAAGAGCGGCTATTGTGCTGGCATAGCTAAGGAGCCCCAAACCAATAGAAGAACGGATTGACGGCATGATGGGCAAAGTATGTACTGAGAAGGAATGTAGTATATGCTTGAATGTATAGGCAAGAAGAAATATGTACAAGTAGAACGTCACGAACTAAGGAGTGTTGGTGCTGAGATGAAGGACGAACTGTCACCTTCATCCACAAGGAAAGTCTAGACATTTTATAATGATCCAGGAGGCTTCAACAACTGAGATGACCTTAGTCATAGAAAGCATGCCGGATTTCCGCGTGAGCTTTCGGCGCCGAGATGTGCAAGAGCCCTCACAACAGACCTCCTTTCGAGACGTACCTTGGTAGACTACCGTGAAGGATGACAGAAGGATTGGTAGGGTAGACGGAAGTATAGCAGGATCGTTACATGCCTAGGTGAAGCATTAGACGTCTTCTGCTCCAGCTCTGCGGAGTTCTTTCTCAAAATGGACTTCATCTGATGTTCGAGGAGTGTCGAGAACATTCAGATCGATGATCGGCAATAGGTGAGATGATAGAAGCTGTAATCCCACGAATCTGGTTGAAGACAACTCAAAAGCGTCCCCATGGCATGAAACGATTGGTGCCACTACCCCGAACCAGAAACGCCACATTGGGGTCCGGGATGACTCGCTGCACGGATCAATATCGCAGCGCAGGTGGGCCGGACTCATGCGGATATTGATCATGAGATAGCTCAAAGTTAAGCTCATCTTCCCCTTGCAGCAGGATTCGGTAATCACAAGATGGTGCCGGATCATCTGCGATTGTCAGGAACCAGCACGCTCTGTCGTGCATATTTACCGGCATAAGACTGTGAGCCAGTGAAAGGGTTCAGCGTCGGTTGCGCCGAGTAACGTCCGAATGTCAGACTTTGACAGCGCATTGGTTGAGCTAAGTGTGATGCGTCGATCACCCTGTTAGCGGATCGCGGGGGTTGTGTACAAAAACATGGGGAGCGGACCGAGGCAAATCCTTCACCTTCCTCTAACGCACCAAATCAGGTGGCATGCAAAATATAGGAGCGTTGTCTTCGTCTCTTTCCACTTAGCCACGATTCATGCGTGGTAGAACGATTGTTGAAACTCCGGGCGATGACTCCTAAAGGACTACTTGAACTGTTGCCACGCTTCCTGGGGCCAATAGGTCTTTCGAATCGGAAATTCCGACCTGGAAAAGCGAGAGCCGATCCATGGTTTACCGCGCAAAAGATCAAATACATGGATTGAGGGATGAAGCTTGCTACATTGACAAGCATAGCGAGATGACTTCTCGGTATGCAACCTGGAATATCGTTCTTCCACTAAAAGCTCGATGATTTCCACGTGAGGAGATGCAGACTCGGTCGAATCTAATGCTTCTCGTAGTTGATGAAGCTATATTTCTGGTTTCTTTGCTTTCCGGGCATAAGAGGACAAGACGCTTGCTACGCCGTCTGGTATCCCATATATATTCCGTCCACAAAAACATGTAACAGAGTAGAAAAGACTCTTGACTTATCTGAAGGTACGAGTTCGCAGGCGAAGACATGTACAGCGCCGCAGAGTGGCCGAATGCATGTTCATCCAGAGGGTAGTTGAGAGGGGTAGCCCCTTGATAGCGCCGGATCGATGGATTCGTGGGACGGAGGAGGTGGCTTGGAAGTTGCGGACTAGTTGGGAGGAAAGGAAGGATGTCGAAACGTTGACGAGAGAAATTGGTAAATGAAGGGGTATTCAAGTTCTGACAAATACGTTCTAGCGGGAATATATCAGAACGACAAGTATCCCAACGCCACACCCTATCACCAAATCCTTCCTCGCAATCTTGCCTCCTGATTTATTCGGCGTAGCCGGTTCATTATCAAAGTATCGTACTGTTTGAAAATTCGACAGCTAAATTTTAAGCAAGTGGCAATCGATTCATGTAGCTGCGTCTAATGCATCTCCATGAATCACATGCAAGTAGCAGAAGGGAAGTTCAGCGACTGTTGCCCGAAGGGGATTCGAAGTCGAATGGTGCAACGTTGCGTCTATCAAGTAACTTCTTCCTTCCAGTCCTTTCAGAATCATTACTCATGAGTTACAAATGCTCGATTTGCTCAAAGCGTGTCCCAGCACGGAGTACTCAAGAAGGAAACAGCGACGAGCGTTGTTGAGTCTTGGTGAGTCTTGGTGGTACCGTTATATGGCTTTCCGGATCGTTCTAAGCCCATACTGATCTGCCTTTGCTATCTCTGCAGCCAACAAGGCGCATTACAAGACGTGTGCATAGCTTTGAGTCTGCTCCCCTGTTAGCACCGCATTAGTCAATGGCAATGTACTTGTTCTAAGGTTACGTCGACAAGGTAGTACATATCGCTGTTCGGCAGCTCCCTTCGGAATCAGAAGAAGGTCGCACAATGGCTTCGGCAACACGTAACACTTCTGTGAAACAACTTCGATACACTTGTCATTTGTAAGACTGTTGGGGCTTGTAGATCGCCGATGTTGATAATATCGTGCAAGAGAAAGAAGTAAGTGCCTGTTCTGTTGCTCTTTTGCCTTTCCCATGCGAATTTCCAGCATCGATAGCAGGAGCGCAATCTTGATGAAATCGCGCTTCATGTATCATCTTTAGACTGTTGATCACGCAGTATTTTCTCAAAGATGCAGTTGCTCAGATCAACTCTCAGTCCCACTACTCGGTGCTATACCTGTGTGATCGGCGATGTATTCATCTGTTCCAACGATTTCGGTACGCTGGGCACCCGTACTAAGCTGGTACGAAACATCAGTCACCACAAAGCTTCCCTTTCGATATACTGATCTATCATCTCAATCGAAGTAACATAGAGAATTGGGCCTATATAATGTCAAGATCGCCATAAATTGTGCTGATCTGCGACTGCTCAAAATCCAACATACCCAAACACAAAACGTCATCGCATCCACCATGAGACTCAAAGGCGCACTCTACATTCTTACAAACTTCGCAGCTGCGTCCTTGGCAGATGATGTATTCAACTGCACCAGTCTTGGTCCAAAATGCGAGATCGTCCAAAACGGTACCTCGGGCATCTTCGCATGCAATTGCATCGCAGACAGTGACCAGCCGTAAGTCACCATCTCCCCACCACACCATCATCCTCTCAACTAACCCCTGCTTTCAGACATCTTGCAGACTTCTACACCAACAACTTCTACAAAGGCTTTCTGTGGCGAGGATATGGTGCCTACGGCTCCTGCAACAATTTGCCCCTGGCGTGGCAGTCAAATACGAATTCTATAATCTCGGCGAACGATCCGCCGGCCGTGTGTTGCGTATACACGGATCTGGATTGCAATACTGATGGACATGCTTGGTTGCAACTTAATGGGGATGGGACGGTGCAGGATGTTATCTTCCCTTATGATGGGACTCAGTCGTATCAGTGTTCGTTGTTGGTCGATGAATACTCGTTGTGTACGGATGATGCCTGAATTGGCGATGGGCACCGAGCATGGGACAGAAGAGTATTTGTTGGAGCTGGTACTAGTCTTGATAAATGTATTAAGCAATGTTCTGTTGATCAGGAAGATTTGAGTCTCCAAGTAGAAGAGAGAGTCAGGCAAAGATAGTTGGTGTTAAAGTGCATTTTCAACCTGATCTTGGTTAACCCGTCTTTAAACGTACATCACTGTCCGTCTTGTGTGCGATATGTATCATGTTGTGCGAAAGAGCCTCCCATCACGTCTTCCGATAGGGCTTTCGAGATTGCACACAGGCTCCGCAGTGTATCGAAGCGACGTCTTGGCTCGCTAAAGTAAAAGGGGTGGCTTTCCACTTTTATTTCTGAAATGAGGGAGCGTTGGCGTAGAAACAACGCGATTTATCAGGCGTTGGAGAGATAGGCCTTCATCTTACACTGCCAAATGAGAACGTTCCTAAAGTGACAAGATTGGTAAGACGTGTTGTCATTACTCATAGCTACCTAAGTACAGTACCTCGACAATTTCAACTTCAATTAAACGCCTACGCTAAATTTTCTCAATCTATCAAAACCTCAATCTACTTAACCTTCAACTCCGTCTTTACAAAACACTTCTAAGGTTTACTCAACTGTTCCTTCCGAAAGAACTTAAAGAACCCCACGCAAACCACCATCTGACACCCCAATCCCATCCAAAACCACCCACTTCCCAAACACGCACTCACACTCTCCCTCCCAAAATCGGGAAACACACTTCCTACCCCACCTCTCTGAGGTCCAACCGCATGCGCCAACGCAGTAACACTCACTCCCAATACCTGAGCTCCGATCAAGGTCGCAGAAATATGCACCCTCGTCAACGTCTGCAGAAGAATCATCCCAAACCCCACACCCTGCAACGCATCTAGAACACCCAACCAAAGCCACAACGCCCTTCCCAATAACGCACTCGCTAGTGGCGATCCAGCCCAAGGAAGATAGAGACCGATGCTCGTGCAACTCCACAGAATCTGCGCCCATCGAGGAGCACCTAGCCCAATCGCAAAGATGGGTAGGATCCAAGTGTGAGTCTTTGCTGCAAGACCGAAGAAGTATAGGAAAGAGGCCCAAACCAGGATGAAGAAGAAGAGGGCGAGGAGCGCAATGGCGTATGATGGGACGTGTTTGCTGGACCAGAGGTAGCTCCAGTTCCTACCGGTCAGAGAAGAGAGGAAGAAATTCTGGATGATGACTGTAATGAAGAACCAGAGGACGATCTTGCGGCGGAAGAGGGAGGGGAAGAGTGAGGGGATCTTTCCAGGGGACTGGTGGTAGTAAGATGGAAGGCCATAGAGGAGGAGGAAAGCGATGCTGGAGAGGACGACGGAGAGCGGAATCAGGATATATGCCATGGTCTTGCTGAGGGGGTCCGTGCTGTAGGATGCGGAGTTGAGGTGCGCACCCCAGAACCAGAGAGCGCAGATATAAATCTGCTGCGTGCCTTGGATGATGCAGGCTCGGTTGACCCAAGACTTGACAGGGGATCCGCCCTCATCGCCGAAATTGAGGGCAAAGTATAGGGATCCGCTTGCTGAGGCAACGGTGTAGAACCCTGTTGCTGCGTTCTGAACCCGAGCAATCGAAAACATGGCGTTGCTTGGATAGAAAGGAACACACCCCAAAAGCAAGAACGCTATACTGTACAAAAGGAATGGCAGCGATAGGACATACACAGATTTCAGGCTTCTGTAGCATATCCACCAAGAGAGTGATGCTATCAAGTAGATACCAGCGATGATGTAGAACTCTTCGGCATTTTGGCCTTGAGATCTGGTCAGAAGTGTAATTTGATACGAGTTCGCGGCCATGATTTGACCCAGAGCCAAGAAAAAAGTGTAAATAGGCCAGTCTCCAATCTTGTACTGAAGATACTTCTTGACGCCTCTAGGTGGCCTATAGGATTCGCTGAGCTTAAACTCGTCCAAGGGATCCGAAATGAGAGGATTGCTAGCACCAAGCTGAGGTGTTGACGGTTTGGAAGTATTGAAGATCGAAGGAGCAGGAGAACTTCGGGGTGTCTTTCCAAGTTTCGCGTCTCGGAACCTTCCAAACCAGGCTTTCTCGCTCTTCACTAAGTAGTCCTCGATGCATAATGCACTCTCGGAATTTGATGCTTCAAGCTTGCGCAATTTGACTTTGAAATCATTGAAGTATTCCTCTGTGCTGTCGGTAAATGAGGGGTCGACCTTCTGAAGAGAGAAGTCCTGCTTGGTGCCAATCACAGTTTCCAGGCTCAAAGTGCTTAGATTTTCATTCTGATAGAAATTATGGTTCGGGGGTAAGAAATCGTCGTCGTCTTCCATAGGTGGCGTTCCTGGCATTGAATCGCCATCATTGGTTAGGACATCGTAATTACTGCTCGATGGAGTCATAAGGCCAGGAGTGGGAGTGAGGTACGACTGGGAAGAAGTTTGACGACGATGTCCGGCCGCGTTCCAAACACCCGCAGCGGCCATAGATCTCGTTAACTCTGGCATGTTCGGCGGCGTGCTCATTGAGGACACCATGGCGCCGTCATCCTCGGCATTGATTACCACGTTCCCAAGCGGTGATCGAGTCCGACTTATTGCCTTCCTGTTCAGAGTAGCAGACGAACCAGATCTTGACCTCGATGTGAGGTCTCTCCCATTACTCGATGCATCTCTAATAAAAGGTTGTTGGACTTCTGATCTGCGGCCACGATGATGTGTTGGCGCAGGGCTAGACACCCTGCCATTAGGACTGCAACTTCGAGAGCACGGAGCACTGGTGATTCTGCGGGAGTATGGAGATCCCGTTCTACCTCTGTTACCTGGTCTATCGCATTTGGGACACGCAGTCTCTTTCCGATGGATCCTAATTGCCGTATTCTGGAGTTCTTCAAGATCTGCGACCCACTGAGCGACAGGAAATCTCTGCTTGGCACTTCGAGCTCGCATCTTCTTTCTTGTCTCTATATCCGAGGCGAGAGCACCTTTGATAGCTTTCTTGAACTGACTGAGCATGTGCGACGTCGTTGTTGACTCGACGGTAAACCACCAACCGGGCTTCACGAAGTCAGCAAGCGTTAGATCTAGGACATGAAGTACACTTACCATTTGACCAAGACCTCCGACACGAGCACCAATTCCCAAAGCTCCTTTTCTTCCAAACTCAACAGCTACGAGTCCGAAGGGCTCATCTCTTGATGGGATGAGTGCGAATTCAGCACCAGAGAAGATATACGGTGGAAGAGCAGTGAACTCAGGCTTCGAGTATACTCTCCCAGGGTACTTCTTCATCAAGACATCCAATTTGAGCGCTGCAAACTTACCATAAAGATCGATCACAGGACCAATACAGATAAGTTGGATCTTCTCATTCTCCTCAAGAAGCCCTGGCATCACATCAGCGATGAGATCTACGCCTTTCTGCATCGACCATCTTCCGACGAAAACAAGAAGTTCGGCTAGAGGATCGACTGTCAGACCAGCCCATTGTTGGGCTTGGACTCGGAGATCCGCGCGGTTTTTCTCGAATTCTTCATCGATCTCAACATCTCCTTCGATTTGGGCTGGTGTCCATTCTGCCAGATCAGAGGGGTCGGGATTTGGGAGTTGGCCGATTTTGTTGAGGCCCCAGAAAATCTAAGCGCGGGGTCAGCTTTGTAAGACGACTCGCCTGAAGGGAAGCAGGATAACTTACAGGATATCTAGCCCACGATCTCTTTCCGTACTTCTTACTAACTCCAACAGCGCCAAATCCTTTTTGGTGGATCCGAAGGTAAGATGCACCAGCATGCAACAAATTGAACACATCCCCGAATTGGACATATTTCTGGGCCACTTCAGTCGGGATGTTATATACCTCGCAAACTTCCTTTGCTTCCTCGTCATTTTTCATCGCCCAAAGTCCTTGGAATTCAGCGTTATGGAGCGACAAAACACATGGAATGGTTTCTGGGAGAAGATGGACCGGCGCCAGAGCTCCGTGGTAGTCGTTGATATGATACAAATCCGGATTAAAACGTCTGATGGTCTCTGCAATACACTGGTTCCAAGCAGAATAGTAGATAGCAGAGTCAATGTCGTCCATTCTCGCAGGGTATGGATCCGTCTTTGTCTGTGCACGAAAGATGGGTGCGTCAAGCAAAACATATGTGATGTTTCGGAAAACATGGAGCTGGACTTGAATTTGGTATGATTTGCCCATTATCGTAATATCCATCGGCGTCGTTGGTTCGTCTATGGGATAATCGACACCTCCAACACAAGGCACGACCCAGATGAGGTCTTGATGCTCGAGATTCTTGCCCATGAGCTGAGCCATGACGCCGAGACCACCAATTTTGATCTTGATGGCCCAGTCTTCAATGTCGTATTCCATAGTTGCAATCAGGACTGTTCGTCTCATGTGTTGTGGGGGAATGGGACCGGCAGAACTTGAAGGGCCATTGTAGCGAAGAAGAGACGCTGAAGAGCCGAAAGGACTTTCCTTGTATCCTAGGTTGTTCTTGCGTTTGAAAGCCCTCGACAACATGGGAATCGGCGAGTATTTTTGCATTGGAATGCCAATCTTGTTGAACTTGACTTGATAGAACCTGTGCAATGTTAGCAAATTTGACGAAGAGGGGAGAACAAGACTCACGATTGCAAATATGCCCATACAGCAAGAGATCCAGTCAGAACAGGAATGACCCACATCAAGATGAACATTATCAACTGATGCCATCGGTTTCCGGTAGGTTTGAATTCATACTCCAGAGTCCCATCATTGAGTTCTAGATGCCAATTCAGAAATGGTGACGGTGGCGTGGCATTCAGCCCAAGCGTAGCAGGAATGAGTGACGATGGTGGAAGCCTGTCCAGGACACCATCTTTGTCAAGGTCCCCATAGACACCGGTCTGATCTTGCTGTCCATCAGGATTGATGCCCCATTCATTGACTTGAAGTGTAGCTGGCCACTCGGCCAGCATGTTGTAAGCCCAAGTCCCGTTTGTACTTAACTTCATGCTATTGTCCATTCCACTATCCAGGCCATAGCGGTTGAAGTCGCCATGAAGAAACAGGTGTGGGAATCTTCTAGATGGGGTGTTTGCATCAAGGTCGCCATGTTGGACGTGATCGCTGCTTCCCAAAATGCTGCTGTGATACTGAACAATAACATGTTCGCCTTTCCAATCCTGGGCCTTGGTTCCAGACCACTGTCTAGGAGCAAGGGTACTGTTTCCACCAGTGTAAGTCTGCCAAGGACTGTATGAAGATCCCCAGTTGAGAGAGTAGCGGAACTGATCTGCTCCAGCAGCTTTGTGAGAAATGAGTAGATCGCCATTCTCGTCTCGGTGCAGGAGATCTTGAGTGTAGTTCGCACTCCCAGGGAAGACAACTGGGTTGTCACTTCGGCCTACACGAAGAAATAGTTTATCGGTAGACTGTTTCTAGTTAGTTTCGTGATCGTAGTATTTCACTCGAAAGGGAAGCATACCTGGGTCGAAGCTAGCCCGTCTTCTGTCGGGACATCCTTAATTGTGATCACATGAATACCTTCAGAGACATTGATCAAAGAAGCGTTGAATGTCCAAACAGATGGCAGACTTCCAAACCACGGAGCGACGGGCTCAGGATCGATGCTGAAACATGTGACTGAGTTCGGATCCAATACTGCTGTAGTGCCGTCTTCAGTAGTAGATATGATTGAGATAGAGGTGAAGACTTCAGTGCAGTCCATTGCCGCTGAAAAGTGAAGCTCGATCGGGATCGTATTGTTCTGAGGATCTGTAATCTCCAAGCGGGAGTCATGGCCAGGGAGAAACTAATAATGTTAAAAAAATGCATCATGGTACACATTATTCGACTAACCTTAGTAATCATAGGCCCAGGACCAATGAAAGTGTCGATCGGTACGTAAGCCCTGTACTCGAATGGTGACAACGTCAGGTTACTCAGGCACCCATTGAACCCCAACGAACCATTGATACCAAGTTGGACAGGACTTGCTTCAAGGACTATCTCATCGTAAGGATAGAAGAGGTTCTTGACGGTGGTATTTGCATCGAAAGGGGAAACGAGGGCAAGACTGGCATTCGAACAATCGAATGAGTAATCGACAACCTGATTGTCATTTTGATAGACAAGCCAGACTGATTGATTCCCTTGCCCGGACGCTGAAAGATCTTGTACTTCTTCAAAGTTGCCTCTCATAGCAGACCACATGCCAATTTCCGTCGCAGTACCATCCGACGCAGGGAGAAATGTGCTTCGAGTTTGCTTCGATAACTCTTGTAGACGCCAGCCGTCATTAAGAACAGGGTAGTTCTTTCGCATCTGGTACATGCTTTTAATGATATTACGAATAGGATGTGTAGGATCACGATGATCCAGGGTATTCCAATCATCGTAGCATCCGTCTAGAGCAGGCGCGCCATCTTCAAGGAAGTTGTGGTATTGTGAGCTACCGACTCGGTAACAACCATGCATCTTCCATGCTTGTGAAGAACTCATCGATTGTCGACCAAAGATGTAGTCATCGGATGTGCTATCGAGGACGTAGAATGCCTGCTCTTCGCCCCAAAGAAGTAATGGTATGCCTGGCATGTGAAGTGTTGTGAGGAACTGGCCAAGAAGCATCTTTGCTGTTCCATTCGCGACGGCCGGCCACCTGAAGTTATCCTGATTGGTGGTTCCAAACATATGGCGAGGGTCGAAAACACCAGTGTTGGGATTGACCAAGTCATTGGTGAGAAGCAAGTCATTCCAAGCATCGACGAGCCCAACGGGAGTATCGTAAGGTCCTTCAATAAGACCATCCATGCCAAGCAGTCTCGTCAGCGATCGGTATATTGAGTAGTGGAAGGCTGCAGAATCGAGGCCATTCTGATCGTTGCCCCGGATGAACAAGGAACTGTTAGACATATTCGTCAACGTTACAGCTTCAAGTTGGCTTGAGACCTGCATGTCTGGCTGTCGACCTCTTCCAAGAAAGATGCTACCGAAGGTATTTCCCCCAGATATCTCGCCCGTGATGAAGAAGTTTTCTTTTCCTACTGCCCTAGCACATTCTCGCATGGCATGACTGAACTCGCCAAGTGCATCCACAGTGACCTGTGTTGCTTTGTCGATGCGATATCCATCGATATCGAGCATCATGATAGTGAGGCAAGAGAAAATTTCAATTTTCTCGCGCACTGAGGGGATCCAGTCTCGTAGTCTGTCCTGAACACCTGCTGCCTTCGACAATGAGCGCTTCCATCCATCAAAGTCCCCCAAGCCTTCAAAGTCTCCGTACTGAGTCCAGAATTAGCATCAGAAGGTAATTCAGGGTCACGTTCCAACTCACTTGATCAAATTCCGAATCATAACATCCCGTTAATTGAGATGTAACATCTGTCCCAACAGGGAACCCGTTCTCGAGCCAAAACCTCGGGTATTCGCAAGATGTATTGTAGTTGTTGCCAAATGTGAAGTCTGCGTATTGCCTTGACGAGTCCCGATAGAGTACTTCGTGTTCTTTTGGAGTAAATGGAACTGAAGCGTTAAGATATCCTTCGAAAGCAAGAAGATCTCCCATTGTTGACATCGTATTATCAATCATGACTAGCTCGAGATTAGATCGAGTCTCGAAGAATCTCGGAGATACTCACTGTACATGCCACGATCATGGATCGCGGTGATGGCGTCCCTCCATGCCTGAATACTACCGAAGTGCTGGTCGAGGAGACTGAAATCTAATGGAGAGTATGCATCGGCACCCCAAGGCTGATTGATGAAGGGTGTTCCTGCAATATATATAGCTTCAATACCCATGCCTTGTATGTAGTCGAGACTGTCGACGAGTCCCTGAAGATCACCTCCATGGCGAAGCTGTGTTTGCCTGCAACAGAGATATTAGTATTATTATCCAGGACGAAGATTTTGTTGGTAGTACTCACATCAAATCGTGTTCGAATGCAGTGCCATTGATATCGTCGTTGCTTGGATCGCCATTGACGAACTTGTCGAGGAAGAGTGTATAAAAAGGCACTCGCCAATTGCTCGGACTAGGATAGAAGCTATGATTCTCCCATATCCCGTAGTAGTTTTCGACCTCAACAGCTGTCTGATTCTGGTTGAGGTTATAGTCGATATACTGCTGTTGGAACTGTAACGCTGTCGATGGTAGACACAATAATGATACCAGAAAAAGAGAGACCAAAAGAGTTGGGTTGTTTTGAGAGAGTGCCATCTTGGATGGGCACAGAGAGAGAAGAAGAAGTGCACGGCAGTAGAAACTGACGTTTTCCTGAGCGGACCCTGGCTAGTTTGATGTGTAGTATCATGGACAAAAGATGAGACTGGGAAGGAGAATTATCGCAACGTACACTGGTCACATAAAGACGACGAGCTTGGGAGCTATATCTATACACGTTCGTCAACAAAACAGTATTCTGTTGCTGAGTTCACCGAAAGAGGCTGAGCAGACCAAGACGGCGTCCATCGTGAGTGACGGGAAAGCCGACCCTCGCATGAACGTGATCATGGTAAGCAATCACTTCATCTCAGACACTTTGAAATATTGCGCTGCGGACCCACTGGGCAATGATTGCGGTGATGCCGACCACAGTGTGGAGGGCCGTTGTAGCTTCAGCTACGTTCTAGAGGGTAAAGAAGGGGGAGTCAACAGTTTTGTCACTCATTCTTAGGCATTGACTCTCTGTTGAGAGCCAATGAAAGTATCGACTAGACTATGACTCCACAATTGTGATCAAGCATAGGAAAAAGTTGATGCAAACATAACTGCGCAGACGTTCGATTGATGAAAAGGTGTGGTGAGAAGGAATGAGGATGGGGTAGAATAGACCTCGTCATGAGCCAAGATCCGAAGGCAAAGGTGACAGCAGTCGCTTGTGGCTTGCAGTAGTTCGAGTGACCCAGGCCTGGGAAGAGGATAGAGGTGTGGTGGTTCTCAAACGGCGACTGACATGGCATTCATGACAGCTTGGGGGAGACCGGAGCCAAGATTGTAGAAAACGGCAAGGTAGACTTGCCAATTTTCTATGGCAAATCCACTTTCCAGCTCTTTGCAAAGCTTGAACCTTGAGCTCAAAGCATTCTGATACATCAAGTCAGGCACATATGTCAGACTGCTCGCCCTACCAAAGGTTTGTAGGAGTGTTCATCAGTGGTCGTTCTATGGCGAATGAAATGACAAAGCGGATTTCAAACGCTCACACATCGCTATAGATCCAATAGAATCTCGGCAATCGTAGATAATATGACTATGTCGGCTTTGAAATTTGCCTCCAATGTTAGGCTTTCAACAATCAGATCATGCAGGCCGTAGGGCTGAGGCTGAGCAGCTGTCATTTTTGCCAAGCGGACTCATTCCGCATGGCAATAGTGACATCCCGACTTTCTGCAGTTCCTGCTTCCAAGCAGCAGATGGACGGGCCGCCACCCAGAGCACTTTCAGACCCAATAGGAGGATAGCGGGACCCGAAGCCGAGAGAAGGGTGCTGTGTAAGCAAGCTGGAAGATCCAACAATGGTCTAGACAGATAGAAGATTTTTCTCGGAGACAAAGGTCGCTGGGCCTTTAGGAAGATTAATGTGAAAATCAGGCGAGTTCTGCAGCGGATAAATCGTAGACGCTCAGTCGGTGCATAATGTATCCCCCTTTCGATGGATTCTATGCACAGCGACAACCTGAACAATTGGATCCGGCGAGTGACGGCGATATGTACAAAGATACTTGATCGATGGAACGTTCACATGCCAAGGAGCAAATTGGCAGGCGCCCAGCGAATGCGGCATGAGCTTTGAGCTGCAGATGCGTGAGTCTTGTGGCGGCAAGGATTCTTCGGGCTTTGGTACACAGCGGTGAGCTCGACAGCAGATACCGCACCGTGAGTCAAGACATGAGATGACATGCAGCCGAAAAGCTGTCCCAGCCACAGGTAATAGCCGATTGAAGTGACGGCGATGTTGAAATTGAGTTTTCAGCTCCGAGCTCCGCTCTCCGCTCTCGTGAGAAAATAACCTTAAAACCTATTAGTAAGCAAAATCCGAACTTCGTGGCTATTCCTTAATCCACATTGCGATAGTGGTGTTCTTTGTGATTCTGAGTATTAAGTCTTTCGAAATTATAAAGCTTTGCACACAGGCTTATCAAGCTGAGGGAACCAAGCTCAGCCCGATTGCCAACTCTTCTAGAGCTGGTTTCATAAGGATATCACGTGCAGACTCGTACTTTGTAAAGTCCTGTGCTCTGGTAAGTTGAGCACTCTCCTGAGGGCAAAGTAGGTTCTTTTCCATGGATCGAACAGCTCAATGTAGTATGAGTTTCCTTGTGTCTATCTGAACTTGAAGGGAAAAGGGGCAAATGGGCTCGCTTACCAAGCTTGATATTCGGGAATGGTCTCTATGGAACGACGTAACTGGATCCTGGAGTCTTGATGGCTCCAATCCGTCTAAACCACCTCCAACCATCTGCTTTCTACTCCACTGGCCTTGCAACCCTTTCTGACTCATCATATTGCTTGTCATACTCGCTCTTGAGACGTAAACATGGCCGGTCGAAAGCGCAAAGCCGTTGCAGATGCATCCGAAACTCCCGCGACACGTCGTCATTCAGGACGCGTCGCGAAAGCACGTGTCACCTATCAAGAATCTCATTCTGATGTCGAAGACGACCAAAGCGATGATGACTTTAAGGCACAAGAGTCAGAAGCCGAGAAACCTCAGAGTGATGATGAATTCGATGAAGCTGCTGATGACGCGGAATCCGATGCCCCTGAAGCAGATGATGATGGCTCAGACGACGAGTACGAGAAGAAGTTGAAAAAGGAGGGATGGAAGAAGAAGAAAGGTAAGGATGGGAAATGGGAGATGGTCATGGATGTGCCGAAAGCGAAGGATGCGGGCAATATGCCTTATGAGGACAAAAAGATACATCCCAACACGATGGATTTCTTGAAGGATCTGAAGAAGAATAACCGGAGAGAGTGGCTCAAATTCCACGATGCGGTATTCAGGTATGCGGTCAAAAACCATTATCAGAGTACGGCTTATTGAATTTTTTCCAGACAAGCCGAGAAGGACTTCCACACATTTGTGGAAGAGCTCTCACCCATAGTTTCAGAGAAGGATCCTACGATTCCAGAGTTGCCCATCAAGGATGTCATCTACAGGATCTATCGAGACGTTCGCTTCTCCTCCGACCCAACTCCTTACAAACCCTACTTTAGTGTCACTTGGTCGCGCACTGGAAGGAAAGGCCCTTATGCACATTACTATCTTCATGTGCAACCCAATGGCGAAAGCTTCTTTGGTACGTCCTTGTTTCGGATACACTGCGTACGAATGCTAATTGAAACTAGGGGGTGGATACTATGCCTCAGATAACTTGACTCTCGCTTGTCTCAGAGAAGATATTGATCAGCAACCTCATCAATTCAAATCCATCTTGATGGGTGAAAAGCTTCGCAAGACATTTTTCCCAGGTGCGGGGAAGGATGAGAAGAAAGTTATCGCTGCATTCTGTAAGATGAGTGGCGGCAATGCATTGAAGACTAAGCCCAAGGTAAGATCCCTCAGTAGAGAACACTTGCGCAAGTTACAAACTCGTATTGACATCTGTAGGGCTATGATGCGGATCATAAAGACGTCAATCTGCTGAAGCTCCGAAACTTCGTTATGAGCAGGAAGATTTCGGATGAGGAAATGCTAAGCAAAAACGTACTTGAGGTTGTGGCTGATATCGTCGAAGCTATCGAACCATTCGTAAGACTGAACTTCCAAAATTTAAACTTGCCTGCTGTACTGATACCTTCCAGATCACCTACCTCAACAATGTGGTCATGCCGGATAGGTAAACATGGTCACGTGGTAGTGATATTTCTCTTCTGGACAAGAGAAGTTACAGATGTTTCTTGTAATTAGATATTGGTGACTTTTTGCCCTCGCATTTGTGTATTTTTGGGATTAAGGTCTTGCACTGGTCTTGTGTAATGGTTGAAGCAATGGGATGCCAGGTGAATTTAGCCTGACACTAAATCTCAGTTCATCCCACCACATCGGAGACTTCGTTACATATATTGCGGGTAGATCAATCATAATGATATGTTACAGCCGAGTGAATGATTGGGGTAGTACCCCTGACCTTCGCTCCTATGTTCCTGATTACATCATTGCCCTTCACTTTATTAATGGCAATGCGGGGCACATACTCTACTCCCATGCCGAAAAGACGGCAGATACTTGCAGCTGTTAGAAGTCTGGGAGCTGCACATATATACTGCTTTCCTGTCACATATCAATAAATGTTGGGCAAGTGCCTCAAAGAATGATTCAACTTATCAACTCCTTGATCTCTTTCCAAGTCCTTCCACGATGGTGCATATAAACTTCGGCTGTTCAATAGCAGTCTTCACGCTCGTCTCAACAGCCACAGCAGACTGTACCCGAGCCTCCCTCCTTGCAGCTTCCGAGAACTATCTCACGGCTCAAGGCACCGGAGATCTCCAGCCTCTCTTTGCATCAGACTTTACATATCTAGAGAACAATAAAACGAAGGACTTTAATTCTAGCGTTCTGTCCTCTCCTTTGAATATAACACACAACCACACCCTCCTCGACACAATCGCCTGCGCAACATACACCGAACTAGTCATCACCGACCCAAAGAAACAATATCTGATCGGGACACAAATACACTATATCAATACCTCCGGCACAAGCCTACAGATATCCATGATCGACGCCATAGTCTCCACAACAGGCGACTGGCAATTCAACGCAACAAAGTCCCTCTCCTACATCGAATCCGAAGATTGGTCACCACTCCCCACATCCTCACAATCCACACGTACCTATCTCCTCTCCACAGCCGACGCATATCTCGATCTCTGGGGCGCCAACAACGCTTCCGCACACGTGCCATGGGGCACGCCATGTGATCGCATGGAAGGCAGTGCTTATACGGGGAAAGGGACGCCGACGGATAGCTGTAATGTGGGGATCCCGACTACGATCCAGTTGCCAAATGTGGCGAGGCGGTATGTGGTTGATGAGGGTATGGGGTGTGTGAGTGTGTTGTGTGTGTTTCAGTGTATGAGGAATGCGCCGGATAGTCATGAGTTCCGGGTTGTGGATGGGAGGTTGAGGTATGTGCATACGATGACGGTCATGCGGTCTAATGCTTGAGTGTGGGAGGGTGGCTAGGTGCTATGTCAGCTAGGAAGGAGGTCTCGTCTGTTTTCCTTCAGTTGGATATTGAAGAATGTTTTTGCTCTTGTCAATCTCCCATGAGTTCTAGACAACTGTAGTAATGTTCCTTATGTCTCAACTTTACAATGTTGGTCACAAGGTCGGATAATAGAGCTCTTATTGGTGTTGTAGATCTGTCAAAAGTTGAGGAATGGTGATGCGTTTCCATTCCTCAGTCTTCGTCAACATGGGGAGGAGGCTTGGCGGAGCCTCATAAAGTCTCGCTATGGCGCATGCCAGGAACTTCTTCTTGCATCATTCTCGTACGATCAAAATGCATATCCTCAATGTAGTCTTCATTGCGGCTTTGCTAGCAGTGTCAATTGACGCAGAAACTCCAGGCGTCTGTGCAAACCTTTGGGTCACGATCTGGGAAACGCCCGGAGCTGAACCCCCTGGAATATGGATTTCATCTTCGTGGGTTTTCTTCCATGTATTCTATTCTTCGAAGCTAATATCTTGACAGAGATACATACTCCATAGTAGTACCATACCAGACAGGTGGTGGTGTACCTCAAGCACCTGGCGGCACCCCTCCCGACAGCGGCACATTGACCCCAGCCATCCCACCACCAGCAAACCCCACGAATCCACCGCCAATGATGTCTTTACCAGTACCAGAAATAACACTCAACCCAACCGTCCCAGCAATAATATACCCAACCCATCCGCCCTCACCACCAGGATTCGGAACATTGTGCAGTGTGAACAGAGTCTGTGGACCAGAACTCTGCTGCAGCCAATACGGCTACTGCGGTTCGACTGCAGACTTCTGTAGCACAGGTTGCCAAGTCGGAGCTGGTTACTGTTGGCCAGAGACCGGACCTCCTCCCACACAAAACGGATATTGCGGCGCTCTTCACAACGGGACAACGTGTGTGGGCTGGCCAACTGGACAATGCTGCAGTCAATATGGCTCTTGCGGCAACACTACTGACTACTGTGGAGGTGGCTGTCAGTCTGAGTTTGGTATCTGTGATATCGTTTCTTCGTCTCCGGCGCCAGGACCGAATGTCACTCCATCGCCGCCACCTCCTGCTACGCCATTATTGACGTTGGCATCAGTTCCAACTTCTTACCCATAGCTTATGGCCAGCAGATTAAAAGTGCTCGGTGTTATAGTGGGGCGTAGTGATAAGGGTTTAAGACGAGCTATGGACTAATGTATCACGTTCCGTTCGGGACATAGGCAATTGACACAGAGTGCATAGTTCTTGGTATTCTTTTTCGTTGCAGTGATGCAAGTGACTATGATACATACGTCAAACTTACAGATCCAGCAGCTTGATTAATCTTCCACAAGGAGTGGTTTTGACCAGGAAGATGCATTGAAAAGTTTTACCTCTCACACAGCAGACCATGGACTCTACCATGGTAAAATTGCTGGGATGGTACAAGAAATTGAAAAAGTGACATGCAGTGATACGCACCGAGATCTGATCTGATATTGTCTCATCTGCAATTGGGGGCGTCTTGAGAATGCAGCTGGAGTTCTTGGGAAAGATTCGCCGCTGCAAGGGGTATGGCAGCCGAAAGAGAAGCAGAAAGCACAGACATTAAGATGCCATACCTACCATGGAGTAACAGGGACAGCAGAGGCGCTAGAGGTCGGGTAGATGATCTAGAAGGCTGAGTGATTCAGTTTGAACCTTCATCGAGACCCGATATCCTGTCAGAACCTGACCTGTTCAGCTCTGCCTTCAACCACGAAGGGTATCTTGTAGCCTTGACTCTCGGCGGTCGCGATGCAGTCTCTTCTGCAGAAGCGGCTAGAACTGTCAGCAAAGTAATTTCAAATAGAGACAGCAGACACATACTTTTGGACTTTCTAGGTTTTCTTGGCACAACAATCGATCGTTGCAGACTACAACTGTTTCCAGCATTGTTGTACCGACAATTAGTACAGGCGCCCTCGAACTCATTAGGCATGACGATACACTTCTGGAAAGGGTCATTAGGCCCAAGTCTGGCACAGTTCATGCATACTTTCTTGGCTTCTTCGCCACGAGTATATGCCAATGCTGCTTCCAACTTGCTACTGCGGTTGCCGTTTCTAAACACCAATTCCGTGTTGGCACAGAGTTCCAAGTCACGGACTTCCTGCTTTTCCGAACTTCGTCTTGCGACTAGACTGCAATTGCGAGGCAATTTTGCAAGAGATGGGTATGAAAGGGAGGTGACAACTCTGTCAAGAGTCCCTGGGGCAACACGCTCGCGCCCTGATGCGATCGCGAGCTCCACTCTGGTTCTGTGCAAAACAGTCTCGAGATGGGACGCGAACATTCTGACGGATTGACCTGGACCTGGGAAGTGTGGCTCCCCAGGGCAATCCATACAATTGATCTGTGGCAACACCATGAATTTCCGGTGGTCTAGATTTGATTAGCCTCGACACTCTCGGATGTCCTTCGACTTACCAGAGAAAGATTTTCCAGCAGGCAGGGGGGCATCGCATGGAACTTCAGTGATCTTATCGACAATTGTATTTTTCATCTCCACCTGAAACCGGTCATTGGGATGTGAGTTTGCTAGAGCCTGTAACCCAAGAATGAGCCAACGTGGAAATTGGTCAGCAGTTTGAGGATCATGACGTGCAGCTTCTGGAACAGATGCGCCACTTCTCAAAGATTCATTGGTTGCCGGTTCAACTGGTGAGACAAACGCTGGTCGGATACCTAGCTGATTATTAGCAGAGACTGTAGATAAACTTGCTGGAAGCTTGTCCAGGCGTTGTTGTTTGGGTCTTTGGCCATTGGTGGGACTGGCTAGGCTGACGATATTAACTTCAAAGGACGGAGAAGATAGTGGTTGGCCGATTGAGCCCACGAATGGTGAGGCAAAAGAAGGTGATGTTGTTGATCCGGCCAGAATGCTGTGGGAAAAAGGTTCTGGTGAGATAGGTTTGAGATCAAGAGCAAGTCGGAAGTCTTCATCGCCCAAGATAATGCGTAAAGCCGAGCTGGAAATCTCTTGGACCTTCTGTTGCGCGAGTGACCAAGCTTCCATTTTTCCGAAGTCTCTGTCGATCTTCTCGCCGATCTTCTGGATATGGATTGTGTGCGAGATCGCAGATGTGTCGGTGCTGATCTTGATGGAGCCATTCTGCTCGTCTGTTGAGAGAACACTTATGAGGTGTTTTCGATCTCCTACATGTCCACTGAATCGGTGTGTTTCTGCCTCACGGTCGACCAGAAATCTGTCCAGCGCTCTGCAGTGAGAGCAGCCACAACCACGAATCAGCCGAGTCCAATTTGCTTGGACTTCTGTAGGCATAATCGGAACGCAGATTCGGGTGTGGGAGTTTAAGATGGTGCGGTACAATCTCTGAAGGCTGGCGTGTGTCCTTACTGTTTAGTCTTCGATCGTGATTGACAGGGCAGCCAGAAATGGCATGTAGAAGTCAAAAAGAGAAGAACTAGATGCACGTCCGCTAAGACTTGATTCAGCATGATGACCATCCCAGCTCTGTAGAGCAATAATATAGCATAGGTGATATTTCCGAGTCTTTCACTCATTTTTGACGAGCTGTAAGATAGATGACCTTGAAGCTGAACAGAAGGCGAGATATCAAGGTTCGAGGCTGTCAAAGTCAGTATGGATGAGATAGCATCGCGACATTCATCAAGGGCAGAGGTCTCTCTGAAGAAGGCTACCACCAGTGGTACATTCCTAGCATGCCTTAGGATCAGGGGGATCAACCTGGTGTGTGTCAGAATTGAGAGAGGCACGATAGCCTAGGTCTGATAGAGAAACATACATTGGACTTAAGATATCCTTGTGACCCTGCCACAATGTAGCCATCTTCCCTAACAGCGTGCCTTCTTCTGCAGTATGAGAAGCTAATAGCGTAACAGCCGCCTTTAATTGAGCGGAGGCCCAGTCATGATCTCGGATTCGTTGGTATATGAGAAACATCCTCTCGTGCCGCAAATCAAATGTCCTTGAGTCGTGGACACAGGATTCGAGCCTAATGTCAAGAAGTGAGTGATGAGCAATCTTGTAAGCACTAGTGTCTTACCTAGCATAGAACCAGTCCTTACCAAGGCGCGACATCTCGGTCTCTATAAGTCGGAAGTACTTATCCTTAGAGAAGAGAAGGGGTAAAGCAGACTCAAATAAATGGACGTCACGGTACTTGATAATTGCCTTGAGCGCTCCAATGACCGTCTGGTCTTCGAATTTGTTGCTTTGCGACTCCCACGTAGAGCTTGATACGGCGATCGAGCATAAATCTTTGATATCCAGCCTTGCATCTTCATCCATGTATTGAGCGTCGTGAAGGACATACGCTTGAAGAAGTTTGGTAATATCATCTTGTCGTTCAACTGCGCATGCTCCTAATAGCAAGGACATCCGCGATGATCGTGGTACAATGACCACAGCCTAATATGGTTATCATTGATTGGACAATCGGGAAAATCCAATAACTGACCTGACGCCGGAGCCAATGTATCAGCTGGCCATTATACTTGTCGTATGCTTCATTCTTCCGCTGACGGCTTTCCCAACAAGAATTGTTTACAAGAACTTGTCTTTCCTCGATCAACAGCTCCAGATCACTGGAAAATTCTCTTCCGTCGAGGTCCGCGACATGTTGTAGTTTGCATGAAGTTTCGTCCACTGCATCCATCAGGTGGTAACCTCCGATGGTAGTTTCTGAGTTGGTTGATCCACTTAGCTTCCTCTCAATAGTTGCCAGGAAGAGGCAGAAACCGGTAGCCTGGCAAGCATCCTCGAGTTGAGAGACGACATATTGGTCTCGACCTACGAGTTTTTGCCGGGCTAAGATTAGTTCATCGTAGGTGGAGTCAAGGCTATATGCCAGGAATTTGCGCTTGCGCTCCACTAAGTGACGTTCCCAGCTTGTCAAGACAAAATAAAGACGGGAAACTCCTCCGCATACTGGAGCGGCAGGGTAATTCTGAACGCTGCTTCTTTGTTCAAAGCCGAAGGTGTACCTCAGAAGGAGCCTGTAACCTGAGGTCAACTTGATATCTGTAGGCTTTGCATCAAAATAAGTAGCGAAACAGCTGCAATCGTACTTGGCCACCTCACTTGTTAAGAAGTTTTCTTTTTGCCATAGCTGACAACAAACTCTCCTCCAGCATGTTTGGACGGCAATACGACATCAAGAAACCCAAACGCTGTCGACCGGGGAGTAGGACGATGAAGTTGGCTTAGATCACTCCCGGCTGCTTGTAAAATAAGAGAAGACGGTGTGAGTATAGGGATCGTATCCCGAATACCAAGTTGGGTATACATAGTAGTAGCGATAGCTGCCAATATCTTCGTCCAAGATGGATTGCCAGTCTTCCATTCGGTGGCTGCAAGCTGCCATATTGGCGGGGGGGATAGGTTACGTGGGAGGAGTTCGGGCTCCGGATTTCGAAGGTCAATCCCAGTACAAGCAGTCTTGATCCTTTGGACTTCAGTCGGGCCTAGTGGAAAGCGAACGTCGCCATATCCATCTAAATAGAGACCTGGGTTGGGCGGATCTCTCCAAGGTCGACCATAGGCAAAGGATCCGGAGGTTCCCACCCGATTGAGGCATTTCTCCAGCGCTTTCTTTATCACGTCGATCTCAATGAGGTTCCCTTCCTCGACCTTGTGCTCACTGGTATCTTCCATTCCTTCTTCGCTGGCATTCTTGTACGTGCCAAGTGCCGTCTGCGGGTTGTCGACCGATGGAGCTGGTCTACTATTCCTCGCGTTCTCACTATCAGATCTGGAATCTTCAATGACGAATACTTCGGGGTTCGACATCTTGGAGACACTGCCTCGGTTGTTAGCAATTTTGAGAAGATGCCATTAGTCTGCCCAGTGGAATGCTTCAGGTCCCACTGGTATAAAGCTGAGTCCGGAGCTTGCGCCTCTGAAGCTGAGAACTTGGTGTCACGACAAGGCGCGCCACCAGCGCGGATCAGAGTTGTGCAATCAATGTAAAAACAATGAAAACAAAAGGACTTACATAGCAGTAACGTAGAAGAAGGTCCCATTTTCGATGTGATATCGGGAAGACAAGATCACGGAGACGCGTCGAATACGCGGTTGGGATTATGCCGAAGCAGTGCGAATCGCCATTAGCGCCAAGTCACGGGATCTCCAAGCAGCTCTTAATATCTCCATCCAAATAGTACCTACCTATGTATCTCAAAGTTTTCATATAATTAATATTTACACTAGCACTTCAGTAAAATTACCGTTTTTGAGAATTTGTTGGTAGAGTAATTAAGCAAGTCAAAGACTAACGATTTCGGGCTAGAGTTGCAACCATATCTAGGCCCATGCGGCACGGCTCGAGCTCGTGGGGGTACAATAAACCCATCTGTCTGTAAACCTAGGGTGTGAGGGTCAATCGGATTATCCAGAAGTAACTATCGATAATCTGGTTGGGCGCCACATGAGTGGCAAAGTTACAGAGGGCTGTAGGAACCAATCCGGTGGAACATCTTATATCACATGCAAGGATTAAACATTATCAACAAGACACGCGTTCAGCGTGCAGCGGGATGTTACATTTTGCGGGGTTTCTTAGAGCTCTAGACGAGTACCGCTTTTACACTAGTTGTGGTAAGCCTCACTATTATGCATAAAGCCGGATTGAGGTAATCACCAAGCGGCACGGCTCCATTTGTAAGAATAAATGAAGCCATGGCTTTCAGATAGTCAATGAGATCACTCAAAGATAAGGTATCCAATGCTTAAACAGCCACAATTTCTTCAGCGCCGCAACATTCTAACAAGACCATAGGATAGGCAGCCTTGGTCGAGACACAGACTTGCCGACTTGATATGCTAAGCCACAATAGCCAGCAGAGCTGTTGAAGACAATGTCCCTTCTATGGTCTTTTTTCCAGAACGGTTGCGAGCCATTCTGCTTGCATTTTCATCAAAGATGGGAAGTCTTCCCCACTAAGAACGTTCAAATGGCCTTTTCCTTGCGCAATGTGTAGCTTTTTGGGCTCCGAGAAAGTCTCAAAGAGAGCGAGTTGGTCTTCGGGAGGCGAGACCTTGTCAAGTTCCGGTACCACAAACATCACCGGAGTCGGTGATACATACTGCATCAGCCCCGAAGGCTGCCACATCACCATCTTGAAATAGGATTGGATAGTAGTGCGGTTCTCGAACGATGGCACCCACTCCATCGCGCTCGTGATGTGATCGAAGACCTCTTCGTCCATTCCCATCCCAAATCCGGCAGGATTCTCGCCCTTATCGTTCAACATTGGGAGGTAGAATGGGCTGTTTCCTTTTTTCTGAGACGCCCTATCCTGCATGGCTTTTGCAAGGACTTTCAACAACCTTTCCTTGCTATAACCAAAAGACAAGAGTGGACAAACAGCAATGATGAATTTGGCTCTCTTGTCCAGGGCTGCGGCACAGAGACTGACTGCTGCTGAAAATGACATTCCCCAGAAGCCAATGGCCTTTGAGTCCACAATCGTCAACGTGCTCAAGAAGTTGTGCGCGTCCGAGTAGTCCTCGACTTGTTTCATGGGGTCGATCTCATTGCGAGGAATGCCATCACTGGCCCCAGTGCTCCGAGGGTCGAAGATAAGGGCGGTTACACCGAGCAGCTGGAATTGCTCGGCAACTTGAGGGACGAACATCTCCTTCACGCAGTTAAACTAGTTCTGATTAGCCTGATAACAAACAAGTATGTGAGGATATGGACAGTTAGCCATGAGCCCCGAAACTACATTCATGAGCGGTCGCAGTGCTGCGTTCCATGATATTGTGAAAAGAGACTCACTCCAGGCGTGATAACGACAGCGGGTCCTTTCTTGTTGGCTGGATAGAGCCAGCCTCTTAGCGTGAGGCCATCAAGAGTCACAAATTCAATGTCCTCATGGGCTGCCATGTTTCGTTGGAGATATGACAATAGCTGGTATATTGTGCAAGATATGGGCTCGAAAAAGGGAAAATGTTCGGGACTCGTACACCGTCAATGGATATTTATACTGGAGAAATTCATTCATAGCTAAGGGACTTATTGAACGCCCGATAAGCATGAGTCTTTGGAGGGTGCACGGCAAGTCTGTCAGTCACAGACCAATCATAGAGCATTGTCCACAATGGGCTCAATGCATCAGATAGAACAATTGGTCCCTGTCAGTGATCACAGGATTGATGTCCCCAGACAGCTCGCGGCACATGCGTACATACTAGTGGAATGTAAAAGGTGATTTATCGAACCGAGAAGGTACATTTACCTTGTTGGAGCAGCACTATATAACAAGCATTTACTCAGGACTCCTATCACAAATATTCGCACTAGACTTCATTCTACATACACTTCTGAGCTTGATCATCGATGTAGAAAGCACACAACATGTCGAACATTCCAAGAAGCCCGTACTTACAGGAGGCTATCGCCGTTATTGGAATGGCTTGTCGCCTTCCCGGTGATTGCAACTCACCAAATGAATTGTGGGACTTTCTCGATCAAGGCAGAATAGCAAAGAATGAAGCACCCGAGACAAGATTCAACTTGAACAATCATCATGACGGATCAAAAAAACCAAAAACCATGAGATCGCCGGGAGGCATGTTCCTTGAGAATGTTGATCCACAAGACTTCGATGCTCAATTCTTCGGGATCCGACGTGACGATGCCATCGCCATGGACCCTAATCAGCGACAACTCTTGGAAGTCGTGTATGAATGCCTGGAGAATGCAGGTATCAGTCTTAAATCCTTGGATGGAAAAGCGGTCGGTTGCTTCGTAGCGTCTTACGCCGTCGGTATGCTGTAAAAGCTTTCGTAGGTGCTCGAGCTGACGGACTATCAGACTACTCGGATATACATGCAAGGGATCCCGAGGACAGAGTCCCTTCCGTCATAGTTGGTACCGGTCGTGCAATTTTGAGCAACAGAATCAGTCATTTTCTGAATATCAGAGGACCTAGGTACAACTTGCACCAGCTATACTCCCAATAGAATGCTGACCACGAGGCATCTAGTCTGACAGTTGACACGGCATGTTCTGGTAGCCTGGTATCTCTAGACATAGCTTGCCGCTATCTAACCACTGGTGAGATCAACGGAGCTATTGTGGCGGCCAGCAATTTGTATTTGAGTCCTGAGCATAACATGGATGAAGGGACTATGATTGCTGTTGGTTCTCCGTCAGGGCGTTGCCATTCATTCGACGCGAAAGCCGATGGCTACATTAAGTCGGAGGCTATTCAGGCTGTAATGCTGAAGCGACTAAGTGATGCAATTCGGGATGGAGATCCTATCAGAGCCATTATTCGTGGTTCAGCAACAAATAGTGATGGCAGAACCCCAGGAATCGCAAGTCCCAGCGCCGAGGCTCAAGCAGCAGCTATTCGAGCAGCATATTCAAATGCAGGTATATCTGATATTGGTGCCACGGCCTATGTCGAATGTCATGGTACTGGCACACCTGCAGGTGATCCTATCGAAGTTTCGGCTCTCGCATCTGTATTCGCGCATTCGAAGACATCGGAGAATCCCTTGGTAATTGGATCAGTAGGTGCTCCAGAAACAGTGAATGACGCGCAAAGCAGTTCATACTGACTATATATCCAACGGCAGATCAAGAGCAATATAGGCCATTCAGAACCAGCAGCCGGGCTATCAGGTTTGCTGAAGGGTATACTCTGTCTCGAAAAGGGGCTTATTCCTCGCAATCCGACCTTTTTGACCCCAAATCCAAAGAGTAGGTCGGACACTCAACATATCACATTGTTCCATTCACTGCTGATATGTCGTTGCAGTTGACTTCGCGACTTCGAGGATGGTTGTGCCAACAAAAACAATGAAATGGCCTCGACGAGTATTGAAACGCGTCTCGATTAACGCTTTTGGGTATGGTGGCAGCAATGCTCACGTAATAATTGACCACTTCGAAACGTCCTCTGAGAAGCCCTCGAGAATTCATGTCTCGTCCTTCACAGCAGACTTTGACGACCTCTTCAATGACCAAGACGGTACTCGGCCTTTCACATTGGTCTTCTCTGCTAACGATGAGGCCTCACTCCGGTCGTATTGCAAGGCCATATGCAAACACTTGATCAACCCTAATGTCGCAATTAAATTGCCAGACTTATCCTATACACTCTCAGAACGAAGGAGCCGGCTCTTTCACAGAGCCTACGTGGTCGCTGATGAGACCACTCTTGATGAAGGAGCGTTCGTGTTTGGTAAGAAGAACGCGTCCGCTCCTAGGATTGGCTTTGTGTTCTCGGGACAGGGTGCACAGTGGCCTCAAATGGGAAAGGCTCTTATCGAGACGTTCCCCGTTGTAAAAGCTGTAATTTTGCATCTCGATGAGGTGCTGCAAGGACTCATGAACCCTCCTTCATGGTCTCTTCTCCGTGAGCTACAATCACATTCCTGTTCCTCCTCGTCCTCGCTAACAGTTTACAGACGAGCTTGTTGAGCCACGATCTGCAGAGCATATGAGGAAGCCTGAGTTCTCTCAGCCACTGGCCACAGCTCTTCAGTTGGCTCTTGTTGCCTTGCTGAAGGGCTGGGGTGTGTGCCCCATGGCTGTCGTTGGCCACTCTTCGGGTGAAATCGCGGGAGCTTATGCTAGTGGTTTCTTGGAAGTTGAGGACGCTATCAAAATTGCATACCTCCGAGGTCAAGCCTGCGTCACCGATCAAGAGAAGCCCTCTCTTGGTATGCTTGCCGTCGGTCTAGGGCAAGTTCAAGTTCAGGAGTATATCCGCGAGTTTGCAGACTTTGTGCAAATTGGTTGCTTGAACAGCCCCAATAGTGTCACTCTGTCTGGAGCTCGCTTGGCGCTAGAGGACGTGAGAGACTTGCTGGTAGCAGATGGCCACTTTGTAAGAATGCTTCAGGTTGACTTTGCATACCATTCGGCCTTCATGGCCGATGCCGCTGTCACTTATGAGGCAATGCTTCTTCAACACTGCGGAAAGGCACATCCGACAATGAACGATGTTGTCTTCTTCTCCTCGATCACAGGCAAGCAGCTTGATCGACCATGCGATGCTGAGTACTGGAAGACTAATATGACTTCTCCGGTCCGTTTCGACGATGCCGTTCGCGAGATGCTGTTGGGACATGAAAGTGCAGACTTTTTGATTGAGATCGGCCCAAGTGGTGCCCTAGCCGGCCCAATCAAGCAGATTCTTAAAAGCCTAACCAATTCTGGGTCTGATATTACATACCTTTCATCGTTAAGTCGCGGGAAAGATGCCACCAAACCTCTATTCGATCTGGCTGGAAAACTATTTATCATGGGAGGCAACGTTTTTCTCTCAGAGGTCAATAAGGACCAGACAAGTGAGGCTGGCCCGTCGATCATTGTTGACCTGCCCAACTACGCCTGGAACCACGCAACAAAGTATTGGTATGAAAATGATGCAAGCAAGGACTGGCGCTTCCGAAAATTTCCACATCACGATCTGCTTGGCTCCAAGATTCTAGGAACCTCGTGGAATGCACCCTCGTGGAAGAAGACCTTACGTGTGGAGGACTTGCATTGGCTGAAAGATCATCGTATGGGTCAAGATATCGTGTTCCCCGCAGCAGCATTTATTGCCATGGGAGTCGAAGCTCTTTTCCAGACTACTCAAGCTCTCAATTTTGTTGCGCGAACCGAGCTCGAAGAGAAGTATCACTACAGGCTTCGTAACATTACATTTTCCAAAGCGCTGGTTCTTTCAGAAAACAGTAGCGGGCAGAAAATAATGACCACTCTGTCAGTTAGCCAAGATTCATGGCATGAGTTCAGAGTATCCTCTTTAGTAGGCGACATTTGGACTGAACATAACTGTGGGCTCATCTGTCTGGAACAGAATTCAAAGCAAGGTAGACATCAGTGGAAGCAGCGATTTTGCTACAATGCTGACTGCTCATCAGTTGCGCCAGAATCTGCCCTCATGCCCTTCGAACATGCAGTCCCAGGACATACATGGTACAAAGCAATGCACGAGGTTGGATACAACTTTTTACCTCTCTTTCAAAAAGTCCTGGAGATCGAAGTTCTCTCTGGTGAGCGAAAGAGTCGATCCAGAGTTTCTCTATCAGAGCCGGTGGAAGAATACCAGCAGTCTTACTATCCAATGCACCCCGTTTGTATTGACGGCTGTCTCCAAACACTTGTCACATCTTTATGGAAGGGAAACAGAACAAGTGTCAACTATGTCTTGATTCCTTCCATTATTGACAACATCATCATCAGGCCACTTGAAGTTCGTCCTGTGGTAGGCATTTCTGTGACTTCGGCAGCATACGCGGGCGTGGGACGGAAAGACGATACTAAGAACTTTCGTTCGGACGCCTCTGTGTATGATGAAGTTAGCGGGGGGTTATTGTTTGCGGTATCTGGAGTTCGCTACCACAGACTCGATGTCTTGGAGCAGCAGAATGCTGCCCAAACGTATGGCGAACTCGTCTGGCAACCTGATGTGGCATTTCTCACAGAAGAAAGCTTCTCAAAAGTTCTCAATGAAGAAGCAGCTTGTGCCGCGCAAGAGGAAGCCCTCTCGCACCATGTTGAGCGCTTATTGGACATGATTGTGCACAAATCTCCTAACTTAAAGGTCATCGAGTTCAGTTTGTATCCTAACGATGTGGCAAGCACCTGGTTCGATGGGCCATCTACACGAGAATTTAGCCGATTTGAGTTCGCTACATTCGACGCGACAAGTTTGATGACGTTGCAAGAGACATATGGTGTCAAAGCAAACACAAGTTTTAGTCTACTCGATCTGACCAAGCCGATGCTCAACGGCGGGCCAGGCACAGCTTCTCAAGATCTATGCATTGTCAAGATGGTACGTCCCTGTGCTCGAAAATATGCTTGAGTATTTCGTTAAGGCTAATGAATGGCTTCAGCCTCTGATGTCTCAATCCGCCTCAGTGCCCTTATTCCAAAATATTTCAGGTCTGCTTCGTGACGGTGGATATGTACTGTGTATGTGCGGTGACGAATCCTCAAGTATATCCTCTCGTGCTGGATTTTCTGTGTCATTTACTGACAAGTCTGTAGCCTCGAGTTCGGACTTTGAGGGTGCGGTGATTGTCAAAGACAAGGTGAGCTAATCCTACCTTCTTGTAAAGCGATGTGTCCATGGACGAAGTTAAAATAGACAGATCCTTCAATTCGGATGCGATGTCGACATTAGCAACACCCTACAAGCAAACGGCTTCCAGAGCAAAATCAGCATGCAATTCGATGGTAGATCTCTTCACTTGGCACAGGTGCAATCGACCACTGCTGTTAAGGTTGCCGCTGATCGAGAATTACATATAATTCACCTAACACATGTAACAGAGACCCAGTCAATAGTGAGTACAGTACTAATACAGCTCGGATGGCAAATAAGAGAATACTCCGTCAACTTGCTCCCAAAGATAGAGCTAGATCCCAAGAGCAACGTTCTTGTCTTAGACGAATTGTCAGCTTCTGTGCTCACCAATGTTTCTGGTGAACAGTGGGAGGCAATCAAAGGCCTTGTATCCAAAGAGGGTCGCATCCTCTGGGTCACGGCCGGGTCACAGTTTGAGGTCGCCAAACCTGACAGAGCCCTGGTTTACGGCTTGGCAAGAGTAATCCGAGCCGAAGAGCCCATGGTCAGTTTCGTGACTCTGGACGTTGAATCTTCCTCAAGTTCTGAGACAACCTCTGCCATCCATAATGTCCTCAAGTACATGCAGGAACCAGGATCTGGTCTACCGATGGACATGGAATTTGTTGAGAGGCGTGGAATAATGCACGTCAGCAGAGTTCGACCTTATGAGAAAGCAAATCAAGCCGAGATGGATGATAAATATGGAGCGGATTTTCAGACTAAAAACTTCCATGAATCTGACACCTGCATCAGGCTCATATGCGAGAGTATTGGGAGACTTGATTCACTTTGCTATGTGGAAGTATCATGCGAAGAGCTTCCACTCGGAGACAACTTCCTTGAGGTAGAGATATATGCAGCCGGTTTGAATTTCAAGGTAAGACTTCGAAGGAGATATTGATGACTTCCTACTCATATTTTCCCAGGATGTTGCGGTGCCAATGGGCATTGTGCCTGGCAACGATCACCTCCTTGGACTCGAAGGAGCAGGAATTATTAGGCGGATCGGACGGCTGATAGATCATCTGCATGTCAATCAGCGCGTCCTGGTGTACATGAACAATGGAGGTGCTTTCGCAAACAGAGTTCAAGTTGCAGCACAACTCGTCCACCCTTTACCCAATTCGATGTCCTTTGAGGTAGCGAATTTCGCCTCCTGTTTCTCTATCCACTTCTAATCGGTTTCTAGCAAGCAGCTACCATGCCGAGTGTGTATCTCGTATCGATTTATAGTTTGCTGCACCTTGCAAGCATGCAAAAGAATCATGTGAGTTCGTTTCCTTTCCTCGGAAGACTTGAAATTGACGTCAAGCTCAGCGTGTCCTTATACATTCTGCCTCTGGAGGAGTAGGTATAGCTGCCATTCAGCTATGTCAATATCGAGGTGCTCAGGTAGGCGTTCAGACTCCAGTTTTCTGTCCCCATCTCACGCATTGTTCAGGTGTTTGCTACTGTTGGCACGCCAGAAAAACGGCAATTCCTCATCGACACATTTGGCATTCCGCCTGAGCATATCTTCTCGTCGCGATCAACTGTATTCGCAACTGAGCTCATGGCTGCCACCCAAGGCCAAGGAGTTAATATTATTCTGAATTCACTCACCGGTGAACTGCTTGATGAATCATGGCGTTGTGTTGCTGATGGTGGCCATATGATTGAGATCGGGAAAAAAGATATTCTTGCTCGAAATAGTCTTTCATTGGAGCCGTTCAACCGCAATGCGTCTTTCCATGGCGTCGATATGTCACATGAACAGAACTCCGACGAGCTCATTGCTAAGTACGATCTTGAATCTACTAAGAATTCTAGGACTTTCTTGCTGACTGAGGCAGGTTGTTGTCCGAATTGATGCAATTGGTTAAGGATGGGCACGTGAAGCCCATCGCGCCTATGAGTATCTTCCCCTTCGAGGACATTGTCTCTGCTATCCGTTTTCTTCGTGCTGGTACACACCTTGGAAAAGTGGTGATATCGAATGGTGCAGGCAATAGTTTCGAAGTACCGGTAAGTTAAATTGACTTAGCACCACCGCAAGTGATCCTGACTCCAATAGGTCCGCCCCGCAGCTCGATCGCTCTGTCTTGACCCTTCAGCATCATATCTTATAGTCGGGGGTCTCAAAGGCCTCTGCGGCAGCCTCGCAGTGTATCTCGCGAGCCTCGGTGCCAAACATCTTTCCATCATTTGTCGTAGTGGCTACTCTGACCCTCAATCCCAAGCTGTTCTAGCGAACATCGCGTCTAACCGTTGTGATATCGAGCTTTTCATTGGCGATGTTGCTGTTTTGGAAGATGTACAACGAGTATTTGACGACTCCACGGTCCCTATCAAAGGAGTGATCCATGGAGCTATGGTTCTTAGGGTATGTCTCTTTTGACCAACCGATTGTTGACCTCAAACTGATTGAACAACAGGACAGAGTGTATTCTGCAATGACCAGTGCGGATTTCCACACCTCTCTACCATGCAAAGTCCTCGGAACACAGAACCTACACACAGCGTCCCTCACACAGTCCCAACCTCTCGAGTTTTTCACTCTATTGTCGTCCATCTCTGGGGTTATTGGGCAAAAGGGTCAAGCAAACTATGCTGCTGCAAATGTGTTCCTCGATTCCTTCGCGTCTCATCGTCACTCGCTTGGCCTCCCTGCCTGTTCAATCGATCTCGGCGTTATAGAAGACGTAGGATATGTTGCTGCCAACACTTCTTTGCAACAGAAACTTGACGGTGATGTCTGGATCTCCATCACGGAGCGGCGGTTGCAACTCATTGTTCGAGAATCGATTCTGCAACAGGAAACTACCTCAAAGTCCACCCCCAAGAATCAGGTATCACAATTGATAACTGGAATCGCGATGCCTCAATCTGCATCGTCGGCTCTGCTCAAAGATCCACGTTTCTTACCTCTTTGCTTCGGAAATTCTAGCAATTCTGCCAGTACATCCGCTTCCTCGTCACCAGAAGGCAAAGCTCTCCGAGCTTTTCATCTTCTGCTGTCATCTTCGCAAACAGCATTGACTCCAGACTCGAGCTTGTCTGATCCCGCGTTGTCCACAATGCTCGTCTCAATCATCTGCCAACAGTTCACCACCTTCCTGCGCCTCGACTCGCCGATTGAGCCCGCGAAGTCACTTTCTAGCTACGGTCTCGATTCCTTGGCTGTGGTTGAATTCAGGAACTGGACTAGGAGAGAAATTGGAGCGGAGCTCACAACTCTGGAGATTCTGAACGCCACGTCTATATTCTCGCTGTGCGAAAAGATATTGGCTGTCCTGTTGATTACGAAAGAGAGGAAGGATCTGGAATGATAGAGTCTGACGTTTGATACCCGAATTTCTGATTAATGCCTTTTGAAATTCGAAGGACTACTCCCAATGCTCGCTACAGGGAGATTGGCGCAAAGGATGTATGCTACGAAAACATTCAAGCAGAGGATAATACACCTGGTCTAACCATCACATTGTATCTTGGTAATTTACTAGGTTTCCCTTTTTTCCTTTTGTTTTCTTTTTTGTGGAAGCGCTGAGTCGTAGTGGATTCAAATTTGCTGCATTAACTTTTTTCAACAAGCAGTTGCGAAATGAGTGAGTTGACCAGTGTCCGTGGGTTTTTTAACACCGAGCTTTAATTGTCCCAAGACTCGCACAAGTTCTGGGAGTTACATTGACTCAAATCCCGGAGACTCGATTTGAGTATGAGATTCAAGGACAGGCACTAAAATGGGAGTTGATTTGGCTGGTGAAGCGATCCACGTGACTCTCAAATAGTGAGATGTCGCTTTGGGGGCTTCACAGGGCCGAGAAATGATTGAATAATCTAGGATGAGATGGGACTGGGAGCGGATGAGTGTTGCGGGCCTGAGAGTAGTGAATATCGTTCATTTTTTATATTATCTTGGGATTGAATACAGTAAATTTTGAAAGGAAGTACGTGAAACATAGGATGGACATGAGATACTGCAAAATAGGAGCAAATGTTATGTCCTTTCAAAATCTCAAAGGTTGCATCCTCAAACGTAGAACTTGAACGTTCACAAGCTTGATTGTCGAGTTCATCTAGCTCCTCATCTCAACACCTCCATCAGTAACAAGCTGTACCCCTCAATGATCTACGTATCATTCACACAAGTACCAAACTTCACTTCTACTCAACGAGCACCAAACCTCCCATGTATCACAAACTCCCAAGAAATTCACCCAAACAGTGCCAACAACACAAGCAAATCAAATTCTATAAAAACACCCAAAACCACCAAAGCTTGACCTCCACAACCACGACCCGGTCCGCTGAGCACCAGGCAAGCGCGTGCTTTTGTTGAGCAGAAGGAGATGTGCCCATCTCATTCTGCCGTATACCTAGCTAAGAAAGACATCAAGCGATGAGCCAGTTGACCAAGATGCAAAAGAAACTCGCAGCGTGAGAATTTGACCAAGAAAGGGTTCTTGACAACGACAAAACACTTGACAACAAATCTTTCAAACTAGGTTGAGGACCCCATATTTCGAATTCCATCAACAGACTTACAAGATGTGATCAGATAAAGCTCAAACAAACACCAGGGCCTGCTCATCAAGGGACTCTGCTAACGATGTTGGCGATTCTTAATCAAGTCTCACAGTGATGAGGGAGAGAGTGTTTATGTTTATATACTCGCGAGACCTCCCTTCGGTAGACTTATTAATCTATTTCGCCGCTCAGAAGAATAGTGAATTTAGCAAAGGAGAGGTTGGTCTGTCGTAAGGTGAATAGTTTGTAGCTGAGTTGAATTGATGTCTGCTCCGGTGGAGAACTAGAATAGAAATTCTGCTTAGGATAGATAGCGCCAGAGATAGAGGGACAGACATAATTGTCAGTGGTAAAAATTCTCTTATTAGAAAGGTTTCTTAATGAGATGATCATTTATGCACTTGCAAAGTACAGAGGAAGAGAATTTTGGTACCGCGCAAAGAATTGTTGCAAACTAGATCAGGTATTTCCAACATCAATTTCAAAATGCAGGAGTGATCTTTACTCGGAATAGATTTTTGAAGGATCGCAGGATCAGGAAATGTAGAAGGCTTGATTGGGGCTTGAAGGGAATCCAACAAATGTGAACCTCGCCCAGCTCCGGTCTCTCGCGATGACGGCGGCTTTTCAGCTCACACAAAACATGTTTGAGGCAAACCTGCCTTTGTTTCGGTCGAAAAATTCAGATGCAATCATGCCGTGGAAGAGACGATAGACAAAGATACTCGAAGAATAATGTCATTTAAAGGTTGATATCAGAATAAATGGCGGCCGACACAGGACTAAATATCTGCCGGTGCCTCCCAAGCTGAACATTCACTGCAAGCCATCTGAAATCGGGACTCGCATCTGTCCGTTTTAAGGAGCTTCACCTGCATACTGTCTCACGTTGTGTAACCCAATGAAATGCCATGCAAAGGTCAACCGACATCGTGGCGATGCGCACCGCTGTTCGTTTCTTGGTACGACATGACACCCACTGCGACAAAATATCCACTGGTGTTCCATATCTCGTTCAGCACTTCAGCCATTCACCTTCCCTTGCAACCTTACAAAACAGTCTACCCGCAAGCGCGACTCCATAATTATCCGGTGGGGTAAGGATAGGTAGGTGATCGTCGTTGCTGTGTCTTCGATGATTCCTTCATCTTGTCTCAGCTTTCAAGTTCACTCCCAAACCTTTCCTTCTTTTCGCGTCTTCTCCTCACTCTCTGGCGCACATCCACAATGGTCAATCTCATCCTTCTGACGGTCTGCGGTGCGGCTCTTTGGGCCATCGCGACTTTGATTCGCGATCTTCGAATTAATATCGAGAAGGCGAAGAAGACGGGTTTACCATATATGCTCGGACGTAAGTACTCCGTCCTCGAGTCGCAGATGGCAATTCAGCTACTTACGAACAACCAGCATTCATTCCAATCGGATACTTCTTCCTGTTCGTCGCAGAAATCTTGGGCCCAATTGGTCGCGCAATTCCAATCGTCAATCGCTGGGGGTATCTCTAGTACGTCTCACTTCTCTCTTCTCGATGTCGCAACTCGAGTTCAGTCACTGATTATGTAGTCTCATTGATCGCCAAGTCTCCTGGTCGCATCCTCGAGAAGCAGAAAACAAATGGGGCGACACTTTCCTCATCGTAACGCCAGGCATGATCTACCTCAAGACCTCGAACGCCGAACTCATTACCCAATTCACTGCTCGCAAAACCGATTTCTTGAAACCGGACGGATACAAGATCGTGGATCTGTTTGGCAGGAGCATTCTGACACAAGAAGGGCAAGAATGGAAGAGACATCGAAAAATCGTGGGGCCGAGCTTCAGTGAGAAGAGTAACAGGATGGTGTTTGAAGAGAGCTTGAGGCAGACGGAGGGTATGATGGGGTTATGGGCTTCGCAACAGAAAGCGTCGAAAGGAGAGCTGAAGGTTGGGAATACGGCTGTGGACGCTGCAACATTGAGTCTACATGTCATATGCGCCGCTGGATTTGGAGTACCGCAATTATGGCCACAAGAAGGAGAGGAGAAGCTGCTTGGGAATGGCGTACCAGGCTTCAGCGAGCACGAGGCGAAGGGATCACATACTTTGACATTCAAGGATAGCATAAATCAGCTGTTGAAGAAGCTGATGTGGTATGTGCTAATACCACCGAGCTTGCTAAGTATGTTCTTAATCGCTGTCAGAAAGAAAGGACTACTAATTGAAGGCAGAGATATCCCCATTCAAGGTTCACCAAACAGCATATACCGCATATTCAGAATGCATGGCATATTTTCATGAACTGTTGGATATCAAGAAGAAGCAGATGTACCTTGGAGAAAGCGACAAAGGAACGATGGACTTATTAGGTATATATGACTTCTTGAAATCTCGGTCCAATAAACTGATATCTTCCAGGCCCAATGATTAAAGCAAACGAAGAATCCACTACCTCAAGCACGTCCAAGACGCAACAAGCACCAACTCTATCCACAGCAGAAATCTTAGGAAATTGCTTCATCTTCCTATTCGCCGGCCACGAAACAACGGCCAATAATATCCACTATACGGTCCTGGAGCTAGCATTGAATCCGAAGATACAACGACATCTGCAAGAAGATATCGACAATATAATTGGGCCCGAGAAACCTATCTCAGAATGGTCGTATTACGAAGACATGCCAAGATTATACAATTCAATGGTAGGAGCCACGATGTCGGAAGCTCTGCGTATAGTCCCCGCCATCTGCAACGTACCGAAAATTACGACAGGCGATCAAACAGTAACACTCGATGGTCGACAATTTGTTATCCCAAATGAGACATTCGTGCATCTAAACGTAGTTGGTATCAATCTAAATCCAAGATACTGGGGAGAGGACAGTTCGGTATTTCGACCAGAACGATGGCTTCCTAAATCTGACGCGAATGGACACGCCGAAAATGGCGCCGTAAAGGAGAATGGCAATGGTCATATAGAGGAGAAAGTTGAAGCAGATGGCTTGGAAACTACATCCTTCGCAACATCGACATCTACATCTCTCATCACTCCCGTTAAAGGCTCCTTCCTCTCATTCTCCGATGGTCAGCGAGCTTGTCCTGGCCGGAGATTCGCTCAAGTTGAGTCTACAGCTGTTCTCTCGGCTATATTCCAAAAGCACAGCGTCGAGCTCGATGTCTCTGATTTCGCATCAGATGAGGAGGTTGAGCGGATGGGGAAGGAAGAGAGGAGAAGTGTGTATGAGAAGGCGAGAATCAGAGCAGAAGAGATGATTGCAAGGAGTGAGCAGATGATCACGTTGCAATTGAGGGCTGGGGACGAGGTTCCTGTGGTCTTTAGACGGAGGGGTGAAGAGAGGTTCTTGGGGCTGTATGAATGAGATCCTGGGATAGGATCGGGCTGGAGTTAAGAGTTGCATAGCAGATTTGTACAATAGGAGACTACATAGCGTTGACTATACATACGTTTTTCGAATTGTTTGATGTGGCCTAGCATGGTAGATTTAGGTGGAAGAGAAGTGACAATTAGAGAAGTGCTTGTCTTACCCCTTCTTAACAGATTTACGTTGAGTCTCGACTTCATAGCGACAAGTATCAATAGACTTGAGTGTGCCTGGTCGAGGTGGTTTGCTCTAGAAGCGACCCCCAATGAGACCGACATACACGCAAATGAGATGTCTGACAATCAGGTACTTAACGAATTGAATCAACACGTGAAAGTATAGCTGCACCTCAAATGCACACATTCCCTGCTTATCTCTCCCACTCTTTCCATTGGCAGTCCCGGGAATTCCGTCAGCCAAAACCCAGCCAACTCTGCTGTGCTGTGCCTGCATCACACCAAAGCATGTTTGGCGGAAGCATAACACGGCTCTTTGATAGTGTACCTGGCCCTGATTCGATTCTGATCGAGATCCTGATGTCGCAAGTTTTGAGACGTGGTGACACGACATTCGCAAAATCAGGGCTGAGCTGAATGATCTGCACGTCAAGAATATCTGCACCCGATCTGAGATCTGTGTCACCTCATGCTGACCGAATGTTCTGTTCCGTTTCTGAAGACGAGAAAAGGTTTAAAGTTGGCGATGTCTCCCGAACACACACAAACCCCTGCTCCCTGTCGTTGATCTGCGCGTCATCGTTCCGCGAACGCCAAGGCCACCTCCCCCAGGTTTCAATTTCCTCTCCGCTCGAGAACCTCGGCCTTTCGTCGTCAACAACATCATGACAGAGGATTCTCCTCCTCCTCCTCCTCCAGGGAGGACGTTCTCTCCGCCAAAAGGCCCTCCGAGGAGGTCTTTGACGGTCGATGAATCGGCACAATACAGACATCGGCCTCCAAACAACCGCTTCTCGACATCTCAAGATGCGCCGGCACAAGGCATACGACGGAGGAGTTCCAATTTTTCGGATTACTCGCTGAGAGAAGCGAGGAAATCGTTTCAATCGTCGACGGATAATCTGCTGCTCCCAAAGCCAAGTGCTACGGGCTTAGAGCCAAAACATGAGTCCTCAAATTGGGATTCGGCGCCACTGGCGTTCGCGCTCTTGCCTGCGTTGGGAGGAATGGTTTTTACGAATGGGAGCTCGGTGATCACGGATGTCATGCTGTTAGGACTTGCTGCTATCTTCTTAAATTGGTCGGTAAGATTACCATGGTAAGCTGATGGCTCTTCTCTTTGCAGAATGCCGCTGATGATGGAAAGGGATTGGTATCATTCTGCACAGGAGATTCGAAAGAAGGAAGAATATAATGGGGATACATTGATCAGCGAAGAGAGCGAGGGTGATGATGCTCTGAGTTTCTCGCAGGCGACCCTAGAAGAAGTTCCAGAAGACGAGCAGGCAGAGCCAGCACCGAAACCAGTACGAAGACTCCCTGCTCACGAAGCAGCTACAAATGAGTTATACACACACGAGATGCTAGCATTGCTCTCCTGTTTCCTGTTCCCGTTACTTGGAGCATACCTCCTTCACACTATACGATCACAACTCAGTCGGCCCTCTGAAGGTCTCGTCTCAGATTACAATCTCACCATCTTCCTCCTCGCATCCGAACTTCGACCCATGGCCCACTTAGTGAAGCTCATTCAAGCACGAACCCTCCACCTCCAACGAATAGTAAACACCAATCCCTACGATACCGTATCCGGCCAATCCACCTCCCCAGACGTCAAAGACCTCACCCGCCGCCTCGAAGATCTCGAAGCTCGAAACTCGATAGCTGCGACTCCTTCAACATTAGAACCAACACTTAACGGCAAACAATCTGCCATAATAACAACAGAAGTACGACGGGGCCTCCAACCAGAGCTCGATGCGTTGAATAGAGCAGTCAGGAGATACGAAAAGAGAGCTACTTTACAAGCCTTCCAGACCGATTCTCGACTCCACGAACTAGAAGCTCGACTCAACGACGCTATCTCGCTAGCCGCCGCAGCAGCCAACACTGCGCAACACAAGAGGGGCTTTACGGGAGTGCTGATCGAGTGGGCCGCTACGGCTGTTGTATTACCAGTCCAAGCTGCCGGCTGGCTGATCGGACTTCCATTCCGGATCACAGCGTCGATCTTCAATTACGGAAAAGCCAAGGTGAAAGGGAAACAAGCGGAGAAAGATAAAGGGAGGAAGGTCATTAATGGGAATGGGAGGGCGAGTTCCAAAAGTAGGGTGCAAGTGAGGAGTGGGAAGAGAATCGCGACTTGAGTATTTGAATTTCGATTGGGAGGGTGGGAAATGGTATACCCTGGGACCAAAATAAGCGGGGAGTATGGGTTTGAGGAATTTTTCCTTCTGTTTGAGTATGTATCTATGAATGTTGAATGATCTTCTTGATTGCGAGTTTGATAGTTGACCGTGGGTTGTGAAGAATGCTCTTAGTGGAGAATCCAGAATTCTTGCGATATGAGTGTAGAAATTGAGTACTTTGCAAGCGCATAGTATGATGTCATTGAGAAAGCTTTTGATTTAGATGATGTTTAGTCCAACAGCAATGTTTGTCTTGAGGGAGACCGCGGAGAATGTCTGTTCTGAGAAGAAAGTCTCTCCCTCAGACCACGTCTATTCCAAGTGGATTGTTCAGCCCAGGTATCATGACTGAGCCCCGCCAGTGCATAGATGCAGACAAGTCTCGATTCAAGTTTCATCTGATTTCATACTAAACTCCGTTTTCTTACAAAGAATCCCTTTTCTTTTACAGCTCGCGCTTCGAATGCACTACTTCTCGAATATCAGGCCACCCCTTTGCTATGTTCAATATGATCATGCAATTTACCCACGAGAGGTCGAGTATATAAACACCTCTCAACTATTGAGTGAGCTCAGGGAATATTATACCCATCCAACCCCACCGATACTCACATCTACTCATTCCCACCCCCTCTCCTCCATCTACCTAGTCAACGGAACCGGACACCCCAAATTCGTAAAAGTCTCTCCCCCGACCTCCACCAACACAAACTCCAACGCCTCGACCAGCGGCGTAATTACACTATTCAAACTGCTCGGTATGGGCCCCGAAATCAGCTGGTACAAGAAACACGCATAATCGGCCGGCGTCGCAGCAGTCAGATTCCCGCCCTCGATATACGGCGGGAAATCCAGGCCCACGAACGCCCCGTCGACGTTCCCGCCGATGCCGACCGGGTGCGCGCCGTACATGGCGGAGATTTGGCCGACGACGTCGAGGAGCGTGAAGGGGGAGATGCGGTTCGTCCAGTTGGCGGGGATGCGTTCCGGGACGTGCGTCCAGGTTCCGTTGGGCTGTTGTTCGGCGCCGAAACTGGAGGGGTGTTAGTGAGAGTAGGAGAGAGGGGAGGGAAGGGAGGGGACGAACAATGAAGCTGTGTTTTCGAGGGTGGGGACGTAATTATCGGCGCCGGAGGGCATGAGTTCGTATACGAATGCAGCGGCACCATATTGGAAGAGGCCGAGGGGTCCAAAGAACCTATGCCAGCCATGTAAGTAAGTAATCATCCCCCCCAACCCAACACAATGTATAAGGGAAGACAGTGTTAGTTTCCTCACATCTCAGGATTCTCCTCCCGACTCTGCACATAGCGCTGATACCGATACGTCCCCAACCCCTCCAAATCAAACGTCCCCCCCGTAACCTCAGCCATCATCCCAAACAGCGTCCCATTAAAATCAAAATCATCCCCATTCGCCAAGAAAAAGTCGTCCCGCGTCAACGACACGTCGCCCTCGAACTTATTATGCCCATCGAGCCCCGGCTCGCTGCCACTGATGGACAGCGGGCTCGCGGTCCGCGTCGTGGCGTCGCAGCCTATGGACACTTTTTTGGTGATGATGTCGCCGTCCGCCACGATGATGCTGATTAGCGCGAGGAATTGAGCTAGGTCGTAGCCCATGTTGTACACGTTTTGGACGGCGTCCGTGAGCTCGCTGTAGGTTGTTATGCCGTCGCGGGAGAGGAAGCCGTCTTTTGGGGGGTGGTGGTTAGCTTGTCATAATAAGGCATTCTTAGGGGAAAGGAAAGAAAGAAAGATGTTACAGTTTGCGGCGGCGTTCAGGCCGGGACAGGGACCGCGGATGTCTTGGTCGGTGGGGGCGATGAATTGGTGGTCTGGGTCGCCCGGGGCGGGGACGAGGTATCCGCCTATTCCTTTGCCTGCGGAGCCGTTTATGGCGGAGTTGTAGGGGCTGGTGTTGTATTGTTTAGTATGTGTACAAGCAAGAGAGGAGAGGGTTGGCTTACTATTCATCGCTGACGGGGATGGCGTCTTGGTGGTTTGGGTTGAATGGGCAGGTTGCGGCGCTTCCTGGTCCGCTGCCGCTCTGTTGAGTTGTTAGTTATGGTTAGATGGGGAAATGGTTGGGGGAAGGATGATGTGGAGTAGGATACGTACCTGCTGTCGGAGGAGGAGGTGAGTGTTTTGAATGCCAGGTTGCTTTGCTATGAAGGGGAATGCGGTTGCAAGGCCGGCTAAGCAGACAACAGCTGGTAAGTATCTCATTTTGTTGATTGCCAGATATGAACGAGATAACTGCTGCAATAGATAGACGATGACTTTCAGGTTGACAGTGAAGCAGCCAGCAGGAATTATCAGATCTTGAAGCTGGAGATACCATTCATATAATCAGCCACAACCCCGGCCACAAGCGTTGATCATCATATATTTCCTAGTAGTCTTGATTTAGGGCTAAAACATCACAGGTCCAGAAATCCGACAGAACAAGAATGAAAAGCCGAAGCCACTAAACTTTATTTCTAGTCAGGACGCCTAGGTTCGTTGACCAGCACGAGGCACGTTTCTATATCCCGAGGACGACATATGAAAAATTCTACCATCTGCAAGGGAACTTGCAAGGGTGTCATCATACCTGATCTGGGATGATCGCCTGAGGAGACGCTTTCGATTGGTTCGCAAATTGACTGACGATAACTTCTGCACTCAGGAAGAGGCACCGAAAGTCCACGCGAGAGAAGCAAGGTACCTTGCATCAAGGTTCGTACCGAGGATGGGGCACATGGCATAGCATGTGAACGTGAATATGAACATCTTTCCACTCTCGACTGGAGGCTTCTCCGCTCTACTCAGCTTGCACATCAGCTCAGAACAGGGTATGCAGAATCAGCAGCAGACTATCGATACGCAAGAAGCAATTGATTGCCACACATACGCACATGGCAATATATTGAGAATAGCAACTTTACTGCAGATCTTTCGAATGCAACGGTAGATGGCCTTCCTCTTTGGAATTGGAGGAAGATGATTCGTCAACTTCGGATGAAGATCGCCAAACTGCCGAAGCGAGGCTTAGCGAGAATGAGGGGGGAATGCCGCTAGTGGAATGCACCCCAGTTCAAAAGACCCGCTCGAAATAGCTTGGGTTAAGCTTATTGTAAAGCTCCGAGGCATGAAACGTTGATCGTGCGTTATGAGGGTTCTTCAATGTCCCCGCATTGTATACGCTAAGATCAAAATGCAGATGTGTAGGTCGTAGGCACTTTCGGATGCGGGGTATTGCATTCGGAGAACTCCTCCAACACACCTTGGTATGTGATGACAAGTGCTAAGCAGAACAATAGCAACAACCCCAGGTCTATAAGCACATGTGAGTGCCTACCATTTGAAAAGCGATTGCCAAGAGTTCATCCCATGTGATGTCAACCCCTGTTACGCATCCCGCAATTACATTTGCTGATTCTTCTTCTATTCTACTTGCCTCTTCTAATTCTCACCAGGTCAACTCAACATGAAGATATCCAACTTCATCGTGAGGTCAGCCTCGATCCTCGCGGTCGCCCTGCCATTTGTGTCAGCCACCCCAGTGACAGCAAGAGACCAGCTCGAATATGAATATATCGTCGTGGGAAGCGGAGCAGGTGGCGGACCACTGGCCTGTCGATTAGCCATGGCAGGCCATAATACCCTTCTAATCGAAGCCGGCAATGACCAGAACGGCAACATCAACATTTCCGTGCCAGGTTATCAAGCCGTCGTCACGAATGATCCAAAATTAAGATGGGACATGTTCGTCAACCATTATCAGGACCAAGAACGAGCTATGCAAGACCCGAAGTATACATGGGAAGTGGCTCCGTACCAGTACCACGTAGGCTCAGACCCTCCTCCGCCTGCTGGTGCAAAGCCCCTTGGAATTCTGTACCCTCGGGCCGGTACGCTCGGCGGTTGTGTAACTCATAATGCCCTTATTTTGATTACACCACATGCTAGCGATTGGGATAATATTGCTAGTATTACTGGAGATGAGTCGTGGGCAGCTGTTAATATGAATCAATACCTGGACAAGGTTTATGAATGGCTTCCGGTTGAGCCTACAGATCCAACTATCCTTCTTTCAGATCTTCAACTTACGCAGCATCTCGCGGGGGGTGCAGCTGTTATGTAAGTTCCATTTGCTCGCCTCTTTGAATTTGCGTTCTGAGAGCTCCTAACATCTTCTTCACTTCTTGCTTCTCAAGACAACACAACGCTAACACCATATAGGGGAGTAGGACCAGACCCTCTCGCCGCAGTAACAGGTCTAACCAACACACTCCTCAACGACCCAAACAGCAGACTCAACCCAGCACGGGATTCCACCGAAGGCTTTTTCCAAATCCCCCTGATCATGGAATCTGGAACCCGTACAGCAGTCCGAGACTTCATCGCCGACACAGTCCAAAAAGGCTACCCGCTCACCATACGCCAAAACTGCCATGTAACCAAAATCAACTTCGATAACTCCACCACCCCCCAAGCCACCGGCGTGAATTTCCTCGACGGCAACTCTCTCTATCGAGCCAGTCCCCTCAGCGGCGGCACCAGCACACCCGGCTCCGCCACCGCAACGAAAGAAGTGATCATCTCAGGAGGAGCTTTTAGCACCATCCAACTACTAAAACTAAGCGGCATCGGCCCAGCCTCCGAACTCCAACAATTCAACATCTCCGTGGTTAGCAACCTCCCCGGCGTCGGCCAAAACATGCAAGACCGCTACGAGATCCCCGTGAACGTCAAACACAACAACTCCTTCCCGATCCTCAACGGCTGCACCTTCGATTCCAAACCCGACGATGCGTGCTTAACCCGCTGGCAGGATAACCCCTACATCCTCGCCCAGCGCGGCGCGTATGCCACCAACGGGTTAGCTGCCACCATGGGCGTGCGCTCAAACTACGCTTCGACCACTGATCTCGACCTGTATATCTTCGCCGGGCCGGTAGATTTCACGGGCTACTTCCCGGACTGGAATGACGCCGCTGTAGCCGACCATCAGCACTTCTCGTGGTACACCTTAAAAGCACATACGCGGAATCAAGCTGGGACGGTAGAATTACGTTCTGCGGATCCGCTTGATACCCCAGTGATCAATTTTAACTATTTTGATACGGGGACGACGGCGGGGGGTGCGGATGAGCTGGATTTATTGGCGATGGTGCAGGCGGTCAATATGTCGAGGGAGGCGTTGAGAAGGTATTATGATTATGATGTTTTGGGGGGGACGGCGTTTGTGGAGGTGGAGCCGGGGGAGGAGGTGCAGAGTACGGAGGAGGTGGGGGAGTATATTAAACAGAGGGCGTGGGGGCATCATGCTTCTTGTACGGCTGCGATTGGTAGGTCGAGCTCTTTGCTTGTTTTGTTTTCGTGTTGATGGCCGAGACTTGAGAGATTATCTTCGAGAACTGCTCTTCGAGGAAGATGCGTTGCAAGGCCGCGGATGAGCTACTCGACTCCTGGATCTCGGTCAACTGTATACTGACTTCTCAATAGGCGCAGATGATGATCCAAACGCGGTGCTAGATTCACAATTCCGGGTCCGGGGAGTCCAAAATTTGAGGGTAGTAGATGCGAGCGTCTTCCCCCGAATCCCCGGGATATTCATCCAAGCTCCTATTTTCATGATAAGTGAGAAAGCGGCGGACGTCATATTGAATGGCTGAAAGATGTATACCTACCTATCTTACCAACTAATATCAAAAGAATTAATCCGCCCTCTTGAAAACATACACCTCTACCTTTGACAGTACCTATGCATATCCATATCTATATCCCACTACATCAATCTACCTACCTCCTCTCCTCACCACCTCTCCTCAACACCTCACCTCCCTCACCCTAACCCCATCCCACCTCATCCCATCCTAACCCCATCTCACCCCACCCCGTCCCCTCCCCCCTCTTAACTCTACATAAACCCAAACGCGCAAAATCCCCCCCATATCACTAAGTCCAGAAACCCCAAGGTTATCTAATATACCGTTAGCTCAGTTGACAGAATCCCAGATCGACTTATAGCCTCTTTAAAACCAGCACTGGCTGCTGGTTTGGAAGAACCATCGATTGCGGTCGGTGGTTCTGAGTTTTGACTCTTTTGATTTTTTGGGGGAGGGGGGGGGGGGGGGGGGGGGGGGGGGGTGGGGGGGGGGGGGTGGGGGGGGGTGGGGGGTTCTTTTACCTTTTTTTTTTTTTTTTTTTTTTTTTTTTTTTTTTTTTTGAGAGAGAGAGAGAGAGAGAATATCTTGGATTCACTGCTCTTGATATCGAGTCTTTGCTAGAGTAAATAAATATAACTTTGTTTGCAGCTTGCAAATTTTATGGAGGAGACGTTGAGTATATAAATAAACAACCGCAACAAGCAGACTCTAGGAAAATTACAGTCTTCTGAAAGATTGAAGAGACGTTCGGCTCAGGCTCCGTCTCGGCGGCGACGGTGCATCTCCATCAAGTCTGTATTTTGATACGCCAAGGGGGGAATATACGCCGGGTTTACTGTGCTCGGAAGCTGTTGCGTTTACTATCTCGCTGGCGCTTTTGTAAGGGTTTGATTTGCTGTCAAGGACTTTGTTGCTGTTTCTCTGCTGTGGAAGGTGCATTTTGAGCAAGCGTATGAACAACAGGCTTGAGAGATAGGAATGGAGCGAGGGACGCGAGGGACGCTGAAATAATTTGTGAAAGTCTTCAATATTTGGTCATCTTTTTATTGCTGGAAGGCTAAGTTTATCTACTTGAACCCTCACTACTTTCTTAAGATTGACAAACGAATGAGAATCGGCAACGAACAGCAAGTTGGCAACACGTGAATAGTTGTTAACAAACCAAGGATTGACAACAGAAGCTTCCACTCAAAACACATATGAAAAAAGTACTTAAAAAAAAAAGTTCAGCGAATCCTGAGCACGAATCTCCTCCCTACTTATCGTCAACTCCCGCTGAGGTGCATTCCCCTTCACGTGACAACGATATCTCAGATGCCAAACAGTTCCCCACAAGAGAACTCGAAACATTCAATGCTTCAAACCGCCATTCCCCAGTGCAGAGATAAGGCACTCGCTTCGTTTCATGTGCATCAATCTCACCGCAAGCACAGGACGAACGCCCAACAACAACACCACCTGAAACAAAACCCCCTTTTCCCTGCCTGGCTGGCTCTCGCACAACCAGCAGCCTCCCTTCCCGCAACACAGCATCCAATTTGCATCGACCCGCAAATGTATTCCCGTACCTCATTCATTCACGCAAAATTATTTATAGACCACCTCCCTCTCCTCTCCTCTCCTCTGTGTTCACTGTTCACTGTTCACCCCTTTAGCGCCAGCTCCATCTGCAAGCAAGCGCCTAAGTAAAAATACACACCGAATCAGAACACCCAACGCGCACTCGGTAATTTAGCCGATCGGCACTGCAAGGGGGACGAGTGGCTGCGATGCGATGCGCGCAAAGACTTTAAGCTTGGTTGGTGCCAGGCAAATGGGATATCTGACAGGAGGCCCACTTGAGTAACCACCCGCATCGCGGCCCGTGCCCAGCGGTAGACGCCTGTGCTTGGGCTGGGCTGGGCTGGGCTGGGCTGTGGTGTATTTATATGTGCGTGTGTGTGTTGGCGTTTAGGGAGTGGTTGGGTTTAAGTAGTCGCTGTGTTTCCTCTGTTTGTTTCCTGTTTCTCGTTCATAGAGATCGATCTGGGATTTTGTTGTTGGGACTGTTGATTCGGTCTTTTATATTATTTCCTCTCTCTAAGATTCTATTTTCTAACGTTCAGAGATACAGTCATCATTATTTAAGATGCCGTTCCTCAAGAAGTCAGAAGTAGCAGAAGACGTGCGTTCTTTCGACGCGCCGCCTACGGAAGAACATCCCGCCATGCGGGGCAGCAATAAATCGAACATCGTCGATTCCATCAACCTAGGTCTCACGGTCCTGGCTTTATTGTCGGCGATGACGATCGTAGGCACCAGTGCCGAGACGCTGCAGGTGTATAATACGACGCGGTTGGGGAACGGGCATTTCTTGTCCATGTGGCCGAATGAGTTCGATATCCGCCCGACGGTGGCGTTGGTTGTTTGCGGGTCGATCATGATCGTGGCTGCGGCGTTGGGGGTCGTTGTTAAGAAGGTTCCTGCGGTATGTCTCCTCCCTTTGTCCCCTTGGCGAGGAATTATTGTAGACTGACTGAATTTGTTAGATCGCAAATCATACGCTCCTTGCGACTCCACTGTCTCTTCTCTTCCCGAGTATCTCGCTCGTCGCTGCCCTGATCGCAACTTCCTTCTTCTATGGCGTTAATACCTCATCCTCGACCTTCAGTCTGCAGTCGTGGACTTGCCAGTGGAGCGATATCGATATGGATGTTAAGCCACATTGGGGAACGCTTTGCAAGGAGAGCAAGGTTGCGTTGTATTTGAGCGTAATGATGATCCCGCTTCAGGTGTTGGTTCTTGGAACGGTGGTTGTGGGGTTCCTTGGTCGGGTGAGGGGTTGGGTTGCCGGGAAAGGAAAGGGAAATGGTGGGATGGAGGAGGAGAGGAAGGGAAGTCCTGCTCTGTCTTGAAGGATAGTGGGAAATGATGGTTGGGATTTGAAAGAAGCTTGAGGTAGCTCGTGATGGGACGACGAGTGAAGGTCGAGTCGTGATGAGTTGAGATGAGAGTTAGAGATTTGGATGCTAAGGTTGCATTATTCCTTGCACGACGGAGCTGGGAGGTATTTGTTCTTCTGGTTATTAATATGATATATTTATTCAACTGGAAGTATTGTCGATGTTTTTTCGTATCCTTACTCAACTCAGTAGACATATTCCTTGCTGCCTTGAAAGTTCAAATCCAGCAACTAATACCGTCATTGGCAACTCAGCTTTTCATATCACAGTACTTTTCTGTCGATTTCTTACCTATATTACCTCTAGTTGCAAGTAAGATGTTCTTCGTTGCGTCAGGAGCTAGCGGGTTCTTAGAAGACGGCGAAGGCGAGCAGTACCGAGCAGTAAGAATATCTCCTCGAGAATCGATAGATGTTTGAAAGATAAGACCTACCTTGACCTTCCCTCTCCGTCCATTCTCCGTCCATTTTCAACCCAAGACGGACAAAAATCAACGGGACGGCGTAGTGATAGAAGCATAGTCACATGACCAATGTTAGTCTCACGTAATTCCAACATCCGTCTCCCCTCCCCTCCCCTTGATAAGCAGTCCATTCTCCCTCACAAACGTTCCTGTTACCTCGCCCCTATCATCCCACCCCCTATTCACCTCGCTTACACCACCCAAAATGTCCTCCCCCAACCCACCATTCACAATCCACCCCGCAACACCAGCAGACATCCCCCGTCTAACACACATCTACCTCGTCGCCCTGTCCGACGACCCGCCCGCACAAATCAAATTCCCCTCCTCGACCGCCTTCAACGCGGCCGTGACCGCCATGCTCGAAAAGCAGATCGGGGATCCGAAATGGTGCATCATGAAAGCGGTCGACACCTTCTCTGGCGAAATTGGGAGTTGGGGGAGTTGGTTGGAACATTCGGCTTCGGACGCTGACCAACGACCTAGCAAACACCAGCATGAAGAAGGAGAGAACGGTGAAGAAGAAGAAGAAGAAGAAGAAGATGAGGGTAAATTCGATTTCAACCCAGGTAGGTCTCGGCCTCTACGTTATGGAGCACACGAATGCGCTTTTTAGCCAACATGCACTTGCTCACGGTGATAAGGGGCGGTATCTCTCGCTGCGAGCGTGTTTTACGGACCCGGGGTTTCGGAGGAGGGGTATGGCCATGGCGTTGATGCGGTATGGGGCCGAGAGGGCGGATGGGATGGGGCTTTGGATGGTGGTGCAGGCTAGTCCCAGGGGCAAGGGGGTTTATGAGAAGGTGGGTTTCAAGGTGTGGAGTTGGTTGGATGCTGAGTTGGGGGATGAGAGGTGGGGTGGGGATCTAGAGGGAGTGCATGAGAGGTGGAGGGAGGGGAGGTATAGGTTTTGGTATTTGGAGAGAGGGCCTGGGGGGAGTTGATGGGTGGGTTGGGGAAAGGTTTGAGGGCGATTTGGAAGTGCAAAGTCCGAGTGCAGAGACCAAGATATACCTATATAAGCTTATTTCAAACCACGCTAGCAAAGAAGGAGGACTCAGTTAGGTTTCAAAATACGCTTTATAGTCACGTGATGATGATGCTCTTGGAAAGGAATCCCCTTAGCGGTTGAGAGGTTGCAGAGGATAAGAAGTGAGAACCAGAAACTCCATGATAGGTTTGTGTTATTGAATTTGATGTAGCTCGCTCTCCCCTAATTGCATTGAGAACCTCGAACCGACATTGCTAGAAACGTGACTCCTGTAAACAACCTCAAAATCTCCGCTCACTCCACCCATCCATCAAAGTCCCTCATCATATAAAGCGCGAATCTCAATGAACCGCCCAACATCGCATCGGTCCGAAAAGTATCGGATCTCGCACCGAACAATCACCCAACAGTTATTTTTACCCTCCGCCCGAAGATGCGAACAGGAGCTTCGTCTGTCATAATCACCAGTTCCCCCGACTTGCGCCACAACATCGAAATCTCCATTCTGCTAATCCACTGCTCTCAAAATTACCAAAGCTTTCGGGAGACGCCTACAAGCCGTATCCTTGCCCGTATACAAGTGCCAAATGATCTCGTCACCAGAAAGTGGCGTGATGCTTGGATTGGGGCTGCTTCTTCGTGCTGCTGTACACTAATCAATCACTCACCGTCTTATGCGTCTTATGCTTGCTGGACTTTCATCAAGGAATGCGTCCGAACAGGATATATAAGAGTAGTTCTCTACCTCTCCTTGAACCTTTTGTTTTCTGCGTGATATAGATCTCAGAACCGAATTTTAGCTTGCATCCAATGATCGAAATGACACCACCAAGCATGACGAGGACAAGTACCAACAACGACGTTGCGTACGTCGAAGAAATAGCAGACAACGACGGGAACGACGATGACGATTTCTCACGATCCCCGACCCACGCCGGGCAGCCTGGTAACCTGCACTCGCACTACCAGCGCGTCCTGATGAGCAAGCGAAACATCGCGAATCCGTCACCTCTCGGACTCTGTGGTTTCGCACTCACGACGTTCTTACTTTCCGCAATTAACATGGAGACGATGGGCGTTACGCACCCGAGTATTGTTATCGCGGCCGCCTTTGCGTATGGCGGTCTCGTGCAGCTTTTGGCTGGGATGTGGTTAGTCTTTCCTTCCTTTCTTCATGCAGGGCAAAAGGCTTATATGTTGGAACAGGGAGATGTCGATTGGGAATACGTTTGGGGCGACGAGTCTGTCGAGTTTTGGGGGGTTCTGGATTGCGGTTGCGATTATTTTGACGCCGGGGGGTTTTGAGATCGAGGCTTCGTACGATTCGTTGGAGTTCCAGCATGCGTTTTCGCTTTTCTTGTTTGTACGTCGATTCTGCTCGAATGTGCTCGGATTTTGGTGGAGCTTTGGACTGATGTTACTAGGGCTGGTTCATCTTTACAACTATCCTTCTGATGTGCACGTTTTCGTCCTCGGTGGCGCATTGTTCGATCTTCTTGACTCTGGATATTGCATTCCTTTGTTTGGCTCTCGGAAGGAGATACCCGCATCTCAGTGGTACTGTGTATGTGCCACATGAGAATTTGACTTATGTTGGAGGTGTTTTTGGGATGTTGTCTGCGTTTGCGGCGTGGTACAATGCTTTGGCAGGTATTGCGGCGAGTAATCATACGTACGTTCGTCTGTATCCGATGCGCAGTCCAAGGAGGTTTGGGATGCGGATTTTGACTAACTTATTCATCTTCTCAATAGGTTCTTCACTCTTCCTGTTTTGCAATTCCCGTGGTCTGAGGCTAGCCGAAAGACTCGCCAAAGAGCTTTGGCAGCTAGTAATGCTAGGAGCCAAGTGTAGGATGGACTAGTAGTATTCCTTCAACAGATTAACCCTACCAATGCCGGCAAATTCGCTTGAAACAACTCACCCATTCATCATCGCAGGAGGGAAATATGTTCAAGTTATGATATCATGTGATTCAACTTTCATGTTATCGTCAGATCGTCTCTTCAGAGGTGGGTAAAGACGTTTCCAAGGCAGTCTCATTCTATTCAACCGCATTTCTATCATGAAGCCGTCTAAGCTAATCGCCAGCAGGAGTCGAGAGCACTGACGACTATTCATGATCCGTCATATCTTCTACATCTCAGATGTACCAAGCCTTCCCCATTTCAGCTCCTTCTCCGGATTTGCCTTTGCACAGACACAGTTTCCACGTCAAGACGCTCCGTAGATCCCGCGATCACCTGGCAGTCCACGTGAATACATCGTCATCTGGTTCCTGCTCAAGCTCTGTATGTGAAGCCGTTCGGATCAACCAAGACCCTTCGCATGAAATAAACATTTTGATTTTGTTCGATGCGACACATAGGGTCATGAACCTTATATCGACGACCCCCGGAGAGAGAGCCCAAAGTTTTTTCATGCGAAGTCGACAACGGCAATCTAGGGACAAGGCAAGGCATGTCTCACTCGGGTATTTCTACCGTAGTTGCTGAGTGGGCGAGGCCAATCAAGGGCATTGTTCGCTTCGTCGGATGCGCAACCCCACAAGGCGTCTGTTTGCACGGGCTTCAACGAGGCGCCGTCGATCTGATCACCCACGCTACCCTGCCGTCTCCACCCCCCTTACCAAGATCTCGCGAACGCCTTCCAAGATTCCCAGCCCTGATCTCGAAACAACGACTTCCCCCCTTGGTGACTTCAGACAGAACTGTGCTCTCAAGAACATCAATAATGAAGAAAGTTCTTTTCCTCTGATCAGATTTAGCTTTTTCAGCCTCTTGTTCGAAACGGTATGCAACTGGCCTCTCGTTCTAACCCGCGGCCTCATCCGAACCTGCCTTCCTTGAAAGCTTAGTGTGATTGGCCATAGCTCGATTGAAGTCCGTGCTACAATCTAAATTTCGTGCACAGCTGCCTTGGTTAGGAACTTCATGCATTCCCAGCCGAGGCCGGTGTCTAGATCCTCCACACGTTTATACTTCTATAGCCGCATTCCCATCCATGGCCGGCTTCTCTTCCTCTTGTTGGCTTGGCTGTCTTCGAGAGATCTCTGGTCGCGATGAGGAATCTTTATGTTCCGTTCTTCTTGTTTTGTTTTCTGGGGATGGTGAGGGCTGTTGCCCAGGTGAACTTCACGGAGATCCTCACTGAGCTGCCAGCGTGTTCTGTAAGTTTACTGCAGAAGAGAATGTATGGCAATACTGATGGAGATAGATCGATTGTGTCCTTAAGGGTCTATCGTCAGTTCCGGATGCTCTCACTGATCCGACGAAGACGTGCACGAATATCACGCTACAAGCATCACTCTCGGCATGTATTCAGAAGCAATGCAACTACACCGAACAAGCTCGTACGAAGATGTCCTTCTTGATCTATATTCAGTCCTAACCAGAAACAGGGGTGGCCATCGTCGACAACCAATTATGCGAAGGGGTTCCAATTCAAAGTCGTGCCTGGGGTGTCGCTATAGTCGGTCTTGTATGCGGCCCCCTTGCTCTAATCGCCATTGCCCTACGATGTTACTCGAGATACTCCATAACCCGATCTCTGGGATGGGATGATTGGTTAGCGGTTGTCACTGGATTGGTGTTGATACCACTTATCGTGTTGGACTGTTACAGTGAGTGAAATTCTGCGCTTTGGAATATTGGAAAGGTGCTGGTACTGATTGATCGAAGATGGCATTGTGAATGGATATGGTCGCCATTATTGGGATGTTGATCCACTTCGTGTTGTGGAGTTGTTGAAGGTATGTTGGAGATGTTTCTCGTGGAACTTGCATATTTCGCGACCTAGGAGCATTCCTGCTGACCCTGCCCCTCTACCCCTCAATTATCGTTCTTGGACTGATTCGTATCAGATATTCTACGTCGCAGAAATACTCTACATCGTCGTCATCACTCTAGTCAAAGCATCCATCTTGGCCCTTTACGTAAGTATATGCAAACTCACCCCTTGCATCAGCTAACCTTAGATAGTTCCGCGTCTTCCTTTCAAATAACTTCAGAATTGCTGCTGGCATTGTGCTGGTCCTTGTGGTTTTCTCGGGACTTGGCGTCATAGCTGCAATCGTTTTTCAATGCAGTCCTGTTGGTAAGTGACTCGAGCCCACATGTGATCTTGCTCTAATTCAAGGAAAGACTTAGCTTGGGATCGCACTATTGTTGGCGGACGATGTATCAATGTCAATGAGCTCGCCTACGCAGCGGGAGCTATCTCCGTTGCACTCGATATCATCATCCTCGTCTTGCCTCTACCAGAACTATACCACTTACAAATGAGCAAAAAGAAGAAGCTCAACGTAATGTTCATGTTCAGCCTTGGAACCATGTACCTTCCCTTCCTTCCATTCTCAGCAACACACTAACTATATCCAGTGCATGCATAACCTCCATCGTCCGCCTGAAATACCTCGTCGACTTCGCCAAATCCACCGACCCAACCTGGGACAACGCCATCCCCGTAATCTGGTCCTTCCTCGAAATCTGCGTCGCAATAATCTGCGCCTGCCTCCCCGCCATCCGCGCCATCCTGTCCCGGTACCTCCCTTCCGTCTTCGCCTTCACGTGGGATTATTCCCACGATCCGAGAAACTCGAAGGATCAGAAAGGCTCGAATCCTTCGCATCCATCTACTGCTCCTTCGCCCAGCTTGGTGCTGCAGACTTCCAGCTCGAGACCGAGGTCTGGTGGCAGCAAGGGCGGGTTCACGACTGCGGAATCGAAGCTTTTAAGTCCTACTAGTCCGAATTTTTCGAACTTTACATATAATCTATCACAAGGGGTGGATCTGGAAAGTGGAAATGGAGGGAGTGTGAGGCGATCCAGTTCCGCGATGGGTGAAAACGGGACATTGAAGCAGGTGTGGATAAATCCCAAGTTTGACCGCGAGGGGAATATCCTCGATTATCAAAAGCGGACGAGTCGCGACGACGATGATGATGATGATGCTAGTGAGAATTTCTTCAAGCTAGGGTCTGGGAGTCGTGGAGGTCGGAGTAGCGAGACGAGTGTTTGGATTGTGGAGGGGCCGAGGGAGAGTGAGGAGCAGTCGGATGGACATTCGGATGCGATACTGGAGTTGAGGGATCCGCCGAAGGGGTTGGTTGCTAGGAATAGTGTGCAGATGGGCACGTTTGGGAGGTTGAGAGGTGGGGAGGGGAGGGAGAGGTGGAGGGATAGGTTTATGCCGAAGGTGCAGAGGTTGTTGACGCCGTTGCCGTTGGGGACGGATAAGACGGGTATTGCTCGGTGAAAGAGCGAGCTAATGTTTATGATTTATGAAGTTGTTTAACGGGACAAGTACAAGAGTATATTCAGTTGCTGGTTTGAGGTTACAAGCAGTCCTCGGCGAATCAGAAAACCTAAAGTGGAATGGAGAACGATGATAAGTAATGAGATCGACAAATTCAAGGCAGTCACCACCTCGGTTCCTGAAGTCAACAGACATTGAAGTAAACATCGCTTAAACCACGTGCCACCCTGATGACGACGGGCCGCGCTTGCCCGCTTCGAGCAGCTTTCGTCTCCAGGCTCCAACCTCCTCTACCACCACCTTCAACACTCCGTATTACAAACACGGAGAAACAATAATACATCTCACTCACCACAGAAACTCGTACCACCCATCCATCATGAGACTCCTTCCCCTCCTCAGCGTGCTCCTCAGCCTCCCTGCCACGGTGCTATCGTGGCAATCGGCGCTTATCGCTGCTCCTTCACGTGCCAGTCTGGAAGTACCTGGAGACAATACTTTATCCGTACGTACCTATCCTGTAATATTACCACTGATTCGAGTTTGACTAATCACATGGACCAAACAGTATTGCAAAGATCCCAGCCCCTACATCTTCGACATCTCCTACATCGACCTCTCCCCCAACCCTCCCGTCCCGTGAGCACCTCCTCTCCTCTCCATCTCACTCATATTCACCCCTACTAACCACCCTCCTCTCCCAGCGGCCAAAACCTCACCATAACAGCAGCCGGCATATCCTCTACAACCATCGACGACAGTCTAGGCGCCAAACTTTTCATCCAAGTCAAGCTCGGCTACATCACGCTCCTCCACAAGGAATACGATTTCTGCGAAGTCATCGACGCCGTAGATCTGGAGTGTCCGCTGGAGAAGGGGTATAGGAAGTTGGTCAAGGAGGTAGCGATCCCGGGCGCCATTCCGCCGGGGAAGTATGCGGTGACGGCGGATGCGTATACGGATGGGCATGCGGAGCAGATTACGTGTATGGAGGGGTCGATTGTGTTTTGAGGGGTCGGTGGGGAGGGAAAGGTGGGAGAGATGAGATGGGAGTGAGTTCTTGCGTTGGTTTGATTAGGGAGTTTATGCTTTTATGAATCTGCACGATTTCGCTCTCGGGTTTGATTTGCATTTGGTCACTTGCGGCATATCATTGCATGGGCTTTTGAAATTATCGCGTGTCAGCATTATTGCAGTCATTTCTGAATCATTGTTCGACTATAAAGGAACACATCATGGGGATGCATCGAGAAATATAATGCACAAACCTCACCCCAATTTTCAGATATTCATCTCGTGTCTCATATTCCTCATCCCCACAGCACCTGACCTAATCTTCGAAATCATTTCTCAATATACATCCAAAAGATATACCACCGTCCTCTTCCCTTAAAACGTCTCCCCGACTCCAAAATGTAAACCCAATTCATGTCTCGCCTCCGTTACAGCCAAATACACACTCGAGTTCTCTGCATCTATATATAGTACTTCTTTCACCATCTCTACTTTATTCCTCGACACCAAACAACCACTCCAACAAAGCAGCAAATCCTTCTCCCTCTCCACAGCCCTCGGACGCCCCGCTATTGCCTTGAACATCGAATTCATAAACAGACTCCCAACAGTGAACGTTTGCTTTGCAGCCTCAGCCTCGCTAGGACGTAGTTTAGGGACCGCAAAAAGGCGAGGCGAGGGAGGAGGAGAAGCGTGTATCCATTTTCAAGGAAAAGAAATCGAGGAACTTGAGTCTCACGGGCAATAATGAGGTCGACGACGGCTGACAAGATTAGGTTGTTACTTTTGGAACGACCGAGAACCCTGTGAGGACGGCGGCATCGAGGTCTTTGAGATATTGGGCCGTAAAATGGTGTTTGTTGGTTCGGAGCCTACGCTTATTACTTGTGCGAACTTGGTGAAGTGGAGCGCAGGAGGTGGATGAGAGAATTATTTGGAAAGGTGCTCGCAGTCATCATTGTCTATTGAGCCAGTCGTAAGAGAAGCTTGTTCAGCAACGAGCGCGGTGACTATAGCATGTAGACAAAAAAGCCCAGTATCCATCGAGATCGAGGCTGTAGGTGAAGAGTTGGACTGAGGAAGCTGGAGGGTTCAGGGCAACTGAGTGTTGCTGCGATGTTGCATAGTGTTTGGTGCTGATGACTTGGGCGGGAGAATGATGTCGATTTGAGCAATTCGAGCATGGTTTCAATTACTACTGATTGAGTTTGGGTTTATTTAGAATAATTTTATACTTGACAAGGAATAACAGGAACCGTGCCCTCAATACATATCACTGCGCCCCTTAACGTCGACGTCACAATAAAGTCAAGGAAACCAGTCGTGTATGCGACTCTGGGGAATGCAGAAACGCTCGCAGCCAGAGTAGTTCCGAGGACAAGAGCAGGAATCATGATGGCAATACTTGGTACGAAAATTCTACAGTGCAAGCAAACTTTTAAAGAGGGGAATAAACATCTATACACCCACCCATCTCTAGATTCCATTATTTTGAAGCTCAATCATAATTTAACCACAGCAGCAACGCTAACAAGCACTAATCTACAATAAGAAATTACCATTCATTCACGTCGAAAAGGGGGTTATTCGCTTAGCTCGGTAATAATCCTCGCCTCGCCTACCTAGCTACGGTTTAAACTCAGTTGAACGTCAAGGACATTGATGGTATGAAAAGATGAGGAACGACTCTTCTAAAGCAACCACTCTAGCAGCAAATTTCACCCTATTCTTCCAACCTCGCCCAAAGTCCCGAATTCCACATCCCGACATTATCACCACCCCCAGCCTCGAATAGGCATTAGCAAGACATCCACCTCAAGCAACGCACCTATCCAACACATCATAGCTAGCATGTCAATCACCACCATCTCCCTTCGTTTCCTTAAACTGTGCCTGATTCGTGACAAACAATAATAAGCCGTTTCTTGTGGTAGTGCTGATGAAGTGATAACGCTCGTCGAAAGATTCTTGATCATCGCCGTTCAAATGAGATATACGGGACGAAAGTCCTTGTATCATGGATCACTGACGAGTACAGTACGTTTAATGGAGACGAAAAATGGGAGACTGCAAAGGACAAGAAAGCTACAAAGCCTATGCTAGTCTGTAGATGAGGGAGAATTCTCCCTATCGCAAGGTAAGATTCGGAGTGGTAGATTGAGTTCTTGCGCAGTGTATAACGGACCTCGACGAATTTTGCTGGTGGCTTATTAGTTTCGTAGGCTTGAATAGGAGTTTTCTGGGTGCTGTTGTTGAGAGATTTTGGAATGCTTGAGATGAGGCTGGGTTTGAGGGTGATGTGTGGAGTATGCAGAGAATGTTTTGGGGTACGGGTTTGAGTTGGATATAAGGTAGGTCAGACAGAGGTTGAGAGTAGGTCTGTAGGTATGCGATTCATAAGAAATAGTGTCGAAAGACAGCATGTATGAAACATCAAATGTGGCTATTCGAGAGAGACAAAGACGGAAATAGGGAGGAGACTTCCTCTAGTGAATACTGGACATTGGAAGGTTGTTTGTACACCACTCGCAGAGCTTAGTAGAAAGCCCGGACATCAAAACGTCGGGTTGCAACCATCAAAGTTCACAAACACATTTCTCATCTCTCATTCCTAAACCGGGTATAAACACCTTCCTTCCCTCCCTCCCTCCCATCTACAAAACAGGCAATCCCCTCGCCCTTCTCTCATCCTCGACCTTCTTCGCCTCCACCCGTGCCAAAAACTCCTGCCGGGCCTTATACGCCCCCTTACTCTTCCCCGCCGCATCAAGCTCATCCTTAATCCCCTCCTTATCGACAAAACTCGCCCAATCCATCGCGCTCTTCTCCACCGTATTCAGCTTCTTCTCCTTGCCCGTCCGCACCTCCACCAGCGCGACGCCCGTCTCGGAGCGCCGGATCCCGAAATGGAGATCTTTTCTCTGGGGCAAGTTTTCGGGCACGGGCTCGAAGATGGAGCGGCGGGCGAGTTTGAGGGGTCGTTTGTTGGGGTGTGTTGTTGAGGGTGTGAGGTCAGGAGGTGCCTTTTCGGTTTCTTTTTCTTTTTCTTTGGAGGAGGAGGGCGCGGATTGGGATTCGAGGAATAGTCGGGCTTCGGCTGAGTTTCGAGGGACGAGTTTTTGCTCGGTGTGGACTTTGCCTGCGAATGTGTATGTCCGCTTTATCATGACCATTGATTTGGGCTCCTCGCCGAACGTTGTACTTGGGGAGCGGACTTCTTTTCGAATCTCTTCCTGTGGTTCGGTGCTAGGTTGAGATTGAGATTGGGGTTGGGATGTTTGTTCCACTACCGGTTTCCCAGATAGCATGGCAGCCCAGACGGCGTCTACATCTATCGTTGCGGCTGCTGTATTTGCCAGCGGTTTTTTCTTGACTTCTCTGTTATGTATCGTTAGCATACACTCGAGCTTCAGCGTCTACATCTCCTACTTACTCAACAGCCCGCATACTCCTCGTCTTAACAAAACCCCCCTCGCCCCCTTCATCCTCCTCATCCTTCTTCCCCTTCTTCTTCCGCCGTTTCTTCTCTTTCAACCCATCGCCGATGATAGCCTCATCACCCGAGTTCTCGAAGCCGAGATCTTCGGCTTCGGGTTCCTCTTCTGCTGCTCGTTTGCGTTTCTTCTGTGGTGCGCTGGTTTCTTCGGGCTCGGAGTCTGAGTCTGGTTGTGCTGGGACGGCGTCGGGCGCGAAATCGGAGTCCTCGTCTGAGAGGTACTCTTCTTCGTCTGAGGGGACGATTTCGGGGGGCATTGTGAGGGGTGGGTTTGTGGTTGAGGAGGGTGAGTGGTGATGGAGTGAGGTGTGACATGAAAGTTCGCGACGAGGCTGAGTGCTTGAATTGGATGCCTGAGGTATTAATTATGACGAGGCTGATAGTTTGGACGAAACAATTTTGATTGTGTAGTAGATGGCAGTCAATAAGTCATTTTGGAGGACATTGAATGAAGATTTATTAAGCATACCGTATGTCATTGAACTGTAACTTTTGAAAACTATGTGCATCAATTCCAACAAAACACGAAGAAATTAACGCCTCAACGCCTTGAGAACAGTCCTGTCTACTCTCCCCGAAATCCCACACTTCTGACTCAATCTCCCCTTCAAAGCATAATGTTTCTCCCCAAGCAACGACACTCTCATGCTTCGACTTTCCACACTCAGCATACCTCCCAACAATAGTCTCTTCCTCTCTAACTCCTATATATCCACGGTGTAAAGTCTTAGCTGCTCCTCCACTGATTGATGGATCTCTAATCCTCCCATCTTCAAAATCAACATATAGTTTCCATGCCACCTTGAGAGCAGGTTGGGATGCAAATCTCAGAACATTGAAATACCTACTTCATAGCTTAACCAACGATACGAGTCATCACGCCTAGGACTCAACGCTGGCTGTCCATTGTATCGGGAAAGCATCACTCAAGTAGAAATACACATCCCAAAAATTGAAAACGGCCAAACCCGCATCCAGCTGCCACAGAGGCAAGGAAGCTGCACGGTTCAAGTATCATCACCCTGGTGGTCAAAACAAACGAACAAAACAGTAAGAACACAGTAGCTATAATTACCATCAAATCGCAGCGGAAATAAAGTTCTGTTCTTATTCCTTTATCGGGAACGGGAAATCTGCCGCTCATACAGTAATGTGGGGTAAAGAAACACTTATTACTTTACCATTCTTTGTGTGGTAAGGTGTTAAACACCTACCTACCTATTACTCTATTACTCTATCCTCAACACCCTTCTCGCTCGTTTCATACCATCCACGAAACATTTCAGGAACGAAAACTCCACCCTACCATTTGCCCAACTTCCGACAGGCTACTCAATGGCTTTCTGACATGTAATCTTGGAATTCGAAGTCGAGGCCGTGTGATCAATTAACCCGGTCCCGCCTGAATAGAGGCATAAATAAACCACCGCCTCAGAACTGCACGCACTCAGGGAAGGAGGGGTACGTCGATAACGCACGCACGCACGCAAGCGATTGCAACGCTGACATGGAGAAAAGAAAAAAGTATGCTTTTTTTTATGTCGTGATTGAGACATACATGCAGGACGCATATGTCGTGCAACGAAAATGGAGCGAGCGGTGAAACGTTTTTCCTGTACATACCAAGGGTGGATCAATCCTTGCTTCTTCAATTTTTTTTCAGCCTCGTTGAGCAGCGAGCGGTGTAGCTTCAACAGTTTCTTACGGATCAATTAGTGGTTTGTGTATCAGTGGGGTTTGACTTTCGGTACGAGTATTGAGACCCAACGGGCAAGACAGACAGACAAACAGACAGACAGACCTGTTTTTGTCTTACGATGGGGGTTCGTTCGTGTTCGGGGCGGAAGCAGGTAGCAACCGAGAGCGGTTCGGCGGCGAAGTAATGCGAGTCTTGGGAAGGATGGGGATTGGAATTGGGATCAGCGAAACACGGCGGGAATCGTCGTCATAGCTGAGTCTTTGACAAGCAGGAGGCGGTGATGTGAGATAGGGGTTCAAATGATTGAATTGAGGATCTTGCATGACGTTCTCGTATCGACCGAGGAGATCTGGGGTAGAGAGTTGCACACACAAGTGCTCGGTGTTCAGGAGGAATTCTTTGAGTGAGTACATACATAGACTAAAAAGGAGTGTTTTCCGCTGGTGGCTGCGGCGGCAGTCAATTGGTTTCCATGGATGCGGGGTATCGTAAGGGTCCCCAAGACGATCGATGCAGGTTCACCATCCTCCTCCCTTATTCTAATAAGTCAAAGGAGACATTGCTGTCCGTGGTTGCAGAGGGGCTCCGGGGAGGAAACAAACTTTAGAGATTGTTGAAGAATCGGAGATGCATTTGGGCACAATAGACTCCTCGCAGCCCGTGATATTTTTCCGAAGATGTGGGTGCGCGAGAGGGGTTGTAAACTTTGATACGAGTTCGAAGCCCGCATAACAAGACACCGACCACTTTGGTTGAAGGCTTCAGGACAGCCCGTGATTGGCGGCAAAGATCTGGATGAAGATCGCCAAGACATTGAGACTGCTGCAGCCGGCTGCATTTAGCGTCGAGTCCGTGGGAAGAGGAGCAAATTCTTGAAGAACAGACTAAAAAGTTGGCCACTCGCCGCAGGATGAGGCCTGAAAATAAGTAAGGCGAGGAAAAGTCTCACGCTGCACAGATGTTTTCCTGGAGGACCAATCGTATTGGTGCGGGAAGAGAAAAGAGAGTTTGGCTCTTGAGCTGAAGAAGTGATGATTTGCTTTAGCTCATGAACGACAGCGCTCGGTCGGTCGTTTGTGTGCGGCACGATTGGATATTGGCCGTCCCATCTTTTGGGATTGTGAGGTTATGGAGATCTAACTGAGTGGAAGACAGAAGCGCTGCGGGAAATGACGTGGTCGAAGGGCTGTATTCTGTATCAGACATACATACATCGTGCAGGTCGACTTTGCATTATTTACCTAGGTAATGCACTGAGACATGGCGTTCGTTGGTGATGAACGCGCGGGCGTGCACTGAGAAGGTTGGAAATCGATATGCGCTTCAAATTTCGAAGATGCGGCAACTCATGATACTCCGCACCCCTATTGTGATTGCAAAGCTCGTCGTTTGAACTGTTGATGAGCAATTCGTCGTTTCACTCATATCTCTATCCATGCCCCAAATCCTTGCACTTGCACTTCTACAGTAGAAAGCAGTGCCCACGAGCGTGCGACCGTCAGAAACCAAGATCTGGCATCGCAACAAGCGTCCTCGTTGTTTTCAACCTTGTCAGATCTTTGTATCACGGCATTGCGGCTCCACGGCCAAAATTCCATCTTTAGGGTTGGTGGTCGGGTCCAGGTTCTGAGTGAGGACCGCGAGGATTCATCATAACTTGCTGGACGTGACTCCTCGTACCGATACTTACTTATGGATTCGGACGAGGACCCTGATGATTGACTGATCTGCCGTACTCGCTCGCTCAATATGTTTGGTGGCCGCCAATACGAGATCATGAGGTATCTCACACTGAAGAAAAGGTGTACACAATGCAGCGCTGTACAACACTCCTGCAGACTGCAGCAGTACCCAAAGAAATGGACGATGAGGCTGGTCTGCTGTAAATCCCCCACGCTCTCTCTTGCCCATGATCTGATCCATCACTCCTCTCATGGATAGACGACGACTGTCAGCCCTGAATCCTGAATGAATGAATGAATGAACCCGTCCGCATTGCCGCAAGCATCTTTTCAATCGATAGGGTAAACTTTCAGATATGAGGGTGATCTATACCCGTACCAACGCATCATTTATCCCGAGCCCCTCGAATCTCGCTATCAGAGGATCGATATAGCGCTACATATATTATTAAGGTGGGAGAGGGAGGGACCAGGTCGCTAGGGTGTCCGTGGCAGCAGCTCATGCATGAAAGACTGGGACGAGTAAGACAGTGCGTGCCAGGAGGGTTGATACCTGCAGATGAGGGAAGACGCGTGAAGCCCATCTCATTCGCTGTAGCAGGTATATGTAGATGTATGCAACAGCACCGCAGACATTTTTCACGAGCACGAGTGGAACACCCGAACGGGCTGCTTCGTACACTGATGCTGCAAGATCCACCACCAACACATGGGAAAAAGTCGAGTTCTTCAACACGCTCAACAGTGTTTGGTTGCCGTGTCCCGCTCCGCATAGAAGCGTCAGCAATCATGCTCAAAGAGGATGGATGAGATGTCGATTTTGTGGGCCAGCCAGCCGCATCCAGCACGCTGAAGACTGATTTGATGCTTACACGCGTCGTGGTGGAAGGGTCTGTCGTTTCAGAAGCAGAAACCCTTTGGTGTAATAGTGTGGGAGTTGTGTCCAGTCAAATACTTCGTGTGTTGGTGGTGCTTGGGGGTTGCTCCAGACTTCGGTAAACCGCAGAAAGCCATCTTGACGCCGCCGCGTTCAAGGCTTCTAGGCCCGGGTGCTTTGGAGTGAGATCTCTTCTAGGGTGAGGATGCTATTGACTGATATCATATCGGTATTTTCTTTCTTTCTTTGCTTGCGTGGACGTGAATGTGCAAATGCCAGCGATATCCATGACCGTTGAGACCACGGTCCTGTGTTATTTAACTTTAACGAGATATTGTTGTCTTTGATCTTCCGTGGTGGAAATACTCAGGGGCATCGGATGGCAGACCAGAGACACGGTAGTTTTCGAGGCATAATGCCTCCAGCTCCACCAATTATGCCAAGGGAAAAAGACACCTCCAACTTATCAACACTCTCAGCCAGTACCTACGTATCATTCCAGCAGTCTGGATAGATTGTGTATCTGACAGCTGCTAGCTCACCTTGACAGAGATACGGTGGGTATCTGAGCGTGTATATCTGCGTGGAGATTTCCCCTGAATGCTCGAGCTATCTTTCGGTCAGACGGCAACGGAATCTTCGCACTTAGGATTTGGAACCGCTGAAGCCGGAGGACAATTGATTTCGTTTCCCGCGGGTGCCTTAGAAGAACCGCCACCTGCGAGACGCTCTCCCACGTGAAGCCTAGAGGACTCAACTCACTCGTATCGAAAATATACTTTGGGTAAGTGAAGTGAGGTCAGTCAAACCAGCGTCAGAAAGACCTCACCACTCTGCTGAGCACGAACAGTCAGACACCGCAGCCAGCCCTTTTATACATACACATTGCTTTTCCCCGTGATGACCTCAGTGTGAATCAGAATTGAGACCCTCCCGTATTTGTAGGCCAGCTGGTCCATCCTCATCCACGTCTCGGATCAGTCCAGCATCAACAACCACAGGCTTCACTCTCCAGCTCAGGCTCGTCGAATAATAACAAGAATAATACTTATTAGGGTAGCATTGAATGTCCCCGCTGCAGACTCCGCTCCATCTTCCTGCATTCTCCTGCAAGCCCCTATAAGTCTAGGCTGAGAACGCTAGGCCTGTTGGGGGAGCACCAAGTCCGTGTGTTGATGGCGCCAAAAAAGCTGCTGGGATTCCTTGGGTTGCCTTGGCTTGGGAATAATCAGTCCTGGTCACCAAAATCTAAACTCACTCCGTCCAGTCCATCATCCCATCCCATACTGTTTCCTCTTCTCCTCTTCTACTTTCGTCCCCAGGCTCTGTCTCAATGCTCGATTATTGAAGACACCCAATCCTCAATCAATCCTCCCAGGGTCGACTACATTCCCTCCTCCTTCTCTTTCGCCCTTCTCCGTTGTAGTCCTCTTTTCGTTTCGCAGTCAACTCACTCCTCACGGCGAAACATTCCTCTCTCCATTCCACGACTCTCGCTTCTCCTGACTTTCGACGTCTCCCCCTCCGATTCCCGAGAACAGAAGGCCTTGTTTCGACAACGAAAGCAAGCCTGCGAGGTTGGCAGATTCTCTTCTGATTGATACCCCTTCGACTTCGTTGCTCATCTGTGGTTGTCGTGATAGATTCACCACGGTCGTGGGCGGACTCACGGTAAAAGTGTGTTCTGCCTGACGCGAGCGAGACAAATTCCACTTCCCTCTTCCACTTCTACTTCAACCCCCCTCAACTGGCCGCCGGCGACCTCCTTCGATTCGGTCTTTGTGTCAACCGTTCACTCGTCTTGACTTGCAACTACTCCTTTCGTAATATTTCCACCTTCGCTACATACATTTTCATTAAAGGTTCGTGATACCAAGCCTGCCCTGCCCATCATCCCCACCAGAACGCGTTCTTCGGCCTGACACCTCGTTAAAACAACATCACGTCTGAAAGTCATCGATGCACCTGCACCTCCTTCCTCGCTCTGCTGCCACTGTCGACTAACCAATCCATTCACTGCAGATCCTCAATTCTTGTCCTCGTCCTTTCTACAAAGTAGTCTTCGATACGAATGCAGCTCTGAGTCCGTGCAACGAAAGCTACTTTGCTTTTTCAACGTCTGCAGACTTTGACGCCACAGCATGGCTGCCCTCGTTCAATCATACCCACAACAGTCCAACACAGTCACCATGCTTCAGACTCGACCTGCCTCTGCCTCTGGCATCATCCATTCCTCCTCGCAGACTCAGGCACATCACCAGTATCCCACCAATCCACAACCGATGCAGCGTAACAGCTTCCATGGGATGAACAATAGCATGGGCGTAACAACATATCGAGGGCATACAGCAGTCACACCAATTGCTCCCTATGCCTTCACCAGCACACCCAATCTGGCTACACCTGGTCAACGGATACAGAATGGTCCTCATCTTCAACCAGATCAGAGAACCACATCGGCCCCAAGCATCCCCAATGCAGGTTCCACCCGGTCTCGATATCCAGCTCCACCATCAACCTCTACAACGTCATCGTCATCTTCTGATTTCTCTTCTCTGAGTCAAAAGTCAGGCTCAAAGGATGATTCAGTCATTACGGGAACTGCTCGCGTTGTTTCAGGGGCTGCGAGACCACAATCTACCATCATCACTTCTGTTGGAGCTCAAAGCCTCGCTCCTCCAGCCGTTTCATCAACTGCGAAGACTTCACCTGAGCGATATCGTCGACCGAACAACCGTCGTGCCGAGTCATCTACAAATGCTCCAACACCAGCCCAAACAACATCTGCTTCTGCTACGTCTATGCCAAATGTCATGCAATTCTATGGCAATAGCGTTCAACAGTCGGCAGCTCCAGGATCATATCAAAACTTAAACTTGCAGATGCCACAAATCTCGAAACCAACTCAAGGTTTTGCCTCTAGTTTTGGAAGTGCTGATGATTTGCAACTCAACCGAAATGTTGTCCAGGATCCGGCCAAGAGATATCGGCGGCGAAGTATCCACACTATCGATGCTGGAGAATATGGCGGCATGTCTGCATCATTATTGCAACAAGGGTCACGCCAAGTAAGCAGTGCAAATGGTAGATTTGATCAGCAACAACAGCAGCAGCACCCTCTCCGGAGCTCGCCCGTTGTGGTAAATCGCCCGAACTCGTCTCATGGACGAAATGGCAGTTCAGAGAGTGTCAACTCTGGCCGTAGCAACCATTCTCGACCTAGTTCTGTAAGTTCTCCTTTATCATACTCACCGCATTGTTTGCAACCCCAGTTGCATTTGCAGTTTTCCCGATGAAGGGGCGCCAATCAAAGTGGTTTTGGGTTCATTCTGTGAAAGACGCTAATGACTTCAGGCTTCCAAGCGAGAAGCAGGCGCATCCATGGCACCAAACCCCGCCCCGTCTTCCCTTTCGCAATCTTCAGCAGTACAACCACCACCAGCAAATGCCTTGGCCGAACAGACTTCAATCAAACACGATGTACCGCGCCTTGTAAATATTCCTCCTCGTGCCTCATCCACCGATGCCGCGAAACGAGTCGGAACTCCCTCGCCTCTTTCCAAGCCGGTGACAATGAGTCCCGAGTCCCCATCGTCGAAGGACTCGTTCGCATCGGCTGTCAATGCCGCCCTGCAAGAACCAGCCAAACCTACCTACGCACAGGCTGCGAGCGCGAATATGAACGCCTCGAGCCCTGCCGCTCAACAATTAGCAGCATTGAATGAGAAAGAAGGCAAGAAGAGCAAGACTTCTCGACTTCGCAGGGCATTTTCGTTTGGAAGTGCCGCGGAATTGCGACGAGCATCAGCCGAGAATAGCGCCGCAAATAACGCAGCAGATCGCTCGAAGCTCCGCAAGGAAAAATACCAAGATGAACAAGATGCAGAGCAGGCTCGAATTGCACAACAGCAAGAAGCTGGTGGTATCGGTTCTGGCATCTACAATGGACAGGGTAATTTCTTCACCGGTTCGACCGATAATCTGTCTATCTCATCGACCGCCTCATCAGCCTCAGTGATGATACGTAAGATGGGTAAGGGCATGAAGAAGTCCACTAGATCTCTCGTGGGATTGTTCCGACCGAAATCTGTTATCGGCGTCCCTGCGGCAGACTCTGCCCTCCCACAGGCTAGCCAAGCCCAGGTGTCAATGGTCACTGTCGAGGCAGAACGCGAGAAGGTTAACGTTAATCTCAACCCACATGATCAAGTCGGAGGTGGCACTGGATATCCTAAACTCGAGCGTAATTCGATTGATGCCGCTAGTGCCAGTGTTGCCGTCTCTGAACGTCTCGGCAGTTCCAGCACTGAGAACTCATCAGCTAGGAGAAGCATTGTCGGAGGTGAGAAGGAGCGCGCAGAGGTCCTCGCTGCAGTCAAGAAGGGCATCCTCAAGCGTAAGTTCATAAGCACTGATCATCGTTCTCGACTAATAGTTGCAGGCTCTGGCACCGACTCTGGCAATTCCTCTCCTGTCATTCGACCCCTCGACTCTAAGTCTCCAAACTTCCAACTCCCACAAATCCCTCACGTCAACGAGTCTCCCATATCTTCGGCACCTAGCACACCCAATGATGAACAACAAGGTCACCGACGAATGGGCTCGGTCACACTTGGAGGCGAGGACTATTTTATGTCTGCACTACGCTTCCAGGGTAACTCTAAGAGTGTACCTGGTACTCCACAAGGTCCCAATGGAATCAAGCGAAATGCTACATTCAGTCCACGCATTCAATTCCATGATACATGGCCTAGCGGAGAATACGATCGCAGAGGTGAGATTGCAACATGCAATCGTCTAACACCAATGCTCGCACAACAAATCAAAGAGGAGCTCAACACTTTCAAGATGGCATGTTACCAATACGATTCTCGAAACACTTTGCTAACGTAATTACAGGAAATGGAAGTGCACGAAAACTCGAAGATTTATACGCATTTCTTCTAATGACACCACGACTATGGCTGGTAACGCAGTCCACGAAAATCCACATAACCTCTCCTCGCATAGCACAGGCACATAAAGAAAAGTTGCCACGCACAATTTCACACTTTCGATGGCGTTTAGTAGGGCCGCATTACATGGTGTATGGAGTACTTCACATCTGAGCGATTTTTGTCAAACTATATTCTTTCATTAGACTGGCGTCGGCCGTCTTCTTTATTCTCGAGCATAACTGGGTGGAAAGATTCAGAAGAGGAAAGAGAGACAGATGGAGGAGAGAGTGGAAATTGAGATTGAGAGAGATGTGAGATGTACTGCTGCAAAGCCTTTCCGAGAAACTTATTTTTGGGGAGAAACAAAACCAAGGGAGCAATCATAAGGTCCGATTTGGACTGGTTAATATTGATTTCTAGCTTTCTCGCTCTTTCTTTCGTTCCATCAAAAGACTGAAGAATGCTTCTTTTCGTTCTCGTCATCATCCTGATCGTAAAACTCATTTGTGTGCTGAATCTGGCGGACAGCTGGTCTGTGGTGGGTGGGGTTTGACGCATATGATTTCTCATGGAGGGTTTTCTCTTCGCAAGCATAGGCACATCTGGCGAATCATAGGGGGAACTACACTACCTACATAATCGAATCACAATCCGTATCTGAGACATTTCCTGGTTCCTGCTTTGTGCACCCATCCCATCCCACTCTATCAGATCGTCCGTCGGTCCCTGTCACTAGCAGGTGGGTGGCGGTGAACCGGTTTTTGGCTCGGAGATAGGGGGATCCTTGTAGGGTCTGTTATATATTGTAGGCTTTTGACGGAGGGGAGGGCAAGAAAAGTATATGCAAGTCATGGTTTGAGTTTTTGGTCCGTGTAGGTTTCGTAGGCGAGAGAGTGAAGCATGTGAAGATGTGAATCGTGCGTAGCCTTGTGCAGGGATTGGAAAGGCTTAGCGTAGCCTCGTGCGAGAGGCGCTAAGATAATCAATAATTTTCTTGAGGTGAACATTTATTGAAGTTATACTTCTGGAGAAAGAACAACAACAGCAACGAGCTGGCTTCCCTTCCCACCGCAAAAGCGTTATTCAAAGGTCTCCGGGCTGGTTCCCGCTTCCTCCCAACTATCAAAGCGACAATGGAGATGGCGAACGGGGAAGCAAAGAAGAAGGAGAAGCTCCACGGCAGAGCCTTCTACGAGAGTATCGGGAGCCCGAAATTCGTTCTTGCGCCTATGGTTGATCAATCTGAATTCGTACGTTCTCGTTATTCTAGAACGAAGAAGTGAAAGAGCAGGAGCTAATTCGAGAGCAAAAACAGGCATGGAGAATGCTAACCAGGTCCTTCATGCCGGAATCTGCGAAGGATACACTGCTAGCTTACAGCCCGATGATGCACGCACGAATGTTCGGCGAGACGAAGAAATTCCGAGACGCCCATTTCCAACCTCTTCGATCATCTCTCCCTACTGCGAAAGAAGGAGAAGAAGACAAAATTCCGTTCTTAGACGGAAACCCCAAATTCGATCGCCCGCTCTTCGTCCAGTTCTGTGCCAACGATCCGGACGAATTGCTCGAGGCCGCTAGACATGTAGCGCCGTTCTGCGACGCGGTGGATCTAAATCTAGGGTGTCCGCAGGGGATTGCGAGGAAGGGGAAATATGGCGCGTTTTTGCAGGAGGATCAGGAGTTGATTTATAGGTTGGTGAATAAACTTCACAAGGAGTTGGAGGTCCCTGTTACGGCGAAGATTCGGGTATTGGAGAGTAAGGAGAAGACGCTGGAGTATGCGCGGAATGTTGTCAAGGCGGGAGCGAGTATCCTGACGATCCATGGACGCACGAGGGAGATGAAGGGGCATAAGACCGGGTTGGCGGATTGGGGGGTTATTCGGTGGGTGAGGAAACGGTTGCAGGGGGACGATGTGGTGGTTTTTGCGAATGGGAATGTGTTAAGGAAAGAGGATGTGGAGGCTTGTTTGAAAGAGACGGGCGTGGATGGCGTTATGTCCGCGGAAGGGAACCTGTATGATCCCGCTATCTTTGCGGAGGACCCCGCGGTGGGAGAAGAGGGGAGAGAGTTCTGGAGAGGAAGAGACGGGAAGGGTGGGTGGAGGATGGACGCGGTGTTTAGGACGTATATGGACGTTATGTACAAATACGTCCTGGAAATTCCTGCTCCAGACAGAACACCATTATACCTACCTTCGGACCCGGAACCTGAGATATCAGAGAAACTCAACGGCGCAGAAACGGGGACCAAGAGACCTCTCGACAACGCAGACCCCGAACAACCACCAAAGAAACGCCCCCGGAAAGAAGTCAAGAAGGAAAAAACAACCTCTCCAAATCTCCTCGCCATGCAACCCCACCTCTTCCACCTCCTCCGCCCGCTAGTCGCCAAGCACCACAATGTCCGCGACGCCCTAGCGCGCTGTCGCGCCGGCGATATCGCTGCTTTTGAGAACGTGCTTGCACTTACCGAGACTGCTGTCCGAGAAGGCTTGCGTGAGTATGAGATCACTGATGGCGCGAGTTGGGAGAGAGAGTTGGGGGAAGATGAGAGGTTAAAGGCGGGGAAGAAGGAAACGGAGGGAGGGATTGAGGTGGAAATGGAGGAAAGCTCGGTAGAGACGGTGAGGTTGTGTAAGAGGCCGTGGTGGGTGGTGCAGCCGTATGTGAGGCCGTTGCCGAAAGAGGCGCTGGCGAAGGGGAGTTTGACGTTGAGTCGGAAGGAGAGGGAGATGTTAGAGAAGGAGAAGGCTGGTGCTGTGGAGGAGAAGAAGGTAGACGAGGGGAATGGGATTCCGAATGGACATGTGGAACATGAGAAGATTGGTGATGGGGAAGGGAAAGAGGAAGTTGAGATTCCGAAGGAGGGGCTAGTTTGTGGTTGACGATGGATGAGGGTGCTTCATTGCACTCCGGTAGAGTTCTTGTATCATATAGAAGATGGCTGGAATGGGAGAAGTGGTCAAGCGCTGATACACTTCTTCCTAGCTGGCATATATCTCGAGTTGCGATCTTGCTTGTTTGCTATTCGTTTTTCCGTTCCTGTCTATTGAGACCCATTCACAACATAGATATTCCATCTTTCCTGATAACCCTGATGACCGCCAAGTTCCTTAGTTAGGAAGCGGTCCGTTGATCTTTCCGTTCCGCTTATGATCAAGGCTATTACAAGATGCGCTAAAATCACGTATGGTCTGGATTCAAATCTGGCTATATCAAAGAAGATTTCCGTTTACAAGACAGGAAAAGTAGTTTATCTCTTCTCATCACAATCTACAATTTCACACAAAATCTTCCTCGCCGCCTAGCTACTTCATGACAAAACGCAAAGAGTCATCACGCGAACATCCTACTCAAACACCCTACCTAATCATCCAACCGAAACACCCAACATCATGACGCTCTTCTTCTCAACCATGAAGTGTCTTCGTCAACATCTCTCGAAACACAAAATAGATAAAACAGAAAACTTCAACACTCCACCCCAAAACCAAGACGAGGATACGTAGCTGGGATCCGACCCCGATACTCCTCAAACCTTCAACAAACCGAGCTGGATCTCCCGACTCCGCCTCAAACACAAGCAAATCCCAAAGCCGCCAAAACACAATAATCACGAACAAACGACACAAAACTTTGAAGAGCCTCGGTATCAGGCTACAAGCGAGGCATCTCTAAGTCAAGTATTGGCAATGGAAGAGACAGACGCTCACAGGCATCGAGATCGAGATGAGAGTTACTATAGCTATGATCCCGTTACACAGATGTATGCAGCAGCTGGCGTCCCTCCATTGCTTGGAATCGCTGTGGCGATGAGTTGTGGGGTTTTGTAGGTAGGTTGGGGGAGAGTGAAGATCGGGTTACCGTATTAATTGGTTTCTAAAACATCATATTATAAGCAAATGGCCGTATGAAGTCCGTTGGGCGACCATGTCTAAATTTAAAAGTAATACGCTATACCCAATTAGATAGTTTGATTCTTGAGATATGTTTAATGCCGCACAAAACAATTGTTTTTTATAATTCCTTAACTCCACCCTCTTTAGTCTTTAGCAAATAGAAGCTATGTCTCAAAAAGACTCTATTGTAGGACGAGTGAAAGGATCGAGGGAGGCAGGAAGGGGATGCTAGCATATTCTATATGAGGTTTTCATTTAGGCGAGGCTTAGGGGGACCATGTCTTATATGCCCTAATCCCTTATTTCGGAATCATATCTTAGAAACCAATTAATACGGTAGGGATACTTTGGAAGATCTGTGAATAGAATTTTGGCTGGTGTTGAGTAAGGAGAAAGGGAGTTGGTTTGGGTCACGAATGGAGTGGATTCTCAAGAGTAGTATCCTAATCTACTAATGAGTATTGTATTCATTTTCTTTCCATCTTAAAGTCTGTAAACGAATGCTCATCAGATAGAGTCTGAGTCTGCAATTCCAGAAGGAATGTGTACGGAGTGCTGTATAGCTAAAGGTATTGTCAACTGTGGAATGGTTCTTTAGTCAGATCCAATCTAACAATAACAACCTCAAAATGTCTGAAACTGAATCCTGCGAATTAATCTTTTGTTGCACATCGCGAGCTAGCAACTTTTTCTTAGCAGCCATTTCCAAGCTAGTACTTTTTCTTAGCTCTATACAAAAATCTCTTTGTTGCACATCGCGAGCTAGCAACTTTTCTTATCAGTGATTCCAAGCTAGTAACGTTTTCTTATCTGTTTACCTACTTACACAAAACCCGCAAAGACTCCTCGGCAACTAAGCGAGCCCCTAAAAATCGCCTTTACCGCAACTCGAAGTCTCGCAAACCCACGACACCCCTCCGAAGCGCCTCAATCGCCTCTCCAAATATGACGCCGTCAAGATAGGCATCTCCAACGACCTCAAAATGGTCATCGACGGGACGTAGAGTCATTGGCACTGAACACCCAAGCAGAACACAGATCAGATCGCCGGTTCGCACGCGGTTTGGATGGCCCATCTGCCCGATCCAGCCGTTTGCCGTTACGATGATGGTTCGTTCCGACGGTGCGTTATCCTTGAGGCAGGCGAGGAGATCTGTGTTCTCCCAGAGTGGGGAATCCTCGTCTGCGGGCCAGTTGCCTAAAGCTTGGGAGAGAAGTTCTTGTGGGAGGTGATCAGATAGGGTTTGACTCGATGTGCTTGATGTGTGGGAATGTGCTCTGCAGTTCTGGAACACTGTAAGTAGAGCGCGTAGAAAGGCTAGCTGGGCCAGCTGTTTTGAAGGGTAAGAATGCAGCTGGGCGAGAAATCTCCAGATTCGTTGACAGGGACGTTTCATGGTCTCCTTGAGTGTACCATGCAAAGAATTCATCAAAGGTCCCGTGTGGACTGTCTTGTGGAATGCAACTACCCCCCATACAATTCCCGCAACTGTCATAGTTGTCAAGTCTTCTGAGAAAGTCGCAACACATTTCTCGTCCTGGGAAGCGTGGAAGATGGTTGGATTCACAGCCGGATGACCAGCTCGTCCATCTGTGTAGCTTGTCTGGCTCTCGACCGTCCAGTCCGGTGTCCATGTTCGAGAGACAAGGGCGTTATTTTAAGAGCAATGTGCCAGAATATCCAGCTTGCCAGTAGCCATTGAGATAGCTTTCACGACACTAGAATACACATCTTCTACCTTCGCACTGTAGTCCATTATCAGCGCGGTAGGATCGTAGCCTGCACTGCAATGACTGCACATATTTTCTAGAAAATGCTCCAAGATGCCAAGGACGCTGTATATCTTGTCTCTTGGCTCGATGCCTTCTGTGGCACGGTTGCATGCAAGCCAATATTCCAGTGAGCGTGTTCTTCCAACCATGAGATGTAGATCCATCGAGAGATGTGCCGCGAACAGACGAAGAAAGTTCCTTTCCGCAACAATGTACTGGCCCACAAACATTGAGAGCTCGATCTTCTTATTCAATGGCTCAAACCGATTTCGAAGATGCAAAGCTTTTAGATCTCGTATTTTGAGTCGCAACAAAGCACGAAAATTGTCCCCATACATGGACCGGTTGCCGCAGTGGAACAGAGTCTTGGTGCCTGCTGCAAGTACAAATTCTTGAAGAATCCATGTACGGGTAAACCAAGGTCGAGAAATCAGGCTAGCAATCGAGTCGACTAAGGTTGGGAATTTTTTCAATTTTGTCTGACTCTCGATCCATTCCAGAAACCTGTTCTGGTCCTCCACTTCCTGGTCTCCAAGTTCCTCCAGGAATTTCATTGCATAGTCGCTGTTGGAAGCGCTGACACCGAGCCAGACTAACAATCGACTTGAGTTGCGATAGATCCTTGCCATGAATTGAATCTGCTGATTCCGTTCCTCGAGGTCTGCTTGATTTATACAGATTGCGTCGATCCATAAGCAGCGCAATCCGGCAGCATTATCTTGTCCTCCTGTCCTCCGTTCTCCAGTCCAAGAAGAGTTCCTGGCGGTCATCTTGGGAATGCGCTTACGGAACTGCTTCAATGCTTGCTTGAGCGTCGGCGATACATAGAATCGTTTTTCATCTATCGTGATAGGTCGGTTGTGGGATTCGGTTCCCCAGGTATAGGAGACGGCTTCATAGTCCCAAATGTCCTCAAACAAAACATGTCGAAGGCTACAAATAATAGGTGCAGTCTCTTCATCAGCCCGCAACACTAAAATGCATATCTGCCCTGGACTCAATGGAGAATATTCGAATAAGTCTGCCATGAAGCACGCGCTATCAGCAGTGCATTATCGAAGCATTATTGATGATTCCGTGCTGAACAAACTCAGTGACAATATATGAGGCCCTGTAATTGAGCCTATACTCCTGAATACGAACAACCCAATAACAGCTGCTGCTGGAAATTGAAAACCCGAATTGCACGACACAACCAAGGGTATCATCGATCGATCTCAGTGCATCTCTACAGGTGCTACGTAGTAACATAAAGAGTGGAGTGTGAGGTGTGCAACAAACATCGAGGCGACCACAGCCAAGATTCAATTTGAAAAATTGCAAAGCTCAGCGTATATTAATGAAACAATTAAAGACTATCTTCTCATTGGCTTCTCTCGGTGAGCGGATCTGCCATGGCTTGGTATGGCAGGCGGTATGAGGGACTGAGGCGCCCTGCACGGTCTGTGCCGTAAATGATATATTTTCCCCACATACGCCCGAGTACAACGGATCTCATAGAAGTAACAGAACCAGAGGACTGATTTCGCTCGAATTGATAAATTGACGTTGAACTCGGCGACTTCATCCATAAATCGAGATGCTCAACTCAAAATTTCTTGTTCTTTTTGAAAGCAAATTTCTCGTTCTCAGCAGCAGCTGATCATAATTCAAAACTTAGGAGCATTCAATGAGAATAATCAATGCAACAGATCATGAGATACGTAAAAGCTTTTTCCATCTCAGGTTCAGTAGCGACGCTGAGTACAATCAAGCAATTGTGAAATTCGAACAGTATACAAGGCAGATTGAGAAGTCGGAAAGGGAGAAGGAACAGGGAAGAATTCAAAGGCTGACTAATCCGACGCTAGTCAGCAGCTGAATTGCTTGAAGTTTTCTCCCTCTTCTGCGATACAAAACCATCTCGCCCTGCTACTCGTTAATCCATATCAGCATCTCTACCTTCCCAGCAAGGGACTTCAAAAGTCTTGTAAAGTTTTTCCGTGCCGTTTGAAAGGAGCACCACGTGATCCAAACCTCGGCTCATTTACACCCGAATATGAGATTCTGGGGTAGCCAACTTTATCCTCTCGTCCTGACGATCATTTTTGATGTCTTTAGCCGCATACAGAGTCCCTTCCCCGACATGCGCGAATCTTACACACGAGAAACTCAGCTCTCCGATTGCTGGATAAACATCCGCAGCGGCCTAGTGCAATGCGGGGTCTGTAAAGGCGGGAACGCAATTTGGACGGATAGAGACGAGTTTCTTGGGAAAAGATGGAGATGGGGATGGTAGGACCGAGATGTAGTAGTTCATGAGGAGATTTGCTATACCACAATTGCTATATAACTAATGTCCAGGATCTCGAAGCCCAGATGGATATTTGGAAGCAGGAATTGAAGACAAGTTGCCAAAGATGCGGTTCTTGAAGCTTCTTACTGTGGCATTGAGCGCTCTTCTGTGGACATCTGCCAATGCGACAGATGATGGATTGACTACAGCGGTGACGTGGGATCCATATAGTTTGTCAGTCAATGGCAGTAGGGTGTTCATATTGTAAGTTTTTGGGTTTGATGAATAGGGCTGTGCTGATGTTCTGTGAAGCTCTGGCGAATTCCACTATCAGCGTATGCCTGTACCTGAGATGTGGCTTGATATCTTCCAAAAATTCAAAGCAAATGGATTTAATGCTATAAGGTATGTGTTTTAAATTGGAACTGATTTAGGATGAAAGCTTACCTTGTCAGTATATACTTCTTCTGGTCATACCATTCTCCATCGAAAGGCGTGTACGACTTCGAGACATCTGGGAAGAATGTCCAACGCGTTTTCGATTATGCGAAAGAGGCAGGTCTATGGGTCATCGCTCGTGCTGGTCCTTATTGCAATGCCGAAACGAACGGTGGAGGATTCGCACTTTGGGGGTCAGACGGCAGTCTGGGGAATCTGCGTACAAGCGACGCAACATACTACGAATCATGGCTGCCATGGATCACGCAAATCGGAAACATCATCGCGGCGAATGAAGTCACGAAAGGTGGACCAGTCATCTTGAATCAGATTGAGAATGAGCTTCAGGAAACAACGCATTCTGCGACCAATACGCTAGTAGTATACATGGAGCAAGTCGAGGCAGCTTTTCGAGCAGCGGGAGTGACTGTTCCATTTTCGAGCAATGAGAAGGGAGAGCGATCCATGTCATGGAGTACCGACTATGAGAATGTCGGGGGCGCTGTCAATGTCTACGGTCTGGACAGTTACCCAGGCGGATTCTCTTGCACTAATGTGAACACCGGCTTCAGTGTGGTTCGGAATTACTATCAATGGTTTGCCAACTATTCTTACACACAACCGAACTACTTCCCAGAGTTCGAAGGCGGCTACTTTACGCCATGGGGTGGAAGCTTCTATGATTCCTGTTTGGCGGAGCATGATCCAGCCTTCGCAGATGTGTATTACAAGAACAATATCGGACAGAGAACGACACTAATGAGTTTGTATATGGCCTGGGGAGGAACGAATTGGGGACATTGTGAGTACCAAGTTGCAAATTAAGTTCTGGGCTAACACGAGAAGCTGCTGCACCTGTTGTCTATACCTCATACGACTATTCCGCTCCGTTGCGAGAGACTAGGCAGATTCAAGATAAGTTTTACCAGACGAAACTAGTCGCTCTTTTCGCCCGGAATTCGCCCGACCTACTCGAAACCTACATGGTTGGTAATGGAACGGGATACTCGGTAATTACTTCGAGCAGATTCGGTGCTTACAGCTAAATGAAAATAGGTCTCAACTACAGGTATCTGGACATGGGAAATTCGAAACCCAGATACGAATGCCGGCTTCTACACTGTTCAGCAAGCGACCACTAGTTCTCGCGCTTCAGTCACATTCTCTGCTTACCTCAACACGTCCGAGGGAAACATCACTGTTCCCAATGTCAATCTGAATGGACGACAAAGTAAGATTCTTGTCACGGACTACACATTTGGCACCCATACTTTGCTCTACTCAAGTGCTGATATTCTCACTTGGGGAACTTTCGGAGACGTTGACGTTATTGCTCTGTACCTTGAAGAAGGTCAAGTTGGGCAATTTGCAATCACAAATAGTCCCTCCAATGCTTCACATACCTCTTTCGGCCCAACAGTGTACACAGCTACTTCATCTGGTAGCACAACAACATTTGTTTACACACAAGGAGCCGGCCAAACTGTCATTCAATTCAATGGTGTCCTGATCTATTTGCTAGAGCAGCAGACAGCATGGAAATTCTGGGCCCCATCGACAACGACTAGCCCAGACCTCAAGCCTAACGAGCAAATTTTCGTTCTTGGTCCGTACTTAGTTCGGAACGCCACTATTTCACACGGCGTTGTGCACGTCTCAGGAGACAATGATAATGCAACAACCATTGAGGTATTTTCTGGCGATTCCAGCATTCAAACAATCGACTGGAATGGCCTTCGTATGAGTGCTACTCAAACACCGTACGGATCTGTCACAGCTCAAATCCCAGGAAACGAGAATCGAACGATCTCTCTCCCTACGTTGGACAATTGGCGCTCGGCGGATTCTTTGCCTGAAAAGCTCGCCTCCTACGACGATTCGAAATGGGCTGTCTGCAACAAAACCACTACATTGAGCCCTGTGGCTCCGTACACACTGCCCGTATTGTTTTCGAGTGATTATGGTTACTACACGGGCGCAAAAGTCTACCGAGGCTACTTCGACGGAGCGAATTATACAGCTGTAAACATCAGCTGCTCTGGTGGTCTCGCATTTGGTTGGACCGCATGGCTCAATGGAGTCCTCATTGGTGGCAACGTTGGGAATGCCTCGCTTACGACTACCACTGCTGTCCTCACTCTACCATCTACCTCTCTCAAAGCTACTGATAACCTTGTGACGGTCGTGGTTGACTACCACGGGCACGACGAAACCTCCACTGCAAAAGGCGTTGAGAATCCTCGTGGCATCCTAGGCGCACAACTCATCTCTGCTAGTAAGTCGACCACAACGACAAGCACCGGCTTCAAGACTTGGAAGATTCAAGGAAACGCTGGTGGTTCAGCAAACATCGATGCTGTTCGTGGTCCTATGAATGAAGGTGGATTGTACGGCGAGCGTCTCGGCTGGCCTCTACCAGGTTTCACTCCCGACTCCACATTTGATCGTTCATCTCCCCTGACCGGACTCAACTCTTCTGGCATCCGCATGTACACCACAACCTTCCATCTAAACATCGACAGTGATCTCGATGTCCCCCTCGGAATCGAACTTGGAGCTCCCGCTGGAACCGTTGCACGAGTCATGCTTTGGATGAACGGCTACCAGTACGGGAAATTTGTCCCGCATATTGGGCCACAGACTCGATTCCCGATCCCGCCTGGGGTTATCAATAATAGGGAAGAGAATACGTTGGCGGTTAGTATCTGGGCTATGACTGATGCTGGAGCGAGCCTTGACGAGGTTAGTTTGATTAGCTACGGAGCTTACCAGACGGACTTTACTTTTAATCAGGATTGGAGCTATTTGCAGCCTGGTTGGGATGCGAGTAGGTTGCAGTATGCTTGAGAAGCTTCAGAAGTACCCGTATGCTATTGAAAAGATATATACTTCATAAAACATAATGTATTTCTCCACTTTCGAATTCTACATCTTTGTCACCTCTAGTCTAGTTGGTGAGCCCCAAATCATTCTATATTGTCTTTCTAGCCTGCTGCCCGATTTCAGTCTCCGCCACAACGATGGAAGTATAGGGCCGATCACGTATGCCTACCAATTTCAAGATCTTCAGGTTTCCGGAGCACTACCCCAGATCCTCGTATTTCCATCTATTCACATCCAATCAAGAACTATAAATCACCAAGAGAGAGACACAAGAAAATTGTTGGAATTAGCCTCGATGCAGTTCCCTAAGAATTATCCTGATTAGTCCCAAGTCGGTAAACTTGATGCTCCTTTCCAGGTCCGATATCATTTGCAGTGCCTGGCTGGCTGATGTATAACCTAAACCCCATTGATGACAAGAAACCTACTCTTTTCGCGACCCCTCCTTCATTTTTCTGTGGAGATTCTTGAACAAAGCTCTTATTTACCCAAGTGGAACTTCGATATCCTCAACTAACGATGAAGACACTTACCATTTCTCTCTTCTTGTTCCTGAAGGCCATGGCCGTCTCTACGGCAGCTCAAACGTGTTATCATCGCCATGGAGCATAAGGCTGGATTTGCTACGCAATATCACAACGATGGACACTCATCGGCGCCTTGCATGTCCTCGGGGCTCTGCTTCAACCTGATCCCATCTCAGAGAATCATGTACCGATATAAAGTGGAGAGATCCTGCTTATCCTCAATATCGCGCTGACTGTGTGTAAATCTGACCTGCCTCCCAAGCTAGAGCTGATACTGAGAAGTGATCCTAAACAGTAGATATCCGATCATACCCCGCCATGGACGGATGGAGTGAATATCACAACAATAGGGCCGGTATTGTGACTTCCCTATTGCAAATAGATCTTATTCTCACGACATCAAGAACAAAGCGCAGACTAGCACCGTGCCTTTTGATACCACCACAATACCCTCGACCTCGCCACAGAGTGCCACGAATATAGCTGCCACATCGTCATATTCTGCTGCTAGACAACAGACGAAATATGTTCCGTGAACCAGCAATCGGCTAGGCATTAGCCGTTTCGGCGCCGTGCTTCGATTTCTCGTGGTAGAGGTTGAGGGAGGCGGGAGAAGGATATCCACAGGGATATTCCGATGTGATGTCCATGCCGTCTACGGTGGATTGGGGGTGTCTGCTCCCGTGCCGTCGAAATTGGGTGGGACGCAGAGTTTTAGGGAATTATTTGGACACATACTGTGTGTAATAATAAGTTAGCCGTTTTTGATCTGTTATCAGGTATCTCTCTTGCCTTGTAGATTCTCCTTAGTCTCTTCTCTCATTGTCCCAAGACCAGTGGGACAATGAATAGAGCGGATAGCAGCTGAGCGGAGCGTCCTAGGAATTTTGCAAATCCTTTCCTCCTTCCTGATTGGATAGATGCGCTATCAGTGACAGCTTCACTCTTAACGCCAGCGCCCACTATCTCATCATCCCAGACCTCTCAGGACAATCAATAACAGAACAGGCTACAATTCTGGACAGATTCCTCAAGCCACAGGCCCCCCACCATCATATCAATCTCAAAAACGCACAGTCCCCCGGGCGTCTACTTCCACTTCCATCATCGTCGGCGACCTCACCTCAATTATATACCCCAGGCCAGGATCAGAACCACGATCGACGTCAATGCGGTCCCGAAACGAGCCGAGCCGATGCCATCCCATCCTATCCCCTCCCACCCCATCCCGTCCAATTTCCAACCGCCACAATCCTTCCGTCCCGGGTTGTCGGCCCACCTCCGGCATGCAGGAGTCGATGGAAACGGATGTGATCTTGCTTCTGTCATGATCTTATGGTTTGGGTTGTGGTGGGGGTCAGAGCGGCTCGTGTGACTTGAGGTCGTGCTTCATTCTTCCCGTAGATGATCTGATATGTATTGTATTGGGGTCGTGACGCGGAGTTGGTGCCCCGTTATGTAAAGGAGAGTGGTACTGCAGGCAAGCAGGTTCGAAGGATCCGCTGAAAAAGGCCAAGTAACTTGAGAATTTCGTTCATGTACAACTCCGTATGGTGAGAGTCGTGAAAAAGCAAAGAAAAGATTTGTAGGCGCGTACACGTTTTCAACGGCTGACGGCTGATGACAGGCTCCCGTCAGCCATCCATCCCTCCATCAAAAGCAAAACCGTCATCTTCCAGTGAGTGGAAGTCTTCTACCACTCACACCATCTCCCATATCCCACATCCGACCCCCCCTTCAATTGCCCTGCCTCATCCTGTCCCACCCTCCCTTGCAATCCGGCACCCAGAATCGCAGTCCCGCGGTGGCGTGCACACCAGCACACCTCCCCGATTGGTCCAACACGTGATCGATCCTCGCCCTCTCCTAATCTACAGTACCATCCTCCTTCCCCCAAACCGAAACAGGGTTTCAAGGAAAAGGCAGGCAGGTTCACCGGAATCGCTCACCCGCAATTCCGCGAGGAAAATGCGATGTGCAACAGAAGTAGCAGAAGGGAGGTTTAGGCTTGCGGCTTCTGTTGATACATGAAGGAGGTACCTTGGGACCTGTTCCCCGTTCTTTTTTTGATGCTCGCTTAGACTGGGATGGAAGGGGATTGACGGTACGTGAACTGATTTTAGGTTTCGTTTCTATGCTGGCTTGCTTGATGGGGTTGTGTACTCCGAGGATTTTTTAGAGTTTGTCTGGATATGGTCCGTCGCCCAGTCGGGGAATTTATAGGATTGTTAGACTGCAGTTTCTAGAGTTGAAAAGGTATATTTTAACGAAGTGAGCGCTTGTGACGTCAAGTCTTCGAGCTTTGGGGATTTGAAGGCTCGTGGTTTGTGTGATTAGTGAACGTGATAGATAGTAGAGTAGTGAAACTTCGAAATGGAATCGTTCCTATAGGTCCAATACGGCTCCAAAATACTTTCGTAGACTCTTGGCGGGTTTGACGGGGCTAAAGTTTATTCTTCGAGCGGCCAAGCCAAGGGACAGAGAGGCTCGGCTGGTTTTGCCAATAAATTCCTGCTCTCTGACGCTTAGGTTCCACTTGGTCGTGTTGGTGTAAAGTACTCAAAGACTTTCTTCAATCTGCAACTTAGTTGATCGCTCCATCTCAGAGTGTCCTCGAAAGCCTCTGATCTGCCTTTGGCCGTTTCTGCTTATCCTCGGGACCGAACATGGCTTACGGAGGTACGATTACGACGCAAGAACAAGGCGTACCATAACGATTTCTAATAACATCGACATATTATTCGATCAGTCCTTACAGGCAACCACCTTGTTCGGCGTTGTGGTACAGCTCTTGTTCAGGGTCTGGCACTACCCCGACCCTTGAACGACCCACATATTTTGCCCAAGTGACGAAGCGGAACGGCCCGCGAGGGACACATGGATGTTTGATTGTGCCGGAAAGGAAGAGGCTCAGTCATGCACAGGAACATGAACGGGAAGATAAGAGGGCTGAAGAGCTGAGTAACGGCTTCATAAGAGAAATATTCAAACAGCAAATATCGTCGCAGCTGAAAACATCAAACCCAGGTAAACAGGAATCTTGATAACCAGTAGCAGCCGTCTCGCGGGAGATGAGGCGTCGCTCTGGCCTCTCACAAGTAAGCACTTGCTTTCCATCACATGTAGTTTCCTGGTATCTCCGTACCAATGAAAACATTCCCACTCCCGAGCAATAAACTTTCCAAACACGCGGAACTCCTCCCCGGACCCCGATTATAGCTCTGTATTAAGTATAGCTCAGGTATTTGCGGTGCTGGTGCGGCCGCAGCTTCTTCTCTCCTTGTTGTCGCGTGGAAATATCCATGCAACTCCCAGGTCTGACCTCATAGCAAGAACTCAAAATTTTGAGGCTTTCCTCTTCCCTGTGCTGACTTCAAAGCTACCTTTATTCAAGGATAAATAATTACAACCTTGAGGGTTTATACCTCTAGCACTTTCCACATACAAATTGAGTGATAGCAACTCACTCATTGGTCCAAGACCTTGATTTGTCTGTGCTCTAAAACCCTCAAGGGTGTAATTATTTATCCTTGAATAAAGGTAAAAAGCCTTAGCAGCAAAAAGAAAAGGTGTAACCTCTAATGCAAGGTACGGACTCGTGTCGCACGGAAGCACAGTCCCGGAAAGGGTACGGAGGTACCTCCATCCGTTCGTCGTTTGACGTTTCTTGACAACACATCAATCAATGCCGTCTTTCCAAACAAAACTCAAATAACGCTCAGGTCGGCAGATATTGATATCAAACATCCTTCCTCCTTCCTCCCCTCCATCCAGATGTACCGAGAAAAGCAGAAGCAGAGCAATGGTACATGCAGTACAAAAAAGAGGAAGACACGGACCACCCTCCGCACGACGTGCAACAGAAAAAAAAATTCGTGGACTGTGCACATGTGAAAATGGAAAATTCATTACACAGCGCTTGCTTGGCCCAGCGGCACAGAAGATTCCTTTACCCGTCCGGGAAGCCGTAACGTTGCGGAGAGGGGAATGTGTACGAAAGTTACCAGTACGTATGTGGCGATGGAAAAGTGGATGACGATCGGCACGCCACGAAAATGCGACTTGCAACAGACTTCGTCTTGGCGGCGGTGGTGGAAAAGTAAGCATGTAAGATGATGGCGAATTGTTGATTGCTTATTGTTTGAGTGTGGTTTTTTGCTGGTGTTTTGATGTTTGGGATAAGTTGAGATGAGCGAGTTGGGATTGTGTGGTGCCGAGCTTTTTGAGCTGCAGTTGAAGTTAGTGCGACCAGCGAAAGTGGCGACAAAAGGGGCAGGAGCTGCGTTAACTTGTTGGTGATTGAGGAAGGGCCGTACTTTTGATTCGGATTAAAAGAGCATGTGGCCTTTGTGTCGTTCCTGCATATTTCGAGTTTTTCTTCCAGGACCGCAGTAACTAACAACTTGCTTTCAGCCTCAGTGAGATCTGGCTTCGGGAAAAGAGAACCCATTTATCGACTTTTGCGGCATATGGATAGATTGATGAGAGGCCTTGGAGAATCCTGGACGCCCGTAAAACTCTTTTCCTGGCAATTGTAGTCCTTGTTGCTGCACTTGAGCATCGCTACCAACAAACACTCAATTGATACCTGTCACAAGTTTGACAAGATATTTAAGATTGCTTAATCACCTTCAAGGCGAATAGACTCTCCGCTATCATGCGGAATGTCATCTACTGGGTTATTAGATACGTGAAAGTTTTTCTGGGTTCTTGCGGCCTGCTATCTTGTGCTTCCACAACTCGAGAACAAACAACATCAATCGTTCAAAATAGGGGCGGTCGACAGACTTTTGAGACAATCCTTAAGTACTCTAGATAGGTACTGACATAAGCCCCGCTTCCATCATTAACATAATTACATACAACCGAATTACACTATAATGAAATAATGGTATTACTTATGGTCCTAGCAGGTGTGAACGTCAAACTAGCATTCTCAAAGGCTTCCTTCATGGGAACATTAATGTATTATTTTTTATGCACCAAATGATACGGCATACTACACTTGAAGCTCATTCTGCCATCCCTATCCTGATAGAATGTTTGCTAATCTTGATCCCTTTCTCGCATGCGATAGTAATTTACCAAAGACGCCCAAAAACTTGCTTTGCCTCCGAAATACTTCTCGTATCTGTCGGATCGCTCACTTGGCAGGGAATCTGCATATTCAGCACCCCGAAGCACAGGCTTGGCGCATTTGCTTCACAGGTGGAGGAAGTATAGATATAATTGTTCTCAATAGCATGCTTAGAGCTCTATGTTCAACGATACTAAGACAGAGTGATCAAATAGATCCACCTGTACATTTTCATCAAAAGTAGCATCAATGTCTGTGATTGTCGACAAACAAGTGGCAAACAAATTCTTAGTCTTGGGTATTTCGTACTTCTAATAAACATACTATAAAACAACAGTGTATTTAGCTAACTCGTGTCACGTACACAATGGGGAGGTAGACAGACACAGAACAATCTCAGCATCGAAATGCCCGATGCAAACATCTCGCGCCCGACCAACAAATTCACTAAAGCAGATAAAGCGAAATAAGCACTTTTTCCCCTATAAAGGCCCCTTGGTGTAGTGGTCAACATGGCCCCGTAACTGCGCATACTGTGGTCACTCAACGATACCACTGCAGTCGTGAGGCTGCCCAGGTTCAATCCCTGCCATAGCTCCAAAAGCTGTGTATACTGTGGTATCTGGCGGGTGCTGAAGATATCACTGCAGTATTGGGGTAGCCCCGGGTTCGATTCCTGGAGGGGGTCCAAAAGATCTTTTTGGCGCCTTTGGAATATATTGTGTGTGTGTGTGTTTTTTGCTCTTTTTTCTTCTTTTTTTGGCAAGTGCGATGATTGTTATTTGAGGATCTGTAGAGGGTTATGTCTAGATTTCAAGGACGCTCCGGTGGTCCTTCTGTCATGAAGGGGACAACTAAATTCATTTCGAGACGACCTATTATGGGTTGACAGCTGATCAAGTGTCTTTCCACAACAAGCTCTCGAGTCAAATCGAAGAAGTAGAGTCGCAATCGAGACGGTATCCTTGATGGGTCGGCGACAACAAGCTATCGTTCAAGTTCAGCAGCTTTTCCCTAGCAGGTCGCGAAGGAGAGGGATACTGGAGTGCTCAGGTTGGTCGCAAGGGTATTAGAGCTGTACTCCGCAATAAGAGGGCGCTGGCGAAGAAAATCGAGGAGGCGAATGGGTGTGAGCTTACGGTTGCTCTGATTGTTCCCGGGCAAAGAAGCAAGACTATAAGAGAGATTGGCTTCTATGGAGGGAAGGAAAACATCAAGAAGGCGAAGAAGATCATCTTGGAAGAACTGAAGAAGGCCTAGGAAAATGGCTGTGGCACATGGTAGCTCTACATAACATGCCTTGAAGTAAGAATAATGTAAAAACTGCAATACGAGATAATATTGATTGAGAGTTTGTGAAACAATGTAAGTGGACTAAGTCCGAAAAGTGGATTAAACTTTGAAAGATGAAATGGGTGTTAGAACGAGGTGAACTCTTGTTCATCTCGAACCTCGAAAGATCTATTTTTCGGAATTATATTGCCCGACGGGCTCTGGAATATTATTATCTTATATTCCAATTCTTACGGCAACAAGAAAGCCACAAATCGTAAGTTCGAGAATTTTGACTATTGTAAAATGCCTGTCTTGCGCTTTTTTCAAACTCCAAACCCTGCTGTTTGGGTTGACCTCTTTTACTTGCTGACTTTTCGATTCATTCTTGGGTCTGTAAATCAATTTGATATGTTGAGCTTCTCAAAATGCTTAGACATCATGCAAGAGTTAGAGAGCGCATCTGGATGTGGAAAAAGAGAACAAGAGTGGATCATCAGATCATGATGTGAGATTGCATGGTTGATCCGAGATCTATCTTTGCCATGATCTGATGTGACTTTCCAAGAAAGAGATGCGTTCTGCAATGCGCACGAGTGAGGTTTAGAGAAAGAAGAAGTGAGGTTTGCGATGTCGGCTTCAAACGGATGTGGCTTGACCCCTCTCTTTCCCACGCGGCTGCACCTGTCAAATTGGGATTAGCTGGTCAAGGGGATTGCAGGGATGGCTTAGCATGACGAGCTTCCCCTCCATCAAAACTACAAATGACCAAAATTCTCACGCATTCACCGTCGAGTCAGACTTTCTTTCCTTTCTTAAGCCATCTACGGAAAGTCTTTGAACTCGATATTCGACATCGAGAAGACTTCAACATCATCTGAACATTGTCAATTGCTAAATTCAGGTACGTTCCAAGCTCCCAAATACCCCTGTAAACAATGGAGATCACCGCATCTTGATAAGATAAACGTTTGGACTTTACCCCACTCTTCTGCGTCCAGTCTTCCAAAATAAATAAAAACTCTGCTCACCTCTTCCTAGATTCCCTCGACTTTCTCATTCTCTCATTACTTTCGCAATGGCTTCCCTTCGTGCTGCAGCACGGTTGCGCCCTATTGCCTCCCGAGTCACTCCCTTCCAAGCGCAACGAAATTATGCGGCAGTAGCAGCAGTCAAGACCTCTGAGCCATCTGGCGAGCAACCATTCTTCCCAGATGAGCCAGCTGGACCTACTGTCAAGACTGCCATTCCTGGTCCCCAGAGCAAAAAGGCAATTGAGGAATTGCATAAGGTTTTCGACACTCGAAGCTTGAACATGCTTGCCGACTACCAAAAGAGCTATGGAAACTACATTGCCGACCCAGACGGAAATGTGCTATTGGATGTGTAAGTGTTTATTCAAATTGATTGATCTAGCAATGCTAATTGAATAGCTATGCACAGATTGCCTCCATCCCAGTTGGTTACAGCAACCCCGCCCTTCATAAAGCCGCTCTCTCAGAGCAAATGGCGTCGGCCCTCATCAACCGCCCAGCACTTGGAAACTTCCCATCTCATGACTGGGCGGATATCCTCAAGACTGGTATCCTGAAGGTAGCACCAAAGGGTCTCGACCAAGTTTTTACTGCTATGGCTGGCTCAGATGCCAACGAAACTGCATACAAAGCTGCTTTTATGTGGCGTCGACAACACGAGCGAGGAGGAGCTCACGTTGAGTTTTCTGAGGAAGACATCACATCTAGCATGTTGAATCAATCTCCTGGCGCTCCCCAACTCTCCATCCTCTCCTTCAAGACTGCCTTCCACGGCCGTCTCTTCGGCTCCCTATCCACCACCCGGTCGAAGCCCATCCACAAACTCGACATCCCCGCCTTCGACTGGCCCCAAGCCACGTTCCCCCTCCTCAAATACCCACTCGAAGAACACATCCAAGAAAACCAAAAAGCCGAACAGGAAGCTCTCGCAGACGTCGAGCGCCTCATCACAACCCACCACCTCCCTCCCTGCGCCGTAGTAATCGAACCCATCCAATCCGAAGGCGGCGACAACCACGCCTCACCTGCCTTCTTCCGCGGTCTGCGCACCCTCACCAAGAAACACAACGTCCTCCTCATCGTCGACGAAGTCCAAACCGGCGTCGGCGCCACCGGTAAATTCTGGGCACACGAGCACTGGGGCCTCGAGTCTCCTCCCGACATGGTTACCTTCTCCAAGAAAGCCCAGACAGCAGGCTACTATTTCGGGAACCCCGAACTCAGACCCAACAAGCCGTACCGCCAATTCAACACCTGGATGGGCGACCCTGCCCGCGCTCTCCTGTTCCGCGCCATTATCGAAGAAATCGAGCGTCTCGACCTTGTGAATCACACTGCGCAAGTGGGCAATTACCTCTTTAACGAGATTGAGAAATTGGCAAGCAAGTATCCGGGCGAGTTTATGAATCTGAGAGGCAAGGGACAGGGAACGTTTATTGCGTTCGATAGCCCGCGACGAGATGAGTTCTTGAAGAAGGCCAAGAGCGTGGGTGTTAATATTGGTGGTTCGGGCGAGAGGGCCGTGAGGTTGCGGCCCATGTTGATTTTCCAGAAGCATCATGCGGATATTTTGCTGGATGCTTTGGAGAAGATCGTTAAGTCGTGAGAGAAAATGGGATTTGGGAGTAGGTCTTTTGCCCAATTTAAGGGCTGGCGAGATGAGATGTTGCCTTTCAGCGAGTTAATGATCATAATTTTCACGTCTTACTTTGAAGTGCATTGCGGTGAGGTAGGTAGGTGTTTATTGTTTCATCGCATAGCATTATCGCATTACTATCTGCTCATCCCCTTCGTGCTCTCTTTCCTATCAACCCATCATCATGCAAAATGCAAGCAAAGCAAAGTAGCCCGCCAGCCCACCAACCGTACCGTCCGTCCATGCTTGCTAAAAAAGACGAAGCAAAAACCGACGCCCAATGCTGCTAATATGATGATGATGATGATTGATCCCTCGTGTCGTTGTATGATACATAAGAAGTACAGAGATACACTTTTTTTCCTTTCTTTCTTTCTCCATCCACCTCACCTTCAGCGTCATCGTCTCCTCGGCAGGTTCGTTTCGTGAGTAACACCATTCCCGTTCCCGTTCACTGACACGGGGTCTGCAGCCGTACTCAGGCCATTAACCGTAGTTTTCACCTCGGTACTTGGTAGACTACCATCCATGTCCATCATCAGAGCCTCTTCGTTCTCTCGCATGAGATCCTCTTCCTGTCTCCTTAGCTCTTTCTCCTCTTCCGTTTCCTCGACCTCGATTTCCATGCCTGGAGATTCGGCCGGTGGCGGCGGAGGAGGCGGTGGTGGAGTTGCGTCTTCCTCTTTGAGTCTCTTGTTGGACTCAGCACCGTCCATTCCACCGGGAGTAAGCTCGGATTCGGTATCTTCGCGTTTGCGTTTTAGGTCCGAAAAGGAGGGAGTAGCGGATATCGAAGGGTGAGGCGATGCGGTCATGTCGACAGGTGTATTGGGCGTCAGTTCCATGGTATCGTCTGCTTCCTCTTTTACCTCTGTCTTCGACTCCTCGAATGATTTAGAGACGCCGTTACTCGGTCCTCCATTGGCGAGCTTCAGGGCCTCCTTTTCTTTCTTCTTCTTGTCCATTGCCTTTTTCTTCTCGACTGCTTTTTCGAAGAAAGTTCGGACGTATTGCTTGACTTTCTTCTCTTGCTTGTCTGAGATCTTGGTAGGGTCCTCGACTCGATTGTTTTTGAAGTCCGAGGCGACGAGTTTCTTGCCGACTTCCTTGGCGAATTTCTTCAGGTCGTCTCTGGGAAGCTGTTTCGTAAATTTTTGCATTACGTATTTGATGTGCGGGAATAGCTAGGATAGAGCAATTAGTCAGTTGCTTGAGGTGAAAGGAAGTGGGGACTTACGGTGTTTTCGTACAGCTTCATCTGTTTTTCCTTAGATAGCGAACGCCATTTTTCAGAGGGAGTCTTCTTCTCTTTCGGAGTTGAGTCGGCTGTTGGCGCTGATTGAGGAGTCTGAGAGCTGGGGTCAGGTTTTGTGATGGAGTCAATAATATTCTGTAAGACCTTGGCAGTCTGCACAGATTTTGGAGGAACTTTTGGCGGTGGAGGATCTACTGCAGGAAGTGTTGGCCTGTGCCAGGTTGTTTGATTGGTTTTGCTATAGTAATATAGATGGCCATTTTGGTCCGTGGCAGTAAACCATCCAGGAGGGAGAGCATTAAAATTTCGCCTTACAGGGGCTCGTGATGGGACGAAAGTTCTTTGTGGAAGTGCGTTGCGGGGTCCAGTCGGTGCAACAATGGCTGCTGGCGTTGGGGATCTGGTGATTTCCTCTGCTCGGTCTGTATTCCGACGTTCGAATACAGACACTGCATTGGGGTCAAACTTCTTCCTGGGTATTCGATATGCAACCTCAAGCTTGCTCCAGTCGTCCAATAACCGCTTAGCTTCAAAAGCGACATCTTCGTGCTCGGAACTCTTCAGCGTCTCAATGGTCGCTTCGATTTTCGAATCGATGATTTTATTACGAGTGACCCGGGGGAGCTTGTACAGGATATCTAGAACCTGCAGGATGACATTGTTGTCGTCTTTCCAAGTCGTCAGGGTGGTTCGGAGAATTTGGTAGCCGTGCATCTGGACGACTCGGTTGCGGACCCTATCGTCATTGCAGCGCTGAAGACGACTGAGGAGTTTAACAGCGATCCACTTCTCCTTGCATTGCATGAGAGTGGCCATGACCTTCCGGACACCATCCTCATCAAGACCTTTCGGCTGGACGTTGTTGACATATTCTTCGTCATCCTCACCAGTCTTCTTCTTTCGAGGCTTCTTAGCGACAGCAGTATCCCATCCGTCACCATCGTCAATACCGAGGGCTTCAATTGTCGCATGAGACAATTTCGTCGCACGCTCGGTCTGTGTCTTGCCTCCGAGAAATCCGGTACAGTTATGCTCACCGCAGTAGCAGGGTTGAGGGTCGGCACCATAGCGGTCCACATTGTAGTTGAAAACCAACTCCTCTCCAGCTTTGACGTGGCGCTGGGCAAAAATGCCCATGCGCAGCTTCTCCCCCACAACCCATTTGTCCACGTAGCAGTTAGGATTGCAAGAGTGATTGCAGAACCGTCCAAGGTTGCCCTTTTTTGTAGCATCGACGAACTCATTTTTTGTGAGGGACATGAAATAAAAGTGCCTGATACCTTCTTTGTTATACTGGTCCGTCCGCCGACGAAACGTCGGCTCATTGACGACTTCACCGATGTACTCGAAAATGAACTCATCCGGATGAAGGTCGACATTTGCACGCAGACCGTAGCCCTTTTTCTCCGTTTTGAAGACCGAGACATCAGCGAATTGTTTGCGTTGGAACCGTTGATTTTGGCAGCCTACACCACAATTGCAATCTCCGTCAACGCATTCCATTTTGGTCGCACGGTTGATACAGTCCGAATCCTCTCCGCATGCATGATTCTTCCCGCCTCCTAGAGACGCTGTCAGTGTGCACACAGTTTGGAGATATGGGAGTACTCACTCCACTCCTCAGAGCAATCGCAATCCAGAGCATCATGCTCGGAATATCCCATGTACTTAGAGCCATAAATGCACTCCTTGATTACCTGAAATACAGATACAGCCTCCTCTGTAGCATCTGGCAACGCATCGAACAGCAGTGGTGTGCGTGCACGTATTTTCTGGGTGCCTTTTCGTTGAAGTTTGCGTGCTTTTCCAGGTTCGCTGGTCACAATAATGTCCCCGCCAACTACTTCCAGACCCTCATCATCTTCAGACCTGGGGGTCTGGCTAGCACTTTGCTTCTTGATCGGCGACTGTGATACGGACTTATTGGCAGCAGGAGTTGTGGATCGAGACATTTTGGCACCGCCTGGTGTGGGAAAATCTTCGTAATTGCCATTCGCAGTGTCAAGTTCCCCATATTGTGAGCCGCCTTCCTCAAGCTTCATGTCGCCCAGCGCAGCATCCACAGCTTCGGGCTTGATATCTCTTGTGTCGTCTGCCATTTTGATGCGCAATTGTAGGTTTGCAGATGTGGGTGATATCGAGGAGTCGTCGGAAAGGTGGTTGTGAAGGCGACGCCGCAGTCGGCACTCGAGGCAGGTCTGTAGCTGCTACAGCTCCGCACAGTGAATGCCCCTGCTCCCAATGGGTTATTGGACGTAATTCCTTTCAAGAAATGTCGTATCGAGCAAGATCCCGTCGCGCAAAGAAGTTGTCGGACTCCAAAGAGTGGTTGCGCCTAGGTGGAGGGTTGCGACTGAAGGGAGAGTCAAGAATATGGATCGAAGCTCTGCGGAAAAGGATGTCGTCGAGTGGGTGGGAAAAGCTAGATAGCTCGTAGGCGAGGACATGAAGCGCGATTTCGACTGAATGATCGGAAGTGTTCTGACAACTAGAAAGAGGAGGGAAGTTGAGGTGGACGAAGGAAAAGCAGATACCACGTCTACCTTGTCCGCATATCTTATCTGCCCAAGAATCCCTTTGTCGCTGGTAGTGCGCTCACATGTCACTATTCACATTTCATCTCTCCGTTCCAAACCACAGTCGTTCCCAATATCATTGCTATGAACAAGAAGAAGAAGGAGATTGTGACTAGATACAGTTTAAAGGTCATCCGTCAAGCGACGCCGGCAAGTTCCGCGAGTTGATTCCCAAAGCAACAATTGACATCTGCGCCCACTGCCAAATATTTGCCCTTCAGACTGTCACCCACTGCTTCTCGTGGGATTGGCATCCTGCTAAGGTCCAAATCAATGCCTCTGCTTGGTGACAGACGTCCCCGCTCAACAGAGAGACCATGCGCAGCATTTTCTCATTTCGTGCCTTTGACAGCGCACGTGTTCCCAACAATGGAAATGTACTTACTCACCTAGATAGGTCCTCTTGTGAGAGATAGAAAGGATAGTCGTACATATGCTCCTTCGACCACGGCTGTGATGCTTTTCACGGTGCTGAGAGACGACACAAGCAAACTCTGCAACAGTTGATCTATATGACCATAACCCTCAGTAGATTCGTGGTTGCCAACCTGCGGATCCTTTGTAATGGGAGGAAAAGCACCGAGAATGTAGTTCCACCCAGCTTTCATCTTTGCATTATAAAGAGATTTCCCGTATTCATATGCGCACGGTCCGAAGAAGGCGTCTGAGCGACTATATCTCGGCCAACAATAGTTTCAGCCATTATTGATAAGACCGGTTGTTGTTTTTGTGCGCCAAAGTGGGATGGTGGTTCACTGCCTGATGCCTTCGTCCTACTTGAAGCGCATTTGCAACCGTGATATATATCGTCCACACATTTTTCCACCGCATAAGTTGAGGGCGTTTGCTGCCGTCAGCACTCTGCTATCCATCTTTTATTCACTTGTCGAAGCGTCGCAGGTGTACCTTCCGAGGTATTGACCAGCCCAACTCGACCGACGACACCGCCTCTTGACAACAGGTGACAACAGACCACTGCACCTCTGCATCCAGCATTGCGCACTTGTGGCCGATCGGGTAAAGAGAGAAGCGGAGTGAGTGCAGGCAATCTATCAGCAACGTCAGTGATGGGCATGATACAGAGGTAGGTGGATTGTATGGCCAGTTCCCTTCCTATGAACGAGTGACAACGCATCTCTACATTGGCGCAAACTCTGCCCCACCGAAGGATTGAGAATATATGAAGAGGTCGAGCCCGCAGGAGAACGATAAATTGAGCAGCTCGCAAGTGTTTTAAGAGCTTCTCCTTTCCTTGGGATGTGGCAGTAATGTGGTTGGGATTTCCAGCGAAGTCGAGATTTGCGGGTCTGGTCGCAGGAGGGTTGCGCCTTTTGTTGCGCCCCTCCCACTCCAACAAATCTGGCACTGTCGACATCGTCTCCCACATGGCAGGACTTCAAGTATGAAGTTGATATTGTTGCGGCTCTTGTGGATATGTTCCGTGCTGTCCTGGCTGGTGGTCGTCCAGCCTTACCAGGTCAAAGTGAGGAACGATTGGAGAGAGCGTCGCACGGTCGCTGGTGATGTGATCCCTCACAGTCCGCTAAGCAGCGTTGGTCGGTGATTGGGCGGCCCTCAGCGCTCCTCGTCCAATCTCTCCCTCTTCTTTCTTCTCTCCTGCAAGGCCAACGCAGAGAATCGTTTGACCAATCGCCAAAGCCATTCTCTCCCCTATTGTCAGCCATCAATTCGAGAAAATAAAAAGTTGTTCGCGAAAATTGCATATCTTTTGGGTTTTGGGGGACACGCTGGACAGTCTTGAGAATAGGAGGATCAGATGTGGCCCCGACACTGCTGCAGCTCCTGCAACTAATCCCAGACTGCAGCTGCAACTCTGAATCCAGCGAGTCAAAGGCGCGTCTGGCTCAGCATCCTGCATGAAATATGTATGAATTCATTTCACTATTACTACCCGCTCTATTAACGCCTGTTTGACGCTGCAGGCGATTCAGAGGGGACAAGACACGAGCCACTCCGGCTTGCTGTACCTTAACTTTTTGCTACTACTGCGAGCGAGCGAGCTTCCTCTCACGCACACCTGCACTTTCTTCTCTTCCACGCTTCACAACTCCTCCCTTCTGCGACCCATTATTTGACCCTTCTAATTCTTCCCTCTCGCTCTCCCCTCTTTCGCCCACCACGGCCTGACACTCTTTCAATTGCGACCGCTGCGCCATTACACGCTCACTAGATTGCTTCGAAAGTGATATAGACCTGTTTCCAAGATACTTAATGCTCTATAATTCGCCCTTTCCGCCCTCCCTTCTCTCCTCTCCTCCCACCCCCCAGCTCCTCTCTGTTACACCCGGCAGATCCTCTTCTTGCACCCAGAGCAGTGCCATTCCTTCTTTGTACATGCCCACTTTACCACGATGGATCCGGTGATTGGGGAGCCCTTTCAGGAGCACGAAAAGGTACGTGAGAGAATCCCTTCCAAAGCAGATTCTACACCCTATAAGAACAGTTGCGCCTGGAGAGCGCATTACTACCTCTCCAGGCGCATCGAATATAACCCGTACCACCTTCTGTGCTTCGTCAGTCGCGTCTAAAACTAATGTCTTCCCGCCTATAGCGCTACATGCTCACAGAAGCGCTCAGGGCGAGCACGATCCCTCTCGAAAGGCTTTATATTATGCTTCAAGAAGCAAATGGACCACCGGCATGGGATGATATGGTTCTTCCTCGTGGTATGTGGTGTTCATTGATCTCCAATTGAAACTCCCGAGTGCAAGGTTCCCCAGATTGCGAATATCGCATTACAACACACAGACTTCGGACCTCCATCTATTACTTCGGAATATTAATCTAGATTGCTTATTATCATATAGGGCGAACTTTAAAACAGTGTAAAGCTGCGTTCGAGAGCCTGCGACCTGCTCTTCCTCCTCCTCTTCCTCCTCATCCTGTTCACGCGTACCCGGCACCGACCCAGCCTTTTCAAATTCCACCGAAACGCAAATCTGAATCTGCAATACTTGGGCCTCCTTACATGCAAGCAGAACCTCCTGCAAAGCGAAGACAATCCGGAATGGAACCTATGGTGGGCGCTCGAGATATCCGTCCAAAGCCGCCAAATGGTGGTTCTCCAATCTCGATGAGTTCCACGCCGCCCACTGCTCCACAAAAGCGACGAGGCCGTCCTCCCAAAGCGGAAGTAGATAGAAGGAATCGAGATGCAATGCAAAGGGGCGAGGTCTTTCCAGCTCAATTTCTACCTCCAACAACAGAAGAGTTTGCGACAAGTCCTTATACCCCCATTGCGCCAACACCTCCAGTTTTGGCTCCAGGCCCACCGACTCCCCAAGGTTACATCGAGCAGACTCCACCAGACACTCAAGCAGAAGATTCCCCAGGCAGGAAAAAAAGGCCGAAAGCACCACCAAAGCCAAAGGTATGAAGTAATTCGGTAGTTGTGAAGGTTTAAACTAACAATTAAAAGGCCGCCCCGCCCAGACAACCTGGTGAAGGCAGCTTCTCAGTAAATCCGCAATTGCCAATAGTAAGAGAGCCTCATGTACATCCACCAGTACCGAACATTGCAGCCATAACGGAATTGGAGCAAACTGGTCCATCCCCTCAGTCAGCTCCAAGTGTTATGCCGAGCCCTGTATCAGCGACAATCGAAGCAGCAACCTCAGCAGAATCTCAACCTTCAGCACAAGCCGCCTCCTAAATTCTATAAGCCCGTTTCCTTATATATTCGACGCCATTTTAGGATTCTATGACACGTCCTACGGCCAGAATCCCATGGACCAGTTCGTTTTTTAACGGCCCCTACGATCGATCGATGATCGACTTACTAGAGTTACGCCTTCAACGATCGAAATTTGATGGACAGCAACTATTACGCAATCCACGATTACTTCTAATGTCCTAATTCCTTCGACGAAACATATTTTATGCCTTTTACGCTTTGACGACACGATCAAGCACTTCGTTTTCACCTTAATACATACACACATACCGTGCCAAAACAACCGCATATTTCCTTTTACTCTTCTCAGGATTTTTACGTTTCTACGCAAGCGGACGATACCATTGACGTTACGAGCAAGTAAATTCGATCATGGGAGGCTAGCACTGTATTATTCATTTGCAAGGATATTTGGCATGCATGTTTCATTATATTTCATTGGGATCTACGGTTGTACAGGCGCTCGTCACAATTTTCTCTTTCTCGGATCTACATGTACTGCATGACTCACTGGGACTTTCCTTTCTGTTTTTGTCTGAATAGCACACGCGCGGCACGGAATAGTTGAGGAGCGCATGATGCCTAGAACCCTGGTCAGGAATTGGACGACGAGATAGGGAACGGGAGGGGCGAGGGGAAAATGATGCAACGCATGAATTGTACGATAGGAGATCAGGAACCCACCACAGCACTGTATCACCATGAACAACGGGAATGTACCAAGGAAGATAAAACACAATATCTACCGTGGGGGATGAATAACGGAGTGGGACCCCCCACATTCAACACACAACCACACAACCACACAAAAAAAAGATATCTATCACATTTCTCCAACGAGCCGCGACGTTGAGAAACATGTTTCATACGTGCGTAAGGTTAACCGCCCGGGTAGTTCCCTTTCTTCCATATGAAGACACCTCCACCTTCCTCTCTCTTTCCGCGTGCACCTTTCTCTTTCAGCGCGCGTCAATATCATCCGAGCGAGCCAGCCGCCAGAGCCTTGTCTCGTTTTATACTTTTCGGACTTCCCCTTCGTTACCCTCCGTTCTGCTTTCGGCAGTTAAGCTTCCTTCCTTCCTTTCTCTGTTTTCATCCCGTTCTTGAATTTTGAGAGTAGAATAGAGGATCACGTGTAAGTGCACGTGGGAGGGCCACAACGGAATCGCAAGACAGACAGGGGACGGGCCGGCAAATCCGCCTCTTCTCTTCTCGTCTCTTAGCTGCAGGATGCAGCCGTAGTCGCATGTACGCGACTGTTTCCGGAAAGTGGTCATCTTGATCCCCATTCATAAGGGGTGTGTGTGGTGTTTTTGATCGAGAGAGGTTGGATGGAGGAGTGGGCGTGGTGGTGGTGGTGGTGAGGCTCGTATCGCGGATTCCAACGGATCGCCCCGGTTCGGTCGGGAGATGCATGACATACCTACTATTGTCTGAATAAGGTCGTCAGCAGGCTGGAATAAGGTTTCAGCGTTTTTCGTTTCTTCTCGTTTCCTGGCCTGGTTTGGAGGACGGTGGCTTGGAAGGTATGATGTGCAGCGCTCGGTGGCCTATCGCGCAATTTTTGAGGGCCGGTGGGCTGCCGATACCAAGGATGCTGGAGTTTCGGGCTGGTTTTTGGGGTGGTGTAAGACCGGTTCTCGGTGTGCTGTGGGCGTGGTGATTGGGTGTTTGGGTGCGGAGGCGGGGAGATTTATTGGGAGGGTTGGATTGGGGTGCTGTGCCGTATTGGGTGTCTTGATCGAGATGATGGAGAAACGGAGTGGGTGTGGTTGAGTGACGCATCGATATCTGCTTTGGCCATTTCTCTTGTTTGGTTCTTGATGGGGTGTTTTGTCGCAAAGCCCGTGGTCATCGAATCGGTACTTTCAGTTTTATTGGTCTTCTCAGCTTGATCTAGTTCTCGCAGCTTCTCAACAGCAGCTGTTATGCATTTTGTAATCTTTCCATTCTTGAGAGTGGAGACTATTCAATAATCTCAAGCCAGGTATCAGCTTCTCCACTGCCTTCTGGCAGATATATCAATTTCCCACCCCGGCAGTGAATGCGACCTCCCGAAATTCAAAGCGTATGCTAGCTTGCTTTCTAGCCAGCTACACAAACTCCCAGCAAGAAGTTGGAGGTGTCAGACATTCTTTTCCCCGAACCATGTATTGGAAATAGTTGTGTTTTTTCTATCAAGTCTGCCAGCATTAAAGTAAGAGACGGCAGCTGAATAGCCTGTCCGCCTTCTCCGAGGCCTGGAGCCTCGTTCTTTGGTTGTGTTCTTTGCTTTCTTAAGATCGGCTCAAGACTGGCATGTATCTGATCATCGAGTTATCGATACCACTACCCGGCTTTTAGAGTCTCTCCACGTTCCAGACTCGTGGCACTTTTGTCTCGTCAGTGTTTGACACGGTTGCATTTCTTGAACCTCGGAGATGTTTGAGTCTTTGTCTTACATTTTCCTGTTAATATGTCGGATCACATCTCCATTTCTCGTCATTGAATCTTTCATAATCAGATCTAATTGGGTTTATCACCGTTGCATATTCATCCTTTCTAATTTTAATCTCATTCGCTGCTCGCCATCAATGCCGTTGGAGCTCGCTATTAGGGTCATCTTCGGTAGAAATCACTGCTCAAGATCTGCGAGACGCCCTGACTTTCTCTGTTGGAATATCGGATATCTACTCACCTCTCTTTAAAGCCCGCAACAGGTTTTAGCATGGATTCATGTTCCCGGGCAAAATCAGCATTTTTGAATAGGCGGGTGCGGGCAATGTCGGAAATCCGCTTCGTCCTTTTCATCAGCACAGTGCGCAATACTCGACGGTTCGCCTCCAAAAAAGAAATTGAGCATGGTGGAGGAGATTTGAATAATCAAAGTCTTTGTAGCGTCATGCTGGATGGAAATCGTTGCAAATGTTGGAATCAAAGCATGGATACTTTCCCAGACTGAAAAGGACCCAAGATTTTTTCACTCAGCAATTGGTAAAGCAAAAGCCGTCTAATTTTAGAGCCATCTGTCTGATCAGCCCTCATCAATATACTGTAGAAGGACTGTTGAGGTATGACTAAGCGAAGAGGCAGTATAGTCAACCTCTTTTTCTTAATCGCCCTCGTCCACTGGTATTAAATCCGAAAAAGACCCATATGTAAACACCAAAGCCCAATTCCCGTCTTCTGGTCCTCACCAAGAGTTTCCCACTTCTCCAGTCGCTCAATTAAGCCTTCAGCAATCTTCCAAGTTTTCTTTACAAACTTGTTAGACGCCTTCTTGTCAAAGTTCCTGCTCTTGTAATGCGCGTTGATGCCCTTCACCATTGCATTCTCATCCCCACTAATCCGAGCACTATTGAGCGCATCATGCAGTGTATTCTCTACGGCCTCCATATACGCCGCGTCCGTGAAAGAGTCCTTTCCATGAAAGCTCTCGGTCTTGGGCTCCGTCAACTCCGTGTGGGCGGATGTGTCGACCAACCGAATGAGCTCTTTGAGTGGTGTCACTTCGTCTTTCTGTTTTTATTTAGCTACGTGCTGCATCGTCTGGGCAGTTAACGAAACTTACGTCCATGAGCCTCCACAACCTATGATCTTTCAGAGTCGTCGCCCATTCTGGGGGACTAATAACACGAAATATTAGCATCTGTATCTCTACCTACTTCCAATGATTTCGGATTGCATACTTAGAACAGAGTAACGTGTTTCCTCCTGTGGCCTCCCGAGTCAATCTCAGATTTTGAAACAGATTTGTTTTCCCCTCTTCCTTAATGTCCGGGGAGACTTCCGCCCTATTCATCGAGAAAGCGACAGAGGGCTACTGAATGCTCACGCCTGCCGCCTGCCGCGTCTTCTCTTTGGTTTGTTCCAAGCTCTTCTTCTCGTCCTCGTTCAGTGTCCGGTAGGGGTGCAGGAAACCCCCGAGAGTGAAGCAAGTTGTGAACTCGGTGCCTGAGTTACGGTCAGCGGGCTTGACTGTGTAGAGCTTGAGTGAGAAGTCCATCATGAAAAACTTGAAGAAGGCCATTAAAAGTTTCAAAGATGTAAGTAACCCCCGATTCCATGCCGGGATTTTGAGCCACGGACTAACATGACCTATCGTATAGCTCCAAGAAAGTGCGGAAGAGTTCGAAAAGGCGGTGCTTGAACAGAAAACATTAAATTTGAAGGTGGAACGACAAGAGGAGGAAAACTGAGAAGGAAAGCAAGAAGCTAAAGTGAGGTTTGTCGAGAGAGTACTTACATTAGACTTAGCTGCTTTCGATACGAGAAATGCTTCAAAGTCATTAGCTCGCGCACCTGACCGTAGTACCCAGAGAGATTGAGGAGGAACATGTTCATGATGAGACTAGTGAGCATTTTCTAAATCGGAAATCTCACTTCAAATTCGACCCTATCTTCACGCCGCTCTACTTATATTATCACCACTCGACTGCAGTATCACGACAAGCACTGACGTATAGTAAGACTTTTGATATTATCTACAAAACAGACATCTAAGCACCCATATTCCTCGACAGATAGCAGTAGATAGAACGGAGGGAGCATCTCCCATCTCGCGAAACGCCATGACATCTATGAGCAACCCCAAGAAAGAATTATGAACAATAATATGCAACGAGCAGTACCCATATACGGCAGTTCTTCACCCCAAACGCCATCGCAATGCATAAAAACAAATGTCCATCCAATCACTTATGTTTTCCCAAACCCTGAAGATTAACCAACTCAGAATACCGTCCCCCCTTCTGCATCAACTCGTTGTGCGTTCCGCTCTCTACAATAACACCTTGATCAAACACATATATGATATCAGCTTTCTGAATCGTACTCAGACGATGCGCCACCGCGATCGTGGTCCTGCCCTTGGCAGCCTTATCCAACGCCGCCTGGACAACGTGTTCAGACTCCGAGTCAAGCGCAGAGGTAGCTTCGTCTAGGAGTAAGATCTTAGGGTCGCGGAGAAGAGCACGTGCGATAGCGACGCGCTGTTTTTGGCCACCCGATAACATCGATCCCTTGGAACCGACGATGGTGGAGAAGCCGTCCGGGAGGGACATGATGAAGTCGTAGATATTAGCTTCGCGACAAGCGAATTCGATTTCGGAGTCTGGGACGTCCTGGCGGTCGGCACCAAGGAGGACGTTCTCACGGATAGTCCCTTGGTAGAGGGTTGGTTCTTGGGAAACGAGGGCAATGTGAGAACGGTAGTCGTTGATGTTGAGACTAGAGATTTCTTTGCCGTCGACGTAGATACCGCCAACGAGAGGATCGTAGAAGCGTTCGAGCAGGGCAATGGTTGTGGACTTTCCGCAACCAGATGCACCGACCAATGCGATATACTGACCTGGAGAAACGTGGAGGTTGAGACCACGGAGGACTGGCTGTTCAGGCCGGGTGGGATAGCGGAAATGAACGTCACGGAATTCGATGTGGCCTTCAACGGACTCGAGTTTGGCTCCGTCTTCAGACCAGGAGTCGATAGTTGGCTTGCGGTCGAAGAGTATCTTGAGTTCTTGAGCCGCTTGTTTTGCTTTACTCATGTCCGCTACAGATCGTTAGTAATGAAGATTGATCGGATTAGGGCAACTTACGTGCGAAGGAGAAGATAGTTCCAGCCGACTGGGCACCAAAAATGACAGACGAGAAGCAGACGAAGAACTGGAACAAGGTGTATTCGCGATCCGCAATCAAATTACCACCATACCAGAAACCAAGCGCAGTGCAGGCGAACATGAGCGATTGCGAGGCAGCGTAGAGAAGCGATGACTTGAGGACAGAGCGCAAACTCTTTTGCGCTTGAGCATTGAGTGAGTTAGTATAGATTCGCAGGACGTCTGCTTCCCTTGTCAATGAAGCAACAGTTCTGATGGCACTGGTAGCTTCACAAGCAAAACTAGCACTGCCCTCGTAGGCCTTCTTCGCCCGACGCTGATACTGAGCCAGCATCCAGAAACGGAAGAAACCACATCCAAGCAAGACAGGAACTGTACTGATGCAAACCAGTGCCAATTTCCATCCGATAGAAAGACTGACAACAAAAGCCGCAATGAGCGTAGTAGTGACAGTAATAAGTGTGCCAAGAGTAACACCGGACAGACCAGCGACATGCGTCGTCTCCGTGCTCAAGAATGAAGTCAAAGCTCCAGCAGTATTTTCCTCCTTGTCAAAGAATTCGATGTCCTGTCTCAACATTGTTCGAAAAGCTCGGTCTCGAACACGATGGATGAGCTTCTCAGAGCAGTATGCGAAAGCGATTCCTTGTCCACAGAAGGCAATCAGCTGTATGAAAGCAAGCATAAGGTACATCAAAGACCAGAAATCAACATCGTGTCGGAGTGTGTGTCGAGCTCCAGGGATTTCAGCTCCAGTAACGGGATTTTTGACAACGATCGAGAGGGAAATAATTTCCTTGGCGAAAAAGATTGCTTGCGTAGGATTTCCTCCACCACAGATGATTGACCAGAACAATCCAACGAACATGAGTCCGATTTCATTTCTGTTGAATGATGCAATCAGCTTGATCAATGTCCAAAGCGAGGCCTGTTCTTCTCCTGCAGTATTGCGGCCCTGCAGTGCTACCGATGACTGGGATTTCTCTGACTGGGTACGTTTCAGCTTTCTTGAAATATTCTTGTCGTCTGGATCTTCTTCGTATTCTTGACCACTCTTATGACTTCTATTGGTCTTCTCGCGAACAAGCTGGTCATCCGCAGCATCAACAGCAGCCTGCTCTTCAGCGGTCAACTCGTTCGTCTCGGCTATCTTCTGAGCCTCAACCAGGTGAAAGTAAGCACCTTGTTTTGACAACAGTTCATCGTGAGTTCCTTGCTCCACAATCCGACCTTCTGTCATGACAACGATATTGTCAGCGTCCTTGATAGTAGAAAGACGATGGGCGATAGAGATAGTTGTACGTCCCGCAGCGGCGACTTCGAGCGCAGCCTGGACAACACCTTCGGATTTCGTATCTAAGGCAGATGTGGCCTCGTCTAGAAGAAGAATCTTGGGATCGCTGACCATGGCTCGGGCAATGGCGATACGTTGCTTTTGACCTCCTGAAAGGAGGAAACCACGCTCGCCGACATTTGTCTCATAACCTTCTGGCAGAGCTGTGATGAAATCATGGGCGTTCGCCATCTTGGCCGCTTCAATAACAAGGTCTCGTTTCTTTTCCTCGCTTTGATTCTCGTACTTGGTTCCAATTAAACCGTGCTCGATGTTCTTGAAAATGGTTGTGCCGAAAAGTGTAGGCTCTTGGCTGACGAGAGAAATCTGTTGGCGTAACCAGCGAAGGTTGAGGGTGCTAACATCATGTCCATCCAGAAAGACTTGCCCGCCGACAGGATCATAGAATCTCTCCACTAGTCCCACAATTGTACTCTTGCCAGATCCTGATGCACCTACAAGAGCAGTCATCTTTCCTGCTGGAATGACCAAGCTAACCCCGTTCATAACAACGACTTCTGGCCTGGAGGGATAGACGTGTTTGATATTTCGCAATTCAATAGTACCATCAACATGGTCAAGCTTCTCGCCGTCTTCCGAAGTAGGATCCAGTGGAGATATACGATCGATGGTATTGTAGATCTTAACAGCAGCGGAGATACCTGTTGTGAATGCCTGGACGTTGGGAGCCACGTTACCAAGTGCGAAAGCACCGATCATAATAGACATCAGGATAGTCAGGATTTGAGACAAGGTTAGCTCCCCGTCGACCAACAACCTACTTCCCATCCAAAAACCAAGTCCGTAATTCAAATAAAGAATCAAGAACATGCATCCAACCATAATGGCCAGGACGAATTTGTTTCTGTATCCATACTTCTCGGCATCTCCAAGATGGACGTCGTATTGGCGAGCTAATTTGTCCTGAGTACCAAAAGCAGTGGCATTTCGAATTGAAGAAATCACTTCTTCAGCAATCGTTCCTCCTAAGGCATAGGATTCCAAGGATTGCTTGCTGTATTTGACAATGAAGCGAGAGCCACTGCCCATGGTCACAACAATAGCGAATACAGTTGACGAGAGAATCAAAGTCAACTTCCATGACTTGATGAATCCAATAACAAAAGCCGTAATGAAAGTTGCAAGGGCGCTCATCGATAATGCTACTTTTTCGGAAATACCGTCCTGAACCAAATTTGTATCTGCCGTAATCCTAGTGGTGATTTCCCCAGAACCGAGCTTGTCGAAAAATCCAATGTTTTGCTTCATACAGGACCGTAGGTAATGCGCTCTGATCTTGCCACTGATATGCTCTCCAGTATAAATGAAGCCGACGGTAGAAATATATACGGTGACGAACTCGGCAATTCCAATGTAGACGAGATAGAGGACCCTATTGCCAATCGAGTCAGCATGTCTCCTGTTTTGGCTTCAAGTCAGATCACTTACATGTGTGAGATTGTGTGGCTAAACTCAGCGTGAGTTTGTGTGCCGGCGAAGTATCCGTTGAAATCACCAGCCAGACCACCAAACACAACTGTCATCAGAGGGAGAGCAGCGCCGGCAGCAATACTACATAGCGAGCTTATGACTATGATAATTATATCGTTCGTTGTGGAATATCGGTAGAGGGTTTTGAATCCGCTCTTGACCTCTGGTATATCGATTTGTCTGAGTATGATCTCCTTCTCTTGCGGAGTCAAATGAGCATATATATCGTCCTTCACCGCTACCTTGATGCTCGAGTCTAGCTTTGCTAGATTGTCGTTCGTGGTCGGCCCTGAAGAGGGCGTCCTAATCTGCTTCTCGTCATCGTCCGCGTGTGGTTTGATGGTTGAATCGTTTTCGTCAGTGGAGTCGCCGTGGCTCGCGCGATGTGAGCTCTGCTCTGACTTTTCAGGATCGCCAGCCATGTTAGGCGGCTCGATCATTGAAGGTTCTCGCAGAACTCGATTTGCAAAGGGAACAGAGGAAATTTAAAGAAATGGTGGCGTGGTGTATGCTCTTTGCGATTCCGAGGTTGCAATACTACTACACGTGCAAGGGTCGGCAGGTGCTAGCTCGGACCTTTCGATAACAACGTGAATGATAGATTGGAGAGATTGGAAGGGAAGGAAAATGAATCACCGAAGTATGAACTTTGAAGAAGTAACAGGCCAGGAGAAGGAGGCTAAGAAGACGGTGCAGCCTTCCATGGTTATGTTTATGTGCCTACTGGACCTAAGGTAGCTGACGTTGCGAGGCAAGTCCAAAAGTTATCCAAGCATCGGGAAAATAAGAAGCCGACTGGGGCTAAGAGACTTCACTCACAATTCGTAATCCATCCTCCACCATCCATGTATGGGACATGATTATTGACCGGAGCGGGACTTTTTGGTTTGGGTCGAAGAATGTTTCTCCCCACTTTCATGTGGCTTACATGTTTTGCCCCGCGCCAGGGTCTGATTCGATGCAGGTCACCAAACCTCGCTTCTCGGTTGCAGTGATGCAGATGGGATGCGAATGTCTCTCCACACGCCCTTGATGATATTTGCGCATCTTACATGTCTTCACCGAATGATTCTTAAATCTGATCATTTGCCTATCTTTACATAGCATGCGGAACGAGAAGCACACATATAATTGATGAACTGATGAGTTGACGAAGGTGTCAGCATGGCATCGGGAACTTCTATCTTCATCGGATCCGATGGTTAGCCATCCTCGGCCGCCTGCTGCCGCTGTGGAAGACCTGCATTGTTGGCTGATATCTCGAATACGGTATACGAGAGCAAACGAAGTAATCACCGAGTGACTCGAAAGGTGATGTTTGTACAGCTGCAACTCACCATGAGCAATCGTGATTATACACGCCGTATCCGCACAAAGGCAAGCCAAACCGAGAGATAGCAATTGGTAAATTGCGCTTGGTCTGCGATCGCTCATACAAGGTAATTTTGACTCTTTCTAGAATGCAGATCGTTGCAGGCCACCTTCGAAATTGTTCCTCTCTCCCATTTCAAAGTCAACGGACTTACCCCTCGACCCGCACGAAGTCCAAGTCATCGGAACTAAAACCCCGATAGGCATGACCGTACTTCTTACCCAGGTAAGCACAACTCCAAAACCAGACCGCATTTACACTTTGCGACCTTTGAGTCAAGATCTAACTTCTAACGGGTCCTTCAGATGCATGCGAAACGTTCGTCTGGTCATCCGAGTGGTTCGTATACCATCCGAGGTTCTTGTTGGGATCCTCCTCATGTCAAAAGGACAACTTGCAAATGTTCAGACCGCCGTTGAGATGGACTTACGGATTCGAAAAGTCCGAGTCCATTCGGAAACATCTAATCGCCGAGCCTTGCGAGCTCGCTGCTATTGGACTGCTTCGTGATGTGGAATCGGCTTCGATACCCCAATTCGTATTTGTAGCGGTCATGAACGCTGATGATGGTAAGCACTGCTATTGACCGGTTCAACGCGACCTGCAGGAAAGCATGGTCTGTTGTGTAACTACGTGCAGCTTCCGAATCAGGACACCAGTAAGCTACATAGAAGCCAGAGCCGGCGAAACCTCTCGCAAATCACAAGAAGCAGAGTGCGAGTACACATAAATGCACGAGATAGCCTCTGCATTTGTTTGGATGTTGCTTTCGTCGCTTTTCAAACTTGTTTGTTGATTGAGGAATCAAGTCCTAATCTTCTGAAGGTTGAGCTTTCTGTGCGTTTTGTACCCATGAGTATAGAAAACTCAGTACCAAGCACAGCTGGTAATAGATTCAAGGCCGACGCCTATAGACTAAGAGTATCAGCCATGGGGTAGATAGGATTGTCATTTCCAGGAGAGGTTCTAGCGTTTGGAATTAAACAAAGTATTGGCATTTTGAATGTCTTCACTGATTGGTGTGACTCGACCGAGGGAGGAAATATCCTGTAGAGAAATAACAATGATAAAAATCCACGCAATCCTTGAACGGCAATAGATGTGAGAAGAAGAGGAAGGTGGGGGCGCAAGTCAGATTTAAGATGGCTGCGAAATACTTTACAACAGGAGAATACCGGGATTAGAGTCAACATCTTGAAGGAATGCATCGTCCTGCGACTTCGCATTCACTTGTCTCGATAGGAAGAAGCGAGATTGTGCTTGCTTGCTCGATCGTCTCGAGTACCTTTCAGCTTCGTGAGGTAAGCTCTGACTTCTTTAGAAGGAACGTTAAATTTCCTCTGTCTGCTGGAGCTGATAATCGTGTCCTTCCTTCCACAATACAGCACTAGCTTTAGGAAGATATTCGTAGAATGTTGGAAAGCATGCCTGTTTTCTAGTCAGAGTGCTGAACAAAAATATTCTTGCCAGTCCATTGTCTTAGAAGATGATAAGTAAAACAAGTGAACCACTCTGCTGTCTTTTGTCTTGGACATTGAGACTTAGGCATGGTTTGGAAAATTTGATGGAATGATCCTTGAAGACTTCCTCAAAAATGTGTGAGTTTCCAGTATTAGGTCATAGCAGGTGAGGTCTTCGAGAGGAAGCGCCACTGACAGTGCCACAAGACATAATATAGAATCTCTCATTTTGTGGACATTGAGCGCTGCAAGGTGCAAGGTGATTTGAGCTGTGACAAGGAACCTCGAAAAGATGCATGTTAATTCTTTCATGAAAGTAATTGTAGATCTTATCGACACAATGTATGCAACATTCCAAGAGAAATTGGCCCGTTTGAAGTACAGTTTTTATGTGTTGCTGTTACATCGAAGAGCCGAAAATTTTGATGGATTTATCCTCCTGAAAAGCAGCCATGGATTCCTTGCCCAAAGCTTGCGTTGGCGACAAAACACCTTCACCGCCCGCACCACGCTAAGAAGGCAGAATAGAACAACTACAATTCCGTGGGCTGAAAGGTGGTTTCGATTTCCACCCAAGTAATTCATAACACACTAACTATTAAACTTTGAAAGAATGGTGGGCAAGAAATCAGGGAAGGCGCTTCTGCGCGAGGAAGGTGGGCAGTTCTTTCCATTGAATCATATATCACTAATTAAGACTTGCGTAGGTCTCCAAAGAACTGACAATGGCATGAAGCAATCGAGCTGGCCTGAAATCCAGATGATCAATCAAAAAAACTATTATACGTTGGTACCCTATCTCTGGAACTCTGCGAATACCAATACGATTCACTATCTCTTGGTACTAGCAGCGTATCCTTGGTACTGCTTCTAATGGTACATAGCGATTACATGAAGCGCGATGACCAACACCTTGCGCTCCGCCTTCAGAACGAAGCCAATCGAGACCGCATGATACGGAATGCAAAGGACAAGGACAGAGCGCTGGCACGTACAGGCGATACCGATGTCCCAATTCCCATGGGCGTGGACGGCGAGGAAGATGACGAGAATGCAATCAACGATGGTCTTGATCCCTCGAAGATCATTGTCATTCATGCCGGTAGCCAGAATCTCAGGATTGGGCTTGCGGGTGATGCTCTTCCTAAGACCATCCCTATGACAATCGCTGCGAAATTTCCAACGAACGAATCCGAAACCTGTGAACCGAGACCCAAGCGTCAGAAGCTAGATGCTCACCCGGAGCAGCAATTCGGGGAGGATTTTACGAAGAAGTTCACAAAGATGTCAAATGATCTGAAGATTGATATGCGTGCGAACAAGCGCAAGGTTCTGCCTAATTCGAAAGAGTTGGTTATCAATTACAATCGACGTATCGACCCCGAGAAAATCCCAGAGCATAATGATCCTATGCGAATCGAGTGGACAGATGTCGCGAAAGATGATCCCAAGGATCATGGGACATTCTTTACTGGTACGGAAGCTTTACGAATCCCAGACGAATCAGAACCCAAGTACAAGGTCTTCTGGCCTATCCAACACGGGTGGGTCAACGAGAGTGATTATATGAGCAAATCACATCTGTGGGATGATCTAGAGTCCATTTTGGAGTCTGCTATACGGAAAGATCTGGGATTGAATCATAGAAGCGAGTGGCCCCAGTATAGCTGCGTCTTCGTTATCCCGGATCTGTACGACAAGAAATATGTCGAGACAGTACTAGATTTCTGCATGAAGGAATTTGAATTCAAGCAGGTTGCTTTCATTCAAGAGAGTCTTGCGGCGACTTATGGTGCGGGGTACTCCACTGCATGCATTGTCGATATCGGTGCACAGAAAACCTCAATCTGCTGTGTCGAAGATGGCATGTGCATCGAGGACTCGAGAATTAACTTGAAGTATGGTGGCTACGATGTTACGGAGACGTTCATGAAGATGATGCTTTTCGATCACTTCCCTTACCAAGAAATCAACATGAAACGGCGTTATGATTTCCTTCTTTCTGAAGAACTCAAGACCAACTTCTGTACGATGAGCCAGGCAGATATATCTGTTCAACTCTACGACTTCCATCTCCGTGCTCCAAACCAACCTACTCGCAAGTACCAGTTCAAGACTTACGACGAAGTCATCTTGGCTCCAATGGGCTTCTTTGATCCCTCAATTTTCGACAATAGCGAAAAGCTTAAGGGACGCCACGAATTCATTGACCGTTCCTATAACGCGTATGATCCAGATATGCCAGATGACCCTACTTCAGCAGCTCAATTGGCGATTTTAACTAGTATCAAGCCGTCACTCGCCACTCCTGCCATAGGATTCTCTTTCAATGGCAATGGTAATCTCGATGCCGCTACGCCATCCAAGGAAAAACCAAATCCTCTCGGTTTCTTCCGCAACGATGATACTAACGGCAATTCACGTGTCACTTCCGCAGCAGCATCTCCAGCTCCAGAAGGTGCAAATACTCCCGTCCCATCCGGTCCATTCGTCGTTGGCGCCAATGGTACAAATGGCGGATCTCCTGGCCCAAGCGGCTCAATATTCCAATTCGGCAAGGGTTCTCATAACAGCGGCACACCTGTCCCTCCTCCTGGCATGTTCGTCGACCCACAGGCTCGGACACAAAAAGACTTCGCTGCTGAGCGAGACCTTGTTCTCCCTATCTCCCCTCTAGATGTAGCCATCAACACTAGCATTACCCACGCAGTGAAAGGCGACGAGAAGAAAACCAAAGATTTCTTCGGCGGCATCATGCTTATTGGCGGTGGAGCGAAGACCCCTGGTCTAGGGCCCTTCCTCGAAGAGAAATTGAAGAAACTCCGTCCTGATCTTGCGGCCAAGCAGGAGAATCTCCAAGTCGGCACCAGTCCCAGAGAGATGGATGGTCAAGTCGTGGTATGGAAAGGTGCCAGCGTGTTTGCTCGGATGAAGACTCACGAGAGCTGGGTTGGTCCAGTCGAGTACGAGAGATTGGGAAGCAGGGTCTTGCCTACGAAGGTTCTGTGGAACTATTGAGTGATAGTAGGCTAGGCGTTGGGGAGTAAAGGGCATTTCTTGGGGTTCTGATAGCGATATTTGCCGGGGACATAGGGATGATGTGTAGGATCAGATAGATAGAGAGTAGTGAACTAAAAGTATCTTGATGCGTGGGGCGTTGATTAGCGACATAGGACTTAGTAGATGGCATTAATGCGATGCTTTTCTAGATTTTGAATGTCTGTCAGAAACTCATAACCTTTCTTGGTGTCATGTTCTCTTCCTGTTACAGACAATCATACGAAATAGTGAGCCAATTTGATATACACGCTTTGATCAATGAACAGTCTCCCATAAGTGAGCATCATTGAAGCAATGCTGAACCACGAAGAGAAGTATGTTGATAATAGCATCGTCCTCAGCAATCACCAACCAGCCTTCTTGATCAATGATCGATGCCAGTCATCATTATTCATTCTACCAATAAGTAGTGCAAAGGATTTCGATCCTACTCTGAGCATACAATGAACAAACCTTTGCAGTAACCATTAGATATACTACCATCCATCCATAGTCAGTAGTGGTCAGGGTAGCGTAAAATAGGGATCTGAAAGGTCACGTTAATCAGGCATCGGCGAAGAGCTTCATTATCACAATCACAAGCACGGAAAAGTTCATGGAGAGATTCATATTATCAATCAATCCAAAAAAAAAAACGAAGCTCTTTTGCTTCGCTCCTGGAGATGCCAGCTCCGTTTTCCTGTCCAATACAAAAAATAAAGAACTACAAACCAATAATTCCACGAGTGTGCCGTTAAAAACCCTTGCGGGGAAAAAGGTACACCTCTCTCCTGTCCGGTTGTGTGACTCTGGGGGGAGGTTAGCTTGTGTTTTGATGCAGGGTGAGGAAGGAAGGGAGGAAAGGGGATTTACAGTTCATCAGGCAGTTTACTGGGTTCCTCCGTACGACTCGAGAACTACGACGATGAAGTGACCTGATGGTTTTAGTCAAGAAGAGGAGAGGAGGAGGGGAAGGGAACTTACTTTACGACCGAGAAGGTCGTGGGGTTTTGTGGGTGCGCATCTCTGATCTCTTGTTTTTTTAGGTGGTGAAGAATGTGTTGAGGTGCTGACGTGCGCATCGACTCGAGTTGAGTTTGGGATACTCTTGAAAGTGTGGGAGGAGACTGATCGTTTGATCGGTTCCAGTTGAGAATGATGGTATGTTTGTTGTTGTTGAAGGAGACTGACTTTGATCGTCGGCTCGACTTGACAACGATGATGGGATGTGTATTGTTGAAGGAGACAGACATTGATTGTCGGCTCGACTTGACAACAAGTGTGTGTCAATCCTTGATTGAAAAGACGGAGAAGAGATGCAGAGATGGCCTGTTTTTGACAGAGATGAGCTTTTGAACCGGGCATGTTTTTTTTGGGGGGGTTTTTGTTGGTTTCTGATCATCGAGTCAGTGGAGGACATTTCTGAGAGAGGAGAGGGGACTTACTTTGGGCCACGCTGTTCTGAATTGTGAGTCTTGTCGTGTATGGTAGACTTGTGCCATTTGACTAATTCTGATAGCAGAGAGTCTTCAAGGACGTAATTGCCTTGAAAGATGCTGATCAGGCCAAGTAGACTTGGATGAGGAGGGTTTGTTTGTTTGCTTGTGGGTGATACTCGACTCAAATCCAGTGGTGGTTGATGCTTGTGTCGATACCATACTTTCGACTTTGATATCCATGAGAGTTAAGATCGGTGCTGCCACATTCAATGGACTTTTGGGTGTCTGGTACTTTGAAAGAACGAGGGTGAGGGTGGCATTGCCGCGTGGGATACCAGTCCTGCCACTTTCGATCGTGTACGCGGTGAGAGGGGGACGAATTCTCACAGACGGGGTTCCTGAGTTGAAGATTGGGAAGATAGAAGTTGCCGAGAAGGTCGTCTGATCCACCAAAATTCACTCACGCACTAAGATGTTCGTGTTTTGTGCGGAGGCAAAGCCTCAAGGAGAATTTGACGAAAGTCTTCCGAAGAAGTCGATTGTCGGTTGTAAGGTTTCTCGAGTTGAAGATCGGGAAGAAAGACGTTGCCGCGTGGGTCGCCAGATCCACCGAAATTCACTCACACACTAGGAGGCGGAAGTTCGTGTGGAGACGGAGGCTCAGAGAATGACAACGGCTCGACCGTATCGTACGGGAGCTCAGTCGTCGGGACATTATGTGAAAACATAATGGCATCTGGGAGCGGTACTCTAATTCCGGGAGCGAGGCCTTTATTCCAGGAGCTTGAGCTCTAATTCTGGAGGCGCTGCTCTAATTCCGGGAGTGATGCTCTGATTCCTGATGCGGTAGGTGGTTGATGTACCTTCGAGTGACTGTTATGTCCGGGGAGACATGAAGAACTATCGTAGTTCAAACAATACACTCGTTTCGAAGAGAATGTTCCGTCAGAATGACGAGGCCATGAGGCGGAGCTATCGTAGCTTCAAACATTCAAATCGAATCAAACCATATGCTCCGTTAATGAACGAGGCCCAGAAAGGGCGGAGCTATCGAAGCTACAAGCATCTGGTTTGAATTGTCGCCAATGAATGTGGCAGTGATGTTCGGTCAACACGAAGAAGCAAGTGTTGACTTTATGCAGTGAAGCAATGAACATCGGGTTCCTCGATACTCTATCGCTGATGCCTGGAGAAGAGAAGTGGCGTGTGAGGTGTTTCGAGTATCGGATTTCCAACATTTGTAATTTGTGATTGAAAGACGCCGAGTTTGCGATGGTGCGGCGGAGCTGTTGCTCGAAATGTTGGAACGTTGGGTTCAATATTCCGTAACAGAATGTTACGACGCGAGAAGTGCGGAGTATCGTACTCGAATATTGAATTGTGGTGACAAACATCTGGTAAGAGTCTTTGACTCATGATGATATGTCGATGGCGGGTACATCAGCCGGGTGTCTTGATAGACGGTTGATCTTATGCTCTCAAGCAGTGGATATCTTCGAACGAATCAGCTTATGTCGAGGAAAGAACATAGAGTACAACTTACTTAACTCCTCAATTGAGGTGAATTTATGTTACACCTCTATCGATGTTATAACAGTATTTTTTTTAGTCTGATTGATGGTGCAGAATTTTGCGACTCTGTCGACGAAAATTTGCGTACACTCATTACTTCGTCAAGTGAGACAGAAGTGATGTGAGGCAGCAGTTGGCATTTTTTTTTCTTTTTTTTCTGAAATGGTAAGCCGGATAGTCATTGTGCGTCTCGTAACCTACTTACTGATTTGCTTCTTCCTGGAATTGGAATGGTGGGATGTAGAGAGGGTTTTTTTTGTTTTGTGGCCTGATGTGTGTCAGTGAGGGCACACGAATAAGGTTTCACGAATCAAGAGACCCACAGTTGAATTGGGTCTGACGAACGAAGGGAGGTTCGTCCCAGATTTTGGTTTTTTTGTGTGTGCCATGATCTATAAACGTGTCAATAAGGGCGTGCTAGTTCACGGCACACAAATTGGAAAACGTACAAATGATTTTGAGTTTGACAAATGAAGGGAGGGTCGTCCCAGTGTGTGTGTTTTTTTCTTTCTTTTTTTTTCGTTTTTTTGTTTTTTTCTATCATGATCTATAAATGTGTCAATAAGGTCCTACTAGTAAACGGCACACAAATTAGAAAACGCACAAATGATTTTGAGTTTAATGAGTGAAGGGAGGGTCGTCCCAGTGTGTATTTTTGTCGTGCCATGATCTGTAGCTGGGTCAGTAGATATTGGTAGAAGAAGGTTGTGTTGGATTTACCATCTGATTGTGATCTTCTTCGAGGCAAACTTGATGGATTTTTCGATCTCAGCTGCAACTGCTTTTGTCTTTTCGACTGCAAGGTTGATAGCGAGTAAATCCTTATGAAGCTTATCTTTGATAGCCTCAGTCACTTCATCGTCGCCACCACCATAGAGAGGATATTCTGATGAGGTCAGTGTGAATTGAATTTGACGGATGGGAAACGCTTGCCTTCGAATCCCTTGGGGATACCTCCGGCCTCAGCTAACCACATAGCTTTTTGGAGGCGTTGGAATTTCTTGGTGAACTTTTGCATTTCTTTTTGTTGCAGAATTGCATGGTGGGCTTTCTTGGCTTTGAGATTGGCCAATGTGTTTGCTTGCTGAGATTGGAACTTTCGTTCGGTTTCAAGAGCAGTAATAGCAAGTTCTTTGTTTTTGAGCACGATATGTGCGTTGGGGGTCTACGCATGTAAGTTGAAATTTCAGATGATGGCATGAATTCAAAAATTACTTACTTTTTTGGTGGCAGTTTGGACATCTTTGACTGTTCAGTGTTAGGAATTCTCGGTTAAGCGAAGCTAGGAAAGAATTGTGTACTTACGCCAGAAATCTGGTGAATTGCGGGCGCATGGGCCGACATACGCCTTGAAGATTGCGTTGGCATTCATCTTGACGAGAACAAATTGTTCAAGTGAAGAGTTGATGTTTGAACAACAGTAATTGGGAAGCTTTGATATGCGATAAAATCGGATGTCAAGTTCGATGAAAACTGATGTATGAGGGAAGAAGAAAAAGGACGAGCAAGGGAGGAATTCCTGAGCTTTATAGTACTCAAAATGCACCAACGCTTAGCCTGTGAGTCAATTTCGAGTCACTCCGGAACTGTACTGACGAAATCTTGTTGGGTCTTGAGGTCATTCAGAAAACAAAGTTCGTTTGAAAGAAACAGAAGCTTTGCCTGACTTGGGAAGCTTGAAACTTCATTTGAAGCTTGCCGTCACTTCTTCGATCAACAGAAGAGGACAGAAGATTCTGAAAGGGTTGCAATGATTCCTTTGCGAGGGGTGTTTGAGTCGGGTGATCACGACGAGCTACGTACTTGAGAAGACCAGTAGATCATCTGCACGTTTGCTTCCATAGTTGGTATTTTCAACAAGTTCTTTTTTGTGGCTTTAAGAATACCTTGGAACTAAGACTTCTCAGTGTCACATACTATCGTTCGCTCAATTTCTCATTTACCAAGAAGATCCGGCACGAAAAGGCTGTTGAATGTGTATGCACGTGCAAAAGAGAGACCATTCATTCTCAACTTCTATAAGCCTCAGATATGGGATATGGGATGCAAACGCTGTTATATTGCAGGACGTCCAAATTCAAGATAAACAAAATGCCAATAATTCTTTGTGTGTGCTCCCACGAAAGTTTCGAGCCGCTGCTGATGATATCAAAATAGAGTTTGTACCAGAAAATAGAAGCCGCATATGACGATAATACATATACTGCTACTCCTGCTACTCTTAGGGCACCGGAAAGTGAGAGAACCGGAGCAATATGATTGGCTCTATATGATCCGCGGGCACAGAGAGGCTGCAAAGAGATAACGACTTGAAGTCACTGGCGACCTCGAATGAGATGGGAGAGCTATCTGGACAACTCGGACTTGGTCGGAATGAGAAAGAAGGCCAAACAAAACTCTCAGCATATAACGTGGTAAAGATGATGGAAAAGAAGGCACTGTGGGGTTCGAAGGGAATTGTGCGACATTCAATGTGATGGGAAAGAAAGAAGGTGAAAGGGGGAGATGAATTAAAGTTCTAGGCTAGTCCTATTTGGAGGATATCCACACGTGATGTCCCCAGCACGCCCTCGAACTCCTCAACTCCTCCTTCCTAATCCGAAAATGCTCCGTCTTGAATCCATTTGCATTGACGTCGCTTTTTTCATAAAGGTCTGTCGACATTGTTCAGCTCAGAACTCTTGATTGTTCAGGAAAAATCAAGTTTTTCGAGTGCCTTGGGCTAGGTAAACATGGCTGCACCTGCAATGTTTAACTTCAACTCGAACTCGCGTTCGTACAGATCCCATCTCGAATTCGACTCCGAAAGCGAAGCTGGATCGCCGCAAAAACAAAGAACGCGTGCAAAGGGATCATTGCAGACAACATTCCCTTCGACTTCCCCTGTGCACGTCGCGTCAGAGCAACTCGATTCCCAGGACTCAACCCGACCCATCTTCTCCTCATCCAGCTCACGAAACAGAATTGCGCCGAAGCAACCAAATTTCTCTAATCAGCACGAAATGGCGACTGACGCAGAAACAGAGGAGCTGAATGCTCACATGGCACTGTTGAAGACTGCGACTGGCCATCAGGATCACCATGAACTAACAGGAACACCAATATTCACAATGCCAGTTCTCAAGCACTCCAAGCATTTATTCAGCCAGTACGGCTTCATCGCAGGGATGTCTGATAGCTTGGATCGTGAGTCGACAGATGCAGAAGACCCCGTTGCTGGCACGCAAACAGACCCACGGCTCTTCTTTAATATTTCGGCTCCTTCGAGCGCGTTCATTTGTGGCTCTCAAGGCTCAGGTAAGAACCTTCATTTCGATCACCCACTCTTCGAGCAAAGACTGACCTCGCACTTCGATGCACAGGCAAATCCCATACTTTGTCTTGCCTTCTTGAAAATTGTCTTATGAAATCACACATCAGCAAGCTTGATAACCCTCTAGCTGGCCTTGTATTTCACTATGATTCTTTCACGTCAGACCTGAAGGGTGCGCCTTGCGAAGCTGCCTACCTTTCGTCCAATCCAAACATAAAGGTCCGAGTTTTCTGCTCTCCTACCAACTTGCAAACAATCAAGCGAACGTAGTAAGTCAGATTCTACTTTCATCCCGGCGACAGACTTGGAGGTTGGGCCTGCGAGACATCATTGGCAGAAATCAGCTCTTTTCCTCTTCAGAATATGATACGACACATATAAGACACATACTGATTTTCCAATAGTCTTGGCATGAATGTTCAGATTGAGCCCCTGCGTATCAACCAGAGCGATCTGAATACGAAGAGAATGTTGGATCTCATGGCTGTCAGCTCAGATGATGGGCCAATGCCATTATATCTCCACGCCATCAATCGAATCTTGCGCGAAATGCGCATGGTGCAGCAACAGACTAACGGTTCTTTCAACTACGCGGAGTTCAAACGATTGGTAGCAGACTGCAATATGACACCAGGCCAGTTGGCGCCATTGACACAGCGTCTCGACACCCTCGAAAGCTTCATGCCGAGATCTCAGACGCAGGTAGATAACAAAGAACAGGCAAGAAAGAAGAAAAATGAGAGTGGGAATGATTGGACTATCACGGTTCGTAAATTGAATCCCTGAAACGTGAAGCAGTAGCTAATCAACACAGCCTGGAAGTCTAACCATTGTCGATCTTTCCTGCCCGTGCGTTACGTCAGAAGGAGCATGTGCTTTGTTCAACATGTGCTTGAGCTTGTTTCTAGAGCAGAAGACAACCGTGGGTAGAGTTGTTGCACTGGACGAAGCACATAAGGTAAGATTGCCTTCCATTTCGAGGGTGGATAATATTTCGATAAATACTAACAAGAGTCACAGTATATGAATTCTGCATCCGAGGCTACTGCATTGACAAATACCCTCCTATCCTCCATTCGTCTCCAACGTCATTTAGGCACTCGAGTCTTCATCTCAACACAGGAGCCAACAATCTCACCAAAATTGCTTGACCTCTGCTCTTTGACTATAGTTCATCGGTTCTCCTCCCCGGATTGGCTGCGATGCCTCAAGTCGCATCTCGCTGCGCTGGATGTTGAAGAGGACTCGGTCCATAGCCAGAAGTCAAAGATCATTAACATCTTCAATAAGATCGTGAAATTGAGAGTTGGAGAAGCTTTGCTCTTTGCCCCGAGTGCCACTATTGGAATTGGTGTTAGTGACAGTCCAGGATCGAAATTGCCAGAAGCAAAGATGTTACGACTTGGCCTGGGATTCTTGAAGATTAAGATTCGTGCTAGAATCACCGCGGACGGTGGAAAGAGTGTCCTGGCAATCGGTACTGGCGCAGCTTCCATCAATGTCAAATCAGGCGCTGTTTCGAAGAAGAGTACCGAGCCATCGCCCGAAACAGCCCTCACAATCGCGCCAGTCCCTATCAAACAATCTCAAGCCCAAGTCACCTCCATTTCTACCACATTCGGAGCACCATCTCCGACGCCCCGAGTTTTTGATGGGCTTCGTGCTGCTGGTCCACCTATCCCAGCGGTCGAAAGTCTGAAGACGCGCGGAACATTGGGACTGAATCATACGCCACCTGTGACCCGAACAACTTCAGGTCCATTTCATGTGAACCTACCAGGAGTTGGAAAGCTCGTTCATGGAACCGCGAATAAGGACATATTCAGTTGGACAAACAGTAACACAAGTTCTGCAAATCATGTTGGAGCTGAGAACTCAACATTTGGCGTTGGAAAAGCCAGAGGCTTCGGTGACAGCAGCTTGACGTTACAGGAGAACAAGAAACCCACGTCCCCGGTCGAAAAGAGAGAGACTACTTCTCCACTGCTAACTGGCAATCTCTCGAACTCGATCTTTGCCAATCCGAAGGGGAATGCCAGTATTCAGCAGCCGAGTTCTGCACTCAAGAACCAGCTCCCTGCCTCTCCAGCTATGAGTGCGAATACACCAGTGGTCATTTGTCCAGGAACACGAACTTCGATGTTCATTCCATTCACCGAGACCGAGGTATCCAAGGCCGAATTGCCAATTATGCAGAATACTTTTCAGCATTTCTGTGCTCAGAAGGCTTTCTCGATGTTTTCTCAAGAGGAATTGAGGCTCGCCGACTATGCTGTCACACGAATTTTCAAGAGTGACACTAAGGCTTCTGCATCTGGAGCACGTTAAGTCAGGGCATTAAGATGTGTGCCACCGAAGACATTATGTCACCGGAGGAATTGTACGTTGTAACAATGACTTGTACGTATACTGTAGCTCATGGCTTTTCTTTTCTACGATATGTATGGCGATTTTGTGTTGATTGGCCTTGGCTCTGCTTACTTGTATTCTAAAGAATTGCCTCACGGCGAACGGTCTGGAGTTTTGTAGATGTCGGAGAAGCTGTGTTGGTAGCAATAGTGCAGCGTGTTACTTATGTACATTTTATCATGAATGAATATTGACGTTCTTCTTCACATTTTGAAGTGTCATGCTTACGGGCCCAGTCTCCAGCACAACCCAAACTCATGGTAGACGGAGTGATATCAGTCACGTGAATATGGTTCATCTAGCAGGATGTTTTTTTTTCCTTGGAAACTTTCAAGGACGGACACGGAGCGTGGGCCCGAAGAGCTTTGGTACTGGTCATGCTCTGCTTCATATCTATATGTTGATCTAAGATAAGCTGAATTGAACACTGCCGATATACCTACCCTGCAGCCGCAATGACGTATAGAATTTATGCCATCCTGGCTGCCTTGACCTCAAATTTTTCCTTTCTGTCAGACATCTTCAAACACATTCGTTGCTTACGATTTCCAGAGACTTTCTTTCTGCACATTTACGTCCGAAGATACAAAATGTCTTCATCCAAACAGAACATACTGATAATCGGTTCCGGCTGGGCCGGTTCCACCCTCGCTACGTCGCTGGACGAAAATAAATTCTCAATCACAGTCGTATCACCAGAGTCCACGACGCCATATACGCCGTTGCTGGCTAGTGCTGCTTGTGGGCTTTATGATTACAGTCTGGTCGAGACACCGATTCGGCACACGGGGAAGAGGATGAAGTATATTAAAGCACGGGTTTTGGATATTGATTTCAAGGGCAAGAATGTGAAATGCCAGTCTGTGTTTGAGGATGCTCCTACAAATGAGTTTGTGATTGATTATGACATCGTTGTTGTTGCTCCTGGAGTGAGTTCCTCTCCTCAGATTTTCAAGATACTGAAGCTAACAAAACCAATAAAGTGCGTAAACCAAACCTTCAACACCCCAGGCGTAGCCGAAAACGCCCTCTTCCTCCGAAACGTCAAAGACGCCATGAAAGTCTCGTCCCAGGTCCAGAACTGCTTCGAGAAGGCCTCCATCCCCGGCCTCACAGAGCAGCAACAACGTTCGCTGCTGCACTTCGTCGTCGTGGGCGCTGGTCCCACTGGCGTTGAAGTTTCCTCCGAACTCTCTGATCTCTTTGCTGATACTTACTCAAAACTGTATCCTCACCTAAACGGAAAAGTATCAATCACCATCCACGACATTGCCGAGAACGTGCTCTCAGGATTCGACTCTAAACTACAGGAATACGCCATGTCAAGCTTTGATAAACGGAACGTAGAGGTTTTAACCGGGTCTCACATCGAGAAGGTAGAGAAAGCTTGCCTGTTCACGAAAGAGAAAGGACGTATCGAGTGCGGAGTCGTGATCTGGGCTACTGGCAACAAATGCTCGCCCCTCGTCGAAACCCTCCCCGTCAAGAAAACCCCCAGAAATCCACGCATCCTCACAGATGACTTCCTCCGGATCTACACCCCCTCCTCCACCCTCATCGACTCCGCCTACGCCCTCGGGGACGCAGCAGACGTCGAAGACGCCCGACTGCCCACCACGGCCGAAGTCGCTTGTCAAAAAGCGTCATACCTAGCAAAGAGCTTGAACAGAGGCTTCGAGAAGCCGTTTCGCTATGAGCAGGCGGCGTTAGTGGCGTACCTGGGGCAGAATGATGGGGTGATTAGTGGGAAGAAGGATTATTCGGGGGCGCAAGCTTGGATTGCGTGGCGGAGTAAGAATTTTCTGTGGACGCGGACGTGGAGGCAGAAGGTTTTGATTGTAGTGGGTTGGTTATTGGATTTAGTGACTGGGAGGGCGATTGCGCCAAGGTGAGGAGAGGGTGGAATTTGTGAGGAAGGTTTATTGGATGGTGATAACAGTTCCCCTCAAATTAATAATCTTCCCTCTATCCTTACTTCCCCTTAAGCGAAGCTCGTCGACTCCCTAGACCGTCCAGATCTCTCTACTGTAAACCTAGCGAACAGCTTCACCTCTCCTCACTTTCAAACCCCCTCCCCTCATTCACTCCCAGAATCATTAAAAAGCCTCTATCACGTTAACCAACTATCTCCAAAAAATCAGAACCCCATCTCCCAACACCAATTGAGTATCTGATCGCTTATTCTAGTATCTGTCATAGTGGTTGGTGCTCTAGATTAAAATCACCAGCTTTTGAAAGCAGATTTTTGAGTACAAGCGGTCTCAATAGACTTGTTGCAACGTGTAACAAAACGCTTGAGCGTGTTCACGTGAATGCAGTTGAAATACCAAGTGTAAGTAGTATCTTGGGCTTTTGAGCACTCATTCTCTCCTCGATCTCGCGTGTTTCAGGGGAAGCGAGCCTCCCTAAACAACCTAATCCATGAACGCTTTCAGACTCACTCAAAAACGATCGAGACTTCACAGCGTCACTGTTACACCCTTCACTAGGTCAAAGTCACGCACACGACTCAAAAACTGCAATGCAAAACGGCATCTATTCTCTCTCTCTCCACCCGCCCCACCCCACAATAGCTTTTCAGGCCATCAGCTTAGAAAGAGACAACGCCCCATAAATCTATATTAACACATTGTTGTTCTTTCTCGCAGCCATACCCCATGTTCCATGCCCTTCCATAATATAATACAATGCTTGCTTGCTCCCTTTACAAGCTCTAGATAGTACCCTAGCATCAAGTTCTCCACAACGTGACGCAATATCTTTTTTCCCCAGCCAAAAAGCAACGCAATCAACGAAGGATTCTTTCTATCGCTGCACAAACGTGAGAGTGATTATGCGGAAATAGCAGAGTATGGGTAATTAGCCCATGTCGACGTCGCCGTCAGCCATTGCAAGTCTCTGCTTTGCAGTCTTGGCTTTCTTGGCAGAAGCATTCTTTCGAGGCTTCTTGCCTTTCGATCCCAATGCGGCGCCGTCAGCGCCAGGAATGGGTGTTGCGGCGCCAGAAGGACGATTGGAGCCATCGTCGAAGTGACCTTCACCTGGATGGTAGTTAGTACATGTTCCACGATATTCAAGGGTGTCAAGACTCACCCTCGTGGTAAAGATCCTCCAAGCTGCCACCAGCCTCCGCCTTCCTTTTCTTGCCTTTACCCTTCTTTCCCTTCTCAGGCATCTTGGCTTCCTCTGCCGCAATCTCTGCCTCCTTTCTCTCAATCTCCGCAGCCTCCTCATCGTCCACGAGCCACATGGCAATATCCTTGGTTCGGTTCTCCTTCGATCTGGTGTTGAAGTCGACACCGCCACCTGAGCCACCAGTCATGACAACCTTCTGCACTTCTTCTTTCTGCAGAGCTCGTTTTCGGATACGCTCTTCGATAGTACCACGAGTGATCATGCGATAGACTGTGACTTGTTTAGTCTGACCGAGACGATGGGCACGATCCATGGCTTGAGAATCGATGGTGGGGTTCCAATCAGAATCGTAGAAGATGACAGTGTCAGCACTGGTCAAGTTGATACCAAGACCACCTGCACGGGTACTGAGAAGGAAGATGAAAATCTCTGGCCGAGTCTGGAAATCGTGCACAGTATCTCTTCGGTCTTCAAGTTTAGTGGAACCATCAAGACGGAGATACTTGTAATTGCGGTAAGTGAGGTACTCTTCCATGAGATCGATCATCTTAGTCATCTGGAAGTATAGCAATACACGATGACCTTCGTCCTTGAGCTTGAACAGTAGTTCATCCAGCTTAGCAAGTTTTCCAGAATCGGTGACGAAGCGACGCATTGAAGGTACACGGATGTTGGTGAAGCGCTGCTTCTCGGAAGTGGGAGCAGGAAGAAGTTTAGGTGGGGGATACATCGCCGTAGGAACCTTAGATGCAATCAACGCTCTCTCTTCAAGGGGCGATGGACCATATAGAGCACGACGCATTGGTACATTGAACAGGATGTTCTCCTTCTCAATTACAGCACCTCGGCTAGAGCAAACAACCTCGATTGGTGGAGCAGAGGCTGAAGGTCGACCGCATTGTTCGAGTCGACTGAGACCAGATTTCGCAAAGACGTCCTTGGAGACATTGAAAAGCTTATTCAGATAACCCTCATCGGTGACTTCTGCTAATGGCTTTCGGTCCTTGCGATCCACGATCCTCAGCATGGCCTGAGCAGGAGTGAAATTCTTTTCCTCTTCCTCATCGTAGACGACATCGAGGACACCAAGTCGACGTGGCTTTTGAGCAAGATTGACTGCGCGGCTGAATAGATCCTTGTGAGCAGCTTGAGAAACATCGCCAATCGAGGTATCAGCGAATCTAAGCCAAGCAAAAGCTTTGTTCTCGGCCATATTCTCACGAATGTATTCTGGCTTGAAGACATTCAATAATTGATCCAAATATTTGCTCTTGAATCCGGCCTTATCGTTAGTTCGTCCAGGCATGCTAAGTCGCCCATCCTCTCTCCAAACCAATCGAGGGAGTTGGTACTCAATTAAATTGCGGGTAGAATAGCCAACATTGATCAAAGGTCCTTCACGCATGAAAGAAGCAGTCTCGGCAAAGTGACCAAAAGAGAAGGGGGACGTGGTCTCGGCTCTCTGGAACAAGTCGGGATGGTTACAGACCTTTCGGAACTGCATGACCAAATTCATAAGAGTGCCAGCATCACCATCATCACCAATTGTGGCTTTCTCAATGAGATCCATAATGCTGATCTGATTGCGAAGGTTGCCATAATAAGCTCGTTGGCGGTACGTGAGGTCACAGAAGATGTCCAGCTCAATCTTGTCACCCAGCTCCTTTTGAACGTGCTTCTTGACACGACGAAGCATGAAGGGCTTCAAGATCATGTGCAATCTCTTCAGCTGATCTTCGTTGAGCTTGGTGTTACTCTGAGCATGGCTTTCGATATCCTTTGAGAACCACTCGCTGAATTCGTCGTGCGAATCGAACAAGCTGGGCATGATGAAATGCAGCAGAGCCCACAATTCCTGCATGTTGTTTTGGATAGGCGTACCAGTCAAAAGCAATCGGTTACGGCAATGGAAACCAAGCAAGCTCTTCCATCGAGAACTCTGTGAACTCTTGATAGCCTGAGCCTCATCAAGAATCATGTACTGCCACTTCATCTTCTGAAAGTAATTCACATCAGATACGACCAGCTGATAAGAAGTGATCAAGACGTGGAAGGGGGCGTCTCTGGTGTAGGTGATGTGTTTGCGATCCCAGAACTTTCGGAGCACCTTTCGGTCGGCAGCGGTACCCCAGTATGGTAACACCTTCAGCATGGGAACGAACTTGGTGATTTCTTGCTGCCAGTTGTGAAGTGTGGAAGCAGGAGCAACAACCAAGAATGGACCCCAAATGTTATGCTTCTCAGCAAGATAACCCATGACCGAGATTGATTGAACAGTCTTTCCCAGGCCCATCTCGTCGGCCAAAATACCATTGATGCCCTGCTCATAGAGATTGACCAGCCAGTTGAGACCCTTAAGTTGGTACTCTTTGAGCTGAGCTTGAAGCATCTTGGGCTGCTCAATGTCGACATCGCCCATTCCAGAAGGATTTTGAAAGTTCATCTCTCCCTCATCGTCCATGGCAGGAGTGTCGTCTTGATTATTGAATGCTCTGGCCTTATTTTGAGCTTCTTGGATAGCGTTCTGGGCGTTAGCGATAGCAGCAGCTTGCAAAGCACTCTCATCCTCAGCATCAAAATCGAGATCCTCGAAGTTCGTGACCTTGGCACCAGGAGCTCCGTGGTTATCGGGAACATTGATCTTGTTTGTATTTCCATCGCTTTTCGATACAGCCTCGTCCGGATGATCGGTCGATCGCTCAACCTCGTCAGTCTTGATCTTCTTGCCAATGAAATGCGAGTAGAGTTCAGTCTGGGAAATGAGGAAGTTGAGTTTCCGCTTCTGCCTATTGGCTTCTCGATCAGCTTCCGCTTTCTTCGCATTCTCAAGCTCTTGCTTCTCAGCGGCTCGTCGGAGGTCTCTCTCCTCTCGCTCGTTACGCTTCCAGAAGCCCATCATCTCTCGCATGGCACGCTTGGCACGCGCCTGAAGGTCCTTTGTGCCTTTATTTGTCTTGAGTTGCCATCTCTTGGCCTCTTTCGAAGCCAGAATAGCAGTCTTCTTCAAGTTGGAGGCTCTCGTCCCGTACGATTCACCAGCTACCTTGTGAGTCTTGCTGACATCTTTGCGCGCCAAATCTCGCCAAATCTGGTCGTAAATCTGGTTATAACCCTTTGAAACAAATGGCTCGAATGTCGCTGGGGACTCCTCTCTAGGTTCCTTATGCTCCTTGGCGTTCAGCTTGAGTCTGATCTTGGGCTCTTCCTTCGGTGGAGGTGGCAAAGACGGTGGCTCCTCTCCAGCATCAATTGCAGCTTGTGCAGCCTCTGCTGAATCTTTCTCTGCTTGCTTCTGCTCTTTGGACTTTCGCGGGCGAGCTCCGCCACGCCTGGGCTTGACTTTTTCCTCGACAGCAGTAAATGTAGACATCATACCTCCAGAGAAGTTAGGCTCCATTGGTGATACAGCACGAATCTCCGGACCCTTGTCGCCTCGGGACAAGATCATCTTGGTCTGCTGAGCCTTCTTCTCTGCTCTCTGGGCTTCCTTCAAGTATTTCTGCCTCTCGTGCTCATCTTCAGCAGCCTGAGCCTTTGCCAGGGCGGCTTGACTCTGCTCAACGTTGGTGGCAACAGTCTTTTCTCGTCGACGCTTTCTCTGCATGTCCTTCTTGCGCTCCTTTTCGGCCTGGACCTCCTTTTCTTGAACTGCCGTGATAGCAGCGTCGACGTTGATCTCCCTGAATCGGAGCTCACCAAGATCTGCGTGTCTACCAAGCTTTTGTGCCATTTTATCTGAGAAAGTCTTTCTTCGTTGCTTCGTCTTGGATGTCTCGACATTCTCTACTTCGAGCTTGCGCTTTAGACTTCGGACCTTGAATGTCTTTTTGTCTTCATCGAATTCTGGCATCTCGACATCGCTCGTATCCGCCTCAATCCTCGCCAGCGCAGCAGCTACCTCCTTTTCTTGCTCCTTCGATATTTGCTTCTGCTTTGGAGAAGGCTTTTTTGGCTCGCCATTCGCCTTCCGCTTCGCAGGAACTCGGACTGTAGGTGTCTGTGTTGGGGCGAGGGAGGACTGTCGGGAACTGTCTCTTGACATCGTTTCATGCACGGGCGCAGGTATTGATTGCCGTGATGGCTTTCGAGGTTTGGCGATAGTAGGAGTAGGAGCAGGTGTTGGCTTCGAGATTGGGTCGGCGTTGGAAAGGATGCTGGAGAAAGACATGGGATCTGCGGGTCTGCTTGGGGGCTGACAGTCATACGGATTAGCTTGGTGAGCAAAAGAAGCTGAACACTGGGAATGATATACCGTAGCCGCGACAACTGGCTCTTGCTTGATTGGAGCGTCCATCGTCATGCCGTTGTGTCGCATGGTCGGCGAAGTCATCGTGGCCATCCTTGGCGAAGTTGAGATGGGATGTGCATGCGAGATGGGCGATCGAGGTTGTATAGTTGTGGCAGTTGGAGAAGTGTATGCTCCGTTGTAATGTTCAACGGATGATGATGGATAAATGTAGGGTTCTCGTTCTCGAGTCTGGCAAAAATGACGTTAGCTGGCAATTGAATATAGAGCGCCCCATAGCCGCGTCCAACGTGTATCTATTCACCTGAGGAGTTTGATTTTGCCCTTCGCTCCATCCAACGCTTTCTGATGGACCTGAATCGGATGTCGGATCGTAGTAATTACTCTTCGGCTTCTCGCGAGGTGCGTGAAGGTGATCGGCTTGGTACGCAGAAGGCGCCGTCAGCGACCTGGGTGACGCTGGAGGGTGAGAAGCAGTTGTTGGCATCGACAGAGGTGCAGGCGTCGATGGATGGTATGGATTTGTGAATTGAGGTGGTCGCGGATGAGTTCCATTTGTGGGTGAATAAGGGGAATGATGGAGTTTTGTTTGCGGAAGAACCTCGTAGGTGTTTGAGCTACTACTCGCCCCGTTGATCCTCTCTCTCTCTCGTCTTGCGCCCTCATCACCCTCATCCTCCGGACGTCGCATCACCGTCGAGTGAAAAACCGAGTCCATCGTTGCGCCGTGCACTCTAGAGACGACGATCTCAGCTAGATTCCTGCTCCATAGACAATCTAATACCGCGCAGGCACGGGCAGAAGGGGTAGCAGCGACCGGATTACTGGTGAAGCATCACGATCATCAAGAGTCTGGAGGTTGATGAAAAGGGTTGCGCAGATGGATGTTGAGCAAGCAATTAGAAGATGCCGGCTGATGCGAAGAGAGGCTCCTCCGGTTTGGAGCCGCAGCGAGTCGGAATGTGAGGTGTGTTCAAATGGTGCTGGAGAAACGGACTAAAAGCATCACGGCACGACTTGCTGAAGGTTTGGATGTCGCGACGACGGCGACGCGAAGGGACGATGGCAAAGGGATTATGTGGTCCTGATGTTACGATGAAAAGTTTACCAAGGGGGGAATCAAGATGGGGCGCGAAATGGGGATCGCAAGTGATATCTTAGTTGGAGTGCGAGGCCTCTTTTCGTTCCGCCCGCATTTTTGCAGTGCGCGCCTCTTCCTCGTGGTTTGCGAAGCATCCAAGTTCAAAGATTACCTACTTATGACGCGAGACTTATTGGCTGCACGTCGACCCCTGCAGGAAGGCTTGCTATGGGACGAAAAGGTGACTGTATTCTCCATCGTGCATGTTGGCATCTCAGGGTGATGCAGAATGTATATACACTCACTATCTACCTAGTGTGTGTCTTGCTCCCTTGGTCCAGATTGAGGATTCTGTTCGCTCGTCTCGTTATTTTCTCTCCAACGAGCGCAAAATTTGGGATAGAGGGGCTAGGCCCGATGCGGTTACTAGCATCAATATTGGCATTCATCCGGAGATAACAGACACTGTTCCGGGAAGGAGGAAGAGTAGAAAAGGGGATGATCTTATTCTGTGAGATAGGATAGATTGCATAATAATAACCCTTCGATACGTGGGAGTTGGAAATTGATCAGAGTTCAGGCGGTGAAAATTCTTTCACATCAAGCAAGTTTTGACGAGCTCTAGACTTTATAGACTCCACCTGCAAACAAACCATCTCAACACAAACAATTTCAATTCTTGGAATAAGTTGAACTGGAGAGGATTAACACGAATAGCTTCTCTAACGGAAAGACTGATATGACGAGAAAGAGAGAGAGCGCATCTGATTATTCTATACACTCGTCACGTGGTCTTGCTTTATGTTGTACTATAATCTGAATGAGAAGGCGAGAAATTCCTCAGGGGAGCAAATAGAATGAGAATAAGCTTAGCTCATCAATACGGAGTTTGGAAATGTTCAAATGTGTATATCCTCTGGACCTAAACTCGCTTTCTTACTAATTTCGACCCATTGTGTGGCATGGGAAGAATAGAATCACCGAGAGAAAGAAACTGTTATCCAATAGCCTCTGCATTTTGATGCTGGTCAGCAGTATATAAAGATAGACATAGCAGTAGGAGATAGTCGAAAGGGAAGCTCAGAGGCATTACTTGGCTGCTTATTCTTTGAGAACGGAATCACACATTCACATGCATAGCAATACCTATTAACTCGACGATAAATAGAATTTCAAAGTACGCCTCTAAAGCACAGCAGTCTATTCTGTCCCACATGCACATCCCAGCGCGTGTATTTATCATAATTGCAGTGGTAATGCTTCTCCCCAGTCGTTAGACCAAGACCCAGCACTGAAACCACTGCAGGCATGCTATATATGCAATGACCCACGTACAGATCGCCGAAATGCATCACTTTTTTGTTTTTCTCATCTTGATTATGATTTCAATCTCATCTTCGATGTAAGAAAGGAGGGGAAATGTCCAATCTAGACAGCACCAGCGGCCATCATCTTCTTCCTCAAGTGGTTCTTGTACTCGCCGATTGATCCACCCCATTTGCGGATTGTTTGGTTTTCGCAGACCATGATGTCCTTGGCAATCTTGTCGAGCAATCTTGTGAAAGTTAGTGTAATTCATCTCAAAGTTTAACGGAATGACATACCTGAAATCGTGAGACACAACAACGACACCACCAGTAAAGGCATTGATAGCATCCGCCAAACTGTCAATGGTGGGAATGTCCAAACCGTTAGTAGGCTCATCAAGGAGAAGCATGTTGGGTCCATCGATGGCCAGAAGAGCGAAAACGATTCTAGACTTTTGACCTTCGGACAGAGTACCCATCAAAGCTGTTTGGGAATCTCCGCTAAGACCGTACTTTCCAAGTTGTTGTCTCCAGTACTGGTAGTCTTGGGACTTATCGGCATACTTGTCTCTAACAAAGTCAAGTGCAGACTTGGTAAGATCCAATTGTTCAGCGGAGTGTTGAGAATAGACACCCATCTTCAAGTGAGTGTGTCGGGACACAACACCGCCAGTTGGCGATAACTTGCCAGTCATCAGACGAAGGAGAGTTGATTTACCGACACCATTGGGGCCAACAAGGGCTGTTCGAGAGTCCATGTCCACACCGAGATCAAGATGTCTGTACAGGTCATCCTTGCTGTTGCCAGAGTACGAGAAAGTGACATCATCAAACGACAGAACTGGAGGAGGAAGCTTCTCCACATCGGCGAATCTGAATGTGAAGACGCGATCTTGCTCAACTGGTTGGATGAACCCGTCGGCCTCCATTTTATCCAAGATCTTTTGGCGGGACTTGGCTTGTCTGACCAAATTGGCGTAGGTACCAGCTGAAGCAATGAACTTCTTGATGTGTACGATTTCGTCTTGTTGCTTTTGGTATGCCTTCATTTGATTTGTCTCCTGCTCAGCTCGGGTCTTGGCATAGGAGTCGTAGTTACCACCATAGTACAGAAGCTGCTTTTGACGCATGTCAATCATGTTTGTGCAGACACCATTGAGGAAATCCATAGAGTGAGAAACGAGCACCAGGGTTCGGTCCCATTTCTTCAGGTATTCTTCCAACCACACGCATGCCTCCAAATCCAAATGTGCTGTTGGGTCATCGAGCAGGAGGAGGGAAGGCTTGACGAAGAGAGCCTTTGCCAACGCCACACGCATACGCCAACCACCAGACATATCCTTGGTCTTCTTGTGGATTGTGATCTTGTTGAAGCCCAAACCAGTGAGAATGAGGGAGGCACGGGTAGAGAAGGTGGAAGGATCCATAGTTTCCATACGCTGAGAATGTTAGTGGGGGTCGAATAGTCAAGGCAGGGCTCTCACCTCATAGAGGTCCATGAGTAATGGAGACTCTGGTCCGTCATCCTCCAGAATTTGCTCAGCTTGCTTATCCAGTCTCTCCATTTCGTTCTCGGCCTCTTTTACGACCCATTCCAGGGCACCAAGCTCACTTGGTGGGGCACCTTCGTTGAGTAGGTAGATATCGACATGGTCCGGAACAGGATATTCACGCTTATCGATAGCCTTCAAGAGAGTCGACTTTCCACATCCGTTTTCTCCAAGCAATCCATATCGGCGCCCATATGTAAGTTCCATAGTTGTATCGTTGAGAAGGACGCGGCCATGAAACACTAGGGACACCGAAGTGATTTTGACATCTCTACTCTGCTTCAAAGAGGAGAGCACACCAGTAGTGACACGGTCAGAGAGACCATGCTTGTCCATTTGGTCGGCAAGTCTCTTGACTTCGTCCATCTTCTTCGCAGATGTCGCAGATTCTTCGTTGTCGCTCACATCGGTGCTGGCAGCCGCGCTTCCAGCTTTACTGCCAGCCTTAGATCTCGAGGCTACAGTCTTCTTGACGGCTTTTGGGTCGCCAGAAGCAGCCGCAGCCGCAAGTTTCTCCTGCTTCTTGGCCTCGCGGGCCTGCTTTGATGCGGACTTCATGGTTGTAGAATTTTGTTGCGGAATGAGATTTGCGATCCAAGGTTCCAATCAAGATTCGGAACGAATGTGGGATTCAGGGTGTGAAATTCCCACTAATTTAGAGGTTCAAAATTCGAGTATCGAGATCCTGGACTCGACGTGTGTGGCGTTAATGGAGAACCTCAAACGAAAGTTGTGTTCTGTTATGGCAGAAAAGATGAAGCCTTTATCATGGTGGGGTTTGGGTGTCGATTAAAAAAACTAGCGTTGGCGTCCACCCCGCTCTGACTGGTCAGTGTCTGCCAGTGCCACTCGCTGGGAATCAATAAAATCTCAACCTTTTGCCACAAAGAGTCATAAATGGTAGCCAGAAAGGGTCAGAATGGGAACTTTCCAAACGAAAGTAGGATTTCACCTGTGAATAAATTGGCCGCATTCCCAACGACATTGTCAAAGTCTGTGTTCGGCGAGTTCGCTTAGCAGATAACTACGTAATATCACGTGATGTGTCCAGACACGTTTTCAGCTTGACTGCCCTGCTTTCGAATTTCCGTTCACATAGTTTCACCCACGATTTCAAAATGCTTCCTTTCAAATTAAGAATCTATCAAACTATTCATACCATTATTCTAGCTCGAAGTAAGTTTCTGGGGATAATTATTTGCTTGCAAGTTTGTATGGATATCCTTTGGTCCTTTCTTTCAGACCTCCTGAGCAGGACGTCCTGATTTACATTTGAGCACCTTCAAGAGTTTCCTACTGTATTTGAACCCCGCCTCATTTGGTCCTACTTGTTGAGACTACTAGCAAGACTTTCTTTACGTTTATGCTTCAGTCTACAATAGACCATAGATGGAAGTTCTTAGTCAGTGTACGACCAAGGAATGTCGGTTGCCACTGCAAGAGGAATGGATACCTTTGATCGTTTTTGATTAATTCTAAGTGTTGGGTTATGGTTGTCCTGTTGCCCTACCAAACTGGCAAGATTGTTGATGTTGAGAATGTTCTTCATTCTGTAATGGCAGAAGCCAAAGGCGCATGCTAGGCAACTATCCTCGAAAACGGCGCTAGTGAAAGGCATAAATCGTGGGTTCTCTCCCGTGAAGTTGCTCATTGACACTTCTTCTGGCCGTAAGGTAGGCTCTCCATGAGCCGGGCGCACCAAGGGATTTCTACTTAGGAATACCAAACGCAAGATCTGTCACGGAAGACGAAGCCTAACTGAATTGTGGCATCACAAATCGAGACAAGCTTATCTGTGGCAACAGTGAAAAGATTGTCGATAAAAGGGATGTTGCCCGCAAGAACCACGAGCTAGACAAATTGTGGAACAAGAACGTACATCCACAGGGTCACATGTTCGGTCATAGCCATATCTGGCAATTTTCAGATAGCAGTGGGCAGTCCCACATCGTCTCATCCGTTGGCAGAGACTATCTACGAGCAATATATAAGGCATCCCTTCAATTGTTGTGAAAAAATTTTATCTGAGAGTTCAAAGTTTGTTCCACACATCGTACAATATGATTCTGCTGTCCTATCTGTCACAACATTGCAAGACAAACAACCAGAAATTCTAGTACATTTAACGACTGTCTGATGTTCCAAATATCGACATACTTCCTGCATTCCTGGAAGTTCTGCTGCGTTCTTGGGCTGGATGTACATTACTTGCCTTGGTATTTTGAGCTCGTGCGGATGTTGGTCATATCGAGGAACACAGAGAGCTCAAAGGTGCTGTTGCGAAGCCAACTCCAATATTAATCTGTTACACACGCAATAGTATGACTTGCGCTTCTTAAAGAAATCCACCTATCATAAATTTTCCACTTTTTGCGTATTTGCCGCATCTTGCGCATTCTCGCGGGTTTCGCGCAATCCGCGCTGTTCACCTGGCTGAACATGGAACAGGACTATTTTGCATTCGATCACAGTAAGTGCACAATAATAAGTGTAGATCATATGTAATGGGAATGCCGACTCAAGTCCAAAAGCTGGATTGTGAGGCTGGACAATCGTCTGTTGCCCATCATATGGATCCATCAACCCATTCTTGATCATTTGGGTGCTTTCTATACCAAATTAAAATACGGAAAGGGGTTTTGTGCATAGTGTTGCAGTATGTCAGCTTGTTGTCTGTTGCCTACCTAGGCAAAGGTGTCAAATGGGGTGAAGAAATTAAGCATGGAACCCGCTTTTGGATATACTACAAGAAGCTCATTGAGTAACCTATTATTCATGATGATGTCGGAGAACGCGACTCCGTTCTTCCTTGTCAAGCTCTCAGTATCAAAAAAAAAGCTTTGAACTTAACATGATCTTTCTTTGACACGTCATTCTCAAGCTAAGCCTTAAAGCTCTAGACCTACACTTTCAGATGTCAAAGTCTCTTGTCCACATCAAGTGCCTTTTACAAATCTTCAAACCATCACTCACTTCCCTTGTATACTCTTTTCCTAAATTTTCATTCCGCACACATCGAGACCAAATCAGGAACAACTTTCTCTCAACAATTGACAACCAAACCCAACTTGACAATAGCAATACTTTCTCATGCCACCTTTAGATCTCCAATGAGCTCCAGATACTACCCTACTCAACATGGCACCAAGCCGGAGCCGGAGTTCATCATACATACCATGAGTATCGGAGTATCCTTTACTAGTAAAGTTCCTCCTTGTGTGAAGACTGTGAATATAGACGCTATGACCCCGCTAATGAGGTGCTCCTCATGTTGTTGGGTGAATCTGGAAGATATAGTTCCAGAAATGAATAGTAGGATATATAAGAGTGAACCGAAGATATAGAGTTTCGCAGTGAGGACACGATTAGCATCTAACGTCTCCGCTCAGTGTTGTTCACAGAAGTTGAAGTTTTTCGAGACCAGGAGTTGGATCTGACAATGCCCAAAAATGTGTCCCGAGTTAAGGCAGGTAGAAGTGCTGAACTTTAGTTGGAAATTGTCTTTGATTCCTCTTGTACAACCAACCCTGAGTATGCTACCTCAGTAAAAGCCTTGTTTTTCTGACTGATACTATCACTGTCAAATGTCGTACCGAACAAGTATAGCTTGTACTTTGTCCGGCTACTTATCGATCAAGGCACGCACAATCAAAGGTGGCTGAGTCAAACAATCACCATGTAGCACAAGGCCCACATCTCCACCCCAACTCTACAACACCCTTAAAGTATGACCAAACCCGAGACACATTCAAATTCTTAGCGCGAATTCATGATGCCATCGAACTCTCATTCATTCTTCTAGGCCGAGCCCTCACTCGCTCCAGTCTAACACCTAGTCTCTCCTCCGTATTATGAAATACAATACGTTTAGTGTAGGGTATCAGTCACAGTCGACACCATAACGCCGCTCCCCAGCCTCCTACCAAAATCAAGCAAATACTCCACCCAATTTTCTTTTCCCGTGTATCCATATCAAGTCTCAAAACTCTTCCCACTCCTCGTACTCCTCGCATCCCACGTCCGATTCTCTCCCCCACCCCCACCACTCCCCCTCGTCCCAACCGTACTCCTCACCTCATTCGCTCCCGCCGCCGCAACGCTGACCGTCACCTCCCCCTTAATCCCAATCTGATCCAACCCATACAAATTCTCCACACTATCCTCTCCCCTCCTCCTCATGCGACTTCCCGTGCGTTCCGCCGCGTTGCCCGCTTCGATCGTAGTCACCGTACCTAACCTATGTCCCCTGCCCATAAACGCGAAGGTCTCCAGCCCAGTTTCCTCTCCTGGCGGGAACTCGCTGAACACGATGTCAGCGCGGGTGCTGGCGTAGAGCAGGACGTCGAGCCAGCCGTTACAGGCGATCATCGTGCCGGCCATGACGAAATAGCTCATTGGGACGTCGTGGCCGGCTAGGGAGACGATACGGCCGGCGGCTAGGGGAGCGGTGCAGATGGTGTAGATGAGGGGGTACAGGATCATGAGCGGAGTGGCGCCGTGCAGGAGCGGTGCTCGGGGCGAGGGGTTGGAGTGCCGGGTTGAGGTGCGGAGGAAGATGAAGATGAAGGTGTAGATCAGGATGGTGGAGAACATGGCGACGAAGATCCAGAAGTAGTGCAGCCAGAGACGTTCGATGGAGAAGCGGTCGTTGATCCAGCACTTGTATCATGTCAGAGATGAATTGCTCCTGAAGGAAGGAGAGAGAGAGAAAGAGAACATACCCAAGCATCGGCTCGCACGTAGAACTCTTTGCCGTGGAGCAGAGGTCCGATCAACGCCATGACATAGATGAACGTCCACGCCGCAGCGATACAACAGTAGAAGGCCCCCGTCGGCAGTCGATAGTTCTTCACCACGCCGAAGAAAGTATGGACGGCAATGACGCAAATGAAGACACTGCTCGCCAGATCGCCAGTTGAGACGAACCATCCTTGCGCCCAACACGTCCGGGTCCCGACGATAATAGCATTATTCCTCAGCGCCGAGATGTTCAGCAGGAAAGCACACGCTTGCTGGATATCGGCGAGGAGAAGGTTGTAGATTAAGAGAAGGAACTGATTTGGGGGATTATTGGCACCGCTTTTTAATCGCCATGTTACGAGACGCCAGGTCAGGTACGCGAAGAGAGAGGTCGAACAGAAAAAGGACAAGAGACCGAACGAAGAGACCGCCACGAGGCCGTGAGACAGCACGTCGGGAAGTGGGGATAGCGTTAAAGAATTGTTATCGAGTGGCATCGTGGTGGTGGTGGCGTTGAATGTCTCCGCCAGCAGACGGAAGACAGAGAAACAACACCGACAAGCTGCTGCTGTGTGAAGGAAGAAAGGAATGTTGTTCTAGTTCATATACATGCGAAGAGGGAGCGATGGAATCCCTGGCGTGAGGGCTGAAGATGAACCGTCATGCAAACAACATGGCTACAAGGTTCCTCTTCTGAGGCAGGAGATGGTCTCCACCGTAAACCCAGGTTGAAGCCCATGGGGGCATGTTCAAATGCGTTCCGGATGGCCCAGCATCCTGGATGATTGGCACTGAAGAGCAAGCATGATGCAGATTGAGTTGAGAGGGGGTCAGCAAAACCATGTGGTGCTCTTTTTCCGCCGTGTTTGAGGCCCTGCATGGGACCGTGCCTCTCGCCAGCATTGAATTCCGACCCCCCCCCATACCGTGAGGCCCCCAACACACTGCGGGTCCCATCTTGAGATGCCAGCTGCGTGGATGAAATGGCTGTGGACGTTCTGACGCAGTGCCTATTCAAACAGAAGAAATGCAATCACTCGAACTCGAGGTCAAAGATCCGCACCCCACACCACTCCATTCTGTGCATTTTCCCGTGTAGACCGGGATCCAACGTTGCCGTTGAGATTTCGCTCGCTCGCTGTCTGTTCGTCTCAGCTGAGGAGAGAAAACGCCACCCAGCTGCGCTTACAGCAAACGGATTTCCCGTGGCAGGAAAGGGGAACCAATTGAACTTTGCGGAGATTTCGCGATAGCGAAAATAGCATGGTCAGGGGTGTTAAGAGAGGCTTTGAAGATCTTGAGAAGAGCGGCTCAAACGCTGTTGTTGTCTTGCCCTAGCCCTTCATCGGAAGGTTCCTCCGGGAAGAGGCTTGCTTTCCTGCGCCTGCCCGATAGCTCATGTCTCATATTCAGATCACGATCGACCAGACGGCAGGAGTCTGAGCAGAAACAGATAAGCGGGCTTATGGCAGGTGAGAAGTTGGCATCAGCAATTGTTTCACTACACGTGATGTAAAGTTTTGAAGTATCAAAAGAACTGGTTCGCGAAATTTAGTGGGCAATATCCTTGTGGTTCATATGTATGGGATATATTATGATTGTTGGGGACAAAGTAAGCTTAAGCATTTAGGTTTAGTGGGAGCGAACCCATCTAGGAAGCTAAAATGATGATCTGCATGTCTATTTTAACTCCACATTTATTGTTCAGTAAACGACAGTGACAAATGCCCAGAAGGCACAAACTGGCCTCGGCATTGTTCATGTTCACATTCAACTTAGCAATGGCTGTCGTTCCCCTTGACCTTGGTCTACAGGTGCTTCCGGATCCTGAGGCGGGGTTATGCTTTCGTTACGCTTCTCGTAGACAGCGTAGATGAGAGTTGGGTAGTAGATGATGCTATTGGATTGTTAGCACAAAGTCCCTGTGAATCATAAATAGAGCACAAAACTTACAAAAGCAGGATAATGCTAATAGCAGCTCTGATGATTCTAGCTCCTCTTGGACCACTGTAGTAGTACCAGTAATGGTGCTCTGGACCACATATCGTATCAAGCAATAACCACAGCCAAACCGCGGTAGCCAATCCAGATTTCGCCTCCTCGAAGTATACTGTGATTGTCTTACTCATAGTCACGTTTCGTTGAACGAAGACAATGAAGATGATCCCAGCCGCGAACAGAGCGTTGAACGTCGAAGCACTCCGGAATATCAGTCATAAATCTTGTGAAAGGAAAAGGCATTTCAACTAACATGAAATCGTAGATCGGGATCCGAGACTGAAACAATGCCACCATAGAAACTTCTCCCATGAAGAACATTGTCGGCAAAGCCACGAGAGCCTGGAACAGGCCCGTGGTTCGGGCCATTTGGCGGCCAACTGAAGCAGACATCTTATCAATGGGTTATTCAATTGTTGAAATTGTTGAATTGGAATGGAAGAAAAAGTAGATGATGTCTGGTCTGAAAGGAGAATATCTGGAGATGTCGTGGTATAAACGAATATGGCAGCCTGAAGCAGGATTGAGGGATTGGCCAAGCACCAATGAGGGGCACAGCGTGGATTTTTTTCATGCTCCACATTACCCTTGATCTTCGTAAAAATTGATCAATAGAGACAATAGCGACGTGATTTTCGTAAGTTGCTGCCTGGGGACAACACTGATCACACTTATAGAGATTGCAAGATTAAGGACCGAGAGGATGGACACTGGATGTGATCTGTAGAAGCACTCGGCTCACAGGGCATGCCACGATGAGCCTGATTAAGTAAGACTAACTTAAAAATATCGTATATAAATCAAGAGAAGAAGCCAAAAAATCCTTCTGAAAATGTATCCCTGGTATGATTTGTACAATTTTTGAGATTTTACAATACCATCCTAACAAATTATTTACAGAACACCTTTTCAATCATTAATTCATTAGTGACCATCACGGAAGCTCAACATGATGTATATTCGCAGGTACCTCAACAGGACCTAATTTCGACTCAGACTCCAATTCATGTCTTGTCTCGCCCTGCACGTGTGGTACAGAGGTCCGCCGCTTCCTAAGAACAAAAAAGGATCCAACAACAGCAATGATCGCAATCACACCTCCCGCAACGCCAACACCAATCCCTATCTTCGCTCCACTGTCTAGAGTTCCCGAAGGCGTCGAAGTCGGACTGTTTATCGCTGTATTGCTCGAAGTTGACTGCAAAGTGGATGTAGTACGTGAAGCTCCTGCGGAAGAAGCTGCACTTGGACCGATTGTCGATGCACCGCTTGAAGCCGACTGCGCAGGCAGTGTTGAAGACGCACCGGAAGGTGAGCTTGCCGCTTGGAGCGTACATATTTCGGCTGAGATGCTTTGAACTACTGTTACACTTGTTAGTCGTACGTATTTTCACAAATGCATGCGCAATAATAACTTACGTAAAGCATCACTTGTGCTACATGCGCTGATGATGCAAGGAGTGGCAGCTGTTGTAATAGCACTCTTTGCGGTGCCGCATTGACAAGTGTAATCGGTGAGGCTGCACCCAGCACCGCTGATGGCATTGTGCAAGCAAGTGATGGAGCAGGTTGGTAATTTTGCTAGTTCGCTCGCGATAGTCTGGGAATAGGCGACCGAGGCCAGACACAAGACTGCAACTGAGAATTTCATGATTGCGATGGTCATGAAAGAATTACTGAAGAAGAACGAGGGTCGACCTCGATGTATTCAAGTCTTCTGGAATGGGTTCGAGACATTGGCGATCTTAATTCAGGTACGGACTATGATTTAGAGCGCCACACTATGGCCATTCAACCACTCACGATTCCGAACTCTAGAGTGAAAACCCTCATTCGGTCAAGTTCACGATGAGGAACCACTCACACGGAGGTCTCCCGTTGCTAAATTCTTGATAAAGGGCGCTTAAGGTTTGGGCCGTCCCGTCCCTGAGTCTAGACGGTGCGGCTGAAAAGACCTGTTTTGACAAATTTTGTAAACGAAGCGATACAGCCACAGAACAGTAATTGCAAGATGCTTCTCCATGGCTCTCTTCCACGTGCGGGAGGCAATGTTGAATTGGAACCCTCGCGTATCTCAAGATGGTTTCGAAACTTGGAGAATGCTTGCTTGCTCGAGGCTTCCCTGGAGACCGACTAACTATGCATCATTTTTGGACTTGGGCATGAATCGATATCCTCCATCAGCAACAAACAATTCAGTAATAAGATGATTTATTACAGGTTATTCGTGCAAAGTAGAATTCCCGCAAGTCATCTAGACCAATATCAAGAAAGACAAACCTCGTCCAAGTCATAAACTCAATCCCTAGTCCAGCAGTCCATTTCAAAACTCACACAAGGAGCCCATCCTACGGCTCCTACCAACATATCTTGTCCGTCCTGAGCATTCAAACATCCTCCTTCCCAAACTTAGACCTAACCTTATTTTCCTCCCCAATCTCAAACCCATCCATCTGTACATCATCCGGTTCACTCCTTCCGCGTCCTCCACTTTGTCTCTTCACATATCTCTCCCTCGAAGCCTCCCAATACTGCTCGAGCCTCTCTCTGGAATTCGAATAAAGTCCCGGACCATGCTTGGCGAGGAATTGAAATAGCATGAAGACCGCCATGCAGACGAGCCAGATGCCACCACAGACGATGGCGAAACAGACTATGAATAGGAACATATACCTTTTTTGAGTCAGTATAATTTACAAGATGTGGAGGAAGGGTGATATACCAGACATAGAGTACTGTGATCCAGAAGACTTCGGTTATTGATAGCCAGCCGAAATTTGATGCGACGGAAGTTGCGGAAGCAGTGGCTGATGGAACGGTAGCGGTTGCCATATCGGCTGCTGTTGACGATGCGGCGTCCATTTTAAAGGGGTCTATAGACAATGTGACTAGTGGATGGATTTTCAAATTTGTCTTGAGGTTAAAATCTGGTTCCTTGATACTTCAAGACGAGGTGGGTCGTGATGAATGTTGATAGTGACGATAGAGGCCATTATAGCTTCTTCCGTACCATATATATGGCACACAGCGGGGTCATCGGGAGAGCGTAAAGGTACAATGATTGAGCTTCCAGGCTGCTAAGCCTTCAACGGTGAGCGGAAGTAGGCCAATGTGCGTGGAATACAAGATAGTGCAAGGCTGGGCGTTCAGGCACCTTCATCTTGTATTGAAAAGGATGCATGACAGAATGACCGTTTCTTCATACTGTAGGCTGGGAACTTCTCAAGATTCCGAAAGGGTGCATGACTTCACGACTCCTTCCAAAAACAACTGATCAAATTGCATTTGACGAATGATGGCTCTGCAATGGAGCGACTTGCACCTCGATGCTAGTCTGTATGTATACACCGTGTGGGTGACATCAAGCCGTGCGAGGCATTTTCAGTCGGCCATGGTCCGCTTTTGGGTGGGGTTGAGGCTCTCTTTGGCTGTGCCACCACCAAAATGCAAAGGGAGGGGTAGGACAGATGGCTGCGCAGCCCACCTCGTCACTTATTGGGACTTCTTCATTAATCATCCGTGAGAATGTGTAAAGTGAGTAGTAAAGCGCATTCGTAATGAATCGAAGATTCGCTAGGTAGAGGTAGTGAGATGAAATACGTAGGGAGAAATTCGAAGAGGTCCATAGAGTGAGATGTGGAGGAGAAAACGCCAAGTTAAGGTTATTGGGTGCAGGGTCGTGTTTTAGCGTCAACGTTCGTAAAAGTAGCCTCATTGATTGTGTTGGTACCCGAAGTCCCAAAGTCATCCGAGATGCGGTACTTTCTTTTGATTCATGCCTCTACTGAAGATGCTTGATGGAAACTAGCAGGTCTCGTGGATTGACACACTGACGAGATCTATCAGCAAAATCCGTTCTATACCTACGAGGGATATTGTTGCGTCACTCCCTCAGGGCATGAGATTGCAGAGCGACCTGTCCACCTCAATGTAGATCCCACCATTGCGATTGATGACCATTTTCGTCGCTCATTTGCATCATCTCCTTCTCAAACTCTGCAAACTCGGGTAGTTCCTCCACATGAAAGACTGACCGTACTTCAACCTCTTCGTCATCTGCATCTTCATCTTCCTCGTCTTCCTTAACTACCTCTTCCAGTTTTCTCATTCTCTCTTGCAATTTCGCATACTCGGGGTCTTCTTGTAGTTCTTTTTCGAGAGAGAAAGGCTGTTCCTCGACGTCTCCCACCTCTTCATGTTGCGAAGCTTCCTCAACAATCTCTTCAGCTTCGCTCAGTCTCTGTCGCATTTTCTCACCGGCCGCTTGGAGATCCGCATCCGAACCCTCGTAGGTTTCATCGACTTGAATGTTGATCGTCCCAACGTTGACTGGCACTTGCGGATTCAGTCCATACAGCCGCACTTTAAATTCTGCAGGAACTGTAATCTCTCCGATCTTGGCATCTCCTACAACGAAAAGGTTACCGTTGTCACAGCCAGTGACCCTAGAGACCTTAGACCTGCCGGTAATCATCACTGAGCACCTGCCAAACATCTCGACCTTGGCAATTTGAGTGTTGCCATCGAGGACCAGCGCTGAAGAATCATGTCCGATCATCTTAGAGACCTCGGACCTTCCCATGATCTTCATTGAGCATCTAACGGACATCTCTATCTGAGCAATTTTCGTCTCTCCGTCGAGGATCAGCGCTGAGGAATCAGTGCCATCTACAAGCGCAAGTTGGCAGGATCCTGTGGTCCAAACTCGGCCTCGGCCTTGTGTTTGAATCTTAGCGACTTGGGATTTGGCTTCGAGAAAAAGTCTCGAGTTTTGGCAAACGAGTATATTAGTGACCTCTGAAGTGCCTTTTGTATGAATTGAACAGTTTCCTGACATTTCGATAGAAGATATTCCAGTTTGACCCTGGAACCACAACTTGGATGTATCCATTCCGAGCACCGTTGTGCTTTGGGATTGGTCCTCGGTCAGGACCTTGCAGTTTTCAGAAGCTTGGATCTCTGTGATCTGAGTATTGGCCCCGATCCTAAGGAACGAGCGACCCATCCCATTAGCTGATGAGACATTTGACTGTCCTTTCAAAAACACCCGAGATCTATTGTCGGTGAAAAGCGAAGTGATAAAAGCAGAAGCGTGAATAATGAGTGTCGAACGGTCCATGGCAGTAACTGAACTCAGTCGGGGCCTATCGATCAGTACGACTCGAGATCTATTAGTTGTCGTTAGACTACTGATGGTGGACGTAGCGTATACGAGCAAGTTCGATCTGTCTGCAGTCGTCACAGAATGAATATCGAACTGGCCTCGACGGTCCAGCATAGCTGATAACAACCTTGCATAGTCTTTCATTTGCTGATTGCCCCGTTTGGTTGAATCCTGCTGCTCATCTTGTGTCCCGTGATTTCTCAGTAGTTCAGCATAGCTCTCAAGTTGCTCGGACACGGCTAAGGATAATGGAGTCTCTCCGAAAGCATTTCTAGCTGTTCTGCTCGCTTCATGAGTCAACAATAATCTTACAGATCTTTCGATAGGTTTGTTGATAATCTGATGCATCTTGACCACAGACAGTTCCGGTATCTTGGTTGCTCCGAGGCGCACATTTGCTCGGTCGAGACATGTAAGACTTTGGATCGTGACGGTCTGAAAACAAGGCAAACAACACGCGTAATGCAACGGCGTCATACCATTGGCGTCTGATGTATTCGAATTTGCACCTTGTGTTAGAAGAGCCTCCACGATGGTATGGAACCTGCCCTCGGCGGCAAGTGACAAGGCTGTTCTCTTTGTCCAATCCATCGCTTCTAAATCCTGTCCGATCAAGCGTCGGATGTTGGACTCTATGTGCTTTTCAGATATACTGTTGTCGCTGATGTTGATTTTTAGGGAAGGGTTGACATTCGTGATATCACCTATACTCAGGAGCGCCCTGTCGCAGACAGTGAGGGAAGCGATGGTCGTCCTCTGTCGAGGGGACTGCAGCGCCCATAGTAAAGGTGTCATCTGTTTCTTGTCCTTGAGATTGACGTTAGCACCACGATCCAAGAGAGTGCGAACATAGTCCCACTGCCAATTTTCAGCCACAAGCGATAGTAGGGTTCTACCATCCACTTCCCTGCTGGCATCGATATCATGGACGTTATTTAGCAGAAATTGAACTACAGTAGGGCTGGAATTCGGTATGACCGTCTTTGGCAGCGTAGTCGCAAACGACTGGCTGGATTTCACAGTCAAGATATTGCCGAGAGAAACTTTCGAGCGGCCAGACAGTGTCAAACTACTGAAGATGGTCTCTCGAGGTCGCGAGTTGATAGCCCAGAATACAATCTCATTGCAGAGAAGGCTTGGCTGCCGTTCATATAACAGGGTCACAAGCTCCTCTGACTCGCCCACTACTGCCCATTTCATTGCATTCCACTCTCGAGAGTCTTGGCAATCGATTTGGACACCATTTGCTAGAAGCTGCATGGCTGTTAATTTCAAGTCAAAGTATGCTGCTAAATGAAGTGGCTTGAGTGGATGCTTGAGAGAGCTACGCTTAGACGGTAGCCAACTGGGCGGTAAGGCGTGCAGGATGGACCTTGAGCAGTCCCTTGATACTCGTGTGTCTTGTATTAGATACTCAATCTTCTGTTGTAGTTGCGATTCGGCATGTCGTGCGTGATGACCCCAGTGCCGACTTGAATACTTATACAAGGGATGCTCGTACGCATCATCAGAGGACAAACAAGCAATACAGGCTTCAGCCAAGTCCTCTTGTGCTTTCGGAAAGAATCTTCGTTGAACCACCTCACTTGCGAAGTATGACTCCGCGGTGTAGTGTACCAAGCGAATTCTGCCGCTGCTATTGTCTACTGTCACAAGGCCTCGACAAACTGAAAGCAGAACCTCTTCCGCGATCTCGTTGCTCTGTGGACTCGTGAAAGAGATATCGTCCTCATCTTCTAGCTCTGAAAGCTGATCCTCGTCGTCCAACGCAGCATTCCGCTCTATGTTCTCACTAGCAGTACGAAGAGCATCTATCGAGATAGCCCTTTGAACGATAGATATGGTGAGAGTCGAAACTTTCTCCGCGAAGACGACCCAGGACAGCACTTTGCGGGCAAGATCGGCATGAGATTGATCCCAAATGTTCTTGAGAATCGTTTGGTAAGCCTCCTGATAGGCTTCCGAGGCTTGGGCGCGGGATTTGTTGCGAAATGATGGCAGAGTCTGTAATGCCACAGCTACACCGTATGGCGTGAGTGATGCATCCGCGGCGTCTCCCAGAATGTCCATGTGTAATTTAGCAGGGAGAAACCTGTAGGCAAGATGAGTCTATGACTTGGAGACTTCTCGATTCAAGGCTAACTCACATGCCGGCAGCTCTTTCAACGACTATCCTTTTGATCCTTGTCGCCAATAGGGGCTCTTTGGTTGTACAAGCCTGCAACGATGCCTTCTTGGCAATACGACCTTCTACATATAGCTTTATATCGCCATCGGTAGCTGAGACTTTCATTATGGCAAGGGACGTCAAAGGCGGGGCCGTAACAGGTCTCTCATCTCTGGAAGTAAACAAGAGCTGAATTTTATTCCCGAAAGACGCTAAGGTCTGCAGAATCCTGATCCTCGTGGCTTGATGAGATTCATTTTCGTCGTCGTTTCTGCATTCATCAAGAGCATCAACGATGATATAGACCGACTCAAATCTACTAAGTTCCAGCCCCAGAGCCTTTTCGTAGCCCTCGAGGAGCGGACGGGTAGGTGAGGAGCCAGAGTTGTGATCTTTATAAAGAGAGAGGAGTTCCGGAGAAATCTGCTCTGATTGTCCCGCAAGTTGTCGTAGGAGGGCGCCCAAGAATTTTAATGCAGATTGGTCATCTGAGTAGATGCAGTACAGATACGCCAAACCAATCTTTGGCTGAGTTTTTTGAGTCTCTAAGATATGCCGTATGATTATAGTACTAGTCTGTTTGTCAAACATCTTGTTATTGAGACAGCGAGGAAGTGGAGTGCAGCTTACGTGAATGCGGTCTTGCCAGCACCAGCTTCGAGAGATTAATCGAAATTTCACAATGCTTTACGAGTGAGACTACTCACGCATTCCGTAGCACCATAGCCAGTTGGTCCGACCTTTGCACCAGTCGAGGAAGCTTTCACTAGTCAGTAAACCTACTCCCATCTTGTCATACAATCTTTCGAGATGATCCCGGTAGTATCCGGTGAAGTCGATACATTCTATCCAATCCAGGACTTCTTTGCGGGTTGGTCCTATAGCTTGTCAGCAGGGAAACCTCGTAGATAAAGGAGTATTGACCATTTTCTCCCTCAGGTGCGGGCCTGATGCTAATATTGTATTCGAAGTGATCGCCAATGTCAACACGTGCTTGACCACTTGCCTGGAAGTTATGCACCGAGTGTCCCTAACAATCGTTACTTCAATATTTGCGTTGTCTCAGCTCAGCATCTTGAGCGCTCTTACCTGACGGAGGTTTTGCCCTTGAAGCTTCGTCGAGGCCTCCCTTGCCTCTTCCACCAATCGACGCGCGTCCCGGAGCAAAAGATCAGATTCACGCCTCACCAAGGTAGTTGTGGCCATGATATTTACCCGGTCATGAGTTCCTTGAGATCATGACTGAAATCATGCCATAGTTGGGGAATATTTGAGACGCAGCCTCCTTTCTTAAGGGTCGAGATAAAACTGTTCCCGCGTTTCCAATCAGCAACCGAGCCACTCACACATCTAGTAATATCGACCACTCACAGATTGACAGCCCATTCAGCTCCTCATTTTGCGTGCATATTGCCCAATAGGTATTGATGATGGGGTACCACAATATGCTCATCGGCGACTTTGGGCGTCAACGATTGCGGTGCCTTCCATATCTCAGCTCTCATAAAACCATGGTCATCTCAACATCGTCGTCGAGTTCGTCAATCACCCCCAACTCGGGCTCGAAGATTACCATTGCCTGCATAATTGAAGTAGGCTTTTGACATCGATTTTTCACTGCAACCTTTTATGCCTCGCAAGGCTGAAGCACCTAACCTAGTTATTCAACATGGACCCCATAACATTCTCACTCGCCGTCGCGGGCATCCCCGCCATCTTCAAATCATGCGTCGACTGCTTCCAATACATCCATCTCAGTAAAAGCTTCGGTCAGCATTTCGGATTCTGCCTTGCCGAACTCGAAGCCGTAGACGTAGAGTTCACCCGATGGGGAGAGGCAATGGGTCTGCTTGACGAGCCCTTCGATCCGAACACTCTCTTCCAAGAAGGTTCGTGGAAGGAAGAAGACATCAAGAAGGCCAAAAAGTGGCTCGCTTTGATTCTGGACACATTCGAAGACGCTAAGCGTATGTCCGATAGGTTCAAAGCGTCGAACGAAGATGATGAGCCTGAATTGGTGGAAGTCCCAGACCAGAAAACCGAGCTTGAGAAAGCCCAACAGCCAGTGAAGAAGTTGGTCTTCTCCCTCCGAAAGCTCACAAAGAAGCGACAGCGAGTCGAGAGTCTTGGTCGGAAGATCCAATGGGCTTTGTATAAGAAAGACGATTTCGATGGCCTGATCAAGGAAGTGTCCGGTCTCGTCGAAAAGCTCGTGAAACTGTTCCCTGCCTTTCATCAAAAACAAGTACAATTGTGTGAGCAGGAGGTGAAGGATATCGAGCCAGAATCAATCCCCACGCTCATCAAGGTTCTCGACGGTCGAGATGAGCTTCTCAACCGTGCCCTTGCAAAAAAGACCCTAGTGAATGGGCACAAACTGAGAGGTGCCGTCATCACCAAAGAGGGCAAGATAGTGATTGGGGACGATTTCGAGAATGTCTTCGACACTCTGGCCCCTGGTGCAGACGTCTCGGACGTGAAGGTCGATGACAAAGGGAGCCTCTCAATCGGCCACAAATACAAGATATCGACAGAGGTGGCAATGGCAAAACTGAAGCTGGGTCAGTGATTCAATAGGGTGTTCATCAGCGATGGAGTTGACGATGCTGTCCAAAAAGTCAGTGAGAGATCTATTTGTTCGAGGGGGAGAAAAGACAATGGCTTGAGTTTCATCTTTTTCACTCTGTTCGTGCGCTGGGAACCCCATTCTTATTTCTGAGACAAAGTCTCCATGTTGAAATCCAACTTACCGTGCACGTATATTCTCGTCAGTAATTGCTGCCATCCTCAATTTGCAGCCCATTCGTGCCACCAACGACCCAGCCAATTCTTGCTACCCATGTGAACATCAAGCGCCCTCACCTCGTGTCCATGTCATACTAGGTCGAGCTGTGCCCGTACTAAGAGGCAGAGTGGAGTGTAGAAGAATGGCTGTACAATGGAGAACTCTTCCATTTGTCGTTTTGATAGAGAGGTCAGTACCGATAATCGAGAAAGCATGCGCGAAGTAAGCAGGACTGAGACATCGCCAAGAACGGGGAGGTCTGACCAATGGGACAAAAAAGGTTTAGCCTTCAATGAGTAATCAATTCTCCTCCTCTCTGGTGCTCTCATTACTTCACCAGGCTCCATCGCGCAAGCTTTCTCAACGTGTTGAATTTCCTCTTTCACAAGAAACAAGATAACCTCTTCCCACTTCCATATGGTTAAAACTGAGCCAACAGAAACCGCGTAGCCAATCAGAGATCGTGGTTTTTTTTGTCGCACCAAGAATTTGCCAGTGCTTTTGCATCACACAACAAGAGGACTCTATCAAAAGAGTTGGAAAATCATCTTCATTGCAATTAAGCTCCGCCAATCAAAAGCCTGGAATTTTTTACCCCAATTCTCGCTGTTTGGAGATTTCCTCGTGTTGCAGTCTAGAGATAAGGTTTCGTGGCCTGTGGCACGAAGCAGACTAGTGAATTCTTTTGTTGCACATCGCAGGACACGTTAATGGCCTTCTTCAACGATGGACTTTCCCAAAATCAAATGCCAAACTGCAAGCTCAATATTTCGCGCTAAGGAGCCCTGGGCCAATCATATTACAGTATTGAATTTGTATGGTGTTCTTGTTGAGGTTGGAGGAGGCCTCATTTTTCGCGATGTGCAACAAAAGATTGAGGTTCTTAGCGCCGGGATTTTGTTTTTCCTGGCTTCAAAAGTCTGCAGAGATACTCAACAAGAGTCCTGTACAAGCTTAAGTTGCTTGATTTTTCTTCACTTCGTGTTCGTTGTTTCCTTGTTCCAAGCTTTCACCACATCCCAGCAAGCATGGCTTTCTTTACCTTGCGACCAAGGAGTCTGACCTTCGTATATAGGCACTTCATCCAATCTATCCAATCTATCCTGTTTCGTTGCTCGTTCGAAGGCCGAAAGAGTTCTTCTCAAACCTCGTGGTAAATTTGCAATGATTTGGACGTCGTCATCAACATCAAGGCCATCCCGAGTTTTCATGAATTGCTCCCACTTATTGTCACTGCACTGCGTGTTTCGTGGGCTCTTCTCTTCTGCCGAACCTTGTCACTTCGATGTGTATACAACAATCCTATTGTGGAATGGAGTCTGTGATGAATTGTCAACTCACCTTTTAGAATTGACTGCCTAGCTTTTCATTCCGCATCGAAATTCTACCAAGATAGGTGTTTTACGGAATATAAGCTTTGACACGATGACTTTCTTTCGAAGCGCCTCGAATATCAAGTATTTATGTTCGATCATGACGCTCTTTCTCTGACATCGTTTTCGAGTCAAAATGGTTGATGGCGAAGCAGTTTTTGCTATCAATAAATTAGTTGTTGTCAACTTCATACTCTTACTGTTACTTAATTTCAAAAAGAAAGGATTTCGGTTTCATCAATACGTCTTGAAGAGTGGAACTTCAACATCAGGGATTATAGAACTATACTCCACTACAAGCAGCTCCTGCACCGGCATGTAACGCTCAGCCATGTAGCATTCGTCAACAACGAGTGTATTTTTTGTATCAGCAACTCAGTACCATGGAAGGCTCTATATATACTCGAGCTGCTTGCGATTTGTGGGCTCCTAAAGTTTCAGTGGGAGCTCTAAAGAGTGAATTTCAAGTAACTCTGTCAAATCGAGGCGACAGAGAAGTGAATCTGGTCTTCGAGTAAGCAAGTCGAGTACGAAAGAAAGTTTTCAGCCTCTCCTCAAGGTATAAAATCAGCAACTTTACTTCTACAATGGACACAGCAAGATGGGGTGGGATTGAGCATACTATCACTTCCTTGTGCCTCCAGGCTTGATTTGGCTCTGCGATGTGTGAAAGATTACCATCTTTGGAAACTTAGATGATCCCTTGCGAGAAAGAACTATCTTCCCAGCGCCCTCTTTACTATGTTTGCTGAACTTTTTCAAAGAGATGGAGTTGTTGTCATTCTCATTCCTGTTGTCATCCTTTTCGCATCCCTCTTTTCTACCTATTGATCGACCCAAAAAAAGAGATGGTGTCTTATCAGAATCCATACAGAATCATGCTAGTAGTATATGAGGCTGGAAACACAAGCTTTGCCTTGATTTGCTCTCACATTTGTGAGCATAGGTCTTCTGCGGGGTGTTGTCTCTAGTGGAATGGGGGAGAGGGGTTTATATACTTCTTTGTAAAAAGTAGATTGAGAGTAGAGGTGTCAGTGAATAATATTCCAGGTGCAAAAAACTGTCCAGAAGAAGTGAACTTAGGTGCTAGAGATGCCGGTGAATCTCACATTAAAGAAAGAAAATCCTCTCCGACCAACCATCACAGAAGTCTATAAAAACAGCAGTCGGGCCGAACTTTTGCCGAATCTTCAGACGGGAAACTGCACATACATTAGCCAACATTCTTGGGGGTGGGGGATTCTGTGTATATGTGTATCAGGTGTGGTGTCCTAGCCAGGCGGTGTGATGCGGGTAATGGTGGTGGGAGGTAGGTTGTATTGCTTTCCTGATGTATGGTTAGATGAGACAGATGTGAAGAGGGGGTTGTTGTCACCTCAAATCCTACTGTCAATCTTTCATTGCCTACACCCGATCACTGTCAACATCCATTCATGTTCTTTATCCAAAAGCATGCATCCCAGACCAGTTTTCTTTCTCTGTGTCTCATAACTTCTCAGCCTGTCTTAATTCTGGAAAACATATATCCTCCGTGATGGAATCAAATCGTTCTAGAATCCACGTAAAGTCTCTAAAACGAAGGTCCTCGTGATTTACTCAATCCTCCGAGAGAAGCGAGATCCCATTTCGGACGGACATCGAATCATAGGGAAGTAAATTTTTGGGTTTGCGAGTGAGTTGGAGAACTTCTCGAAAGGTTTATTTTGGTGCGTAGAATGTATCTATCATCAATTTCCAGTTATGTAAATGCTAAGCAAATGAAATCCTGCAACGTAAGGGAGTTGTTCAACATCTCATATAGTCACGTGCTTATGTCACATTTCCGACAAAATCTTGGATTTTAGGTTGAGATCTTACTTCATAGCAATTTTAAAGTGTAGACAATATGTTGATTCATTTAAATAAAAATACAAGACAACCTGAAATACTGAGCAGGAACAGAAATTGCTTAAAACTAATATAACCACCTGGTGAGGCCAAAGAGGCCGATGCTCCGGCATGGATCACGATGTCCCATGCCCCTCCGATTATCCCGGGCGGAATCCTCGGTCCTTCATCATAGATGTCGTGTCCTCAGCATTAAGGTTGTATCGTCTGACCCCTATTCTCACTCTCCATGACATCAACCTCACCGCATCTGAATAATGTTCAAATTCTCTCCAAACCTTGACTACATGATCAGCAAGCTCTGAGATCTTGGACGGTTACAAAGTATCTTGGTCTGATCAGGGAATACCAAGCATTTTGAACACATAACCCTATGTGCAAATCATGTTGTCTCTGTAAGATCAGCAAAAATCTTAGAATCCAGGAACCGCTTCTAGACCGTGGACCCATTTCTAGCGGAGGGGTCAAGATGCGCTTCCCTCGACGGCGTCATCCACGGCGGGCCCTCACCGAATACTAACGTGCGGAAGTTGTTGAGGAATCCATTCGATTGGTGTTTCCATTCAAGATGAAACTTGGCGGTTGTTCTAAATATATCTGCATATAACGTTTCAAAGGGAGATCTGCCAAAGCTTCATGTTGGTCCCATCAACGCACCGCCATGCTTCCCGGGCCTGTAACACACGAAGAAGCAGCGCTTGATGAGGTCGTGAATCGCCACTGAAAAAGCTCGTGGTTCCGCGCGTGCTTTTTGCCGCGTCAGACATGGGCGTCAGTCTGGGAGAGTGCCGTTCGTAGCCAATTGACGAGACCAGACTCGTACCAGCCAGAAGGTTTCATCCACAAATATCGTGGCGCAGACCGTAAGAGAGAGACAAAGGGAAATTGATTGGGCCGGAGTGTCGAGGTTGGAATTGCATCTCCTGTGTTCTCCAGGAAATCCGTTGCTGTTGCTAGGCGGATACCGAAGGCCCTGGACTGGAGGCGTCGACGAGGATATTTTTTCGAGCAAGCAACAGACATGCAGGCTTAAGTGGCGTGCCTTGGCCTTGGGATAACCGCATCGAATACATTGCCAGCACGACCATCCACAACATCTGCAGGTTCATCGATCCAAACCTAAATAATTCAAGTTGCCTCGCCCGTCTCGCAGTCGCACCTGCTTCTCTGCTCTTCTGCTCACCATCTGCATTGCATGAAAGTGACAGACGGCAGACCAGACCTTCGTTATCTCTCGCCCACAACCCACTCTTTCCTTCCCCCATTTCATACCTGACTCCGTCAACCATCCTGCATCCCGATTCCCTGCTCCATCGAGACCAATCGCTCCCACACCCAGGATCACATCGCTCTCTCTGCGGCCTTAAATCCCAATAGCATTGGATCTGACTGTTTCTGATCCGCTGTCTCTTCGACAAAATACCCTCTCTCCTCTCGTCTGTCGCTTCTGCCACTTCTTCGTGCGACGGACCTCGATACCAGAACTCGCCTGCTCTTTGGATAAATACGAAAGAAAGTTGGTGGCTTGTTACTTTCCGATCCCACCGACAACAATAATCAACAAGGAAAGCCGCCACCTCATAAGCTCGACATCCTCTGCCATCCCCAACAATTCGCGAATACACAGACGTCATCCGATCTGAAACACACAATCAGTCAAGATGAACATCAACAAGAAGCTCGACAGAGTCAAGCAATGGGCGGGAGAGAAGATGGGCGCGGAGGCCAAGACCAACACATCGGAGGAGTTCAAGGCGCTGGAGATGGAGATGACTCTCCGCCACGAGGGTACGCATGTCCTATTTCCTTAATTGGAGAATTACAATTGACGCATTCTAGGCATGGAAAAGCTGCATAAGTCGATGACCACCTACGTCAAGTCCCTTTCTCGCCGCGAAGAAGTCGAAGATCGAGAGAAGATTCTGCCAGTTGGATATTTGGGCCAGACTATGATACACCATGGAGAGGACTTTGAGCCAGATTCCGAGTTTGGAAACTGCCTGATTAGTATGTATACTGGGCGGAAAATGTGAGACTTATGCTGACAGCATCCAGGTATGGGTAGGACAAATGAAAGAATTGCCAGATCACAAGAGAGCTACGTTGCCAATGCTACGACTGGGTGGCTGGAGTCTTTAGAGCGATCGCTGGCGATGATGAAGGAGTATCAGGTATGCGTTTATCATTAGAATGTTATTTGCACATGCTAATTTTTGCAGGCTGCACGCAAGAAGCTTGAGAATCGTCGACTCGCATACGATGCTTCACTCTCGAAGATGCAGAAGGCTAAGAAGGAGGACTTCCGAGTTGAAGAAGAATTGCGCTCCCAGAAAGCCAAATATGAAGAGTCCAGCGAAGATGTTCTCAGACGTATGCAGGATATCAAGGAAGCTGAGGCAGAGAGTGTAGCTGATCTGGGAGCCTTTCTGGATGCGGAGCTTGAGCATTACGATAGATGCCGGGACGAGCTCCTTCGTTTGAAGAGAGACTGGCCTGCAGGGTAAGTTGAACAAATCACAATTTCAGGCCCCTCGCTCACGTTTATAGACAAACTTCTTCGCCTCAGCGCGACAATCGTCGTCCAGCCCCTCGATCTCGCTCCAACACAGCCCATACGTATGCCGAGAGATACTCTGCTTACGATGAACCTCCTCCAATGCCAGAACCTGAACCTGTTCGACCATCCATTCGTTCCACCGGTCGTGTTGCATCATCTTCACGTCTTGATCGACACGAAGAGTACCCAGAGATTGACTCCCCACAAAGACCTGCCTATAGTCGTTCCTCGACTTTCCAAGGCCCGACGACAATTCATCGCGAGTCCACTCCTGTCAATGGGATGCGCAAAGCTTCCATTCCTCAAGATCCTGGTGCGCTCCGAGCACAGCTTCGTCCTTCCAACCGCATCAACACAAATGGCACAGATGTGTTCGGTGATCCATCTGACGACTCGACTCTGAACAGCGCTAGTCCTGATCGTTCATATGGCGAGAGATCTGTTAGCCCTGCTACTTCGCAGGGAAGTGTTGCCAGCAGAAGTGCCAGCTATTCTACTCTAACGAACTCAAATGCAAATGCCAGAAAGGGGCCTCCTCCACCTCCACCAAGCAGAGCCAAGAAGCCAGCACCGCCACCTCCCCCAATGAAGAGAGCAGAAATCAGTTCTTCCAGCATTAATCGATACTAAGTACTGGCTTGCCTATAGCGTTTCTTTTCTGGCCATATTTTCAAGGCGGACGTTTGCAAAAATCAATACCTAGATGCGAACGCCCATAGCGACATTTCCCACCTTCTCCAGCACTGGATATCTGAGCTTCTGGACTCGTCACTCCCTTTAATGCACATAAACCATTGCTTTCATTCCATTTTCCGAGCTTAGTGCTCGTCGTCACAAAAGGCTCACTAGGTGGATACTATACCCGCACTGGTATTTCTCTGTTTTTGCGTCTCAAGGGGCTGTTCGCCTCTGTACGACAGGACTACTAAATTAGTTTCTTTACAAGGCGGCATTCTTTACGGCGTTTGGGGGCTTCTGACTCATTCGCGCCGTGCCTGCTGGAGCTGTGCCTTGTTTGCTGCGCTACTTGTCGTGGTTGATTGGGATTGTGGGATATGGATCCAGCAGAACTTGCGAGAGCGAAAAGATCAGGTATTAATGCCGATATACTTCTATGTTATTACCATGCGTATCTATCTTGACGTGATGAATTCGTGAGATGTGATATTGACGCGAAATCAGTGAAATGAGATGCCGAGTGGCATGGGCGAAGATAGGCTTGTTCAAGTTCGAAATGCTGCCGTTGTATTAATCACTTGTTTACACCAGCCTTCAACGCTTGTACGCTGGTTTGATATATATGGATTTTTTTACTACTTGTGGTGCCAAGGTAGTTTTCATTCTGCTAAGTTTTGCATAGCGAGGCTGAAATTCTGCTTTCGATGACATTTCCCTAGTCTGCTATCAAGCCTCATTTGATTAGTACTGCACAATACTTCTCTGAACAAACTTCTCCGCCATGATGCCTTTGAGGCCATCATAGGACAATTGTTTTTAGGTGGAGAGATCTAGCAGGAAGGGGAAAATCGGGTATTTGCTGGAAGAGACCACTTTGAGCGAATTCTCGACTCTCTTGAATAATCAGGCTACTGCGCTGAATCTTCTGCTTACTGCTTTGAGCTGGTAAGGACTATGCTCCAATCCCTCCTTGAGCTAGCTGACTTTTCGCAGCCGAACCACACTCGAACAGCACGCACTACTCAACAAAGAGCAAAATCGACAAGTTCTTCGACAGGTCCAAGATGATAGGACCTCAGTGCTGTCGCTCAGCCATTCTGCTTCGCTACGTACCCTGAGGACGGCGGGTGCCGATAACTGGAGCCTCGATTTTGACTTTCATCATGAAATCATCACCTCCAACGCCTATGTCTCAGCACGGAGATCAAACATGAGAAAAGTCGGGATTCCGTCAGATGGGAATGTACCTGTGACCTATGAGACGCTTCTGGATATTGCACCAGAGCTTGGAAAGCAGAGTTCTGATCTAACAGCAAATAAGAGATCAACGCTGAAGCAACGCCTTACTCGGAGGTTGAGAATTTCAAAGGTATCTCCCAATGCAGGCCAAGTTGATCCGAGGCCTTTGCAGCCAATCCCGCCCAAAATATTCGTATTCGGAAGCTTTTCCAGTGGGAAATCGACCATCGTCCGCTCCTTGAAGTGGATCGGCGATGGTAATTGGGAGGAATGGGAACGCGATATTTGGAAGCGAATCATTTCTTCAAACACAGTGTGGAGCATGCGCGACATTTTGAAAGACATGGAGGAAAGGGAAACTCCTTTGGATAGTGACACGTCCAAACGCCATGTGGACATAATCTGGGGGTATGATAGATATATGAGGGGGGTCCTGTCAGAAATGGTCCTGCCAGAAATAGTCAGCGAAGCTATCCAGTGCTTGTGGCAGGATAGTGGCGTGAGGACAGCGCTTGACCGATTGGATGGAAGACTAAGATGTGAAAATGCAGCATAGTAAGTTCTCAAGGCCGTTTCCCATTTTGGTTTGATAGAAGTAGCTTGAGACAGTGTCACTATATATCGCATTGCTAATCTTTCGACAATGATAGTTTCTTCGAAGATGCAAGACGCTTTGCAGATACTAAATATACACCCACCAAAGTTGATATTCTTAGGTCACACGTGCTTACTACAGGCTTATCCGAATGGAGGATATTACTTAAAGACATACCACTGACTGTTATCAAAGATAGTGGTCACCGTCAAGAGCGTGAAGAATGGATACATGTATTCGACGGAGTAGATATTGTGATTTTTGCAGTCGACATAGCAAATTACGACTTAGTGCTTGTCGAAAACGATACGACGAATCGAATGGCAGACGATCTGTCATTATTCAACTCTATGGTCAACAGTCGTTGGTTTGTAGATACCAAGTTTGTCTTGGTATTCACAAAGATGGATAAGTTAGAGAAGAAGTTGAGGAAATCTCCAATCGAGAACTACGTCACTGGCTTTGAAGGAAATGGGAGAAATATCGAAGTTGTCAAGGCATATATGGAGAACACCTTTCTAGCTCTGATGAAGTCAAAGCCGAGAGAGGACGTTATAGTCTTGTATACGAGCTTCGTGGACGGGTACGAAGTTTCTGGCAAGATGGTTGACGATGCTCTCACAAAGCAACTCGCTTCAAAGCTGCACATTGCTGGAGGTCTCGCAACTTAGGTAGACTATTGATAAGATACCAAATAAGGTCAGAAAGTGTACGCTTCCAGTACGGAGAAGGTTTGGATGAAAGTAGCACATAGTTACACGTGCTACTGAAGTGAGCCAAGTATTCAATTCATGTGACCAAACATCCCTAAAGGGTCCCTCCATCCCGAACATTCCTCACTCATCAAACGTAGGCACACCCCTTGGTCCAATATTCTCCCTTACCAGGATCTTCTCCTCACTCTCCCCAGCCTCCAACCTCTTAATCAAATCCTCGGGCACAAAATCAACCCCAATCGGATTCTCTGCAAATTCTTTAGAAACCATAAACGCTGTCGCCTTCTCGGCGGTCTCAAAACTATCAACCTGAGTCTCGATATCATTTCCATCCGGATCATGATAATACATGCTCATAGTCGGCCCATGGTTCACGCACCAATACGGCGTGATCCCGTTCGCCTTGCGCTGGAGATACCCAAGGGCAAGATCATTCAGGTTGGCGAATGTGAAGGCGAAGTGGAGGAGGCCGGCGGATTTGGGATCCCTGGGTGTGATGTCCGGCATGGCGAGGATGGCGACGCGGTGGTGCTCGGAGTCGTAGGATAGGAAGGCGATGTACTCGTTTTCATAGGAAACTGTGGCTGACAGGAAGGTTGCGTAGAAGTCAACCATCTTTTTGAAGTTTGATGGCTGAGTTTTCAGGACGATGTGGGCGAGTCGGATTGGCTTCACGACCTGGGCGCCTGGGTTTGAAAGGTTTGCGGTCATTTTGAATGCTGAGTCTTGCTTCAATGATGGAAAGTGCTAATGATGATGAGACTTTATCTTTTGACAAGACCTTGGCATTGTTATATACGCTCTATAATTACGGTTCTAAAAGGATGAAAACCGTGTTAGTAATTAGAAGTAGGGCTGAGAGTAGGTCTTTTGTAATGCTTGTCAATGCTGTTCGTGATTGACGTTACACTAATGCGGGGTAAAGACCGGGCTCACCCGCTACTCGCATCATCGCTCTCTGAGGTCCAATTGATTTTAGGGGACTTACTGGGATAAATATCAATCATAGTAATGCATTTACAATCATCTGCTGTTAATTACTGCCGGATCTTTCGGTCTTATGAACGCCCCGACGCTACGCGCGAAAGCCGATCGATAGGCTACTGCTTTTAAATACTTAGAGGAGCAGGCAGAAGTTCTTAGAGGTCGTGTGTTGAATTATGCAATCACTATTGATATATAATTATGTGCAATTCATTCATTCGACATGGCGAAGGGTGGCAGTGGGAGTTGTCCTCATATGGTTCTCATCCAGCTGGACTGCACACGCAAACCAGGGCCCTCTCTGCTTCCTACCATTGACCTATGATGGTACTTTGGTTGAGGAGAACTGTTTGTTCTACTCCTAACGCGTCAGGACTTGGTCTCGGATTTTGTCCTATGACCCAGTCTTGCATGACTGCTTCCATGCGCAACACCTAATCGACAATTTGCTCGTCAAAATACCTAGATATAACCCACCATTCTAATGCACACCACCATAAAATAAGAAGCGAAACTAAAGAACACATAATTCGACCCTCAACCAATTTATCACCACTCATATTTCACATATTCTTCCTCAAAATCGTGACACGGGAAGTCCAGGAACTTGGCTCAGCTGAGGAGACTTGAAGTATCGAGGGACTGCAAGAGACTGTTTCACTAGGACCGGAGTAACAACTCGCTTGAATAACAAGGCTGCACAGAGATAGAGCTATATGATGGTTGGTAGCAACGATCGAAAAGGAATGATGATTGCGAGGCTAAAAGGGAAGAGGGAGTGTACTTTGAGTTGTGGCAGATTTCTCACCATGCAAAGCAGAGAACCATGTCACAGAGGTGAGCCAACCATCAGCCTCGAAGCGGAGCTTTTCATTGATCATTACTTTGATCAATTGGTGTATTCTTGTAGGGTGTTGCTGCAAAAGCGGCACCTTCCGAGTAGCAAAGCCCCAATAAGAGAGTCTCGCAGAGTTTTCGCTCGATTGATGGTGGGTTGAGCCTTGTAGTCAGCATATGTTTGCAATAGAAGGAGACCAAAGGTCGCCAACAATTCACTTTTGGTACTCTTCTTTAGAAAAGGTATTCAAAAACTCGGGAATTTGATCATGGAGTCAACGATTACCCAATAACTACAGCTCCGACCTTCAAGCAGCTGAAGATCAAGGATCTCAAGACTACAAAGAAGCTTTTGATCGCTCGAGTAAGGAAGTGGCTTAATGGTTATTGTGTGATAATGCAGCAGGGGCTTGGAAAGTTGAGAAAAAGATTGAGGCGCAGTTCACCTGTTTGGCTTGCGACGCGCAACAAAAATTTTGAGATTCAAGGTGACTTACCTTGAGCTTGTGAGCTTTAGGGGACAATTGGTCCACGAAATGTTCAAAAATTGCCAAAAATGTTCCCATTTGGACTTTGCTCTCTCGCAGTAATCCAGTCCACGCCTCCTCACCAGACTTTGGTAAAGCAACCAGCTCAACATATGAGCACAAAGCCCTCGTAAAAATAGTCTCCTACACTGGCACTAGTTCCTCTCCTGCAGACAGGAAGACGCTCTTATGCGCTTAGATCTTGCACCGATCATGATTTCTGCGATGAAAACAGATAACGGTCACGGGTGATGTATTCAAGAACCCCTCAACCACTTCAGGAGCATTCTATGGAGTACCAAAATTGCTCTTCGAAAAAGCAATAACTCATCTTGCTGTCCCTGATAGACGACCGAATACACACGTTCAATTCACCTGCTACAGTTCGACTGGCTTTTCATTGGGTTAATCGTGATGTGTAGGTAGGATTGTGAAGAGAGAATGCACAAGATTGACAGTTGAAGCGGCTTTTGCAAGTGAGGACGAAATGGTGCATGCTGAGGCATAAGCCGTGTTCTTGGAAACGAAGAGGAACATGGAGAAAGCTCAAAAGACAAGATACGGTACTGCCAAACCAAACTTATCGATGATTAATGCAAAAGCGCCAGCATATCGCAGCAACCGCAAATCTTCCAGATCATACTCGACGAGTGTTAATCATTGCCATGGCAGCATCGATATCCTTGACAACTTCGATGGTCTTGATTCCCCATTTACTCACAGTTGAGCCTTCAAGAGCCAATGGCCCATCAGAACCCAAAGACTCGAACCATTGTTCGAACGCGCCACCCTCGCACCAGGGAATTTGGACCATGTCCATCAAGATGAATAAGACGTCGACTTTTTGGAGAATAAGCTCATCGGCCATGCTCGCATTGCTCCAGGAACGCCACGTTGCCCACTCCATAGCAACATATTTGATACCCTCGAGACGCCATGTTCGTGATTGTGTAATGAGGAAGCCTTGAAGTTTTTCCGCTTTGAGCGTCTCCCACGGATAATAAAGCAAGATAAGGTCTTTCTTCGAGGCCCAGTATACTGGTATCCTTTCTCGAGACTGCAATGCAGGAAAATAGTGATATGATGAACGTCGATGACCAAAGTCTGTAGCTGTGACCAAGGCGTTTCTATCCGTCACCTCTTCCCCCGACATGACAGCATTGTAGTATTCAAGACCTAATTCTCTCGACTCGTGGCAGACGTGGAGGATAGTCGGTATCGCACATCGAGGAGTGAAGACGTACGTCCATCCGTCGTAAGACGCGAGATCTACTGTGTAGCAAAGTCTTGAAATCGTCAGGAGCTTCAACTGTGGTGGAGGTAGCAGGGCGAGGTCCCAAATTTTGAGGCGAAGCTCTGTCGGGAGGTGACTGAATCGAGAGAACGAAGCACTCATGTTGGAACAAGACAGAGGATTTGCAGAAGCGTTTCGTTCTTATATCGCAGTGACGTTGAATCGAAAGCGAGCTCGTAATTGCCGAAACACAGAACGGAGATTGAACACAATGTCCAAGAAGAACAGAGTTGAAGTCGTCATGTGAAATGTAAACAAACGAGATCACCGAGGCAGAAGCTTTGTGAGCCTCAGGCATAACGAATCAACGATATATCTCGAACCTCACTATTGTACACACAACCATTCTATTCACAATACGGCCACACGAACAAGCTTCAATGACGATAAATGTCAACTTAGCCTAGCTAAGAGGAATTAGAAGCCAGATAATGGTTGATATGCAGTCTTTTTGGAAACACTCAGATAATCCGAGACAAGAGCAACGCTCTCTTAAATTCGTTCAGACCACTCTTCAAAGTCTGGAAAGCCACCTTACATTCAACCTCGCCAAAAACAAGCTAAGTTTTTGAACCAATCACAGCCTAGCACTCTTTAACGTCTTATACACTTAAATAAGCAGATTTTCTGCCATCATCCTCTGAGACAGCAGCCTCCAGGGTATAGACGCTTGCGGTAGCTACCGTGCCTCTCTTATACTCTCGTGAGTGCTTGAAATACGAATGACTCAAGAACCAGCGGCCTCCAAGGTATAGATGCTTGCGACAGTGATCGTGCCTCTCTATATTCTCGTGTGAATGCCTGAAATACGAATGGTTCATGATATCCCCCTTTATACCCCACACTAGCTGTGGTGTTGGACACCCTCCTTCGGGAGGGTGAAGTTTTTGCTTTTGACTTGTACGATTTTTTAAACCTTTTTTTATATATTTTCATGGCAACTTCTTTACAGTTGAGGTTCTTTTTAAGCGAGGTCCGCAGATGAACAGCTTTTTTTTTGAAGTTGAGAAAAACTGTAACTCGAGATCATCCATTTGATCTCTGACTCGCTTGACTTACAGAGTGTGGCAAATCTCGGGACACATACTCATCCCTTCATTGACAACTTATCTCCATCTGTCGAGCTGTTACAAAACGTCCCGAAGGTCTAGCCCACTTTACATTGTACTTATATCCGTTTCATATTTCAGCTCTCCCTGAAGTGTTTGCCTCACAAGTCTGTGCTGGTCATGGGGAGTGTGAACCATCCCCCATCATCTCATCAAACCGCCTCTCTTCCCCCCCTCTTCTACGTACCAGATTCCTAGGCAGCTGACACTCCGGAATGTGTTATGTACTATCTAGAAAATGCTCAAAACTCAAAAAATTCCTGCTTACACTCAAACTCTGGCCTCCTTCACTCCGGTCTACATGCTCAGCATCGGTCTCGGTTCCAGCATTACCACGAATCCAGCTTGGGTAAAGGCAAATAGCATCTCCACAGAAGCATTGATAATTGTTGGGTATGATGGCTTGAATGGCTTCGGTTGTCACGGCTCTTGGTGTCATTTCGAACAGTATTCCGGACGCCTTCATCTTTGAATGAAAATTTAGAAATTCGCTTTTAAAAATTTCTTTGCTATATAGCAAGATGAGAGAACAAAACTCTAATTCCTATCTCAAGATAAGATTGCGATATTTCGGAGAAGAATATGCTCCTATCAAGGTAAAAGTTTGTGGATTGGGAGGAAGCTGACAAGTGAAAAAGGGTTTGAAAGTGAGCGCGCTCCAAGAAGGTTATGTTGCACGTCGCAACGAAGCTAGTCGTTCGCGCCTTCCTTCAATCTTTCAATTTTTTGAAAGTTCACTTTCAAAATCAGTTAATTTCGATTTGCATATATAATTACTTTGTTACACACCAAGAAGAGCGACTGAAACTTCCATATGAAGGTTTCTAGTTTCCAGTATTCGTTACTTGCGTAAGAAGTCATCCAGGTATAGCTTCCACCCTTGCTCTCCCCTAGCAACAGAAGTTCACCTTCAATCCATAAGTTTTGAAGACGAGTTTCCAAAAACCCAAGAGATTCAAGCGCAATGACTAGCTTCGTTGCGATGTGCAATAAATCTCCTGATCTTGTTTTCACTTTTACTCTCTAGTAACGAAAGTTGACTGCTAAACTTTTTCCCTCTTTAATCTCTCTGAAATGCAATTTCTTGCAGTATAGAACAACAGAGAGTTACAAATCAACCCAATATCCATTCTCTCTTATCTTCAAGTTGCAACCTGATCATCAGTGGGAAGCAATCGAGAAGTCAATTGCCGAATACGCGCGAGATTTTGTTAAAGAAGTCGTTCCTATACACAGGAAATTCATGGAATTCAAGCTTGTCAATACATCTCAGGACATAGCATTAGTCACGATATTATTTTCCAGCTCTATAGAGAAGCTGACATTTAGTTTCAAGGATTTAACATCGGAGCGTGGATTTCATGTTGATACGTGCAAAGAGACTATGGAACTAATTGTACAAATAGTATATTGGGACGTAACTAGTTTTTAGTAAAGAAGGAAAAACCGGCTGTGTCGACAGATTGCTGAGAAGCAGTTTGAAGATTAAGAAGCTCATGATAAGCAAAAGCGGGGCCGAAAGGCATCACTGCAAAAATCAGAAAAGGCAAAGAAAATCCGAAAACAATTCAAAGTCCTCAGTTCCCATTAATTTCCAACACGAAACAAACACGACGTCACTCCTTCATCCCAACAGTTCCGAACGCCATCCGAACAGCCTATATCCCACGAACCCAATCTCAGGCCCTTCAGCCTGACGCCGAAGATCCCTCCCGTATCTATCTTGAGATCATGCCCCGATGCAAAGTCCCAGCATCGCGGCACTCCAAGCCGAATAGGCCGTCGCCATGTTAGCCTATTTGATTTTTCGGCCATGTTGCCGAATGCATAATTTGACGCCGTGGTTGTTGTGATTTGAGCAGCTGCGTCGATTTGCTTTATATTTGACTCCCAATTCGACTCGAGTCGCCTCTGCAGGCAGATATGAGACATGTTCACTTACAGAGCGAATGAGAAGTGACAGCAAAAAGCCTGTAGCAATTAAAGAGCAGTAACATAGCAAGGAAGACTACATGCCTCGAAAACGAATTGTGTATTTTACATTTCGAACCTCTTCTTATATTGCTCGATTTGCCAGACGGCTTCTTGCATCCACTGACCTTGAATTTCTGCAGATGACCGGAGATAAGCCGCTGAAGGTTTCTGCAACGGCAAGACGGCAAGACGGGACAAGGTTGTGCTGATATCGCCCCATAAATTCTTTCTTGTCGAATTGTCAGTAATCGACATGAGCTCAATACGAAGTCAAGGAGGTACGTATTCTCCGATCCTCCACATGAATACAAGTAAAGTCTCGAATTAATGCAAGTGAGCTCCCTAGCGACAGCACCTCTGATAGGCCATCAATACTCAAGACCGAGCTGCATGCATTTCCAGGTTCGCCGCACGGGGCATGCCTGTTCCATTAATATGGGACCAAACTTAGTCAGCAGATTCTTGCTCAAAATACCTGCTGATCAAGGCCCATTCTTGGTCGTGACCGAAAACGTGGGTCACAATTAACGTTTGAGTGGTCCATCTTAAGGTTAACTCAGTAGATCGATCTGTCCCGGAAAAATAGACGCCGCACATCCCAACCACCAACATCCAGAACGTCCGTCTTTTGATCCCAATTTTTGACATGAGATGAAACAGCAGCCTTTTCACGGATTCATTAATCTGATCTTCAACCATGTGTCTGCCAAGAAAGGGCTACAGAAACAAGCTTTCGTGGCGCCATTCCAAGACTGTAGCCGAATTGCTTGGCATCTATCTAACATCACATCGCATCATCTGGGGTCCGCGGCGAATATTTTTGAGGGGGAGAAAATGCGATGAAATACAACATGCTTCCTTCGCACCACATTGAAGCTGATGTCTGCCCAATACGGGGACAGGACAGCCGCACCTGTGCCGCCAAAGGCTTCTCGTTCGTCTGGACTATGCATGCATCCTGTCTGACGAGTACGTGGCCCCATGTTCGTTCCCGTCCCCATCGGTCGCCCCATGTCTGCAACCAGTACCCTAGCTGAATACAGCTTGAGCCCCCCAAAACAGCCCCAAACTGACAGAGGATTGTCTTGCTTGCTTGCTCCTCCCGACTCTCCTTTCACCAAACCTCCGCATCGGAATATCCAATCGAATCAGGTCAGGGCAACCGGAGCCGCGCCCCCCAGCAGGAAATCCCCTAATCTGATCGGTGGAGCAATTCTATCTCTGAATTAATATTTCTCTGTTCATCCCGCGAAAACCCTTTTTACCTCGTTCCATGGAATGTCCCACTTCCACCGGCATGAACGAGGGACTTTCGTGATGCTCCATCGTCGGCTCGTTCGCCCTGTCATCGTCACCGGCTTGCTGGCTTGCATCTGCTATCTGTGGTTGGTATACCACTCCGATATCGTGGTCCTGATTCCCAAAACCGTCGCCCTCAATCCTCTTCAGGATCCCGTCGAACCGGCGAAAAGTTCAAGTTCCAGGTCCCGCATTGCAAAGGTTACGGTCGCCGCGAACTCGCTGAATACTTCGGTCATTCATCAAGCGCTGCGCACGCATCAGGTGCAGAATGAGCTTCATGGGTATACACATTTCATCACGACGGGGGAGTTGGTGGGCGATCTCTCAGAACATGATGTCCAAGGAAGACCTCGAGGCGCTTGGAGCAAGCCTGCCTACCTGCTCTCCCTTATCGTCGCCGAATTGACGAAGCCGGAAGCTGAGAGATTGGAATGGTTGTTGTATGTGTTCCCAACAGTTGGTTTTTTTTTTGTGTTGGCGCTAATATGATACAGTTGGTTTGATGCCGACACAGTGGTTATGAACCCACATACTCCTCTCGAAGTCTTCCTTCCTCCGTCCGACATTCCTTCAGTTGCCAACATTCACCTGCTGATGGCCAGCAACTGGGACGGTCTGAATTCGGGCGCTTTCGGTCTGCGAGTACACCCATGGTCTGTTTCAATACTTTCAGCAGTATTGGCTTACCCTCTATACAAGGAAGATAAGCTTAAGAAAGATCGATTCAGGGATCAAAGCGCTTTCCAATGGCTACTCCAGTCACCGGATTCTATGTTGGTTAGGGGAGGTAATTTGGGCGGCACAGAGAACTGGGCAGATGTCCCAATGCGTTGGTTCAATTCTCTACCCATCAACAATGCATTTTCCAAGAGGTGGGACTGGATCTTTAACCACAACATGACCGGCGCCCTTTTCGACAACGGCACCCGAGAAGTGTACCCAGATGGAAACGGCAAGACTGTTCAGCCATGGAAAGTCATGCAAGGAGACATGCTGGTGCATTTTGCAGGCACCACGAACGTCAGACAAAGCTGGATGGGGCCGTGGCTCGAGAGAGCCGTAAAGTACCTCCCGGAATGGAGCAATGCCACCCGAAAAGAAGAGCTGAAACAAGAAGCGCGATTCTTCTGGAATATCACGGCGAGTCGGATCGACGTGGCGAAAGCCCACGAGAAAGAGAGGGCTGAGAAGGCGGCTAAGAACCCAGGCTTATTCGGGGAGAAGAAGCCCACCACGAAACAACGCCCGCCCGGGAAATGGGAAGCCAAGCCTGATATCGTAGATCCTACGCTGAATGCCAAGTCAGGGGACGAGGCTGTGAAAAGCAATGTAGCTATCGAGGTGGTGACGACCACGCAAAGTGGTCCTGTTGGAATACCGACCACGACGCAGTCAGCGCCAAGTTAAACAAATGAATAGTAGAAAAGCTTATGTAGATCCTGTACAGTAAAATCCTGTACCAATACATGCCAACCCAAAAATCCGACCTCGTAACGCTCCCACGAATAAAAGTAGTCAAATCGTGAATCCTACCACTTCCCATGTCATTCGCTCGTACAATACCGTACAAGTCATCGTAACCACCGGAACGGTACTGCCAGCACCCATGCATTATCCCGCCGCACAGCGGGGACCCTTCCCTTTCCCAATTCCAATAAATATTCCAACGGAACCTGGCAAAGCTAAGCATAAACGCCACATGCGTTTAGACCTAAATTGGCAGGCACACGAACAGATGCAAACGGTCCACGCCTGAAACCCCACGGGTCGGACGCCAAGCAAATTTCCTATGAATAGAGCGATGGCCCTCGTCTCTTCCTTCCTGGATCTTGACTTCGTCTGATTGATTTAAAGGTAAACTTCGGATTTAAGCTTGAAGGAGGGACGACCGCGACTGCAACCTACCGTAATCTAACCGACGATTCGGATTTTGTCGTTTTTGCGATGGATTGATTGAAGAAGGAAGGAAGAAGGCATTTATTTGATCTTCAATTCTAGAGAGATTGAAATTTGGTTTTTCGTCTGATTGACGACTCAACATTGGACGATCCTCACACACAACCATGTCGCGACAACACAAGAGCGATAAGGACATGGAAGCCCAGCACCTCATCCGACCCCTCGAGAAAACCACCCAAACCACCATATCAGAGAAAGGCGGACCACCCATTCTCTCACCACGCCTAGACTCCGAATACAGCGTCCCGGCTACGACGAAGTTCGCGTATCTGAGCGTGTACTTCCTGTGCAACGTCGGTTTGACGATTTATAACAAAGCTGTGCTTGGCAAGGTTCGTTCGTTTCTTTCTTCCTTTTTTTCTAATAAGATGAGAGAGGGACTGATGAAAAAAATAGTTCTCATACCCATGGCTCCTCACCGCGCTCCATACCGGCAGCGCGAGTATCGGCTGCTACGTCCTGCTCTTGCGCGGCGATTTCAGTTTGAGTAAATTGAGTTCGCGGGAGCATGTTACGTTGATTTTGTTTTCGTTTTTGTTTACGATTAATATTGCCATTTCAAATGTTTCGCTGTACGTCCCCTCGTCCTCCCGCCTCACAATTTGATATTGGGTGCTGATGGTGGGTAAAGAGCCATGGTATCAATGCCATTCCATCAGATCATGCGGTCCACGACGCCGATCTTCACGATCTTAATCTATAGGGTGCGGTTCGGGCGGTCGTATTCAACGAAGGTGTACTTGTCACTGATCCCCATCGTGCTGGGTGTCGGGTTAGCGACGTATGGGGACTATTATTTTACGATGATTGGGTTCATCCTTACACTTCTAGGCGTGGTACTCGCTGCCGTTAAAGTCTGTTCCCTCTCTCTTTCCTATCTCTACATCAAGCTGACAAAGAGTGATTTTAGACCGTAGTAACAAACCGCATAATGACCGGCCCGCTCGCCCTCTCGCCCCTCGAGATCCTGTTCCGCATGTCACCCCTCGCGTTCATCCAAGCACTAACGTACTCCCACCTCTCCGGCGAACTCGCCTCCTTCTCCGACTGCTTCACCTCTTCTCTCCCCCTCATTCCCATCTCAACTTCCAGTTCCACCGCCAACCCAACGCTCCCCCTCCCATCGCAAAACCTCCTCCTCGCCCTCCTAGGCAACGGTCTCCTGGCCTTCATCCTAAACATCTCCTCCTTCTCGACAAACAAAAACACCGGCGCCCTCACGATGACGGTCTGCGGGAACGTGAAACAGTGCCTGACAATCGCGCTGGGTATCGTCATTTTTGGCGTGCAGGTTAGTGTGCTGAATGGGGTGGGCATGGCGGTTACGTTGGGGGGCGCGGCGTGGTATAGTTTTGTTGAGTTGAGGGGAAGGGGGAAGCGGTAGGGCTTTAGGTTTGGCTTTGAGGTAGTTTGAATGAAATGTGTTCATGTTCTCCTGGTAAAATCTATCTTGATTCTAAATATAAAACCAAGAAAGAAAATGTGTTGTCCAGTGCCAAGCCTCGCTACCGTGGAGAGTTCAGCCAGAGGGAGAAAGGGGGGCTTGGCGCCAAGGATCGCGGGGGCGGCTCGGTCCGGGGGAATGAATGGTACGTCAGAATGTCTATTCATGTGTGTCTTAGATCTAAGAAGTGGTTGAATGGTTGAGAGGTGTGGTGTTTGTGGTGCGGAATAGGAGTCAAGAAAGGTTGGCGGGTGATGGACGTCCCTAAGATAAGGACGCTGGAGGCGCGGCCGTGGTCGCCGACGGGGGAGTCTGGAGAAATCAACGAGCTGAGTATACGACACCATATTCCAGTCGAGATAGGCTGGGATCGTGGTTCAGAAGTGTCAGGAGGATATCTGGATTTCTACAAGCAGTTTCAAGACTAGCAAGACCTATTTTCCTTTTGAGGTATCAACTTCGACGGGGAACTGAACTGGACTTGCGGAGACGCCTCGAGTACCGTGTCGTGAGATGCAGACAGGTTCGGTGACGACGACGACGACGACGACGACGACGACGACGACGACGGACGGCCAATGCCGAACGGAAGAAATGCTTCGATAACTTTTCCGACAACTGGCCAGTGGTAATATCCCGCACCTTTGGACTTCATGATAGCGAAGATGGCAGCAAGTAGCAGCGGTACAAGCAATACATTGGTGACGTTACAAAAGGCTTCTTGCTAAACCCCGCCTCAGGGAAATAGGACCAGAACCCTTTGGGGGGGCGTGATGGTGGATCTAAGTGGGATATAATAAAAATATAAATTAATATCTTTTTATTAAATAATAAATTAAATTTAAAAATTTTTTTATGAGGGAACCGTGGAAGAGGAACGTGGTCTTCGCTTGGGTTCTTTGGCGGAGATATTTTTGGTGAGGGAGAGATGGTTTGAGATTGAAGTAGTGATTGTGTTTGTGTTGTGGGAGAGTGTCTGGTAGGTGGGGCTTGGGAGAGGCAGTGAGAAGCTCGCGATGTCTGGCTTCGCTTGACGTTATTTAGTGTTGCAAAAGTTCGCGAGTCGGACGGACATTAGAGTCAGTGTTCAAATTCTCAATACCAATTGCTCATTGAAAGCAATCACCTATCGTTGACTCTATCCACTACTGTTGTTATCATGGTAGTGGAGCGGAAGCAGCTGGCATGGTAATGGGATTGGTGGAGATCAAGTCAGAAGAGATGACAATCAAGTTGGACTCTTCGCATTTGCTGACCTTTTGCTCGTGTTCTGGCTTGAGTTTGCGAGGAGGAGAAGGTTGCGTGATTTTGGCATTATATGCATCTAGGCCAGTGAACTCAATTTTGGAGAGTTAATGTGCGTTCTGATGTTGGGATCGGCATACGGACAATCTAGGAATGAAGGAGGTGGAAGTTTCGGCTTTGAATGTTGGTCTTGATATCATGGACCTGCGCAAAGAGAAGTTCTTATGTGGATTGCGACGAACATACAAGTGTCAGGGTTAGCTGTGAGATGTAAGGCACTTCATCGATGTCAAGACGTGTTTACCTCTAACTGATATAGTTGAATGCGTGGAACTGGTTGTTGTCTCCCAAAAATAGATAAACGTTCCAGATCTTTCGTAACGATCCAAATACAAATGCTATTATCATTATCATTATCATTCTCGCAACACCATCACCTAAATTCGGCTACCAGGTACCACCTCTTTCCCGTCCCATTCCGCTTGATCCAAGTAGACTTTTTCCTCCCTGACAGCACGATCCTCCCAAACACCCATCCTCCCATTCAACCCTAATACTCCTTCCCCTCGACTCCTCCAACCCTTACCTCGAATTCCCACCCCTCCTCCTCAACATCCTCCTCGCAACAAACATCCCCAGAAAAAAGGCCCCCAACCCACCCAACGTCTCCACAATAGCCGCAATCAGCGTTGTGCTACTCGGCCCACCCTCTTCCACTACCGTCGTCGCACTCGGACTCGGCATCACCGTCATCGTTGTCGGCGACAACGTCGAAGTAATCACCGAGTCTATTTGTGAGGTTGCGCTCGTAGGCCAAGGAACAATGAGGAGAGTACGTTGAGATGACGAAGAGGGGAGGCTTGATGTGCATTGGAATTGCGTGAATTGAGAGGAAGGGGCGGAGATTAGCCAGTTGATGCAGTAGGGGGCGGTTGCGTCGCTGTCGTCCAGTCAGTTATTTTCCTTGCTTCAATATTGGCAAGGAGGTGGATGAATGCACCAGAATTTCTCGCGGGGAGTAGTAGAGCTTGAGGAGCTTAATGACTTTAAGTCGGTGGTGGTGGTGATGGCAGGGGTTGAGGTCGAAGTAGAAGAGTAGTCGTGACATGTTGTCAAGGCGAGGAGGGTGGCGTTGAAGAGTTGGCAGCCCCAGTAGTTATTGCTGCTAACTGAGGTGTAAAGACATGTGTATGGGATGTCGCATGTTACATCTGACCACGAAAGTCAGTTTGAATCCAGTTCTACTGCAATTTGATTCTCGTGATGGAAGAGGAGTACGCACAGTCTGAAGAAAACCCATAAACGCTCCATTCTGAGCAGGTATTGACGCCATCCCGATTTTCCAGCAGCGTTCGCGGTGGTCTCAAAGCAGTACTCGTTATCTCTGGGGGATGTGGAAGTAAAGATTGCTTTCTAAGCGTCAACGTCGAGGTAGCAAAATCTTCATCTCCGGATAATAGTCCTGTCACAGGACCTGGCAGCATTTTGCTCTTTAAAGGAAAGCAAAAATAATGACCACATGCACAGGAAGATTTAAATCTCCAACTAGATAATTGGAACTACAAGTCAACTTGGCTGAAACATTTTGGCCCCGCATTGCGGGTTCATCTCGTGGCATCGAAATTGAGGGTTTAATGCCAGGTACTTGAAAAGCAAAGAAAGACATTGACGCAGATAGATACGAAGATCTTGGTTTGAGTCTGAGGATAGAACGGTGCAGGGTTATTTTGACTAATAAGTCTGGTGCAAAATCCGAAGGGACTATATTTGGGAATCAGAGAGAGCGTGTGTGTTTGCGCGATCAGAATGAAGAATCGGAAAGCTTGCTACTGCCACAAGCTACATGCACACCTGCCATACCGAGAGAGCGATAACTAGTTGAATGTCTCAGTAGACCTATTCGTGGACAGGCGAGAGTCAAGATTTGTTTTTCTTGATAAGTGTGGATCTCTCTCCACATCATGATTGGGCTTGGTAGCCGCTCTCCCTTTGACTCAAACCTTGTTTGGCTCAGCTATTAAGAAGTCTTTCAGAAGCTTTCAATCTTCTTGCTCACTTGAGATCGTGATTGTCGTTTGCTTCGATTGTGATACCTGATAGTACGATAGGAGCAGGATGTCGCTTTGAAAATCAAGGATTGTAAGCGCAGGCAAATATAGACAGCAAACAAGACAGTAGTGGTTTGGAAGGGTTTCGCAGACGCAAAGATCGATTCAGGAGGCAACTTCTTCTGACTGTCTGACATTCGACTCGTACAATTGGAATGATCCACTCTGCTAACTCCATGACGGACATAGAGACTCACTTTTGCAACATTAAGAGCGAACGCCAAGACCACTTCCTCGATTCCTCTCGCCTGGCAGCCCAGGAACAGCTCCTCACTTTCCATCCAAAATACCCATCAAAACCGTCCCAAGTATCACCATCATACTACCATATCCCCAATGATTCCACTCCCCCGTCCCCATATAACTTTTGCAAATCCACCCATCAACTCCCGCTACCCCGCCCCCTGCAATCAAGACACATCCCAGCGCTTTCCGAGACCCAAAGAACGCGGTCGCAAAGACAGCCAGCGCTGCACCGATGAGCTTCGCTCCGAACGCAATCATCAAGCATTCGATGAGGATTGGATCTGCTGTTGCGGCCAGGCCTTGAAGTTCGAAGAAGGAGAGTTCGGACATGGGATTGAGGATGGAATTGATGCCAAATCCCAAGGAGATGGTACCGAATGCTGTCGCGATGATGCTGAGGAAGGGGGATTGGGAGAGTTTTGTGTTTGCCATTTTGTTTGTGATTTCTGTTCATGTGAAGATGTCGTTTTGCTGGCTTGAATTGCGTTGGGTGGAGCTGTTTAAGAAAGGTAAGCTGCCAAGAAGCGAATCACAGAAGGATGAATCGGACTCCGAGGTGGACTCCTTTCCCGACTTGGCTGCCAAAAAAAGGTTACGGGTACCTGCCTTAGCGAGCAATCATCAAATAAGAGTTTACAAAATTACTCAAAGCTACCTCAAATGGCCCATTAAGATCAGGGGAACGCAACAGAAGAGAATAATGCTTGAAATGACGAGGTGCGTTGTGGCTGTGGCTGTGGCTCAACGCGCCACACACCTCGGTTCCGTGTACCTAAGTACCTTCATTTGACCTCCCCTCAACTCTTTAGCCCAGCCTAGTATCAAGCTATGATATATGCCCATGCTACAGAATGCAGCGAGACTTCCAATGTCTGAGAGTTTGATAGTCAAGGCCACTATGATCGTTAACCGGTACATTGACTTCAGGTATCATAAAATCATGCACACCGCAATAAATATTATATATTTTGGTGATGTTATATTCTGTGGCTATTTCCAAACACCTTGAATACCTTTGATTAAAAGATTCACGTTCGCGTCGTCGCCCTTACGCCTGATTTGTAAAGGGTCTTTTTTTATAGCGTAACAGACTTCCTCTACCACCGAGCTTACATCATCCTTAAAACTTGCAAAATGGTCTTAGCTGAGCTTTCACGCGTCTTCACTATACGGGAGATCGTTAACATTATTGTGGCGGCTGTAGTGTGCAAATTCATACAAGATCGCTACGAGGATCGGTACCTCGGATCGAAGCGAGTGACGATTTTGGTTAGTGCGAAATAACCCCGTAGTATTTACGACATGATGTAAACTATAAAGCCTTAGGCATGAAGGCCAACAGTGGCTGGAGGTACTATGGTGCCTAGTGCATTACATCCAGCTTAGTAATGACTTCATCCAATCCACTAGATCTACCCAGACAGCCGAAGTGCTTGGTCCCGCCCACAGCGCTGTCAACTGGCAGGAGGTGGAACACTTCGCGAGAGGTAGCTGCGTGAAAAGTTTATTAATACTATATTTGTAGAAAATGCCAGAAGGCAAGTGGCAATTCTTAGATAGTATAAAAGTAAATGGTTCCCTAAGACCCTCCAAGAAATAAAGATATTTTACTTTTTAATTTTATATAACAAGCTTTGTTCCCTTTGTAAAGCAAAAGAATGAAATTCTTCCAGATGAATGCCCTATAGCAAGACTTCCGTTCCAAGTAGCTGAACAAATTGGCCGATAATTGGGAGGCAGCCAGAGAATATTTGTATTGTCTTCCACTACCCAATGATCCGATACTTGTAAGATTGGCAACTGCTTGCCATCAGGTGAGAAGGCGACTGACGTGACCCAACTTGAGCGGCCCTCGAGTGCTGGCAGCGTCTGCATTAGTGCTCCTGTCGCGGCATCCCAGAGCCGGATGGTCCTGTCGTAAGAGCCAGAGACGACCTGCTTGCCGTCGGGGGAGAAGGCGACTGAC